CGCCCGACGGTATGGTGGTTGGGGCTTCGCCAAAATTGGGCTCCGTGGCCACCGAGCAAAAAGCAGCCAGAAGGGGCGATCCTCAAATCGCGAAATCGAGGGTCGCCCGATGGTATGGTGGCCTTGGCTTCGCCAAAATTGGGCTCAGTGGCCACCGAGCAAAAAGCATCTAGAAGGGGCGATCCTCAAATCGCGAAATCGAGGGTCGCCCGACGGTATGGTGGTTGGGGCTTCGCCAAAATTGGGCTCCGTGGCCACCGAGCAAAAAGCAGCCAGAAGGGGCGATCCTCAAATCGCGAAATCGAGGGTCGCCCGATGGTATGGTGGCCTTGGCTTCGCCAAAATTGGGCTCAGTGGCCACCGAGCAAAAAGCATCTAGAAGGGGCGATCCTCAAATCGCGAAATCGAGGGTCGCCCGACGGTATGGTGGTTGGGGCTTCGCCAAAATTGGGCTCCGTGGCCACCGAGCAAAAAGCAGCCAGAAGGGGCGATCCTCAAATCGCGAAATCGAGGGTCGCCCGATGGTATGGTGGCCTTGGCTTCGCCAAAATTGGGCTCAGTGGCCACCGAGCAAAAAGCATCTAGAAGGGGCGATCCTCAAATCGCGAAATCGAGGGTCGCCCGACGGTATGGTGGTTGGGGCTTCGCCAAAATTGGGCTCCGTGGCCACCGAGCAAAAAGCAGCCAGAAGGGGCGATCCTCAAATCGCGAAATCGAGGGTCGCCCGATGGTATGGTGGCCTTGGCTTCGCCAAAATTGGGCTCAGTGGCCACCGAGCAAAAAGCATCTAGAAGGGGCGATCCTCAAATCGCGAAATCGAGGGTCGCCCGACGGTATGGTGGTTGGGGCTTCGCCAAAATTGGGCTCCGTGGCCACCGAGCAAAAAGCAGCCAGAAGGGGCGATCCTCAAATCGCGAAATCGAGGGTCGCCCGATGGTATGGTGGCCTTGGCTTCGCCAAAATTGGGCTCAGTGGCCACCGAGCAAAAAGCATCTAGAAGGGGCGATCCTCAAATCGCGAAATCGAGGGTCGCCCGACGGTATGGTGGTTGGGGCTTCGCCAAAATTGGGCTCCGTGGCCACCGAGCAAAAAGCAGCCAGAAGGGGCGATCCTCAAATCGCGAAATCGAGGGTCGCCCGATGGTATGGTGGCCTTGGCTTCGCCAAAATTGGGCTCAGTGGCCACCGAGCAAAAAGCATCTAGAAGGGGCGATCCTCAAATCGCGAAATCGAGGGTCGCCCGACGGTATGGTGGTTGGGGCTTCGCCAAAATTGGGCTCCGTGGCCACCGAGCAAAAAGCAGCCAGAAGGGGCGATCCTCAAATCGCGAAATCGAGGGTCGCCCGATGGTATGGTGGCCTTGGCTTCGCCAAAATTGGGCTCAGTGGCCACCGAGCAAAAAGCATCTAGAAGGGGCGATCCTCAAATCGCGAAATCGAGGGTCGCCCGACGGTATGGTGGTTGGGGCTTCGCCAAAATTGGGCTCCGTGGCCACCGAGCAAAAAGCAGCCAGAAGGGGCGATCCTCAAATCGCGAAATCGAGGGTCGCCCGATGGTATGGTGGCCTTGGCTTCGCCAAAATTGGGCTCAGTGGCCACCGAGCAAAAAGCATCTAGAAGGGGCGATCCTCAAATCGCGAAATCGAGGGTCGCCCGACGGTATGGTGGTTGGGGCTTCGCCAAAATTGGGCTCCGTGGCCACCGAGCAAAAAGCAGCCAGAAGGGGCGATCCTCAAATCGCGAAATCGAGGGTCGCCCGATGGTATGGTGGCCTTGGCTTCGCCAAAATTGGGCTCAGTGGCCACCGAGCAAAAAGCATCTAGAAGGGGCGATCCTCAAATCGCGAAATCGAGGGTCGCCCGACGGTATGGTGGTTGGGGCTTCGCCAAAATTGGGCTCCGTGGCCACCGAGCAAAAAGCAGCCAGAAGGGGCGATCCTCAAATCGCGAAATCGAGGGTCGCCCGATGGTATGGTGGCCTTGGCTTCGCCAAAATTGGGCTCAGTGGCCACCGAGCAAAAAGCATCTAGAAGGGGCGATCCTCAAATCGCGAAATCGAGGGTCGCCCGACGGTATGGTGGTTGGGGCTTCGCCAAAATTGGGCTCCGTGGCCACCGAGCAAAAAGCAGCCAGAAGGGGCGATCCTCAAATCGCGAAATCGAGGGTCGCCCGATGGTATGGTGGCCTTGGCTTCGCCAAAATTGGGCTCAGTGGCCACCGAGCAAAAAGCATCTAGAAGGGGCGATCCTCAAATCGCGAAATCGAGGGTCGCCCGACGGTATGGTGGTTGGGGCTTCGCCAAAATTGGGCTCCGTGGCCACCGAGCAAAAAGCAGCCAGAAGGGGCGATCCTCAAATCGCGAAATCGAGGGTCGCCCGATGGTATGGTGGCCTTGGCTTCGCCAAAATTGGGCTCAGTGGCCACCGAGCAAAAAGCATCTAGAAGGGGCGATCCACAAATCGCGAAATCGAGGGTCGCCCGACGGTATGGTGGTTGGGGCTTCGCCAAAATTGGGCTCCGTGGCCACCAAGCAAAAAGCAGCCAGAAGGGGCGATCCTCAAATCGCGAAATCGAGGGTCGCCCGATGGTATCGTGGCCTTGGCTTCGCCAAAATTGGGCTCAGTGGCCACCGAGCAAAAAGCAGCCAGAAGGGGCGATCCTCAAATCGCGAAATCGAGGATCGCCCGGCGGTATGGTGGTGTTGGCTTCGCAAAAATTAATCTCAGCGGCCGCTGAGCAAACGGCCGCCAGCGGGGCGATCCTCAAATCGCGAAATCGAGGATCGCCCCACGCTATGGCGACCTTGGCTTCGCCAAAATTGGGCTCGGTGGTCACCGAGCAAAAAGTAGCCAGAAGGGGCGATCCTCAAATCGCGAAATCGAGGATCGCCCGATGGTATGGTGGTTGGGGCTTCGCCAAAATTGGGCTCAGCGGCCGCTGAGCAAAAGGCCGCCAGAAGGGGCGATCCTCAAATCGCGAAATCGAGGATCGCCAGATGGTATGGTGGTGTTGGCTTCGGAAAAATTAAGCTCAGCGGCCGCTGAGCAAAAGGCCGCCAATGCGGCGATCCTCAAATCGCGAAATCGAGGGTCGCCCGACGGTACGGTGGCCTTGGCTTTGCCAAAATTGGGCTCAGCGGCCACCGAGCAAAAAGCAGCCAGAAGGGGCGGGCGATCCTCAAATCGCGAAATCGAGGGTCGCCCGACGGTACGGTGGTTGGGGCTTCCTCAAAATTGGGCTCAGCGGCCGCCGAGCAAAAGGCCGGCAGACCGGGCGATCCTCAAATCGCGAAATCGAGGGTCGCCCGACGGTATGGTGGCCATGGCTTCGCCAAACTTGGGCTCAGCGTCCCAAGAGCTGCAGAAGGGGTCGATCCGCTTTTCGGGGAAAAGCGGATTTCTGCACGCTATGGTCCATCAACCTCAGCAGAAAACGGCCTTTTTTTGTGTGCGAGGCCGCGGGCGGGCCTCGAGCTGCAGAAGGGGCCGATCCGCTTTTCGGGAAAAAGCGGATTTCTGCATGCTATGGCCCATCAACCAGACCAGAAAACGGTCTTTTTTTGCGTGGGAGGCGGCGGGCGGGCCTCGAGCTGCAGAAGGGGTCGATCCGCTTTTCGGGGAAAAGCGGATTTCTGCACGCTATGGCCCATCAACCTGAGCAGAAAACGGCCTTTTTTTGTGTGCGAGGCCGCGGGCGGGCCTCGAGCTGCAGAAGGGGCCAATCCGCTTTTCGGGAAAAAGCGGATTTCTGCACGGTATGGCCCATCAACCTGAGCAGAAAACGGCCTTTTTTTGTGTGCGAGGCCGCGGGCGGGCCTCGAGCTGCAGAAGGGCTCGATCCGCTTTTCGGGGAAAAGCGGATTTCTCCACGCTATGGCCCGCCAACCAGAGCAGAAAACGGCCTTTTTTTGTGTGCGAGGCCGCGGGCGGGGGGGCGGGTCTCAAGCTGCAGAAGGGGTCGATCCGCTTTTCGGGAAAAAGCGGATTTCTGCACGCTATGGCCCATCAACCTGAGCAGAAAACGGCCTTTTTTTGTGTGCGAGGCCGCGGGCGGACCCCGAGCTGCAGAAGGGGTCCGATCCGCTTTTCGGGAAAAAGCGGATTTCTGCACGCTATGGCCCATCAACCTGGCCAGAAAACGGCCTTTTTTTGCGTGGGGGGCCGCGGGCGGGCCTCGAGCTGCAGAAGGGGTCCGATCCGCTTTTCCAGAAAAAGCGGATTTCTGCACGCTATGGCCCATCAACCTGGGCAGAAAGCGGCCTTTTTTTGCGTGCGAGGCCGCGGGCGGGCCTCGAGCTGCAGAAGGGGCCGATCCGCTTTTCGGGAAAAAGCGGATTTCTGCACGCTATGGCCCATCAGCCTGAGCAGAAAGCGGCCTTTTTTTGCGTGCGAGGCCGCAGGACCGCAAAAGCCCAAAATTGGCTACGAAAGGTGGGCCGTCAGGTCCTTTGGCCGATTTTTGGCAAAAACCGGGCAAGCCCTGCTGGCCCAGAGGCCGCGGGACCGCAAAAGCCCAAAATTGGCCACGAAAGGTAGGCCGTCAGGTCCTTTGTCCGATTTTTTGCAAAAAGCGGACAAGACCTGTTGGACCGGTTGCCGCGGGACCGCAAAAGCCCAAAATTGGCCACGAAAGGTGGGCCGTCAGTTCCTTTGTCCGATTTTTTGCAAAAACCGGACAAGACCTGCTGGCCCAGCGGCCGGCCGCGGGACCGCAAAAGCCCAAAATTGGCTACGAAAGGTGGGCCGTCAGGTCCTTTGGCCGATTTTTGGCAAAAACCGGACAAGCCCTGTTGGCCCGGGTGCCGCGGGACCGCAAAAGCCCAAAATTGGCCACGAAAGGTGGGCCGTCAGGTCCTTTGTCCGATTTGTTGCAAAAACCGGACAAGACCTGCTGGCCCAGAGGCCGCGGGACCGCAAAAGCCCAAAATTGGCCACGAAAGGTGGGCCGTCAGGTCGTTTGTCCGATTTTTGGCAAAAACCGGACAAGACCTGTTGGCCCAGAGGTCGTGGGCCCAAGTGTGGGCACGAATGAAGGGCGGGTCGCCTACTCCGCTGCCCGGTTGCGCTAGGTTTGGTTTCCTTTTGTATCTTAATCTTGTCGCTTGGTCATCTTCCTGTCGGTGTTGTTGTTGATGACATCGTCTACGCCATCGTTCGTATCAGCAGCTTCCGTGTTGGCCTTAGCTTTCGTAGTTGTGTTGCCTCCAACTGTTGCTCGTAGTCGTACTTACAAGCGCCAGTTGACGCTTTGTTGCTATCACGAACGTCCTCGTGCTCGGAATGTCGTTTAACAACTAGCTCCGTGCTGTTTCTAAGTTGACGCTTCGTATTCGTTCTTCTGCGCCGGTTGGGATGTCAATAAAGCCCTGTTGCTGCGGGCTTCAGTTTGCCAATTCGCAGCATTTTTACCGTGTTGAATCGAATATAGCCAAAGTTGCTACCACCAGAAGTGTTTGTAATCTTGCAATTCATTACGGAACAGGAAGGAAACGGAAAGCATATTTATTTCCCTTGCGTCAGTGCACCCAAGTTTGCCTGCCTGTAGGCTGTGTATGCTGAGGTACTTAGAAGAGTCATTGTGATTGTTTAGTTTTCCTTGTAAATGTGAGTTGATTTTTTATTTTGTGACTCACTTACACTTGAAGCCCAGAATCGCATCATGGCTCGCCGGCGATGTTTGTGTTGTCTTAGTGCAAAAGCAAAGGCGGACGAGAATGGTGGACACGCCGCTGCTCTTGATGCTAGGGTCGCTGACGATAAGCCTAAGCGTGAAGGCGAGGCTGCGGCCCACGAGGGGTACAAGCGCGGGTCGCAAAGCACCGCCCACCGCCATCCATCATCCGGAAGGATTAAAAACGAGAGCAACCAAACTACTCCGCCCCCTACTGTGAAGACTGCGGCTTCGCCGCGGCGAGGAGGCAGCGCCGACGCTAGTATATCTTCAACGCGGAGCAAGAACAACAAGCCTTCCAAGCAGCCAAGGGTCACCTCTTCAACGTCATGCGTGAGAAAGAATAAGAAGCTTTTCCTTGTCACCAAGTTTGTCCTCGCCATCACTCTCGCCCTCGGCGTCTCTTTCGCTCTATTCGCCGACCCACCGACAAAAAAAACTACCCGCGCAGCGTTCGCTCAGTATCTGTCCGACTCGAAAGAGTATGTCGTCGCGAAGTCGCGCGACGCGCAAGAGAAAATGCGCAAGCTCTCCCAGGACGGCCTTTACCGCGTGTTCAAAAGCACGTTCCCGGACTTGGGCCAGCGGACACTGTTCCTGCTAGGGAACATGGCCGAGGAGATCAAAGTGCGGGTGGCAAGAACGATAGAAGCCGCGAAGGCAGTAATAGGCGCGAGTAGCAGGCGGTGAGGACGACGAGCACCTGGTGCCCCAATACTAGTACTTCTTTCACTTCTTAGCATTCAATACGTACATCGAAAACGATACAACTCCAACCCCTGGTGGTGGTGGTGGTGGTGACTGTAAGTATGTCCGCATGATCCATGTGCAAGTGCACAACCCGCGGGATGTACTTGTGGATCCGAAGAAGTGGTAGAGCCGCACACAGGATCATTTGATTTTGATTTGGGAATAATTTCGAAGCAGTTAGCCGAAAATAGTAGTTTCAAGAAATTGTACTACGACCGTGGTGCAAACAAGACAGAAGGAAAAGTCAAAGTGTTCAAACTTTATACTGAATGACGGGTGTTGGTTTTCAATATCAACAACTTCGCATGTCGTGCGAAGATCGTGGTCTCTGTAGTTGGGTCGTGAACGCGGCTTCTGCTTTCGTCGGTGGAGGACGCGGCTTCTGCTTTCGTCGATGTGGTGGTCGTCTCGCTAACCGTCGGTTTCAACATAATCCACCATTTCGTCAACACCGTTTTATCGTCGATGGTCGTAGTCAATGCGGGTCGTCAAGCCATGTGAAAAACAATAGCACGATTGAAATGTCGGTGTTAAAAACAGCGCTCTTCAACATCTCGTGCACTTTTTCTGATTGTCTTTATGGTAAATGATCATGCCGGCAAAAAAAACAATTGTTTACACCTTTGCTACTGCACTAACTTAGTAGAGGAACTACCAAGGCAGCTCGTCGCCGCGGGGACACGAGCTGGCGCTCCAGAAGTTTTTTTTATTTTTAACTTAGTGCCAGCACAGGATGTCGATGTCCATGATCTTGAAGGTCAAGGTCTTTTATTTTTAACCCTGAACACCAATAGCCTGAGCCGTCATCAAGCATCAAAGCAAAATGTCTTCGCCAGACCGGGAGAAGCAGTTGAAAGCCGCGTTGGCTGCGAAATTGAAAACCGGTGGTATTGACGTGCACCAAGCGGCGAAGCAAGTGTTAATGACCAACAAAGCCACACGCGCTGCCAACGCCGGTTTCGGGAATAAAAATCCCCGCTCGCCAGCGTCTGTTGCATCAAGCCCTCAAGGTCCTGCGGGCGGCTTGGTCGTGAACAAAAGTGGTAGAACGTCCAGTCAAGATGCAGGAGGACTAGTATCTTCGTCCACGACTGCGGATCATGAAAATGTGTTTGTCCGGACCTACAAGAACGCCCTGGACTCGGCACTGCATACGGGCGAATTGAACGCGGACAACATCCTTGGGACAACTGAAGCTAGTGGTTCATCTTCATCGCATGTTTTTCACAACAACCCGCATTTGATCCCGGTGGTGCTCGCGAACGTGTGCAAATTGGCTGAACTTCTTATCGGCGACGAGGGTGGTGCGAAGATCCCGGATACGGCGGAAAAGTGGCAGGCGTTTTTGCAGCGGAGTATCGGGGAGAAATTCTTGCAGATGGAGGAAAAAACGCTGCAATTGGAGGAAAAATTGTTGGACTGCGAAGAGAAGCTGGCGGACTCTGCGGCAGTGGTGAAGAAGCACGAGGAGGAAAGGAAAGAATTGGAAGCGCTGCGGAAAGCGCATGCGGAAGTTTTGCAGCAAAGGGACGACGCGGTTGCGCGGGAAAAGAACGCGATTGTGGAGCAGGAAGCGCAGCAAGTCGCGGAACTGCGGCGGTTGCAGGAACAGAATTTGAGGCTGTTTAAGGCCCTGGACCAGACGCACCAGGTGCTGCACACCTGGGCCGCCGGGACCTGGGACGCGTCGGCGACGAAGAAAGGAAATAAAGCTGGTGCTGAAGAACATCAAGGATCCACCAGCCCGATGTTGTTCCTTCCGGCGGAGACTTCCGACGTTGTCGGTAGCTCTAGCAGTATCGGTTTTCAGTCGAACAAGGACGCCCGAGCGGTTGCAAGACGGGCAAGCACGCAGGCGTTCCTGACGCCGAGGGGCGAACAGAACGAGGGAGGAGATGTTGGGGCCTCCTCTGCCCAAAGCATGCCGAATGCGGGAGGTCCTCTTTCGCCCGGTGAGTTAGCGGACGGAGCGATTGGAGAGGCGCTCGAGGCACTGGCCGATGACGCAGAGGTCACGGGCAATGTGAAGAAAACGCTGAACGACTTCGAGCTGGCCCGCAGCATCTTCTCTTCCGCGACCATGAGCCGGCAACGCGCCAACACGGGGCTCCAGCCGTTGTCACCTCCGACAAGTGCTGGAAACAAACAACAAATCAAATCCCCCTCGTCCCCGTTGGGGAAGCCTTTATCCCCACAAACGTTCCCGGTTGTGGCCGCCAAACTGCTCGCGAAACAGCAGGAGGACGACATTACGTCCAGCACGAGGCAGCTGTTCGAATTGTTGCATCAAGTTATCCAGTACGAAAAAACTGCTATTCACTGTATAGGATTTTGGAAGTCACGCGACGTCACAAGTTTGTTATACATGAACATCACAGAGAGAAAAATAAGTTTGTTCCATGCGAGGTTCATCCTAGTGGAAAACAGGTCTAAAAATCACTTGATGTGGTCTTGCATTGGTACAAACAAGACAACCGCTTCATCTGCGAAGCATTTTCTGCATTACAGTGCGAGAGTTTTTTCGTGCGATCCAAGTGGACTTGAAGTTAAAGGAGGAGCGAATGGAGAAGCTGGAAGCGCAGCACCGCATCGAGCACACCGAGGAGCTAGAGCAGGCGCTGGACCAATTACAGCGTATCTTTGCGGAGATTCAGGCGGACCAGGGGAAGGTCCTGGACCGCATCCACAAGCTCTCCGACGAGAGCACGGCGGTGCAGGCGGAAAATACAAGGCTGGTGGCGGAACATCAAGATTTGAGAAGGTGCTTATGTTGATGTGGTGTTCGTTTGCGATTAAGCGTGCTTTTCAATGAATATTGTTGTTGTATGGCTTTGAGTTCATTCCCACATTCACATTTTTGCTAAAAATAGCAAAAACACAACATCAGAGTCCGCGTGGAGCTTGGTTTGGCGGAGGATACGATCAAAGGATTGAAGCAAAATCGAGAGAAACTGCAAGAAGAAATTGCTCGACTGATCGCGGACACGGAAACCCTAGGACAAAACTACGCGAATCGGGTCACGGGTCTAGAGAAGGAACTGAAAAAGGCGGGGATAATTAGTACAACGGGTGCAGGAGCAGCTGTTTCGTCTTCTGCCACTGCTAGTACAACACAGGGCAAAAATTATCCAACCGGAGCCGGTAATATCAAAGCTGCGACATCATCAAGACGAACCCAAGGAGCTGCCTCGAGTGTGTCCTCATTTGGTTCAACCGGGAACAGCATGGTAATGGCGACGCGAGACAGCAGTAGAAAACAAATTTCCACCGTCTCATCGACCAGCTTCGGCTCAACAGGGACCTCCTTCTTCCGGGGAGGGCGTAACCCAGCTGCGGAGGGCTCCGTCAAAGTAGAAGCTGGAGATGATGTAGTCCCAGGCATCGAAGAGGAGGAGGAGGTCGATTTGCAACTCAAATTGCAGGAGAAGGACCTGGAAATCGCGAAACTGCTTTCCGCCGCGAAAATCCACCAGCGTTCCACCGCGGATCTGAAGAAAACCGTGAAACAGTTGCAGGTTCAGCTGGAGGAGGAAAAAACGAAGGACGACGAAGTCGCGAAACTGCGCAGGAAGGTCCGGCTGCTGGAGAAAACCAAATTCGACGTGGAGCAGAAATTCGGGGAGTTGGAACGGGTAAACGACCAACTGAAGCGGAAGCACGAGGTCAGTAGCGACGAGGTGAAAGACTTGCAACGCAGAGTGGACGACCACGCGGGGAAAGAAGGGGGCTGGCGGAAGCAGCTGGAAACGGAACTGCTGCGCGAGAAGAAGAAAATGGTGGCAGAAATGGCGGAAGCGAAGAAAGCCCTGCGGGCAGAGATGGAAAGGACCTTGCTCAAGCATCATGATCAGGTACTTACAAAAATACATAAAGTATGGTATTAAAAAAGAGTAGGAAAATCATTTGGTATCGAAGTGCAGCTGTTTTCATCTCTGGCAAAAACTAAACTGAAAAAATAAAAGATCCTTCACAACTTTGCGGAGCAAGAGATCGAGGCGCTGCAGTCCGCCTTTGCCGATGCCGTGCACAACAGCGCCCACGTTAAGGAAAAGGTTCGAAAACTGCATCATCTTGGTGGTCGCGTGCATTTCTTCGAGAAGCGACTGACAGTTCCGACAGCAGTTGCGGGAGGGAAAAACAAATCTTCTCGAGTTGGTGCTCCTGCAGGTGAAAGCAATGACTCAAGCTACGAGAGCGACGAACCGCTCGATCCGGTGTCTGACGTGCAGCTGAAGAGGCACGCGAGGGCAAAGGCGCTCGTCGTCCTGAACCGAAATATCGACGACGCGCTGGCCACTTGTGAACTGGAGAAAGCGCATTTGGAAAAGGAGAAAGAGTCGGATCACGCGAGGAAAAGTGGCTACATTGAGGCCCTGGAGCATCGCGTGAAATCCGCCGAGAAAGAAGTGGACCAGCTGCACAAGGATCAGGACGAACACCGCGAGCAGCTGGAGTCGACCATTACCAGACTACGGAGCCAGCTGCACCAAACAACCGTCACCCACAAAGAGGTCGGGGAACAGCAATCGCAGCGAAACGAACACTTAGAGCTGGAGCTGGGAAAAAAGGCGAAGAAAGTGCTGCAGTTGCAAGCGGAAGTCGCCAACTTGAGGGAGGAAAAGGCCGCGTTGATGCTGGACAAACACCATTTGAGTTTAACGGTGGCCCAGTCGGACGCTGCTGCCGCGGCGAATGCGGTTGCAGTTGTTCCGTCGGGCCATCAACATTTGGCGGATAAGGTGAAGAGAACATCGGTGAATAAAGCAGAAACTATTAGTTCAACATCTTCTGTGCACCAGGCGCGCCTGTCCATGCAGGGCGATCGGCTGAAGGAGCTGCACAGGCGAGTTTACAAGTACTTATTGCACGCTGATGTTGTAGTTTTGCTGCTTTCAATTTGATACAAACAGAAAGTTTTCACCCGCATGTCTCGTGGTTGTTGTTCTGTTTTCTTCTCCAGGCCCAGAGTTCATACGAGCTGAAAATGAATAAATCCAATTTCATCATACAGAGACCTCTCCCTCGACATGCTTTCTAGCGGCCATCACCAGTTTGGCCTTCGTCGCACAACACTTCTCCGTTGCGCTCTTCGTGGATTTCTCGCGAACGTGGTCGACAAAGGAGTACTACCAACTGTTGCACGACAAGAACCACAGCCAGCATCTTCTTCGTTTTCCTCACAAATGATGAAAAAGGACCAGCGCGACTTGTCCGGGCACGCAGAAATCGGGTTTTCCGATAACAGTGAGGACCGTGTTAATGGCCAAGAAGGAGACAACTTCGGTGTTGTTGACGAGGGTGTTCTGGTACACGGGATGCATACTGTCAAAACAGTTGTGCATGACGAAGACCGACCGCTGCACAACATTACTCTCGAGAACCCCAGTGAAGATCCGAATTCATCCACCTCAGGAGATCACGATGCTTTCCTGAAGCCCTCGCAGGAGCTGGTCCGCAGCAGCATGGCGCGAACCAGCGCAGCTTCATCCTTCGAGATCGAGCAGCAACGGGCGACGCAGTTCGTCACGAAGCTGAACGTGAGCGGGCTGGGCATTGCGCAGCAGGAGAGCATGGTCGAGCGGCTGATGAACCAGGCGAGGCAGGAGGGCGCGGCGGAATCCGATATCGTTCGGGAGAGAATCAAACTGCTCGCACTATTACAAGAGGAGCGAAAGGCGGACGGCCGCGCGGGTTTTTCGGTGCTGGAAAACGTGGAAAATGACGAGAACAAGGAGCGAAGAACCACCCACGCGGTTCACTTCCCGACCTTTTCCAAGCTGTATTACCCGGAACTGGAGGAAGAGCTAGAGCAGCCCACGACTTTCGAGTTTGTCCGCCGCACGTCCCACCACGACGAGGAGCACGAGCAGATTGCGGTCAGCGACGGTGAAAATGTCTTGGCAGAGTATGAGGCTTTGGTCCGGAACCGCACGGCGGGCGGGAATCCGCGGTTCCAGAAGTTTTCGCAAAGAATTGGATTCAGCTTTCCTCCCGCAGCTCCATTGGGAGGCGCTGGATCTACTGCAATTACATCGTCGGCAACCCACCTCCGAGCAGGGGAAAGACAGCGAGTAGCCGAAGTTGACACAGAGCATCATCTGAAGCTAGTCGAAGTTGTAGAGAGTCAAGAAGAGGCACTGCAAGATCATGCTGCTGAAGATGTAGATGATCAAGTTATCCAGACGATCGAGTCCCCACTGTTCCTGTGGTACCCGGAAAACGGGGTGTCCGTGGAATCATCCGATTCGGTCTCGTATGGAAGCGTCAGGATCGAAATCGTCAAAGTTGAAATGATTTGCCATGAATAAAATGCAACGCAAAAACTGCCTCTGTTGCAGAGGACGCAAGGGATGCAGATTGTAAGCCTGCCGAGGGGTAGAAATTGAGCTGCTAAAGTAGCATGACAAAAGGCGTCTTCCTTACCAAAACAGCATTACAGACTCGATTTGAGTTCTACCCAAATTTGTCATGCGCCACTGGAAAACTAGGCGCCAACTGGTATCCGTTTTATGCATCACAAATTATTTCAAATTCAACTCTGACGATTTCGATCCTGACACTCCCATATCTCGCAGGAGAACAGTAGCGGCTCGAGGAACAACATCAAGCGCTTGGTCGCAGTGCCGCCCGCGGCTGCCGTGCAACCGGCGAAGGGAGACGAGTCGGTTGGGCCGATGCTGGGATGCGATACGTCGCGGTATAATGTTCTTTACCACCCAGAGACGCCGAAAACCCCCTGGCTGTAGATGGGCATGGGGGGGGAGGAAAATACGCATCGCCATGCTGTGCATGATGTGCTCTTTCTGATAATAATTATGATTATCGATTCGTAGGGGAGACGATGACGAGTTTGAATTCTGTTCATATACTGACAAGAAAGCATCTGCATTGTCGGCCTACAATCGGCCGAGAAGTTACTTCTACCGATATTTTATCACCGTTGAGAATCAGGTTTTCTGTTTGAAAAATTACAGCTTGCATTTTTATCCAGTTCACGACAAAATTTAGTAGCGATTTTCACTCGAGTTTTCTGTACAATTTTTGTTTCCTAAATTTGATAAAGGTAATCCTCATCTCAAATTTTATCGTGTAAATTCGTTGAATGTTGTTTATGTGTGCATTGCAATTCGTGTATTTCTATTTTGTTCGTTACATGCATCACATCTAGATGAAAATTCCTTTTCGAAGAAACGATGCGCTCCAAGAACAAGATTTCCCAGAGTAGCGCTTGCGCTTCCTTGTGGTCTACGCCACGCTCCAAATACAAGGACTATCTCCGACGAATTGAATTGTTTCACCAGTGTATGCTAGTCCCAAAACGAAATCGAAGAAAGAAGATACAGTTACAAGAGCCACACCTTGAACTGTTCTTGTAGCTGCAGTCGACCCGCATCTTGTGTGACAACCCGTCGCAAGAATGAAACCGTGAACTTGAAGCAGGGAAGATCGGATATTCGTGCGAAGCCAATGAATGCAGACCATCATCGTGCTTGCTGTAATTGCATCGGTTCGTTCTATATAATTTGAGGTGATTTATTCATCCTGTGTGGTTCGCGTTCTACTCGTTATTCTTATTTCTTCGTCTTGTTCGTGCATTGTCGTGATTTCAATTTCTTCAAGCGTCGTCGTCGTCCGTGCAAGCCACTTCAATTTTACCGACCTGGGACTGTGTTCAGGAGCTCCTCTTTTTTCCCAATTACACAGTGACCACGCCACAAGGAGAAACCTTATTGTTATTTTGAGCTGAGTCCTCTCCCCGGCACATATCCTGTCGCATTCACAGTACCACTATCAGTTGTAATCGTATGTTTTCCGATTTTTTGCTTTCCTAACTAGGTAAAAGAACCCCCGCCTACAGCAACAAGCGTTTAGAAACAAGTAGCACAAACTCCTCATCATGTCGACGCCTCCAGCATCTGATCCTACCTGCGCCCAGTGTGGCGACTCGCTGTCCATCCGCGGCTCGTACTTCGAACGCCCGAACGACGGCGCCGCGCTTTGTCGCAACTGCGTTCTGAACGAAACGGGAAAATGCGTGGTTTGCGAGAAGAGTTTGTTTCGTGAAACTGAAATCGCTCGACTCCCGGACGGGACCTGCGCCCACACGGAGTGCCTGAAGTGCAAGCACTGTCGGAAGAAACTGGAGCAAAGCTTTCACGCAAAGAAGGACCTGTGCCTGGTTTCTGACAAGACCCAAATCGGGGATGGGGAGTTTCTCTGCCAGAACTGTGCGTTGAAATTCCGGCAGCTGGAGCTACGGTTGAAATACCGGATCCACGGGTTTTCAGGCGGTGTTGCGATCGAGGACGCTTTCGCAGATTTGAAGGACAAGGACAAGGGCCTCGCGTTTGTCCGCACAACGCAATTGGAACAAGAATGGGCGGATAAGAACAATAACTCTGATGGAAAAATGAATAACGGGAACAACAACAACATCGGCGGCCGGGTGACTTTAACCGACTTCAGTCTGGTCTCCGACCGGCCCTCCAGTGCAACTTCTATGAGCATGAAGGAGCTCGGAGCCGACGAAGACGTACGCCTCTCCGCACGGATGGTGGAGACCCTCGTGGCGTCCGGTTTTTCCGCCCCGAAAAAAGTGGCGGCGCTGCCGGACCGCAGACCGAGCTTGGCGGGTGCGACGGGAGGAACCAGATTTTCTACGCGTAGTAGTTCTAACTTCTCGCCAGAAAGGAATCAGTATCAGGATACATCAGTGCTGAAAGAAGGCAATGCAGCGGTGAAGCTGCCAGAAAGGCGTCCAAGTTTGACGAAGCGTAGAAGTAGTTCCCCCTCAGGAGCTGCTCAGAGTACTAGTCAGAGAAAGAGTGCTTTGCTGAAAAACGACGCTTCTGTAAAAATGCCCGAGAGGCGGCCCAGTTTAGCAAAGCGTGGACCCCCTACGCGGCGTAGCAGAGGAGCCTCGGGGAACGGTTCGGAAAACCAATTGGTAGATCCGAGGAAGAGCACTTCTGTGCCTACACCCGAGAAGATACTAGTGGAAAATGGAAATACGCAAGATGAGCAAGCATCTGAAATAAAGCCACCGGCGTCACCAGCACCGAAGATGACAATGAAGCCTGAATCGCCTCCTGCTTCTCCTTTGGCCCAGGTCAACACGGACAGCCCCCGTCGCATCAGTACATTCGCGAAGGCGCCGGGAAGTATTGCGATTGCCGAAACCCAGCCAGCACTTGCTCTTCAACCAGAGGACAGCAAGCCGGCAGAGACATCGCAACAGGAGGACAGCAAGACGCCAAAACAAGAGAAGCCTGCAAGTCCGACGAGCGCTGCTCCTGTAAAACTAAAACAAGCTACCGCTAAGGCTAGTATGTCCAGAACAGAAATTGCTGACACCCCTGTTGTGTCACCTTCTTCCCCTGGTGCTGCTGCGCTTGTAGTAGCAGATTCTGCTGTTGCAGCTGACGAGACGAAAATCTTTCCAGCACCGGAGACGATGAACAAAGCTATTGACGTTGAAAAACTGCTAGAGGAAAGGGAAACAGAAAAGCAAGAAACCGAAAGAACTACCCCCACGATTCCTCCTGTTCCGGTGCCAGCTTCACAAGAACCTTCACCTGGCAGCCTCAAGAACGCAAACAACGACCCGAGTCCTATAACAGGCGAAGAAGGAGCTCCACCTGCAACGGCGACGGAGAGTAAGACCAGTGCAAATTTGTTCTACCACGATGAGCACGCTTTTGACAACAACCCCTACGACGGACGACCGCTTTTCAGCCCGGAAACGACGACCCGCTCCGTGTTTCTGTCTCCCCGAACACGCCGACCCAGCGCGCTGACAAAGATGAACTTGAACAAGCAAGTAGTTGATCATGCAACCACAGAGCTGCAAAGCAAGAAGGACAAAGTCAACGACAAAGGTATGATTTTGAAAAGGGTCAAGAAGCAGTTGTCCTCATCGGCGAAGATGAGATCCAGCACTTTTAGTCGAGAACTAGTACAGGGTCAATCTGGGGTACAACGACACAGCAGCACCCCCAGCAATCTTTTATACACCGCCCCCGGGGTTCTTGCGGCGACAATCGAAGAGCTGGAGCACATCGAAATTGAGATTACCACAGGATCGACCACGATCTAGTTTTTTCTAAGCTCTGTATAAAAAAAGAAATAAAGTTGTACCTACCTAAAACGAAAGTGCTCCTCCATTTCCAATGCTTCCCTAAGATGATAGCATAGCACCCCGCCAAGAGGAAGAACATCTTTTGGCGTTTCTCACACTCAGAATAATTAGACTAGAACCGTGATGAGAAAGAGAATATTGTCAGATGTACAATAGATGCAGTGAATTGCTGACCTGCACGCGGTGCACGCTAATGTCGGACGCTGTCCAAATGCAGCCACGCACTACGTAATGTGCTTCGTGTGTTTCATCTTGAATTGATCGGCACCGAATGAAGTTCACGTAAAGCGCTTTGAAAAAAGTGTGGCACGGATCGTGCGCCGCCACCAGGGCCCTCATGATCCCGTAATCCTAGTATCGTGTGATCATCTGCTCCGTGACAAACATCTAGCACAGACTGCAAGATCCATCGTATGCGCAGGTCTTCAAGTGAAACTGAAATCTCTTTCGAATTCATTGTGATTCCGATTCTGTTGATGTCCGCGATCATCCGGAAGGAAAGCGCAGTCGGTCTTGGTGAGTAGTTTTTCAATATCTGTTGTTGTTGCGCGACCGAAGATCTTCGCATCTCCATGCCCGCACCTGTGCCGTTATTTTCTGTCGAGCAGGGCTCGAAGCGCTTCGGTGGCAGCACAACAAGAATGCGACACGGCGAAAACATGCGGATTGCAGTCGGCACTACAAATCCGATCAAAGTGCTTGCCGTCCAGCAGAGTCTGCACCAGTATTCGGAGTTTATGAACTGCAAGATACAAGCCTACAAGGTCGCCTCCAACGTGAGCGAGCAGCCCTTTGGCCTCCCGGAGATCGTCCGCGGAGCAAAAAACCGGGCGGAAGCTGCGTACGATCATATCTTTGCCGATACTGAAGTAGCCGGTGCTCTGCCAAATAGTGAAGCAAGAATTCTGATTTCCTTCGGCATAGAATCGGGGTTGTATCGCCTCGACGGCAGTGTACTAAATGCGAATGATCCGAACGGATGGTACGACACGTGTGTGGTGAGTTGCTTCGACGGACGAAAACACCATTTAGGCAGCAGCTGTTCCTTCGAAATTCCGAAGAATGTGATGCAAAAACTTCTACCAAAGAAGGTCCTCAAACCCTCGTCGAATGTTAAACCAGCAGGAGGAGCTAAAGATAGCGAAGTTGAAGTCCTTTGCGAGAACCTTTCGGACGCCTGCAAAGCCGCGGGCGTGACGGACAAGGCCAACCTCGGCGAGCAGGAGGGTTTGATTGGGATTCTCACAAAGGGCAGAATCACACGATTAGAATACACGAAACAAGCGGTTTTGACAAGTATTGTCGGCTTGTTGGACTAGTGGACACGATGAATAAGCAGCCTTTTTTTATTCGATTCTCCGCCGCTAATTATAATTGATTCTGTCTGGGACATACAAGAACTACGAAGACGACAAATCAGGACCCCATGGGGTTTTATGCAAAAGTTGCCGTAATGCGCATTTCTCGGGCAGCTGTTTTCGCATATAAATTGAAAAAAATGTAGCATCTGACCCACTGGCTCGCAAGAGGTCTGCAGTATTGACAGAACCAGGTGAGGTGCAAGGGCCCTTGCGCGAAACCGAAACAAATTCTTGAGTAATAGGAATCGGATCAAAGTAGTACACAGTTCCTGTAAGTGAAGTGACATGATCTTGATCAACACGGACCGTCGATGATCAGATGAATTAGATCCCTCGAAGCAGGTTCTTCCAGGATCACGGTAAAGTTGCAAAATTTGATATTCATACGTGTATGATAGCTCAACAAAAACGATCCTTGTCTTGTGCGCTCTCGTCATGCATTTTCAGGTGAGCACGTTGCGCTTTGATCTCAGACTAACTGGGTTCCTCTTCCTGTTGATCCAAGGCTTCATCAAAAAATTCTGCTGACAGGCGAATAACCAGTTGTAGTTAAGACAGTGCTGGTGTACGTGTAGTAGAGGTTTTATCTGGGTGAGTTGCGAATCAATAAAGCGCATAGCATTTCCTTTTTACGTATCGTTTTTTCACAAGTCGCATTTTTTATTTTTTAGGCAGTACAATAAATTCCAAGGAAATGGGAGCAGATCCGGTGAACGACTTCGTCGCTGCGAACAGCGAATGCTTCGAGTTTGTCCGGGATGGCGCGAAGGTAAAATCATTTTGCACAACGCGACACGAGGACGCAACTGCACTTTATTTTTGCAAAATGACAAAGAACTACGGGGCGCCAGCATAATGATCTCAGGCGACTTGAAAATGCTGGCAACTGCCATTCATACGTATACTAGGACATTTTATAACCAAGGGAGTCAAACTTGAAAGGGAGCCAAGGGAGTGAAGGGGGTAAGATAATTTTCCTTCATTTTGCCCCTTCTAAAATTACATGCAAAATGCACGCTATGGCCGCGTTTCTGGGTGGCCGTTTTGGAACCTGCTCCCCCCCCCCTCCGGCGCGGCCCCACTTTTGTTCCTTTTGGGCAAGGGCTGCCGGAAGGCTCGGCATGTTGAAGAGGGTGAGGGCTTCGAGGGTTGTGGGGGCCACCGACAGGTGGCATCTAGGGGGCTAAAAATTCCTGCATGCGTGTCCCCCACGCGGGCTTTTCAATTTTCCCTCGATGAGGGAGGGTTCAAGTGGGCACTTCGAATTTCCTTCGATGAAGGAAAGTTGAGATGGTCATTTCAATTTTCCTTCGATGAGGGAAAGTTGAAGCGGCCACTTCGAATTTCCTTCGATGAGGGAAAGTTAAAGTGGGCGCTTCAAGTTTCCTTCGATGGGGGAAAGTTACAGTGGGCATTTCAAATTTCCTTCGATGGGGGAGAGTTGAAGCGGTCGTTTCAATTTTCCTTCGATGCGGGAAAGTTGAAATGGCCACTCCAAATTTCCTTCGATGAGGGAAAGTCGAAGTGGTTATTTCAATTCCCCGTCGATGAGGGAAAGTTGCAGGGGTCGTGTCAGTTTTCCTTCGATGAGGGAAAGTTGAAGTGGCCATCTCAAATTTCCTTCGATGGGGGAGAGTTGAAGTGGTTACTTCGATTTTCCTTCGATGAGGGAAGGCTTAAGTGGCCACTTCAAATTTTCTTCGATGAGTCAACGGGCTTGCGGTGGTGCTCGTTTGCCTTCGAATCGATGCAACGCCATTGGCTGCGTATGGGGTGAGTGAATGCGCGCGCGCAGCGCGCGCGATTTTTTTTTCGTTCTACGGCCTGCCACAGCTTGGTGCTCTGTGTCTTGGTTGAATGAACTAACTTTGCGCGCTTTTTGAACTTACTCCCTTGGCTCCCTTCCAAATTGGCATTGTACTCCCTTGGCTGGCGCCAGACACTAATAAACCTAGTATACATACTCATACATTATTTTAACTAAACTGCAAACTACAGGTCCGCTGCACCCTGACCGGGCAGGACTTTCCACCGCGCATGGAACTTCTCGAGGAGTATTGCAAGAGCAAATCCTACAACCGAGCGCTGAAAGCGAAGAACGGCGGTAAGGAACATCAAAACAAGGATACCAGCACGGCGAAATCGAAGGACACCACGACAGCAACATCCTCTACCTCTGGTGATCTCAACTCGCAGCGCAAACTGGATTTGAGCTTCGACTACAAGAAGTATGAGCCGCACATCACCGCGCACAAGAAGGACAAGACGAAGCTGTTCTGCAATTTGACGGCCTCGGTGCTGAACAAGATCCCGATTGAGGTCGAGAAGCATGTCAACGGGAAGAGGTTCAAGCGGGCGAAGAAGGAGTTTGAAGAAATGCTGGAAAACGATGTGGAAGTCACTGAGGAGGAGGAAGAGGACGAGGAGGAAAGCAGTGGTATTTTATATTCGATTTATTTGTGATTCTGATTTTAGTGCTATTTTTACTTCTGCTTCTACGCTCATTCCCGCGCTGTTGTGCGCTGGTTTGTTTTTTCTTTTTATATTTAAGATGCCATTTTCGCACGTGAAAAAAGAAATTCCAAACCACAGACTGCTTCGCCGAGGTTAATACAACCGAGCCCGCGGCAAAGCGACAGAAGGTCGATCCGGCTACTGCGAACAAGAAGGAGACCTTACTTCCTCCACTGGATGACGAGGCGGATGATGAGAAAAGAGCCGCAAAACCAGCGGAGGAAGCGTCTCCGTCTACTGCCGCAGAGGAGGAAAAGCCAAAGACAGCCGCAGTAGAGAAAAAGGACAGCGCAAAGAAGCCAACTAGTAATAAACAGGAGCAGGCTAATCTTAACAGCAGCAAATTGAACAAGAAGCAGAAGGCAAAACTCGCTGCAGCGGAGACCGCCGAGGAGAAGGAGAAACGCGAGCAAAAGGAGGCCATCGACAAAGCCAACGCACCGGGGAAAAAGGAAAAATCTTGCCGACAGAAGCGAAAAATCAACTCCAAAACGCGTAGAAAGAAACAGGGAAAGCCCGCACCGGCGAAGGCAACTGCCTGATGAGCGAGCTTTCTGACGCAATTGTCGTGCTCTAGCTGCATCATGATCAGCATGTGCAAGTACAATCACAGGCATCATCCTGATGAAGATGAAAGCGAGACGTGAATTGTCCATGAAATTTGAACGTGCAGCATGAAATATCTGAATGACCATCGCGAAGATTCTCTTGTCCTTGTGTCTTCTCTGTCAGCCAGTACAACACCTGCGGCGTTGTCTGCAGTGCCAGAGCTTGACGTAGCTTATTCTCGGCGCCGTTGTTCGCACACGTCTGTCAAAACAACAAACTGGCGAGAAGAACTCGTCTTGCATTTACATGCTAATGTGTCAGTACCTCTAATATCACTCCGCAGGACCACAGCGCCGCAGTCGTCAGCGTCATCCTTATCTCAGCGTGCTTGGATGGTGGTCACGGTGTGCAGGACGAGAAGTTCAATATTCTGATCTAGCTTCACCGGAGCTACGGACACCCGCTTCTTTCGATTTTGCTCTTTCAACATTGTGCGCAGTACACAGCAAGATCTTGTTCTCGGATGACCGAAAGATGATCCAGCGTAATTTTCTCAACGCTTTATCTTGACTCGTGCGTGAAGATGCAATTCTTTCGCGGATCGCTTTCTCTGAGGAAACCAGACCTTACTCAACGATGAAGATAGACGTCTTCGTGTGGATCAAGAACTTTGTGGAAGCTAGCAGCAACTCTTCTCTTCAGGCTCTTCAGTAGAAGGTTGGCAACAAAATTTTTATTTTTCTAGTGGGTTAGACAGAGGCTGGCAATTCTAATCTGAGCAATAATGGTTGAAGTATTTCGCCCTTCCAGACTGTCTATGTAAATATCTTCTTGTGGCGTGTTCTTCTGTCTTTTTATAGGGTGTTGAAGATAGGGTGTCCTTGAAGATGAATCTGAATGGAGCGCGCGGCTTCTCGCGCAGTTCGGCGCCGAGCAAGCGGGTTCCTAGCAAGAGTATTGTCGCGTTGCCCTTTTTTTGTTTTCCTTTTCCTACAACCTCTTTCCACTGGCTGAAGAGCTGAAGTAACAGATTTTTACTGTTCTGGAATTCGCCGATGGGTTCCTGATTTTGTTGCAGCAAGAATAGAGCCATCGTGTCAAAGTTGTACACGTTACTTTAGTGTGACAAAACAACAATAACGAAGAAACTCGAATTTCCAATTCAGGTCGAGCCCGCCCTGCGAAAGGCACGACTGAAGAGGATGAGAAAAAAAAGGCCGAGGACGGCGGAGCAAATAAGGGTAAGAAGCTCCCCATAATGCCCCCACCCAGGCCGGAGCGAGAGACCGCACGGGAGATGTACAAGAGCAGAGCCCGAATTTCGCGTCGAGAGGATGAGTCGTCCACCGAAGACAGCAGGGACAAGAAGAAGCGCAAGAAAGAGAAGAAACACCGGGGAAAGTCCACACGAGGACGTGACCGCAGCCTACGCAGATCCCGATCCCGATTCCGATCGAAGAAGCGGACGAGAAAGGACTCGCGAAACAAGAGACTGCGAAGTCCCAGTCGACAGCACCGTCGTGACGACACACGGTCAAGGTCCCGAGGACACCGAGTGGAAGGAAGATCGAAGTCCCGGCGACGACGTCCCAGCAAGTCCAAATTCCGCGACCGGGACCGGCGCGGGAAATCTAGAGCCCCGTCGAAATTGCGGGACAATAATAAAACGACGTCGTTTAGGCATCAAGATATCTGGAAGAGGCCGGCAAGGTCGCCATCTCGGGCAAGACAGGCGAAGAGGTCCCCTTCCAGAGGACAAGCCGACCGGATCAAGCAAAAAGAACAACGACACGAGAGAAACTTGTCGGCGACAGGCGCAGGACGTGACGAAGATAAAGTCTCTACTCCGAATAAAGAGGCAGGTCGTAGTCCTCCAGCGAGATCATGCGTGGTGGACAAAGCGGCCCCAGAAGTAGAAGAGCCCTTCGTTTTTCTTAAAGCGCTTGATGAAAAACTACAAGAAAAACAGCAGGAGGAGGAAAACGCGAGAAATGCCATCCACCAACCCGTCGGAAACAATCCGTTCACCGCCTCCGCCCATATGTCGAACAATCCTTTCATAACTTCCCCGGGGGAGTACCGCCCTAAGCAAGACTCGCCGGTGGTAGACGTTGACTTCGGTCTCGGTACTTATGCGGCAGCCGAAAATAACAGGTATGCGACAAACGCAAGAAACAGGGGGTCGGCAACTCCAAGTGCTAGTAGACTAAAGCGAGCTCCTACACCATCGAGACCAGGCACCGCGCATGTTGTTGACGGAGCGCCGTGCAGAGCAGCCGGCGGGGAAAAGGCACGCAGCCCGTGGCACCACGACGAGCACAACAGGAACAGGGGTCATAGTGCTATAATTCTGGACGACGCAATGGAAATCGAGTCAGTAATCGGGTTTCTGGAGTTGAGCGAGGACGAAAATGGCGTCGTGGACCACCGCAAAATCTCCGTTGTGCAAGAACCGCATTCGGAACCGGAGACGCAGCATCAGCCGCAGGACCGGCCCAATGAGGTCGTGAAAGACAGCACGTCTTCAGCGGCCCCCAGGACGAACTGCACTGACGCAACGCTCACAAGAGAAGAAGAGCGCCTGTTGTTCTCTGAGGGTGAGGGCCGCGACGCACTGAATAAAGAAGCACGCGCAGTAGAGGAAAAGCTGGAGGACGGTGACGAGCTATCTGCTGGAGGGTTCAACGTCGGCGCCATCCGGGGAACAGCGATCGGCTCATCGTCTCGGAAAGGTGGACGCGAGATGAAGCCCAAAGGATCGAAAGTGACCTTCAAGGAGGACGCTTTATCGCAAGTACGCTGCGACGACGAGGACCGCAGGAGCGACCGGGGGTCAAAAAGACAGAGCACAACCGGTGCTGAAGTTCAACAAGAATTGGAAAATCATCTTCCTCGCCAAAGCGGGGAACTGTCCCTGAATGCACCATGGAACAACACGACTCTGGCCACACCCACGATAGAAAAAGCGTCGCAAAAAGTAGCCCTGCTCTCGTGTAGTACTAGCACACATGACCCATCGCCGTTTAGTGGGGCGCGCAGTACGAATGGTGTGACGAAAAACGACGACAGTGTTCTTGAGCAGCACGTTTTTGGTGATCCTGAGAAGCAGGACCAGCAAGACGAGACCCAGACACGAAGACTTGCAGTGCAGGAAAGCGAAAGAGGGCCGGTGGAAGAAGAACATCAACATGTTGAAAAGGGCGAGCCAGAATCTCAGCAAGCGGCTTCTACTGCTTTTGGGGTACTAGATACAGGAGGTGATGGTCCAGGGTCACATCAAGTAGCACAAGCTGTTACTACAGAAGTGCCGTCCGCGCAGCCACCTGATAACATCAACACGCAGGCGGAAGTAGATATCTTCGAACAGGTGCAGGATAAGAGGAGCCGGTATGTGCAGCATAAGAAGGAGAGGTCGCAGCTGCAAGAATGGTTGGAGGCCATGAAAGAGACCAAGTCGCTGCCGGCAGACGTTGCCGATAAGATGTGGGAGATGATCGAACAGGTTGAGAAACAATCGAGCTGGCAAGATCTCTAGCCTGTGGTCTAATTCGGTTTGTATCCTCCTTGGATTTTTGCATTAATTTTATATCAAGCCTATTCCACATAGAATACAGATGCGAACAGGCGCGCTCCGTAAAAAATCAACTGCGGAGGTGCTATGGCGACGTCCCCTCTCTCTCTTGCTCGTTTTAGAAAATTGCTGCCGAGCAAAGAAAAAGATCTGCGTGTCGTGTCACCAAGATCAAATGAAGCGAAAAAAAATGGTTAACATACCAGAATCTAAACTGCACCCCTGGAACTAAACGTTTGGACCAAACGCGTAAACGTTTGGGAAGATCTCTAAACTTCTCAACTTTGCATACAAAAGTGAGAGCGGTCGGCTCAAGGGTTTTGGGTCTAGGGTTTGGGGTTTGGGGTTTCCTGTCGTCGGCCAGGGCAGCCGCCGCCGGCCGGCCGGCCGGCGGCGGCTGCCCTGGCCGACGACTCTCTCCCTCGCTGTTTTTCGCCCGCCCCCCTGCGGTTCCCCTGCCTCGACTCTTTTCCCCCCTGCCTCCTTTTGATTGCTTCTCGCCACCATCGAGGCCCCTCTCCTGTCGGCCAGTCTCCGACAACAAGAAAGCACGGACGGACTGCAATCCCAGCAAGGCTCGCGACGTCGCGTTGATAGTTTAGACCCGCGGGCGATCGTTTCGACGCCTGTTCGTTTAGGTCTGAAAGTTTAGACGCAATCGTTTAGATTCTGGTATGTTAACCAAAAAAAATGGGAAGCAGAATCTGCCACCAAGCAGTTAGAGATCGAAAGATCGTGAGAAAACAGAGATCCAAAAAATAGCAATCCAGATTGTTATGCTGATCTGAAGGATTTGACGTTTTGCTTTCATACCGATCTTGAATGGGAAAAATGTCACTGCGCGTGCTCTCAATTTATACGTAAACCCAGGTCAAGTTATCTCGCTACGACAGACAAACTTCTCTTAAGACCAGTTGACTCAGCACAGCGTCAGCACACTAGTTGTAAAGCGACACTCTGCTCCACGCACACTAAAGCCAAAGCGACTCATCTCTAGTATTTTTCCACCCCCCTGCCGTTTTTAGACAAAATGGCAAACAAGCAGAAGAGGAAAAACAAGCAGAAGCAGTCCAGTAACTCATCGTTTCTGCAAAGTAAAGCACTGACATCATCCCTTTCTTTCGCGGACGGTACCGAGGATGGCCTTCTGCCAAGTGACAAAGTACCTGCTCCGCAGGAGGTATCATCCACCGCAGCACCTCCCGCAAAGCCGGTTGGCCTGTCAAGAAACGTAGCTGGTTTGCAGTTCATGCGGAAAAGCCGAGTGACATCAGCGACTACAACACCTTCGCAGAGGACAGGAGTGAATGCGTCGGGTGCAGCTACAAGACCTGGAACTACTACTCCCGCCGGTGCGACGGCGAGAACAGCACCGGGGCAAAATTCTGCTGGTTCATCGGCTGCTGCAGTTCAGCAGGAACAAGCGGGTATCAATCCCGCGGAGCAGGGACCAGGTCATCTTGAACTACAGCCAGTAACCCTACCAGAGCAGTGGGTCTTGCCGGGGTACGAGGAGGAATGCGCCAGAACGGACAACATCCGCGATCCCTACGAAAGGGTCCCTACGAAAGAGGAGCAGGTTCTTTCTAGCGGACAGGCGAATATCAGCACGAAGAAGATCAAGCCCTTCGGTCGGCAATCTTTCAATGGATGCAATCCGCACCTGGAGGCGTTTCTGGTCGCGAGGAAAGATCAGAAGCGAGGCCGAGACGATTTGGAGCAAGCAGAATTGCTGATGAAATTCAAAAAGCAGAGGACGAAATGAAGAAACTATTTACTTTCTTCATGCGACGACCAATTGTATTTGTACAGAAGCATTTGCATTCGCAGTCGCAGCATTGAATATTTGAGTCAGTCCTTTCAGAATTCGCTAGAAGGCGACCTCACTCGCGCGAGCACGGCGCGCCTTGGTTGAGATTTTTTGACGTGTTCGTGACTATTCGTTCTGTCGAATGTGTTACACTTGGACTTGGTACGTTTGTCGGTAGCAGTTGGCGCCAGCACATCTTCCCAGGAGGTCTAATTCCATCCGGTCATACTACCACGGTATCAGATCATCATCTTCAAGTAGTTCTACGTCACCTTATTTTTGGAACGGACATTTCGCTAGCACAAGTAGAAGATCACACAAGAACTTCTGCCGGTTTCATTCGGCAAGAGAGACCTGAGTAGACGAAGACGACCTGGCGATCATCTTATCCAATCGCGCCCTTATCCTGTGCAAAAGCATCGTACTCGTAGTAATCGCAATCATGCATTACAAATCTCCCTAACCTAAATCCGCATTACAAATTCCATTTTTCATGCTGAGGAAATTTGTCATGCGATTTATACTAGTACGATGCAATGCTTTTGCATTTCATAGCCCTGAGAGCATAGCAATCGAGATCAATGGTTATCGTGTGCTGGTGGATCTTGATCAGTTTTTTATGTGGCCGTTGTAGCAATGGCAACGCCGCCACATGGCACAGTTGCTTATTTTTCTTTTCAACAAGAATTTGGACGTATTTAAATTTATGTATACGCACAGACGATTAACACGCTACAAAAAGAAATAAACGAAAACTAGTTTACCTTTGGTTCATGGGCTTTATGATCGCAACATGATGTTCTTGAATTCGAACCAATGATAAGTTCATCAAAGTAGCAATTTATAGAGCAGTTCCTTTTTCCAAGAAAAAATACAAAATGGTGACCGTGAAAGAGGACCCGAATAACGGGCGGCCAACGCTCACGTTCGAGCCAAGCGTGAAGCATACGGCGACGATGTTTTTCTTTCACGGGTTGGGCGACAGCAGCTACGGTTGGCGGGAGCCACTGCAAGACTTTGCGAAGCAAATACCCGGTTTAAAAATCATCGCGCCGACTGCCCCGCAGATCCCGGTCACCCTCTCCGGGGGAATGAAACAAACCGCATGGTGCGATTTGGCGGCCAAGTCGTTGAGCCCCGTCGATTTGATGGCCATGCTGCAAAGCCGACCCCCGATGGTCGAGGGCTCGTGGGTCGAAATTTTAAAGTTGGTAAATGCGGAATTGGTCGCAAACCCGCACGTCCCTCTCTCCAAGATGATCTTCGGCGGCTTCTCGCTCGGCGGACACATCGCGTCCTGGGTGGCGCTGCAGCTCCCAACACCCTGCGCCGGAATACTGCTCATGAGCGGCGTGGTGTTGGGGCTGCAGACGATGTGGGTATTATACAATGCTTCGAGTACTTCTTTGAAGGACCAGTCTGGATAAATCACACTGCTTCATCATCGCGCACTACATCGGCGCACGTCGAAGTAGGACCCACGAAAAGTAATAGAAGAAGCGCGGCAAGAAAAAAAAATCAAATTGCGAATAAAAGATTGACTTTTCGCCAAAAAATATTCACGCAAAACTACATCAGATTCGCGCCCCCGTCACAAACATCCTTCACTGTCACGGCACCGCGGACGGAACCATACCTCTAATTGGCGCCCAGATGATTGCTGCGCAGATGAAAGAGAGTGGCCTCAGCGGCTACGAGCTAAAGACCTATGAGGGCATGGGACACGCGGCTTGCCCCGAGGAAATTGACGACGTGCTCGCTTTTCTGAAAAAGTGTCTAGCTGCTTCGCCAGCAACAGCAGACGCAGCTGCGAACGACGCGGCTGCGAAGGGAGCGCTGGTACGAATAAGAAAAAAATGATTTTTTGGTATGAATGGTGCACACTTGTATACAAAGACAGTCACGTGACAGAAAAGGAACACAACTGCATCACGAATCCTCCTCAAAAATCATTCCACCCGATGAACTTATAAACGCACTCGCATACCACAGACCATCTGCAGTAACGGCCTCGCGATCCCGAACTCTAGCACGGTGGTGATTCACAGCCTGAAGAGCAAGCCCCAGATGAATGGCAGAATAGGCGTCATCACGAAATACCTACCCGGCAAGGGCCGCTACCAGGTTCTGATCGAAGAAGAGTCGCTCGCCTTGAGTCCCAACAACTTCAGGCTCGAGCAGGTTTGCCTGGAGGGCAGCGGAGGCGGATGCTTGTACCAGCTCGACGACCCGGCGTCGCCAGGGGCCTGCCTTGTTGAGGTATGTTCATGTTGATGACGTCCTGCTTCACAGTTTCTTTTGCATTAAAGTCGATTACGATTTGTACATGAAGTTCGCTTTCAACAGGAGTAGGACGTGACGAGTTGCTAGAAGTGGCTATTCGCAAATACAGTTTTCTTCTCAAATAATGATCATGCCACATCACATTAATACAGGTTTCCTCCAAGCAGCCCCTGTCATCATCCGCGTCCGCCGGCGACTTAAGGTTTAAGAAAGGCGCAATCGTCCGCTTAACCGGCCTGAAAGCGGGCGCGCCTTGGAACGGTTCCTTTGCGCAAGTCGGTGAGTACCACGCGGAATCTGGCCGGTACACGGTGGATTTGGGAAATAAAATGCAGCTGAACATCAAAGCTGAAAATTTCACTTTGTGAGCTGTACGCAGAACAAACTACTTGGACTCATCTACAACTTCTGTGACCACAGGAGCCACTACACCTACGCGCAAAATAAAGTAAGAGAAACGCGGCAGTCGTGTGAAGCGGCTTGTTCCTTGCGCAAGTCCCTCTCTTTGCGATTTTTGTTCTTCGCACATGTGGTCGAAATCAAAGCTGCTATGTACCATGAAAATCTTGTTGACCGAGTAGAAAACGTGACCAGTGTAGCTTCCCGAATGAATGTATTTGAGCTGCTCTTCTAATCGTCGTGCTCGTTCGCTTTGTAGCTAGTGCCGGTGCACAAATCGCGAGCTGTATAATCGGTATCCCATCGAATGTGAGACTTGAAACCTGCTGCACATGATCATACCGATACCTATTAGCAGCATTGACCACGACCGTTTCAGCATGATGCTCCTCTTCAGCACGACTTCGTGCAAGCTTCTTCTGTAGTTGATCTGCTTTGTGCGCCTCGTGTGTGTGTGTGATATGTAAACAAAACTGCAAAAGAAAACGAAATCATCATGGACCAAGACCTCGAGATTGTTCGGGAGATCGGCGGCCACCTGCGCCGCACTTTGGAGCAAGAGCGCGAATTGCAAAGGCAGTACGACGAGAAGGAGAAACAGCACAAGGACGCCCTCGCGCGGGAGCGAGCGCTGCAGACGTTGGAGGCGGAAGCTCTGACCAGGAGGTTGCAACGACGGGCACAGGACATTGCAAAGAATGCCGAAGCAGTGTCGAAGGGTTTGAATGGCGGTTGTAGTATCGATACTTCTTCGTCGACGAGAAGATCTACGCAAGAAGCTGCTGCGACCGGTAGTAGAGCAGATAGCTCGGCCGCTGCAAAATCAAGTACGAAGAACAAGACGAAGATAAAGATTACAACCATGACCCAAAATGCAAGTGGATGAAAAGCGAATAGCTAAAGAAAAGATGATGTTTCCACACTAGCAACAGCAAGAGCATCTAAGAAGAGTTCGTTGAACGTGCGTTCACACAAGAGCGACGAAAAGTATTGACGCCCGAAGTACTTCTTGCAATTTGTTCAGTTGATGTGCGGATAAACTGATCGCCACTGCAGGTACAGTGCTGTATCTGTGTCCATGAAGTAAGTATCGCATGCAGTAGCAGCAGACAGGTCCTTGTTGTCTTGCTTTTGTGACTGCGCGACAAGAGCATGCTTTCGTAGCTAGGATCCGATGTTGAGCGGATCAAAAAGGTCTTCGCAAGTGGGATCTTCAAGATCCGTATCAAGATGCTACGAGCGATCTACACTACCAGGAATTATGATGAAGATAGCAGATCATTGATTTGTGTTATAGTTGTGAAACAAGGGTAGACACGTGAAAAATGCAGCGCATTGATGCTGTTGAAACCATGTCCACTACGAATCAACATTTTTCGTGAATAATTTTCTTTGGATCATACAACCAATCGCGCAGCCAACAACAACACACGTTTTATCTTCGCGAAACAAGTATCAAGCCGAGAGGGCCACCCCGCCGGTATGTAAGGTAGGTTCCATTTATTTCGCCCTGCTAGCTAGCTTTGGTCGAATTTGTATCAGTTGCCACGACCCAGGAATAAGTTGCAAAATGTCGGTCCCTGCTCGAGAGCGGTCGCCGCGGCGAAACAAATGGGACGACGACACCGGAGCAGCAGGAATAGACGCGGCCCCAATGAACAACAATATGTTCCGAGACATGCTGAACGACCCCTCTCTGTACGCTCCAAGCGACCCAGGTGCCGCCTTTGCAGCACAGCAGCAGGGGGCCAGCGGGACGAGCATGAACCCGTTTGGGATTGACGAAAACGCCATGATGCAAAACGCGGGATATGCGCCGTCAACGAGCAGCACGGCGGAAGGCATAAATCCGCTGACAAATGTCCCATACACGGAGAGATATTGGAGTACTGATATGCTGTTGTGTTTTTTTTCATCCGAATCTTTCCTCCTTTGCGTCTTTGTAGAAGCATGTCGATACGAGGGGGCGCGCATTCTACATTCTTTGGGATCAGGGTATGTGATGCTCCATACATTGGTCTTCTTTAATCAGAAAAGCTTGGCGCTCGACAAATCAATTTCTCGACATCTTCAACCCATATCAGGCATCATGGAGAAACGCAAGACCCTTCCCTGCGCCGCGGCGAAGAAGGATTTCTTGAAATTGGTCAAAAAGAACCAGGTCACAGTCCTCGTCGGTGAGACTGGTTCCGGGAAGACCACGCAGATGCCGCAGTTTATTCTGGACGCGGGTTACGCGGCCTTTGGCAAATGCGTCGCGTGCACGCAGCCCCGGCGAGTGGCCGCGATGTCGGTTGCCCAGCGTGTCGCCGACGAGATGGACGTGGAACTTGGGACTTTTTGCGGTTACAGCATTCGTTTCGAGGACCGAACGAGCGCGCAAACACTGTTAAAGTACATGACGGACGGTATGCTGCTCCGGGAGGCCATGACGGAGCCAACCCTGTCCAGGTAGAAGATTACAGCGTGCTTCTGCAATTTGCGGATTCAAGATCACAAAATTATTTTTTGATCGCGGCGTTGTTCAGTATCTTTTGCTTGGTTTCTTTACAAAAAGGAAACTACTGAGCACCACTTTCTTCACACAACGTGCCACAGGTACAGCTGCATCATTTTGGATGAAGCGCACGAGCGTACGCTCGCGACGGACGTATTGTTCGGCCTTTTGAAGAACATCATGCCGAAGCGCCCCGACCTGAAGATCGTCGTGATGTCTGCTACTCTTGACGCGGAAAAAATGCAGACGTACTTCAACAACGCGCCCATGATAAACGTTCCGGGGCGCACGTTCCCCGTCGAAATCTACTACACGCCCGAGCCAGAGAAGGACTACCTGCAAGCCGCGCTCCGCACCGTTCTCATGATCCACAACGAGGAGCCTGCCGGGGACATCCTGTTGTTCCTTACCGGTGAGGAGGAGATCGAATACGCGTGCCGGACCATGATGCAGTCCGCGAGGACGACGGAACTCGAAGCCGGGGAACTGAAAGCAATCGCTTTGTACTCGTCGCTCCCGCCGCACATGCAGCAGCGGATTTTCGAGCCCGCGCCGCCGGCCAGGGTCGCGGGGGGCAAGCCGGGCCGGAAGGTGGTGGTGTCTACGAACATTGCCGAGACCTCTGTGACAATCGACGGCATTGTTTACGTCGTGGACCCGGGCCTGTCCAAGCAGAAGGTGTTCAACCCGCGCATCAAAGTCGAGTCGCTGTTGGTCACGCCCATCTCCCAAGCCTCCGCCTCCCAAAGATCGGGTCGCGCGGGGCGGACCAGGCCGGGGAAGTGCTTTCGGCTCTACACGGAATCGTCGTTCAAAACCCTACTTCCACCGCAAACATACCCGGAAATTTTGAGGAGCAATCTGTCCACCATCGTGTTGACCCTGCTGAAATTAGGAATCGAAGATTTGGTGCACTTCGATTTCTTGGACCCGCCAGCACCAGAAACGTTGATGCGTACTGTTTTTTCTGTCATTTGCACGGTTTCATCTTTGAAAAACCTAAGGATTCTTTGGCTTCGCTTCCCCTTCATTTTACCGCAAAACCAAAACGTGAACGTACTTACTGATCGTTAGTACTTACTGACTATGAACAACACAATACACAACAGACGCTTTGAACCACCTGCGCAACCTGGGTGCCCTGGATGACAGCATGCAGATGACGCCGTTTGGCAAATTGATGTCTGAATTTCCTCTGGACCCAAACCACGCGAAGATGCTTCTTTCTTCCGCGACCTACGGGTGCGCAGGCGAGGTTCTCTCCATCGTTGCCATGCTTTCCGTCCCCTTGGTTTTCCACCGTGGAAAGGAAAAGGAGAAGCAGGAGGCGGCACGGGCCAAAGAGCAATTTGCGAATATGGACGGCGACCACTTACAGCTGTTGGAAGTGTACAACGAATTTCAAAGAATCAAGAAGTGGGAAGACCCGGAACGGTGGTGCCGGAAGAACTTTGTGAATTTCCGGTCGTTGACTTCTGCGGAATCGGTAAGGTGGCAGTTGTCGTCCATTTTGGAACGACTGAGCGTCAACGTCCGCGGGCTCGGCGGCATGCGCGACCCGGCGTATTTCCTGCAGATAAGAAAAGCGATACTCGCCGGGTGTTTTACGAACGTTGCGAGACTGCAGACAGAGGGGAAACACAAGGACAAATACTTAAACCTCCAGGACAACCAAGCGGCGGAGCTCCACCCGTCGACGTGTTTGAAGCACAAGCCAGAGTGGGTGGTGTTCAACGATTTGGTGTTAACCCAGAAGAACTACGTGCGAACCGTGACCAAGATCGACCCGGCTTGGTGCCTGGAAATCGCGGATGATTACTTCGCGGGCAAATTGATGAAGCTGCCCCAGTCCCAGGCGCTGAAGGAGCTCGCGGACATGCGGGCGAACTCGGTGAACATGCTGCAGGGTCAGGCGTCGAATTTAGAGGCGCAGATGCAGGCCCAGGCCATGATCGTGAACCAGCAGCAACAAATGCTGTTGGAGCAGCAGCAAGCGGCCTTGGCGCTGCAAATGCAGCAGCTCAAAGAGCAACAAGAGAGGCAAGGAACAGCGACGGGAGCCTCGAGTCACAGTGGAACCGCGAATCCCTTTGCTTAGGGGAAACTCATATAATAATAATCAAGTACATCATGTACAAGTACTGGAGTACTACACTTTGGCGACAGTTTATCATGGGTTTTTTTGGCGAAGACAAAAGTAGTTGAAATGATAAGTACTGAGAATCTTCAGTTTATTCGATTATACTACCATTGGAAGGATGATCACAGTATTGACATCACAGAAGTGTCAACGAATTGAATTATAATTTCTTGTAACGACGATGGTCGTGTGTGTCCGGCAATCCGTATGGAGGTCGACGTTGCGACGCAATGGTACGTGTTGTTCGTTGGAGTTGGTTACAGAGTGGTTCTTTAATAGCACTGGCCCAAATTATTACGTAACTAAGCCTGGCACGATGTAGCCGCTCACTGGGCGCCGGCGCGCTTCCGGGGGCGCACGCACATGGAGCCGCGGCGCGCGGCTCCGGCCGCGCGTCGTCTACCAGAACGCGCGGAATAAGGCGACGGCTTACGAGAGTGCGTTGGCACTTGGCTGCGTGCGGTCAGCCAAAATTTGGGACCCGCGAAAAGCCGACCGGCGCGAGGCGGCCGCCCCGGCTGGCGCTTTCCTTTTGCCAGGCAGGGGGCCGCCTGCTCGCAGGTACTAGGCGCCGCCCTTGCGGGCGGTGATCAGTCTGGGCGGCCCGGGTGGGTTGCCACCGGCCTGGACCAGGCGGGGGCAGATTGCAGTCGCGGCCCCCGAGAACCGGTCTCGCGCGTAGCGCCGGACTTTGAGGGGGGGAGGCGGGCCTGCGTTGTGGGCCCTGGCAGGCCTCTTGGCGATGCGTAGCCAAGCAATGAATCGAGCAAGAACCTCCTGCACGAGCCGGACGGGGGGCATGTGCATGACAGTCATGGATTTTGTCGCACTGCCTGGCGGCCCCCTATGTTCGGCCGCCCGCGCGCACGCCGGCCGCCCGCGCGGACGGACGCGGGCACGGATCGACGCGCGCGCGCAGAGACGCGCGCGCGCCTTCATGCTCTTGGGCGCCGCGCGCGACTAGGCATCCCTCAGGCGGCCCCATGGGGCGCAGTGTTGGCGCCTTGTTTATGGTGGCCGGAGGGATGAGCCCGCGCTGTCTGATTGCTTACAGTGTGCAGGCGAGTCTGTTGCGGCGTAATATCGACCAAGGGGAATCCTTGCGCATTTGTCAAGGACGTATAGCGATGGGGGGAGCGGCGTCGCCAGCCCACTACAACGGAAAGGCCGGCCACTATTCCGAGAGATGGCGTCGCGGGCGCGCGCGGAAATGGCGCCGGTCGGTCGTTTTGTATCTATGCCGCGAGGCCTCCGGCTTTTGCTTCTTCGTTGTGTTGAGGCGGCTGGAAAAGGGGCGCCGGAGTCCGGGGCTTTGCCGAGGCTAGTAGTGGGGCCGCCCGTGTCTTCTTGTGTGTGCCATTGGGGGCAGCGAAAGGAAGCCGGCGGCCCGAGCGTCAGCCACCCAGCGGCCAGCCTTGTTCTGCGGGTTTGCGGATTATTTCTATTTTTTGCATTGTTGCGAAAAGCTGTGGCGTTAAAGCGAAAAAGCAGGGCGGAATCACGCAGCAGCCGCACAAGAGTGCCGGCGCGGCTCAGCTACTTGCAGCTTTTGCAATTCATTGCTCGCGCACAATGGGACGGCGACGGCCGGCATCCTCCGGCTGGCAGGCAAGCACTTTGCGCAAATTCTGACGCCGCCCGCGAGCAAGGTCTGGTCCGCCGCCCCCAGCGAATCTCTCGGCGGTAGATTTGGCAAAGCGACAAAAAGAAAAGGCGGGCAGGGTGGAAAGGCCGGGCGGGGCGCCCGGGTCCGTCGGTGAAAGTGCCCGGGCGCTGTGTTTCGTCATTCATTGGCGACAGGGCGCCAAAGCATTGCGCCGGCGCCCTCGCTTCAGTCATGGAACGAAGCCCGGCTGGAAGTGAGCCAGGGCGGGGGGGACGGACCGGGCCCGCCGGCGGAGGGCCCGCCCGCGCGCATAGCTCGGGCCCGCCCGCAGCCGTGGGCCTTTGGTTTCTTTCCTTGTGCTTGTCTGTGGTTCGCCTGCCCTGTGGCTGCGAGCGGGCGGGGGCGCGCGCGCCGGACGGCGATGGCAAAAGGGGGGGCGGTGGTCCGCTGTTCATGACAGTGGCCTGCCGTGCCTTGCGTTTGGCGTGCGAATTCCAGGGGCGCTTGGCGATCGTCCGCTGCCCGTTAATCTCCGGCTCCGCCTCGCTTCTCGTAAAAGTCGACACATCTGCATAGCCGCCTGCTCGCTGCTTGCAGCGTCGATTTTCAAGAACAACGATCCAAATTCGTCGCGTTGACTCTTTTCCAAACAGCTCGACGAAGGAGCGACGCAAGGTTTATGAGTTCTTCGACTTCAAGATCTCACTTATTTATCACATATTAATGTATCTGTATGACTTTGGCTTTGCCGCACTGGCATTTCCATTGATTTGTTTCCATGTCCATCTCGATATAATTGTACTTACGCCCCATATCAGCGAGGAGACAATTGATATATCTCTATCTCCTAAGTAAACTACCACCTCTAAAATTGCTAGTAGTTTTCTTCGTAGAGCTTGAGAGTTTGCGTTGTTCTTGATTGAGTGTGAAGACGTAGAACCATGACGACAGACCAAGTACCGGATCTGGAGGGTGATCTGCTACCTGCCGGATCGCCCACTCCGGGCGAAGATCTACTCCAAGATGATGACATGGATGGGCTTGATGATGACGACGCGGAGAACACAGAGCAGGTGGAAGACAGCAACTCGGGAGACGAAACTGAACAACTCCCAGCTAGTCAACGCTTGTCGCGACCCAAGATCTGGATGCTAGACCTCCAACCAGGCTTTTCGTCGGCACGGATAGGTTGTTATGACGAGGCCTTTCTGATGAATGAAAACCTTGACAAAGGTGGAGACGACGTAGCAAGTACAACCGACTTGCTTGCGGCTGGCGTGGTTCCAGACCCTGTTGCCAGCCTCACGCGACCGGATGGTGTTTTGTCATATACAGGGTCACTTGGGTTTGCGGTTCACAAAGCAGCTTTGCAGCATCTTGTGGACGAAGTCATGGAGGATGAGGATGCAGATGTTGAAACCGGGCCAGCGCCAATGGACATCGACGGCGAAGATGAAGCACCGGGAGCTGCCGCCTCGTCGTCTGCATTAGCTGGCGTTGGTGCCTTCAAAAGAAACACGTCCAGACAAAGTGCCGACAGAACCAGTCCGATCGGAGGAAGTAGTCTCCACCGAAAAAGTCCGCACGACGAAAGAGCGATTTTTGCGATAGAACCTGTCGTCACGGCCTACTGCGGACCGTTTCGGGAACAGGTCGCCCAAGCCTTACTCGAGCGCGCTTCGTTCGTGTCGCTGAATAAGCGTGCGACTCTGGCTGTGTACGCACACGGGAGGGACGCGGGAATTTTTATCGACTATGTGCGGGAAGAGGAGTTTCTGCAGATCAGTTTGGTCGAAAATGGCATGGTCTTGGCAAGCTACGACTGCTCAATGAACAGCACGGAACAAGGTGAAAACGCACCGACAACTACGAAGAATACAGCCACAGGAGCCGCCGGAGGTGCAACTAAAGGAAACAAGGGCAAAGGACTCGCGGACAGGTCGGGAAGCAAGTTGCACATCTACAATGCGCTTTCGCGCAGGCGCGTAGTCAAAGAAGTAGATTTTACGCACATAGGCATGCTGGCGAACTTTGTGGACGCGGCATTGAACGCCAATAAAGAACCAGAGGAGACTAACATGAAGCCTGCTGGAGCTGTTAAAAAAAGGCAAATGATACATCAGGCTGGAGTCGTTGCTGGGCAACAAGCCGCCACTTCCTCATCCTCGAGGAGCATTGGACAGCAGCAGCAGCCCGCAGTAGATGTCGAACAGGCGCGTGGTCAAGAGAATGATCAGGATCAAGAGTTCGCTCGCGGGGAAAAAGATGACGACGACGAAGACGCCAACGAAGATTCCTCTTCCACACACCGCGGGTTCTCGCGCCTTCCGGACACGCAGAGACTGCCAGTGTTGGTGCTTGCGATAGTGCTGCAGCTGCTGTCCCGCGTGTCGCCGAAAAACAGAAAGAACCCCATTCCGATCATCTGCGAAACGAAAGAAGTCCAGTCCGTTCTGCAGTACTTGCAAAATTTCGGCATCACCTTGAAGCACTTGCGCGACCTGTACGGGGATTATAACCAGGGCAAAAACTACGACACCAGCGCTGCTGCACAGGCCACATTGACATTGCAACCAGGGGCACGACTAGCACCACAGGGAACTGCTGGGTCACAAGTCGCGCAGCAGCAGCATCGCTTGTTACCGCCGACGGGCAGCCCGCCGTCGAATAAAGGGCCGCAACAGGCTCTGCCACCCGAAAGTCCGCTTATCCTCGGCAATAAGACAATCCCTCAGACAATCCCTCACGCCACTGCGCTGCATCAACCGCCTTTGGCGATGAAAGGCCAGGGAAAAAAGAAGGGAAAGAAAAATCCTCCTGCGGAAACCGATGCGACGTGTTACCAAATCCCGAATGTGCACAACCTTTTCTGCACGAAGGGCGCGTCGTGGTACGGCGCCATGTTGCTCATTGCCTTGTATGAGAAGGATTTGGAACGAGCGGACCAATTTCGCACTACGTACTTGGAAGCCAAGGCAGGGTTTGAGCAATACGTCGGGACTACAGCTTCAAATGCGCCTCCTGTTGATCTCGACCTCCTGCGCTCGTACCTGAAGAAGGCTGCCCCCGGGCACATGTGGGTCTCCAGAGAAGAATTTGAGGCCGATCGAAACGTTATTTATGAGAAATGCCCGTAGAAGGGGAAGCGAGAGCGACACGCCCCTCTCTCAGGAGGCTTTCTTATTATTTCTCAGCAGCGAGGACCTAATCGTAATCAATGAATCACAGGCGACATTATTTACAAACATGGTGAATCACCAGACGACGAAAAATTATCAAGGATAGACAAGCCACACGGCAGAAACAATTCTGTAAGAGCACGAGAACCAAACATGATACTTTCACGTATTCCTGATATGTTTGTTTCCTTTGGCATATCGGTATAGTTCGCATTTCTTTCGAACCATGATCGGTCGCGTACAACCTCGGTTCGCAGCCGTGAAAAGTAAAACTCGGTAGCTTGTTTCTGTATGAACTTCGGTACGACAAATATGAAATCGTCCAGAAAAAAAAAGACATGCGTTTCGGTCGTGACCATCGGAACAACTGTCGTACAAAAGAACTCGTGCGTTTCCAGTTTCAATCGTCTACTTTCCTTTCGTGCGAAGCACAGAAAGAAAGTGCTTTCGGTCCTCGTCCAAGACAGTACTGACCGTTGTGCTTCTCCTATTGCAGTTCTTTTGAAAGCAATGAATCTCCATGTCTATGAATTTCAATTTCTACTGCCTTACCGACAGCCACTACCCGAACAAAGTATAGCCGCGTACCCGCTTTTTAAATCAATCATTTTTTGTACCCATTTCAGACAGATAAGATATTAATGCGACAAATTGACATTAGTATCGAAAGCCCACCTCTACTAGTTGTAGTTCCACTCGTAGTTTATTGTGTCGTCGATGTGATGTGAAAGTGAATGTGATGAAACGTCGAGCAGGCTTATTCATATTTTGACGCGGAGCCGGAGCCCCTGCCCCTCGTTCTTGAAAATTAGCTAGCGTCAGGTGGAAAGAACAACATGTCCCACAACCCGAGCGCGGTGGTGCCGTACCCCACGGCCACCGCCAGCGCGAAGGCCGCGGTGTTGTCGAAATCCGCCCACTCCCGCAAGGCCTGGGAGGACTATTCCGCAATGATGCTCTATGGAACTGTCAGGATTGAAATTGACAAAGTTGAAAAATTTGTGATGCATAAAATCGATACCAGTTGGAAACCCAATTTCTACGCGGTGCGTGACAAATTTCGGCACCGTATAAACCCAGTTTGTCATGCTGTTTAGCGAAGTAGTTATTTTATTTTTTCTACGATCCGCTTTTTCTTTTCAATTTCATTCCCGATCCCGATCCAAATGCATCTCCAGCTTCAAATATTACTACGATTATTATATTGCCAACTGTTTCAAGAAGTAGAGTGTACAAAAAAAAATCGCGGGTACTTTTGAAGGGTATTCGTATTGAAGAAACGTAGACCCTCCGGTTTGTTTGAGAACGGATACTACCCCTTTCCAAATCAAAACACATTAGGACCCGGGGGGACAGGAAGAGCCCCCCGGTAGCGCTAGTCTCACATGGGTGCACACATAAGGACGCTGACGAAGAAACACACACACACACGCAAAAACACGTCGGCCAAAAACAAAAATAAAATGCGTCCTGCACAAACTGCCCTCACTCACTCACCGGGTGGATGCGCCGCCGAGGTCCGCAGATACCTTATTGAGAAAAAGAATAAGACTAGTAGTAGCTTAGTAAGAAAGAAAAAGATAGAAGTCGCAAAAACTACTACTAATGTTTTTGTGCTAGAATAGCCGCGCCGCTGAACAACGGGAGACGGCCTGTCCGGTGAGTGAGTACGCCGCCAACTGCTCGCCGGGGCGCTGCGTGGAAGGGCAGCGTCGCCGCAAGTCGAGCCGGGGAACTAGTTTGCTTTCGACTGCCTTTTATTTTTTATGTTCCCCGTCATCTCAATTCCCCCTTAACTTGCCGCCTTACTCTTCAAGGACATCTCGTGGATGACATCAGCGCGTAGAACGGTTCGAACCAGCCTCGGGCTACAAGGCGACAGGTAAACCATCCCTACGCCCTCCGGTTTGACCTTGACGAAACTGACTACCAAACACTCTGGGGATTTCTATCAGCAACAGCATTGCCGACACCTAGGGCCACGCCACCGCGCCTTCCGAGGGTAGATCAGACGGACCACAGAAGGGCGTTGCGAGGTGGCAACGACATCACTGAAGCGGGAGAGCGGATACAAGGCCTTCGCTCAACTGTGTGGTGTGCGTTGTTTACTAGTCCTAGTTTCATCGAAAGAGAGCTATCTAGTATTCGACTTCTTACTACGTTTCGATCCTTTTGCATCCCTCACGCACGACCAGGATCTTTGTGTAGTTCGAAGCCCGCCGAAATTTTGCGAGCGGATTTAGCTTTCTTACCCCCTCGGAAAAAGGGGAGTCTCCTGACCCTTATGGTCGTCCCTGCCGCCGGTGGTAGCGTGCGCGTCGCCACTCTGATCTGATCTGATCGAAAATAGGTTATCTCTCTCTCTCTCTCTCATGCTGTTTAGCGAAAGAAGGCATCATGCCTTGTCATGCTACTTTAGCAGCTCTATCCCAAACCCGAAACAGGCTCACAACCTGCCTCCCTTGCCTACTCTGCAAGACAGGCATTCTGTGGGTTGCATTTTATGCATGACAAACTATTTCACCTTTGAGGATTTCGATCCTGACGCTTCCATATGCTCGCACGCACCGGGGAACTTCCGTCGAAGGAGGACGAGGAGGCGTTTTTCGCGGAAGAACAAGATAACCTCGGTATCCCGGCGCACCAGACGTTGACGCAGATGGTGGAAGAGTTGAAGCGCGACGAGGCCAAGCCGGGGAAAAATGGGGAAACCTTGCGGGGGAAATTGGAATATGAAAGTCAGTTCACGCGGGAGCAGCTGGAGAAAATGGACGACTGGGAGAAGAAAAAAGAGATGTACCGGAAAAAGCTGGCGCAAATCCTGAACACACAAAGGTTCGACCTCTGCATCAACGCGGTGATTCTCATAAACTCGATGACGATCGGACTGGAGAGCCAGATGTACATAAAGGGCGAGGATACCAGCACGTTCGAGGCGATCGAGCACTTATTTTTAGTGATCTACTCACTCGAACTCTCCGCGCGGTTCTTCGCGTTCGGGGTCAAAAGGTCGCTACTTGGGTCTTCTTGGGTGGTGTTCGACTTCATTTTAGTCACCCTAGGCGTGATTTCCCAGTGGATCATCCCCATCATCTTCGCCGGCGACACACCGGGAGCGCTGGAGCCGCTGTTTGTCTTCCGCGTGTTGAGATTGCTCCGCTTAGCGCGCGCGGTGAGGCTGATCGTCACTTTCAAAACGCTTTGGCTGTTAGTCCGAGGGTTATTGTCCTCTGCGGATACTATCACGTTTACTTTCGTGTTAATAGCGATGACGATCTACGTTTTTGGGGTCGTCGGAGTCGAGCTGATCAGCAAAAACAAGGGGAGCTTTATCCACAGAGATGACGGCACTTTCGCCCCGCGAGGGTATTTGACACAGTTGATGGAAGACGATTTTCGAGACTTACCGGGGATCATGCTCTCGTTACTCGGGTTCGCAACTCTGGATTCGGTGAACAGGATCTACGCGCCGATGATAAAGACCGAGCCGATGTTGTTTTTCTACTTCGTCCCGTTTATATTGGTCGTGGCCATCGCGATGATGAATCTCGTAACCGCGGTGTTGGTGGAAAACGCTCTCGAATCCTCGAAGAACGACAAGGTGATGAACAGCGTCTTCGCGAAGAAAAAGTTGGAAAAGATGATGCCGGAGATCAAGCGAATGTTTTTGACCCTGGACGCGGATGGGAGTGGTGATATTTCCAAAGAAGAATTAACCCAGGGGCTGGACGAAAACCCCGCGATAAGGCTAGAGCTCGAACACCATTTGGGAACGTTGGACCCACTGCAGCTCTTTGACACGTTGGACATCAACGGCAACGGGCAGATTTCCGTGAGTGAATTTTGCGACCACTTGGTCGACCGGGTTACTTCGGACGCGCCAATGGAGCTGACCCGGGTGCTGAAGATCGTGCAACAGCTCAAAAACTCCGTCAACAACTTATTGAGCTCGCAGCGAACGGGTATGGCGTTGACGGTCGGATTGAAGCCAAGTGGTAGCGGGGGATCGCTTAGCGGGCTCGCCACCAGTGCGGGGCAGCCGAGCAAAGTGGTGGCAGAAAGGTCTCCGTCGAAGGACAGTAAAGACGAATACAAGGCACGGGGACCCATGACACCGTTCATGCACGCAATAAAAAGGAAAGCAACGCTGGAACTGGAAGATCTAGGTACTAAATTCCTTTGCGAGTAGACTTGAAAAGCAATGGGTAGGTCTTTCTTTCTGTTTTCCTTCTAAATGCGAATGCGTCTACTGCATAAAGCTGAATCTGACCAGCGTGGTTGTACGCGTCTCAAAATAATCACCGTTCTTGGCGTGTTTCATTCAAAATCAACCCAAAACTTGCAGGTGACGGCGCAGATGAAGAGGCTGCGCCCTCCAGCGGTAAGGCACCCGCAGCGGCCGAGGAAATAACTACAGCAGCAACATCACCGTCCACCGGACGCAACGACGCTGCACTCCGAGCAGAAATACATGCACTGAACGCGCGCATGGATAAAATGAACGCCCTTCTAGAAAGACTAGCCGCTGCTGTGCTGGACGGGGAAGCCGAAGAGGAAAGTTGATCCCCGGTCGCACAATAAACATTTTCCTATGCAGCTAGCTCTTACGTGTATGCCCATCGATTTTCCTGAAAAGTTAGAAGTTAGAACGCCACTAGCTCCACTAGCACGACCAACAACAAACTCGCTCTGAAATCCTTGCTAAATCGAAGTTCGTCCTCCTAGTCGGGCTAGTGGAGTTGTTACTTGAATTTCCCACAAAAGTGGTTTTAATATCTTGTCCCGCTTGATTTTGGCATCCACCCCCGTATGACCATGATTCCCAAAACAACAACAGATGCTGCATAACCTGAGTTTTCCATTGTTCCGCCGCGTTGCCAACGCAAGCGATTTATTCAATTTGCACCTGACTCGCTCCACGTTTTGGCGAGAACGGAGGACCAACACGACGTTGTTCTGTCGGACCCGACGCCACAGATGATGATCATTACCGACACTGTTCTTTCGTCTGTGATACATCGGGGCACCAGGAGAGACGAGCGAATTATGACGTCACACGTGTCGACGTCGCTCAAGCTCAGCGCAGATTTCCAATTCTCCTGATCTGGATCTCGATCCTCGCGCGGCCATTGATCTTGTTCATCAAGGTCGAACAGAATTGAAGTTGATGCAGTAGGTCTCTCTACAACTAGGAACAAAAGTGAAAATACGGATCCGGCGGCACATCAGTAACGAAGAAAGTGCTTGAGAAAATCCGAGCCGATCGTGGTCCAAGGAGCAAGATCGTCCGGAACGAAAAAAATGGTGATCTTAAAGTGATCTGTCCCCCGACGCCGGTGAGAGACCTACAAGCAAGCAGATCTGGACGTGAAAATATATCCAATAAAAACTACAAGTATGTAGTCTGTCATTATTCGCATATATTATTCTTTGACCAGGCCCAGGCTGCATCCCAGAAATGAATCCAAGGTGATGCGTATTTTGCTCGTCACAGCTAGAGTGTGCCGCAAGAACATCAGTAGCCCATAATTTAGGCAGTGATTGACGTAACACGATGGCACACGATGCAAGTTGCCGTTGGGCCGCCGGCGACCTAGATGAGACGGAAGTGGGAATATCCGCTTTTGTCGTGGACGACCGACCGCAGGGGTTGCAGGGCGAAATCAAAACCTTCATGGAAGACTTCGAGGTGCTGGAGGTGTTGCCAGAAAAATTAAAGAGGACGGACAACATTGCACACACCGAGGAACAAGTTGCGGGACCGAATCTTCGGTTGAAAGGAGATCGGGAAAGCGTCGTTGCGGAGCAGGATAATTTCTCGCTTACGATGCGGGAATCTGTTCACGAAGGTACTGCTGGTAATATTCGCGTACGTGCTGGAGACGACGAAGCCGGAACAAATTCGTGTACCGCCAGTAACAAGAAGAAGCGAAGGAAGCTCGACAAAAAGACCTCTACCAACGGAGCTTCTCCCACCTCGGACGAGCCTCCCACGCTCTGCTACCACTTTTGGCTGCGCAAGCGCGGCGTCGACACACTGGAGGCGATCTCGAAACTTGCCGTGTTGACGGGTTTTCCGGTCCGTGCGTTCGGTATGGCGGGGATCAAAGATAGCTTCGCGATCACGCAGCAACGACTTAGTGTACAGTTGGGCGAGAAGGAGTATCCGGGTGTGGAAGAGGTAGAAAAGGCGTTTCGGGTAGCGGGGGTGCTGGAGGAGAGAAGTTCAAGTTCTCAAGAAGCCGATAATAAATTAAACTTCGACGATTACGACCCTGCGAAAGTTGGAAACCTGGATATTCCAGTAGAACATTGTGACGCCGCGGCACGACCAAAACCAAATGGAAGTTGTCCGACAAGTTGTGAACAATTATTACACGACTCGGATCAAGACGACCCATATATCCATTATTGCGGCGAGCACGGAGTCTCTGTCTCAAGGATAAAGAAAGCGGACAAGCCACTGTTCCCCGGAAATCTCGGCGGCAATCGCTTTAACTTGGTGATCCGGGAGTCAAAAGCAGAAGAAATCGCAGAGGAGTGTTTCACCCAGCTTAGAAACCATGGCTTTGTCAATTACATCGGCTTGCAACGGTTCGGGAAGAACGGGGTACGATCGGACCGCATCGGCTATTACTATTTTCGACGAGACTACGTGAGTTGTGTCGAGGAGCTTTTGTATGGGGCAGATAGCAATACGATGAACAGCGTTGGAGCCGCGGGGAAAGGAAGAGGACAAGTCCGGACAGAGGGGTCGCTGGCAGCTGGTTTAGTTACGAAGAACGGTGGTAAAGCGAGCCAGTCAGGTACTAAAAGCACTTCAAGAGGTTCTTGTTCTAACGAGGACGAGGGAGACCACTGCAGAAGGGCCGCAAGTAGACCCTCGGTAGAAGTTTATTCTTCCTCGTCCAGTCGAGGAGCTGCACGCGACACCTGCCGGCGCAGCAACCTGCCCAAGTGGGCGAGCGTCTTCTCGCGCACCGGTTGCGCCGAGACTGCGTTGAAGCACCTCCCAGAGCGGCTGTGGGCGGAGCGGCGGTTGCTCATCGCGTTCGCGAAGTGTCCGAACCGGCAGCAGCGGACGTACGCGGAATGCTGTAGATATGCTTTCCTCTCCCTCCCGAGGAACATTCGCGTCTTGTACGCCCACGCGTATTTGGACAGAATTTGGAACCTCGCCGCGGGAGAGAGAGTGCGGCTGTACGGCAGCCGGGAGGTCGTGGTGGGAGATTTGGTTTGGGATCATCGAGAGGCAACAGCTGTCAGGGGCGGTAGTAGTGCGGATCATGGTGTGAAAGCACCAGCTGTGCCTGAGCAGGAGGTGCGAGGACCATACGCCGCAGAAGAGCAAGAGGAGAAAGCTGCAATAAACCTTCCGGCCAGCGTTGCCAACAAGCGTTCGATACGTGTGATTCGCACCGAGGACGAAGCGAAAAAAGCTTCCATCTTCGACGTGGTACTTCCGCGACTGGGGCATGGGCACTTTTTCGGAGATAATCCCATGCCCAGAAACGCAGTGGGACGAACCATGCGCGACTACGTATCGTACGACGGTTTGTTGCGAGAAGAGGGGGATCATGAGGAGGACGACGAAGGCGCGGATTATTTCGTGGACTGCAGTGGCGAAGACGAAGAGGGTCCCGAAATAGATGCCTGCGCTTCCGTCTCCACGCCAAGCCCAAGTGAGGACACCAACGACCACAGCGCTTTCGAAGCACCAGAAACTTCGTCAAGAACGCAAACACCAGAATCGTATCTCGACGCTGCAGGCTCTGACGAAGAAGCTTATGCGACTGCTGGCGAGCGGGGTCATATTAGCACGGGTGATGTGACGACGACGACGTCGACGCTATCTGCTGGCCCTGAAGACGCTGATCAAGTAGACCAGAACTGCTTTGGAGTCGAAATGCGGCTGGATCCCAAGTGTCCGAATCTGAGCTGTACTCAGGTCTGGCGCATCCCCGGAGACTACCGCACCGTGTTTGAGCGACCTCGAGATCTGTCTTGGAAAAAAATCGATGCGACGACGGTGAAAACGTCCTTCATCCTGGGCCCGGGGCAGTACGCCACGGTGTTGATTCGGGAGCTGTTGGCGAGCAGAAGGGCACCGCCCCCGAGGCAAATTCTTTTCGATTCCGATTCAGAATGAGGATGTATTGGAGGGACGAGAGTGAATGAGAAAGCGACATTTTTCTGTACTTGTGTACTTGCATGACACTATCCCTAAAAGCGACGAACGATCATCAAAAATAAGCATCCCTTGAACATACATACAGCATTTGGGCTTTTACGAGGTACAATGTGTTCAGCTTCTCAAACAACAGGTCATCTGGCTCAGCTCCTGCTGGCTCGGTGTTGGCTCTCTGTGTGTAGTGAGCAATATCACCTTTGGTAGACGAGCAAGTGCGCGGCATTTACTTACGCTTGTAAAGATTTCTGTGTGAGAGCAGCTGGCTTCATATGTAACATGCGGCTGCACCAGAAGCAGACCACTAGACCTGCCTCCATCGTCATCCTCTATGGTATAGTGCGACCACCACATCACAACTCTGTCTCTGTGACAGAGTTGTCACATGATAATACCATAGACATGCATGTAATCCAGCTCGAGCGTAGTTGAAGAAAAATCTAGAGCAAAACCAAAAACAAAATGGAGCTCCGGTTTCCGAAGCGCAGCGGTATCCGCGGGTTTCTCGACGGGCTGGTCTGCTTTGTGATCTGGCACTACCTCGTCTGGGGTCTCTTTTTCGCGTTCGGCGTGATACCCGCGGCATTCTATTTCCTGGGTGCGAGAATATGCGGCTACGCGGGATTACTTTATTTCCTGCAGCTTCTCATCTACCGACCGCATTTAAAGCGCGGGCTGGAGCCGGATTTTTTGTGGCACTGGTTTCTGTTCAACCCGATTTTGAATGGCATCATGCACCACCTCGACGGGACTTTGATTCGGGAGATGGATGACAGTAAGATGACGAAATCTAAATCTTCAGAAGACGGCACAAGAAACACCTCCGAGTCCTTCCTCTTCGCCTGGGAACCCCACGGCATTATGGGTCTGTGTCGTTGCGGCTCCGGCGGGAGTGGCTGGCCGGCGCTTTTCCCGAACCTGTTCCCGCGTTGGGGCGCTTTCGGCAAGGGCTTCTACATTCCGGGCGTGCGGGAATTTTCGCTGATTTGCGGCTGCGTCGACGCAGGCCGGCCGACGTTGAACAAAGTCGCGAAGGAGTCGATCCACTTGATTCCGGGCGGCGTGCGCGAAATGGTTTTGACGGACCCGGATTCAACTGTGACGAAAATCCCACTCAAGGACCGAAAAGGGTTCGTGAAGCTCGCGGTCGAAAAGAACCTCCGCCTCGTGCCGGTTTTTTGTTTCGGCGAGAAGTGGTGCTACCACCGGGTTTTGGTTCGGCCAGCCTGGCTGCGAAAATGGCTCCTCAAGAACCAACTGACGCCGACTTTGCTGCTCGGCAGGTGGAACACTTTGATGCCGTTCACGGACCGGAAAATGGCGTGGGTGTTCGGGAAGCCGATTGAAGTGGAGAATCGAGACATCGACAGCGTACACGCCGAGTATTTGTCCGAGCTGGAGCGGATTTTTGAGCAGTACAAAGCCCGTTTTGGCTACGCGGCAGAGGAAAAAGTTGAGTTCGTTACCGTGGCGGAGGCCTTTGCATCTGGGGTGGTGGAAGACGAGAAGAAAAAGTCGTGAGAAGGAGGTGGCGCTAGCAGCTAGACATAGAAGTAGAAGTAGCACTGCCGGCAGCGGTTAATGCTACCACGAGACGAGGAACAAGGCAGACGACCTTCGAACCAGATTTTCCAAATATTTCTTCGTTCTTCTCTATGATTTTCATTTTCCGCAGCCTGATCATGTTCGTTCGTGTTTCTGGTTGATGCACCTCTGGAGGACATCTAGTGAAAATTTTTTAAGTAGAATGAAAGCGAAGACTTCACATCACTCCACCAGAAGGTTGAAGAAGCGCACCCTTACGGCATTGTGGGAACAAAAATCATATAAGTAGACGCAAATATTAAGCGCACGGGTGTTTGACTTTTTTGTTTGTCGTGACGAGCGTTGTCTGCCTGTCGTCCTCGTCTAGCGTGTAGGTGCTCCTTCTTCAGAAAATAGAAACTGAGTGACTTGAGCGCAACATGACGAGCCCTTGACTTCTAGTATTTCTAATTTTCTCACATTTTCAATAAAGACTGCAACAATAAAATGCCGTACCTCACCTGGGCCGCCGCTGGCCTCACACGCTTGGGGGAGGGCGAATCTGCGATCAAGCCGGAGACGGAAGAGGAAGAAGCTGAGAGGATTCTCCGGCGGATCCGCGAGGCCAAGCGGAAGCACGGCATAATAGGCGACGACGATGCGGACGAGGGCGAGGATTGGAGCAGGCAGCTGTCAAATACTACGCCAGGGACGTATTTTGGAAACGCGTTTAGGTTCGTTCGGGAGTACGTGGGAATGCTGCCGGACACGGAAGAGGTATTATGATATCCATATCACAGCAATGCCTAATATGGCCCTCTTTTCCATATTTGTCTTTGTTCCTGTTCCGCTTCGCGTGGACTTATTCAGCAGTCGCCTTCGCCTTGCATGCGCACAACATGCAAAAATCCATCACCGCTACTAGCCTCTCATCCTTCCCGGCGACGACGCAAAGCTGGCGTGGTGGACCCCCTTCGCGTTTGCGGTGAACAAGCCTCACCGGCGCGTCTACAACAGCTGTGTGAAGATGAAGAACGACTTTGGGAACTGCATTTTGAACTCCCCCTGCTTCCAGAGCGGCGCGGAGCTGCACGAGTGCGCGCATTCCAGAGACCTAGATTGGGTAACGCAGGAGTGCCACGATCTGCGGTTCGGATACGAACAGTGCAGACGAGATTTTCACAGGCGAAATGTCATCTGGCAGTTCGGAAATAGGTGGTCGAATTGACTGGTGAGTGTGTCACCATTTTGTAGCGCGCTGCAGCGGCGCGGGCGCTTTGCAACTACACCAAACGAGTTGTGCTGCTATGCTTTTACTGTAACATTATTGATTCATCTTCATTGACCAGAAGTGATGATTGCGTCGACCTCGTATATTGCTGTTCTCCTTATCAAAGCAGATCATCGGCATTGCTTTTTTGTCGGGCTAAGTATGTTTTTCCTGCGTTTCCTGCAGCACACCGGTTGTTCCGGAACTGCCTTACTTCCACCTTTAACCTCGGTCAACGTGCATGTTGGTGTAAGACTATACTGATCTTCGGTCGCGTCCGTACTAGAAGTTCTAGTTCTGGTTGAATCGTTTTTTTCGCCTGTGTCGCTCGTTCGTACTTTGTTTTTTCCGGCGACCTCTTTGTTTCAAAAATGCTAGTGCAACTGCATTGTCGGTTTTGTCGTGCAAGAAAATCTTTTTCATCGTTCTTTTTTCTTTTCGTTCGTACGCTATACAACTCGCCCCCCCATCAAGAAGCAGAATGTTCTCACTCAGCCTCGTAACAAGCCATTTCGCAACACCAACAGAGAAAGCAACCCAAAAAGGCCAAGCCCAAACTGAATCATCTCACACCTCTTATTCTAAGCGCCCCGGTTTCGAGCAGTTGTAGTGTTACTCCTTGACCTTGTTGGGAATATCCATATTAGAAGACCCAGCATTATAATAACATCACATAACCCTAGTATAGGCTAGCGACCCGGCGTGAAAAAGAAGCTACTTACGAAAATGGCGCTGCTTTACCACGACTACGGTCCGCAGAACAAAGACGGCCAGCCGCTTCCTTGGCAAAATGTCACTGCGGACCCGACCAAGCGTCCCGTCCAGGGCTTCGCTCCTGATCGAACGGCGTTGAAACCGCGTGAAGCATCCATCGCGCAGCCAATTCCGCAGCCAATGCAGGGCAGCCAGCCGGTTGTCCGCGAAGGGATGTTTGGTACACAAGAACTTGTGTTGTGACGACAGATACATACAGCTAGAACTGACCGATAAATTTTCATTCTTTCCGCTTTCTTTATGCTTTGCTTTGATTGGCATTGATGCTACACTTTTACTCGTCGTCAAAAGCCATCCGAAAAATCATCAAAACAAATTTAACGTATAAAAACTAAAACCCACAGGTCCCAATGGGCAATCTCTGCACCGTCCTCTCTCCGACAAGATCGCGCGCGCTCCTGTCACGGTGCAGATGCTTCCATCGAACATGAATTACGGGGACCCCGCGCCCTTCCCTAACGTCATGGACTCACCGGCAGCCGGCGTGTTATCGCACGAGCTGGACAAACAAGCCTACCGGAACATAACCGCTGCGTACGGAATACAGGAGCTAAGTCAGCAGGACCAACGAGTCCCACCAATCTCTCCACGGACAGTTGCGCAGCAGCAGCAAGCTGCTTCTCCCTACGTCCAAGCGCAAGCGAACGCGGCGAATGTAAGGTTTCAGATCGGGGAAACTCAACGAGACTACCTGCTCCGCCAAGAAAAGAATGCGTTTTCGTCAGATCAACATGGGAAAACGTTTTCGCCGCTACAGAGAGACGAAGCGCTGTTGATGAAACAAGAACGCGCCATGACGGGCGTGAACAATTACAAATACCTGCCAAATTGCTACAAGGTGGAGGAAGAGATCGCGATGAGCCCGGAAAAAGAGATCGTCGGCAACTTTTCCCCCGACCGAAGTCTGTTGAAGTACAATCACTGCGATTCCGGGGACCCGTTCCTCGTACGGTATGTTCCCCACGGCGCGCGGGTAGCGGGGAAGCCGAACGAGACGGAGGTGACGATCTTAGGAGGTGCGCCAGGTACTGGGAACGAACAACATCAGCAGAGACCTTCACAGCAGAGCTTTTCCCCCGACCGAACCGGGGTGATGCTCGATTACAGGGGGAAACTGGCGCACGAGGAGGAGCAGCTGCACCGCGATTCCTCCCCACAGCGGGCGAACGGGGTTTTCCCCGGGTTCGGCCCCGCGGCCCACAGTCCGGTTTTGCACGCGCGGCTGGACCGCAAGCGCGCGCACCCGGCGCTGATGCCCGGGAACCCGACGCGGGCGTTAGTGCCGCGGGCGAAGTACGGCGATCAGTATTCCATGAAGTACGACGAAGAGCAGGAAAGCCGATATTACGGAGGAAGCGGTAATCCGGAGTTTAGCAAAGCACTCCCGAGTGCCGGTGGGGACTTTCCACTCGGTAGGGGGAAACGGGTCGGGATCAATCCGATGGAGAAGGAAAGTAACCTGGTGAAGGATTTGATCTCGCCTACTTCATCTCCTTACGGCCGGCGCGCTGTAGTCCCCCAAGCCCCAACGCTGCTCAAAGACGTCGACGTTTTGCCGCCAAAGGAGTTTGATGTGTACACGCGGAGCGCCGAAGTCACCAGCCCTTCTGGGGTTCTGCGCGACTACAAAAACCACGTAGAAAAGCGCGGACAAGAACGAAATTTTGATGAGGCGAATTTCGGTGCCGACCAGAGGGAAAACTTATTCGAGGCGAGGAAGAGGCATTACAACGGAATTCAATCGCCCAGGAGCGCGGTGCGTCACTCCCCCGGGGTAGAGCAGCGAAGTCCGAGGACTGCGCAGGAAGTGCAGCAATCAGCAGCATTAGCGGCAGCCGCAGCGGGACAAGCAAATAACTACCAAGCAGGAGGTCAACAACCAGACGGAAATACCGCCAGAAACGTTTTCCTCGATAACCGGGATATGTCTTTGCAGCAACTGATAGAACAGAGCTCCGACCACCCATTGAAGCAAAAACAGCTGCACAACGCCAAGATTGCACAACAACAATTCGCAGAAGAGCTTCAAAGACAGGACGCCAGCCGCAGGGTAAATTCCCCTCACGCCGTGGACCGGAGTCCGACAGCGACGAAGGATGCCATTTCGGTAACTAACATGCTCGTCGCGGCCGGTGGCGATTCCGAGTATCGAGCGTATTTGGAAACCGACAGAAGAGGTAGGGCAATGAAGAACAGCAAGCCCGAGCCGGTAGACTACGACGGGTTTTTCGGGCCGGCGCGGTCCCGGATGGTCCGGCTGCCCACCGGCAGCGACCCGTCGGGCATCGACATGTTCCCCTCCGACCCGCAACGCTGCAACCGGGGGGAGTTTGCTGCGGACAAGAAGAGCTTCGTCGAGCGCCGCAGCTTATCAACTGCAAAAATGTCTGGGTCTGGAAGGATGTGAAGTTGCGATGCGCATTTCATAACACACAGAAATCTCTCATGCATAGGCAGCAAAAGATGCCCACTTCTTGTCACCAAAGTGGGGGATATGTCATGCGGATTAGGCATTGCAGAACCTTGTCGAAATCTGTGATGCTAGGGCTTCCATGCCAGACCTTCTGCGTCATGCAAAAACAGCATGACATCTTCCAGACCCAGACAGATTTGCAATGCATACAGCTTAAATCACGGCTACTACGAAAGCGTGCCGGCCAAGATCAACCACACGGTGGTGCTGCCGAACGATCCGTGTCTGGTAAAACGAAGCCCTTGCAAGCCGAGAGAAGCGGGGTTCTTCGGCGGGAGGTTTGTAGGATAATCAGATTTAGAAATTGATAGTGGAGATACTACTAGACTAGTACTAGCCGGGAACCTGCTGCTGGATAACTTTCTTTTTCGTCTTACACGATCGTGGTCTCTGAACTTCCTGCTCATTGACTGCTTATTCGTAATCGCAACTGAATGTTTTATTTTACACTAGTTCGTCTGGTGGTACCCCCACCATGTTCCCGTCCGATATCGATCGGTACAAGAAGATACGAAAATTCGAGCCTACATGAGACGAGAGCACATGCACAAATTACAAGGAGCATCGTTTTTCCCATCGTTGAGGCCGGTGTGCTCTTTTTGCTACTTGTTTGAAACTCGGCATATGAAACCCTACAGTATGATTGCGATAGCGATTACCCATTGTCTTCATCGCCCCCCAGAAGATCCTGTAAAAATCTATTTGGACGAATTGGACCGATGCGACGCTTTCTACCTCATAGCTGGCAACCTTAAATTTTCACTGACCATTCGTTTTCGGGAAGTGGTTCTACTTTGTCGAAATAAAGTCAGGATGTGTTCATTGACAAAAGAACAATCGGGCATGATATGGGGGCAGAGAGATAGAAGTTCTTGTTGGGTCGTGCTTTGTATTATGTTGTAGGGGTGGATCTGATTTCGTTGAGTGATAAACCATCGCATGAATTATTGTTTGTCATCATATGCAACGACTACTGAGAAAGAGTAAGAGAATCGAATTCCGAATTGCTCGTTGAGAGATGTCGACATTGATTCCGTGGGAGAGCTCGAAAGAAAAAGTGAACCAATGGGGCTAAACGCACTTCGTTTCTAACCGAAAGTGCAGGATTGTCTCGCTACCCAGATCGTCATTTGTCCCCTGCCCCCTCCCATCGCCATCTCGTTTCTAATCGCGTTTGCGTCTCCGCGACAATTGAGTACCTCCCTTACCCCACGCCAACATCCTCCGCCAATTTCAATTTGTTCTAATTCGTGCATCGAAAATAAAGCATTCTTATTTATTACACTCACAGTAAGTACGCACAACAACTGTTTCTGTCGTTCAACGAACCAAATTGAAATTGAAAAAAAACCACCAGGCTCTGATTTAGCAGACTGTTTTTTGAGCTAAAGATTTGTATGTTTGATGAAATGACGAGGATGCGACGTCTGCGAGGAGCTGGGGTAATATCGTGACGTGTGCTCGCCGCGGTGTGACAGTTCATCTTCTGCACAACCTGTGTAGTACACGACCTCGTCCAATCGACCAATCCTCGCGGAGGAGCTGTAAAATAAGCTTCAGCTTGTACGTGGTTTAGTACAGCCCCAAAACACCACCTCGACCACCATGTCGGGCGGCGACGAGGGGCACCGCCGGGTGGCGGAGCCGGAGGTGAAGATCCCCATTGTGCGGGTGAAGGAGCAGCCGAGGAGGCATAAGGTCATTTATCCTGAGTAAAAACGTCCCCACCCCATGATGGTTGTCATCCAGATTTGCGATTACAGGAAGACTTGTAATGCGCGTCTCCATGTTGAGAGGCATTTCCAATCGGGTTTTGGAATTTGTAATGCTGTAAACAGGAGAAGCAGACGCAGACGGATTTGTGATGCGGTTGTCCTTGCTAAGATGCACTACGCTACGGACTGCAACTTGTCACGCGTGGCTCCCAAAACTTCTGGATTTGTGTTGCTGAGTTGTTCCAACTTGACAATGGGGTGGGGATGTTCTTACATATGATATCATTTCCTTCGGGTACATGGTCACCATCCCCGAGGAAACCGATGTGCCTGGGGAAGTGCGAACGGTGGTGCCGGATGTTTACAAGTTCCAGTACCCGCCCGTGCCGGAAGTGCCGGACGATCTCGTGCCCGGTGTCATACTATCAAATGCAAATATGTCTGGGTCTCGGTCTGGAAACTTGTGATGCAAATCTACGAATTGTGGGCGCACAACAAGATGCAGCCCAGCATGACAAGTTTTTGCGCTGCTGTGTGTTTCGTTTTTCGCATGACAAACTAAATTTTTGCATGACAGGCAAGGGGCGCTTTTCCTGCTCATGCATCACAGATTTCAGACTCATGCCAGACCAGCATGACAAACTTGCACTTTATTTCCAGACCCAGACATATTTGCATTTGATACATACCCGCAAATTTTCAAGCCGCTGTGGAGGTGGACGATACCAGCGTGTTTTTCGAAACCAAAGAGGGTGACAATGGGCCAGAATACAGGTACAATATATATGCAAATGTTCTGACTCGTACTCGTAGTACATGTGATGTACTAGAAGTAGATCCATGTAGCCTAGCTCAGATTCAGCTACTAGCTGCTTGAGGACCGAGGTCTATTTCGCAGTATGGCAGTGAGCACGTCAGCTCTTCTGGTGCTCGTGCATGAACTACATGGAGATGATCTCGTCGATAAATAGTGTTAGTGCAAGAAATAATATCCCACGAAAAAACTGTTTCACTGTGATGGTTTTGCAGGATCTGCATCACAAGTTTGCTACACATGACACAGAAAATTTGTCATGCACGTTTTCCAAGGGAAAACACGCCTAAAAATCCGTTGCGTTGCAGGTGTAGCAAGACAAACACTTTGGCGCTTCGTTCTCTGCATCACAGGTTCACAGTGAAACAGTTTTTTCTTGCGATAAATAACATACCTCAGGGTCGCGTACGTCCACCCAGAAAACATTCTCCTCGACTGGACGGATGATGTGGACTCCTTGTGGATTGAGGCCTTGCAGATATGCATTGCAAATATGTCTCCTGGGTCTGGAAAGAACTTGTGATGAGCATACATACTCCTGAGTCGTGCAGCCAAGCATGACAAATTTCTAGGGCGCTTTTTCATGCGTAGTGCGCATCAGAGACAGAGACTGTGCTTTTGCATGACAAAAGTGGTTTCGAGTTTGCTGAGTAGGCGGTTAGTTACCGTTTTACGCTATTTACACAGGGACGCCCTGCCCTTAGTTTCCCAACATGACAAAAGTGGTTTCGGCTTTCTTGTTGGTCATGCAATACAGGCTTTACAGGGATCCCGGACGCGCAACACAGGTTATATTTTTCCAGACCCGGACATATTTGGGATGCATAGCAGACCCTGGAAGACAATCGCGAATTGTCCGAGGAGGCGCTGGATTACCTCGACGCGGATCCCCTGTCCCTGTTCGGTATCGCAGACCCGGTCACACAGAAGGCCCTGGAAAAAGCAGCCACCGTGCCAATGTTAAAGTGCATGGGACAAAGGTAGAAATTTTTTTGCTTCACCCTTTATTTATTATTTCCCCTTTTGCTTTCAAATTCAAACTTCGATGAAACAAGTGCTCTCACCTTTTCGTCGTGCCATCAATACATGGGCAAGCATGCATGATCAAGATCATGGTGTTGCATTTTCAAAAATTTGCGTGAAAGAGAAAGAAGTGAGCACGATAGTTTCTACTACAAGACCACACAATCACAATCAATCGCTCAGGCCTGTGCTTGAGGAGTGGTTTGCGTACTTGAATGCGGATCCGGAGGCGGACCGCGAGTTTAGCTGGGTGATCGAGGCCTTCGCCGAAGTAGAGTTGCCGGTCCCGTGGACAAGTTACAAGGGTGTCGGGTCGATCGTGTGTTACCTGAACAACGAGTCCCAGGAAACCACGTGGAAGCACCCGTTTTACGACTACTTTGCGCAGCTGCTCGACCACTGCCGAAGGGCGAGTCAGGAGGAGCATATCAAACTGCGGTTGAACCGCATGCTGTGGATATCCAAGAAAAAAACATTGTAGGTGTAACTTTTTTGGAGGAACAGCATTACAAATCTGTCTGGCATGACAGCAAAAACCTGTCATGCGCAGATAGTACGTGAAAACGCCCTTTAGTGGGCCCTACAATGCATGCCAAGCATGACAGACGCAATCATCTTGCATGTTCCGCATCACAAATTTACACTAACAACGTTTTTTTCTTGGATAGTGGACCTACGAGGCGGAGAGTCAGCACGACGTGTCGCTGCAACAGCCGTTGATTTCCCCGCTTTACGTGCAGCAGATGGCGGAGATGCTGAAAATCGACCTGCCGAAGGAACCCTTCATGGTCCGAACGCTGAAGACTTTTTTGAAGGCGTTTTCGCAGCAGTACCGGCTGGAAGAGGAGATCGACGCGCAGGAGGTCAAGTGGTGTCTGGAAATCGTGGAGAACGAGCGCGCGAAGGCCAATATTGCGAAGAACATGGACCTGGAGGACGATCCGGGGGAGTTGGTCAATCCGAGCGCGCACGCACAGCTGTACTGCATCGAGTGCCAGGTGATTGCGACCTGCTACTGCCCGGACTGCGAAGACTGCTTCTGCGAGAACTGCTTCGAGCGGCTGCACAGCAAGGGTAACCGGCACAAGCACGAGCCAAACCACTTGATTCCCTGCTGTCTCTGCCGCGCGTTCCCGGCCAAACTGCAGTGCACCTACACCTTCGGCAACTACTGCCACGAGTGCTACGCCCGCAAGCACGTGAAGACCCTGCCGAAGTTTCTGGACCTGAAGCCACTGCGAATCGACTACACGGCGAAGAGGAAACCGGCACCCGCGCCACCTCAGAACGCCGGTGCGGGTGCGCCGGAAGCGGGTGGCGCCGCGGCAGGAGGAGCCGCGGGCGGGGCCGCCGCACCGGGAGCAGGCGCTGCTGCACCGAATCTGAACGCGCCGTCGGGCGGGGTCACCCGTGTGTGGGCCTTGGGAGAAGTGAATCCGGCGTACGAGGCGCAGGAGGGGTTTTCCAAGCGCGCACCCATACAGACCACGCTCGGCGAGGAGTGGCACGCGTTCTACGACTTGCGAGGCGTCAAGTACTACTACAACTTCTCCTCCGGCGAGTCTATGCGGAGGCCGCACGAACGGTTCATCGACATCGCAATCGAAAAGGACGTATCCTGTGCAAAAGTATCGCACTCGTAGTAATCGCAGTCATGCATTACAAATCTCCATCTTAACCGAAATCCGCATTACAAATTCGATTTTTCATGCTGAGGGAATTTGTCATGCGATTTATACTAGTACGATGCTTTTGCATTGCATAGGACGCGGAGGTCGAGAGGGAGATCGAATGGACGCCGGAAATGAAGGAAGTGGTGCGGCAGATGGCGGTCAGTAAGGATATCCTGAGTAAAAACGTACCCACACCAGAGTCAGGATGGGGATTTTGCAACACAAAGCTAGGAGTTTTGTGAGTCACGCATGACAAGTTGCACTCTGCAGTGTAGTGCGGGTTAGCAAGTGCAGCCGCATCACAGATTCGTCTGCTCATCCTGTTCACAGCATCACAAATTCCAAAATACGACTGGGAATGGCTCTCATGCGGATGCGCATTACAAGTCTTCCTGTCTTTGCAAATCTGCATTACAACTCTGGCGTGGGTACGTTTTTACTCAGGATAAAGGAGGGCAGAAAATTAGCCGCCTTCGGCGCAGGCTTAGGGCCCGGAGCGGGGTGAAAATGAATCGTGGCGGAAACGAAAATTTTGAAAGTAGTAGTAAATGTTCAAACTGTATGGTCTCTTAGTGGTTTTCAGAATGACTGTCTTTAGAAGTGCCACAATCGATAAATGCTGTAGTGTTGATGAAGATGAGAGCAGCACACAGTATATCGATTAGCGCAAGAAAATGAAGAACTTAAACTTCTCAAAATGTAGCATCTCAATGAAACCAAAATCTAACAACTCTTTCCTGATTTAATCTAGCTTTTTCTTGACTGGTGAGTTTATTTACGAATGAATGTTAATGTAGCTGATACACAACAAGTTTCGGTAGTAGCAGTAGGTCGAGTTTTTTCAGGGCTCAGACGAAAGAAACTCCTCGGGAGCTGCTGCTCCGCGAAGATCTGTTTCCCCGCCTTTTTCTCGTCTACTCGTCCCAGCCAAAATCAAAATGCACATGTACCAACAATCGTGAAGCAGGTGGTATACTAGTAAATGCACGATACATGGACAACGTGACGGGATGACATACGAACAACAGCGGGAAATCGACGAAACAAAGGCTCGACGAGGAGAAAGTACAAGCGGGGATCACGAACAGGATCAGGAACTGAAAAGAATTTATTGTTATTCTCAAACTGTACACCAAGTATTGTTTCATCAAAAAAAAGAAAAAAAAAGACAAGTCCCGCACGATTCTCTGGTCCAGTATTCTTTCACGCTGCTTTCGGGACAAGTAGAAGTCAAAATGATCTCGTCTTTGTTTCCTGTCCGAGTATTCGCTTTCCAGAGCAGGACCTATGATTCACTGGTCATACTGATGAAGCCATTCGGTAATTTCGGTCTCTGTTTCCTGGGATCACTCTGTTACTATTGCACAACGTGATCCGTTTGATGACGACGAGCCTCAACGAGGAGCCACGAGCGCAAGAAGACTCGACACTCTGTTGCTAGGATGCAGCATAGCGGATGACATCAGTCGTAACACCCTGCCAAAGATCGGTCGTCCTGCAACCGTAGAGCCGATGTGTGCGCTGTGCTCGTGAGCAGGGAAGATCAGCAGTTGCACTAACAATTACCACTAGAAGGATCTCGATCCCACCCTTTTCGTGACCAACCAAGTAACAGGACCCCACGACCCTTCTATCTCTGTCGACATGAACTATGAAGCAGACGTCGTCTCCTTGTCACTATCGCCGCTGGCTTGTACTTCCATTCCAGTAACAATTTTCGACTCGATTGGGATTTCTTTTGGGCTGATATTTTATCCGACAAGTGGTGTCATTGCTGTGTCAAGGGTGTCATTCTCATTGGACGCAATCATGACAAAAACTAAAATAAAGGGGGAGAAGGTCGCCGACTTCGGTCTCAGCGGCGTCCGAGGACCAGCACAGGCAAAAGCCGAAAGCCGCCAGTTCTCAAGCAACCAAGCGCATAATTACGTAGCACAATACGAGTCTCCTTCTAGTTCCACGCCCTCAACAGGTCCTCGCGACGAGCATTTAACCTTCGTCGCAGTGTATTGCTTCGATCCCAGCACACTACCCAACTGGCCTTTCGAGCGGCAGCGCCCGCTGCCTTTGGTGCCGGGGCAGGTTGTAAAAGTCTTGTACGACGATGGGTCCGATTGGTTGCTGGGAAATTTGCTGCAAAGCCCGGCCAGGAAAGGCTATTTTCCGAGAAACTATGTGGTTACGGTAGAGGAATATCGGGCGGTGATGGAGGAATTCATCTCGTCCGGGGACGAGGATATTAGCGATAGGCGTTCCACCACCCTGAAAAGATAGGAGGCACTAACAACACGACTTCCATGCAGCATTGCTATAACAGGACAAAAGAATGACCATCTTCAGGGAGGCCTTGTTGGTCGTGGTCGAACGTTTCCACAGGTGCTCATTTTTCAGCACTGTCTTTCAATAAATCAGGCTTGCCTGGCTGCTACAACAACTTTGTTTCGTATTTGTAGCTAAAGTGTTGGTGTTCGGTGCTGCGGCTCGATCGAAGCCTGTTCGTGCAAGAAAAGCAAAAGTAAAATTCAAAATCGAATGCTTGCCATACGTTGTCGTTCGTTCGTTTTTTGATTATCGTCCTACTAAGAACATCTGTTTCGTACTTCTTGCGTCGTCGTAGTTGTTTCGTGCTGTTGGTCGTTTCGTCGTGTTTCATCGTCCTCGTCCAAACATTTTCGTCCTAAGTCGATCTCAACATCGTGCTGTGAGTATTCTCAGTGACGCTGTGCGCCGTCTCTTTGAACCCTAGCACAACTACTCACTTCTTTCTGTTTTACAGTTATTTCCCATAATATGACCCCCCTAGCACCCATGAATTGCCCTGCGAAATGAAGTGTTACAATAGTGCTTTCTATCGGCCACCCGCCGAACCCCCATAGACTAGATTCACGAAGTAGCTAAATACTTTTCTTCTCCTTCTTATTCTCCTAACCCTAACTACACGTGCCACAACCTGCCGATAGAAATCGAACCACGTACACCTACGGTACTATGGCGCCTGTGGCGTCCATGTTGTGCTCCATACGATCATTGCGAAAAGAACAACATGAAGCAAAAGTGTGAAGATGAAGCTGGAAATTGATAGGAGCAAGGAAGTAGGTCTTGACATCTTCTATTAGCATTGCGTTGTTTCAATGCAGACAGAAAGAGTGATGTCGAAGTGGTCATTTGGTGTTGCACGGGGAATGAACGGGCAAGAAATGCGGTCGGTCTTCCAACCCGGCAGAAGGCGCTCCTCCTTCCGTACATCATCAAGCGCTCACCTGGTGTTTCTTATCCTCGCCCAAAAACTATTTTTGTGCCAGATCTGGCCGCTTGTGGAGGCGATTACGGTCCGGCGCATGAAGACCACGACCTCGGCAAGAAAGACCAGGGTCGTCGTCGGTAAAGTAGAACCAGGAACGCGAACAAAACCCGAGCCGTCAGGAGGTGAAGAGACCAGAATAACGCCTACTCAGTGGGGGCCAACCGTGGAGGTGAACGTGGGGCAGGAGCCGGCGGTGAGAGCAGGATCTGGAGATAGACAGAGAAAAACCCCTCCAGCTGTAGTGATGCTGGCGGATATTCGTGGCGCACAAGAACCAGCAGGTACAACTAGTGGTGCAACAGCAACAACATCTCTGGCTGAAACAAACGAGGTTAATCAAGAACATCCGCACGTCGAGGGCGATACAGGTAGAATGCGACAGGTGAAAATAAAGCGACATCCTGACCCAGACCCTGCACTAGACGAGGAGGCAGCACTTCATGCTCCTGATATTGATTCAGTAGATCTAGATTCACGCCAACATGGTGTTGGTGAAGACCACGACGGCGCTTCATCCCAAGACAACGATACGTCTGGAACAACACCACTGTTCCTGGAGGTGGCAGAGGCTGAGGCAAAACTAGAAATACACCATGCGCAGAACCGCAGCGGACAGCGAGCAACCACGACCAGCACGAGTAGAAGTAGTGCATTACACTTACAGGCGAAGCTGGACGACGGCGTTGGAGCTATAGGCGCAGGAGCATCTGCTCCTCTACAGCAAGAGCAAACAGCACTACCTGATCTTTTGGATTCATGCTGCAGCCCCTCGGACAACGGCGCTGGTGAACCAGTAGAAGGGGCGTCCCGTTCATCCCTCCAGGAGCTACCACCACCTCCGTTGCAGCATAAAGGCGCCCCTAGAATAGACGAGGAGAGAAATGACCTGGAGCTGGACCAAAAGCAAGGGTCCTCTGAAGCGGAAGCGCCAGCCCACCCTTCAGAAGCACCAGCCCTGGTGTCCTCATCCTCACTAGCGGCGATGTCAGAAGCACCTACCTCCCCAAGTCGGGCCGAAACGATGGAGCTACTCGCCTGCATGCCGGTCACGCCTCTCGTTTCCGGTGTATTCCACAATTCGCCCCTCGATGAGGTGTACGCCCCCTACGTACGGCGCGAGTGGCCGCTAGACGCTCAGGGCAACCAGTGGCAGAGGGTTTACATAGAGGTCGAAAAAATCAGCGCGTCGGGCGCGGCGCTGGAGCTGCCACCAGCGACTGCCGCCAGCACTTATCTCATCACCCAGCGTGGGACACCGTCGCTGGACTCTATGTTGAGTTACAACGCAGACGGCACGCAGGTCCAATGGCCTCTCACCGTTGGCAGCTACGTCGTAAACGAGTCGAACGAATCACAGGCGGGGTTCCTAGAAGAAGGATCTGCGCAAGGCTGTACCACGAGCGGAGCGAAGCACACATTGTCGATCGAGCGCGCCGAGGACGATTGCGTCGCGCACGAGTTGGTGTGGGCACGGGCCGCCACAGGGAATGCGAATGAAGAAGCGTTGGACATGTCGTGCGCCGGCAACCATCACGTTTTGCGCATTTGTCCTAGCGATAAGGCCTGCGAGGCTAGAAAAGTCGAGTGTCCCTGGGCGTTTGAAACCGGAAACTGGATCTCGGAGACCGCGAAGGAATACGTATGCAATAGACAGACTGGCTTCGCGGACGACCCGTGGCAAAGGTGCATTGCAACCAAAACTGGATCTATTTGGAACCAGCACGAAGAGCACTGTTGCTACAACACGTACCAGTCCAGCAGAAGATTGTGTCCTATGCTGACGCCCGTGATGTGTGGAGCTGACAAAGGCTGTGGCGGTTTGGACCATTGCTGCGTGGAATCTCCGGAAGACTGCTACTTTAACACCCACGGTTACTATGAGGCACTGAAAGGTGGTTTGCGAACGTGCGGGCTCGAGGACAGGGACTGTCTCGGAGCCTGGGTGGACTACCCCGGCCACAACAAAAACGAGCCGCACGGGTGCAGCTGTGACTCTTCCTCCAGTCAGGAATCCGTATTCACCATCGAAGTCTTCAAGGTTACCGACCCAAAACGCAGGCTGGGCAAGCACTGCGACCATAGACACGGCGAGCAGCGCTTCACCGAGCATTCCTGTGCCGCCGTTCGGGAGATGGAGTTCATGAACTGCCCCTTTCACCTCTACACGAAGACCTGCAGTGCGAGTTTTTGTGAAAAAAAGGAGCTCGAAACCGACAGTGGAAGCAAGTTCCTCCGCAGCGTGCGCGCGGACCGAGACGGGTCGCAGTGTGCGTTCGCAGCCCCCGGCAGCGTTTCTACGCAAGAGGAGAAGAAAGCGTTTGCGCGCCAGTGCGCAGATTGGTGTTGCGAGTTTGAATGCGAGAAATCGTTTTGCGAAGAGGTTAGGCCGCTCGTGGGGACGGAAGAGGGCTACGACCCCGAGAACGCGGACTCGCGGCAGTGCCGCACTGAGTCGTTACCATCAGCGTGGACGGAAGCGCGGATAGCGCAGGACAGTGTGTCCTACTGCGCAGACCAATGTTGCTTGAGTGCAACTACGTTGATAGCTGCAACAACGGCCGCTCGTCCCGCTATTGCTGGCGGGGCCGGAGAAGGGGGAGAGTCAATAGAGTTTTCAGACACGACAAACACATCTTCGACAACACTCCCGTCGTCCGCGCAAGGAGAACAATCTGCAGGTGGTGGTGGCACGACAGCAATGATAACCTGCAGCGAGGCCTTTTGCAGTAGTCTCGTCTTCCCGTTGACGTTGGACACTAGCGCGACTCCTGGCGCCGATCAAATCCTGCTGTGGCGCTCTGTCAAGCCGGAGATGGACGGTCAAAGCTGCGGGGCGACCGGTTTTGATGTCACAGAGGATTGCGGCGAGATCTGCTGCCACTCGCGGTGCGATTCCATCTGCTCCGCGTTAGATATCGGAATCAAGTGGACCTGCCCGGTCACTCCTGAAGACGCGGTTTTGTTTAGCACCACGGCCGCGACAGTCGGAGGCACATCAACTTCTGCGGCCGAAGGCACTACTAGTGGTACCACAGCGCAAGAAGTCGCGCAACCGAATTTCGACGCCCCAATAAAGCGGTCATCCGATTCGTGCACTACCGCTGTTGACGATGTCACTAACGTGGTCTCGTATGCCACGGTGAGCTTCTGTAACGGGAGCTGTTGCGACCCCGAGGCGAAGGCCTTTTTGGAAAACCGCAAAGAAGAACCGTACGCGGTGTGCAGCGAAAACCTCTGCGCGTCGGCACCGCCGAAACTGGTGGAGGCCAGCAACGGGCAGACCTGGCAGGTTCCCCGGACAGTGAACCCGGGGGTAGATGGACGTATTTGCCCCTACACGGCGACCAATTTTGCAGAAGCGACCCCGGCGCAAGCGACCGCGTTACTTACCGTACTATGCACGGACTTCTGCTGTTACCTGGACCCCGATAGCTCGAACAGTGAGCAGGTGATCGACCCCAGCACGGAAGGAACATCAGGTTCCGAAGGCGAAGCCTCCGCGTTAACCGGCGTTTTTATCGGGTTGGGCGTTGGCGGGGCGATATTTCTCGCGTTTGCCGTGTTGCTGCTCGTGTTCCATTTTTCTGCCGAACTCGACGACGACGATGATTTGTACTACTACGGAGGTAATAATGGGGGCACTAAGACTAACAACTACGATCATTATTCGCACAATAGAAATAATCAGAATCCCCTAACAGTCAGCTCAATCGCCGCGTCGTCAGAAGCGGAGACAGACGATAAGACAGCGTTGACGCCTGCTGGTACAACCCGAGCGCGAAAGATGAACAAGGGCGGGCCCGACAACAACGGGAAGATCTCGATGTTCTCCCTAGATCTGCACACGGCTGAAACGGCTGCGGTGGCCTTGGGATTAACCACTACCTATGCCCTCAAGGTCGCGGAGCAAGTCTGTCAGGAGGGTATTGGCAATGAAGAAATTTTAATCCAATCCGACACCCAGGCCGACCACGATTTACTCCGTACGCTCGCACGCCTCGAGCTGCGGCTCTCCGCCGCGGACTTCCCACTCAAAGTAGGCCGCATGCGCGCGTTATTGCAGGGCCACTGCGAGAAGCACCCGAGTTTCCGCACCTTTCTGCTTGGCTTCGAAGCCGCAGAAACGGCGTTTCTATCAGCCGGGCTCTCTGCTTCGTACGCGTCTAAGGTCGCCGCTCAGGTGTCAAACGCGGAGATATCCGATACCGCGGACTTAGAGAAACCTATCACGGAATCGGATCAGAAGGCCATGTCTCTACTTGGCTTCGACTTCAGCGTAGACAATGAGCCGGAGCACGTGGGGAGATTGCGGATTTTTATGCGGAATTTAGTGCAGAAAAAGTACGGCAAGCAGGATCTACTGGAGCAACAGCTCGAAACCGCGGAGAAATCAATCGCTTTGGCCGAAACGGAGAAAGCACTGGTCACGCAAGGCTTCTCCCCGCCCGGCGCGGGGAAGCTCGCGAAGAAGCTGCTGGAGAAGGCCCGACTGTCGAAAAAGTCCTCAACTAAAAAGACGTCGGAACGGGGGCAGGGGACAGGGGCGCGAGCGGCCACTTCCGGTGCGGCCAGTACGAGCAAGGCTGCTCCCGCGGGGGACCAACTGCAAGCATCATCTCCGTTGCAGAGTCCTGAGCTCGACCTAACAGAGCAGATATTGATCAAAGACGGGTTCGATGAGGACTCGGGCAAGCGGCTCGCAAAGCGAATCCACCACGACGCCGAGCTACTGCTCGGCGCGGCGCCCAAGAGCCCGGCCGAGATGATCCCGGAAGTGCAAGCCGCGTTCGTGGCGGGCACGGTAATCACCTGGGAGACGCTGGGAATTTCCGGCGACATCGCGCAAGCGTTGGTTCGCCGCCTCGTGCTGGGACAAGTGGATAAAACCTCTACGGGAGGAGGTGCGACTACAAGGGCTACGCAGGATGGTGCAAAAAAGAACTCGTCAACAACTGCAGCGGCTGCGGCGGCTTTGTCTACTCCCTTCGCGGGGGGAGCAGGAGGTCAACAGGCTGTTGTCCCCGCCGGTGAACAAACGCCCCCGGCCGCGCTGCTCCTGCGCTTCGACGAGGGGGACATAGAGACACTCGGGTTGAGCGAGCCGGATGTCCTACTTTTGCGACGGATGCAGGCGGAGGCGGGGCCCGCGGACGATGTCTGGGGTCGGTTCATGGTCACGAAGAAGCGTGGCACCGCAGACCGCATCTACTACGACCCCACAAGGGGACCGAGTGCCGACGGCGGACGGGGGTCGCGGATTTCGATCGACTTGAGCCCCTTGAGCAAGGTGCCGGAATTGTTCGGCGAGGTCGAGCGCGCCTCGGTGCTGGAAGCGTTTTTGCCGCACATGCCCCCGAAGCGGCAAAAGGACGTGCGTATACAGCTCGGAACCATAGCAGAGGAGGACGGGGAGGAGGCAGGAACGGTGGATGGTGCGCCGGGCACGACGACAAAAGGAGCACAAGGCGAGCAAATCGCGTCGAGTTCATCTTCCAGTACGTGCTGCCCATGCTGCTGTGGCCCGCCATCCGACGCAACGCAGACTTACCAAGCGTCTTGGTTACCCGGGACCCTCGTGGGGCTGCCCAACAAAGGTGCTCCCGCGTTGTCGATGGAGGGGTCAGCAAGAGGAATTAATCGGACGGGAAATAAAACTATGCAGCCGGGGGCCAACAGGTCAAGCAGAGGTGTCGACCCGCCGCCGGGGGGAGCTGTTGGTGGTGCGCAGCAGCAGGTGGAGAATGCGGAGGTAGACCAGGTGAATAAACTGAAACTTGAGCAGGCGGAAGCACTCATGAAAAAGACGGAAGAAGGGGTCGTGCAAGTGGTGGAAGTGCCAGCTCCTGCTGGAGCAGCAACGCAAGATCGCAGCATCGAGCAACAGGAACAACAGCAAGTAGTACATATACACGCTTCCGCTGCGGAAAAAATGATGACCTCCGGCGGGCGCAGCCGCGATACCGAACAGACGCTGTTTTCCGTGCATAGCGAAATCGAATCGAAAGATTTCTCACCCGCGGTGAACCAAACCCTCCACCTCGAGCGCCGGTTCGCTTCGGACACAAATGCTGGGGATGGAGAGGTAACATCATATAACAGCGCTTCGAAGAAACATCTTCCTCCGATTCTGCCGGCCGTCGCGTTAGCGACGCTGAAGCCCAAACCACACCCACTTCTTCCCGAAAATAAAACGGGTAGCGCGCCCAAGGTGGTTCCCCTGACCGACTTGGGAGCGAACAACATGCTTTTGAATCCACTGGGGCACCACCCAGACGCGAAGACAAAACCCAAGAAAAAAGTAAAGAAGAAACAAGACCCACCCGTTCCTGGCGTAGTTCCTGCTGTGCCAGCCCCAGCGCCAGCGCCAGGCCAAGGAGAAGAGACACCAGAGGGCCCCAGCGATAAGGAGAAGTCGGACAAAGAAAATAAGCAAATAACCGACAGCGCCAGGAAAAAAACAAGCAAGCAAAGCACACCACCCGTACCTGCCGTACCTGGGCCGCGACCGCCGAGCCCCAGTAATACCACGCGCACGACCGACAGTGACACAGAAGACGATAAGAATAAAATTATGGGCTCCGAAGAGGACTACGAGAACATGGGCCCGGGGCACAAGGACCGGAAAAAGAAGAAGGAAAAGAAGGAGAAAAAGGAGAAAAAAGACAAGATCATCATCGAAACACCCCCACAGATGATCACGGAAGCGGAAAATGCGCTCGTGGACACGGGGTTTGAGAAGCAGCGGGCGAGGAAACTTGCGGAAAAACTAGGCTCACTGGAAATTCCCGGTTCGGAGAAGTTGTCGGATAAAGACCGAGCAATTGCGGCCAAGGGGCTGGATGGCGAACGCACGCCGACGCTCGCGGATCTAATGGAGCAGCTGGCGGTGCAAAAGGCGCACTTCTTCAAAGTTTCCATGAACGCGGGGCAGAACGACTTCTACGAAAAGGTCGACCCGAAGACGCACCAGATGAGCGTTCTCCTCGCACGACTACTAAAGGGCCAGCGCCAATTCTTGGCAAAGAAGAAAGAGAAAGGCAAAAAGGACAAAGACAAAGGCCACCATAATATTAGGGAAGACGCCGAGGAGCTTTGAGAAAGAAAAAATAGGCCTATAGAGTAGTTCTAGTTTATTGGTAGAGGAAGTGTCGTCATTTGTACTATCTACTGCAACTAAAAAACTACAGTATCAATCAAAATTAAAATTTGTCTTTTGAACCACACAGACACAAATTTGCATTTGAGTTTTTCCAACACTTTCTACCCGTAAAAACCAGCAATAGTGGTGCAAAAAAGATATCATAGTTTCAGTTTTCCACCGCGCCACCAGAAATTCAAATAGATCATGATCATGTCGAAGATCTTCCTCTAGAAAAAAAAACAAGCCGGTATCACGGCGATCTATCGCAGACGACTCTAATATGTGCGTCCCGAAATAGATTGTTCTTGTCCTCCTTGAACCTATTCATCAGCATGAACCGAAGCAATTTTAGAAGTACTAGAGGCACGATTCTAGATGTACCTGTAGGCACGCTGTTTGGAAAAGGGGCGAGTGATAGTCCTCGTGAGTGACAGAGTGAAAGGCTACGATAGAGCAGGCAGCAAGAGAGAGCAGCAAAGAGAGAATTTCAAGAATTTGACGTAATGATAAATCGAGTTTGAGGGAGAGAGTTGAACGTATGACTACGAATGGAATGTAGTTGAGCTGTGCGCGCAGTGACTCGAACAGAATTTCGTGTATTATGGTCGTCGTGATGAAAATAAGTTTACTTTAGTTTAGTTTCCGGAATCTTCGCCGCCTCAAGATTGAAAGTCCAACTGCAGCTACTCGTTTATCTTCATTTGTTTGGAAAAAGAGCTCGCTTCGTCAGACGTTATTTGTGGGATAAAGTGCTATGTGATCGTTTACCAGCAGTGGGGGTGCGATTGGGAATGAAAGCGAACCACGTCAGGAGGATCTCGTCGTCGAGAAATATGGGCAGAAGTCTTCCACTAGAAAAAATGGACACAGGAAAATATTTGTGATTGCAGCTAGTATTTGTATTGCCTGCAGCTAGTAGACCCCATAGTATTAATTCATTACTTCTCCCCGCACATCCACCACCCTCGTTGCACGTCTAGTTCGTACACCTGATGCACTACCATCGTGGTTTGTTTTTGCCCACTGTCGACGTCTGGAAAAATTCTTGGAAGCACGAAATATTAAACATGAACCGAAATAAAAAACGCGCAGAAGAATAGAAGAAATAGGTGTCCGGTGCTCTACAATAAATGCTGTGAATAAGTAATGTGGTCTCCGCATGAGAACTAAACTTCTAGCTCGAACAAAAGAAAGAATTATGGCACCCTCTTCAGCAGCTCCCTTTGCGGTGGCTGCATTCGTAGAACCAGCTCGGACAGTATCCTTGAGCTGAAGTTCCACAACTTAAAGAGACAACACGATTATAGTCGTCTCCCCGAGCATCCCGCCGCGGCAGGAGGGTTGTACTACGACAGTCTCCACTTCTTCTTCTAGTTGCTTGTGATCACAATACCCCACTGCCCACCATGAGCGACGACAAGAAGCAGCTCGTGGCGCTGTACAACTTCGATCCCACGAAGATCGACTGGCCCTTCAAGCGGCAGAAGCCGCTGCCGCTCGTCACCGGTCAGACCATTAAGGTTATGTACGATGACGGCTCCGACTGGCTCCTCGGAATGCTGGTCTCGGACCCCACGCAAAAGGGGTATAGGAGGATTTTTTTCAACTTTTTGTTTTTTCATTTCCTCGATGTATCATAGTCATGCTTGTTTCCGTGTCGCAACATAAACATTTTTCTTTTGAGGTATTTTCCGAAAAACTACACGGTTACGTTGCACGAGTACTACGAGTTGATGAAGGAGTACGCGGATGGCAGCGACGATGGTGCCAGTGACGACAGTGGTGTGTTGAAGCCGGAGCCGGAACGACTCCCGGCGCCCTCGCAGCCGGTGGACAACTTCACCGAGTTTATGCGCCGCGAGAAGGGCGAGGTCGAAGACGACGAAGAGGACACGGATGAGGAACCACCAGGTAAATGAAAGAACTAACTTCTTCTACAACTCGCGCCAATCTCGGTTTTCCTGTCGAGTTTCATTATCATGAAATGTTTCTTGTCCTTGTGCATCTCGCAGCCTACCATGCTTGCTGACATCGGTTTCTCAAACCAGTCGATACTCTTGCTACTTCTAAATATAACAATCAAACAGAGGAGACTAAGGATGCGATTAAGAAGCATCCCGCGTTGAGCACACAGCCGCCCATTTCAACGACGTTGTCGGACCAGAAAGTCAAACTTTTGAAGGACATGCCAAAATTTGACGACAACCAGGAGGCCTCGCTGGATCCAATAAGACCCGAGATCGGAGGTATGATTTTTTTTTATTTGCCGCTTGTTGCGGGAGCGAAACCGAGGAAAGCATCGGAACAAATTTTTGTTCTTTTGCAATGATGAGTAGTTGTGATGTTCTTGATGCGCTACCACTATCTCTATCGACGAGTCGCGTCTGTGCATGATGGTGGTTCTTGCGATGAAGATGATTAGCTCGTTTTTCCTACAACTCTCAGGTCTCGCCGGTTCTCTGGCGGCCATCGCTGAGGGCGCCGTTTTGAACACCGCGAAGGCGGACCAGGATGCCACCCAACGACGGTTGTTGGAAGACGGTGGGAGGATAAGCGACACCCGCGCCTCTACCCCGGCAACCTACACGAGCATCCGGCCGCCCCGGGATTTCGTCCGCAAACACATGGACGTGGACATGCAGCAAACGTATTTGCGTCGGGTCACGCCGTTGGACGAACTGATTAAGAAAAAGGGGCTGCAGGATTTTCATCCACAGGTATGAAAAAGTACGCATGTTTTAATTCATGTATGGAGATCAACACGTGACGTTGTTCAGTTTCAGTATCAGTTGTATAGAATGCTGATCTGGAGGTGAGAACGTATTTTTTTAAAAACACAAATCGGAATAAAAAGCACCATCAACGAACTTTGTCTTTGACTTTCATGTTAAAATCCTATCACCAGATTAACCGCCCGGTCCCCTACGAAGCGGACTTGCGGGTGCGGGCGACGACGTGCCGCATTGCCGCGGGTATCGAACCGCCGCACATGCGTATCGCCTTGGAGAAGGCCCGGACCGCGGGCGCGCGGTGGACGCAGATGTTCCGCCCGGGTCTGAACGACATGGTGAACGAAACGGTGAAGATGGGCGCGGACGCGAGTATTTTGTCGAACTTGTACATGTACGACTACGAGGCGAGGGAGCAGTTCATGAAGCAGCACATCCGGGACGTGAAGGGCGTGTTGTGGTTCGAACTGCAGAGGAGGAAGCAGCACTTGTTCTACATGCGCATGGACTTCGTCGATCTCATGATGTTTCACCCCGACGCCTGGGGTTTCCCGGATGCGCTGCAACAGGTACTAGACGGGGAAGGGATTTTTGTGCGGTAGTGCAACAATTGGTTTTACATACAATTTGCATGCTGCGCATCACAAATTCAATCGACTACTTCCCTAAACAAGGTTTCCGGTGGTGAGGCGACGGATCCTCTGCATGGTTGGTACGCCCAACGCGCACTGGACAACGACCAGGAGATGGAGGAAGCGATTTTCTCATACAAGGTGCGCCAGAGAAAACTTCCGTCGCACGCCTTCCAGGCCTTGGCTCTCGGTAGGAAATATGAAAACGTTGGCTCATATTTGTTTTCATCGGTAATCAATCGTTGTAATTTTTATAGGCTGTTTTTGAATTTTTTGAAATCAACAACATCGGAGGACGATCATCGGAGGAGTACCAGAATTGAATCTCCATACGTGGCAACGCGACAAGGAAATTTCAAACGAAATAATCTGTCAGGTAAAATGCCGGAGTGGGTGATGGAAGCGGGTGAGATTACCGCGGAAGTGCAACAAATCGAGGACATCGACGCTATTCTTGGAGAACCAGGTGCCGCTGATGAGGCGACGGAGGAGGAAGAGGATAGAGTTTCCAATGCCACCGAACCAACGCCGGAAGTTGATCTACCAGATGGCATGCTGCCGGAAGAGCGCGCCGCCGCAGAAGAAGCTGCTGCGAAAAGAGGAAGCAAAAAAGTAGAATGATTTATTTTTATTTTCGAGTCAGCGGATTGAATTTCAATTTTTTTTTTCCTAACAAATTATACTAAAACAGCATGGTAGGGACGACGTGTCGTCCACCTTTCGCAGCATTCACGCAAAGTTGTATTTTTTTGATGAAAGTCTTGCATCAAAAGTCGGTTTGTCCAGCGGCGCGATGGAGTTTTTTTTTTGTCAAAAAATAAAAGTCATGTACTATCAGGTGAAGCAACCGACAAAAGGGCAGCAGCTTACGACGCAGCAAATGTTGGAAGCCGGTCTTGGAGATGAGGAAGACGTGTACCTGAAGGTGAACGATTTGAAATTCGTGAAGCAGCGCACCATTGGTCCGGATGTGTTGGACGTGGTGATGCGCAGCTACAAGTTGAAAGGCACAAACGCCATGCGGTTGATGCTGCGATCTCGCGGCAGCCCGGACAAAACGAGCTCCTCGTTGCCGGTGTCGCCGAAACAAATCAAGGATCTTGCCACGCAGTTGGGGATTCTCGGAAACTACCACTTCTATTGGTATGGATGCAAAAAAAATTTTTTTTTTTCCTTTATTTTCCATGTGCATGACAGCATCGGGGGTAACAAGTTTATGCAGGACGGTTTTATGAGCTAATCCTAATTTAGTGAAGCAACCTGAAAATTAAACGAGAGAGCGCTGCTGGATCACAAGTTCTTTTCTTTTTCTGCCACTAGCATTGAATAAGAATTTTTACATGATCTCAAAATAATCCTCCAGGTACTGTTACTTTGCGCTCCGCTACCCGCTTCCGCCGCACTGGGACTTGATTGTGAAGAACGATGTTCGGTGGTACATCAATTTGGAAACCGAGCACATTCAGCCGATCCACCCCATGGTGGACCAGTTCCGCGAGCACTTGTTATGAAAGTGCACAACTCCCCCACCTCCTTCTCATTTGTCGTGCGAAATACTAAATCCATCCGTGGCCTCTTCGTACTGCTTGCATGACAAATTTCGGAATTCCAAGCCGCACTAGAATCGGTCGTCATTTTGTCATGCAAAAGCTGCATCTATGCCCGAGCTTGTGTTGCCATCTAAATGAGGAGGGGGGGGAGTTGTGCACGCTCACACCTGTCCGACTGCATCCAGAACGACTTTCTGTGGGACTACCGAGGGTTCGTGAAGATAAAGTGCAGCGAGTGCGGGATTCCGGACAGCATCGTCTGGTGCCAGCAGTGCACGGACTACTACTGCATCATGTGCTTCCAGAAGTTGCACAAGTCGAAGCGCGGCCGCAAGCACTGGGTGCAGCCGCTCCCGGGCTGCCGGTACTTGACCGCCTCGGAGGTGCAAATCATGAAGGACTACGTGCCGATGCTGAATGTCGGGTTCACGAACCGGCGAAGGTTTCTTGCCCGGGACAACCAGTCCGACAAAACGGGTTACGAGGGCGGCGACAAGTGGCTGTACTTCACGAAGGACACGTTTGAGCAGGCGTTAGCGATTACACCCGCGAAGCACTGGTTCCTGCAGCGGTTGAACCCGCCGCGGTTGAGCTCGACCAGTGAAGGATACTACTACAATTTCAAGGTAAAAGTAGAGAGATAATTTTTGCTTGTATGTCTCGTCTACTTGTTTCTGCTTAGTGGCAACTAATGATAATTTTTCATGACCATGCAGCAGACCCTCAACAGCAAAATGAAACTTGATTTGATTTTCATCTTCACGAAATATTCTCTATCAGGAAGAAATCGTATGCGACGACCCGGGGCACATTATCCAGAAGGCCAAGGAGCAGAAAGCGCTTTTGTCTATCCAGAAGTTCTGCCGCGGTGCGCTCGCCCGCGCGCAGGTCCGCCGGGAAACCGCCGCGGTGATCGTGATCCAGAAGTACAAGCGCATGTGGGATTGCCAGAAAATCTTCGGTAAACACGGTTCGAACGCGATCATTCTTCGCGGCTGGTACCGCAAGTTCAAAGCGCACCAGGAGAAGGAACTGATGCACAAGCGGGCGTCGCAAATCCAGGCCTTGTTCCGCGGAAAGATCGTGCGCATCTCGATCCAGGACCGAAACTTGGCTGCGACGAAGCTGCAGTCCGCGTTCCGGGGGAGCGTCTGCAGAGTGCATGTGAAGAGATTTCACAAAGCCGCGGACGTGCTGCAGAGGGCGTTTAGAATGTAATTAAATTACCATGTTTTTTTGAATGTTTTGTGTTTGAACTACATGCACTTGATAAATTCAAGGATACCTCTCCCTACGAACTATGACTATCTCTTGCGCACCATGCGACCACAGAGCGCTGTGATGCCAAAATCCTAAACCCCCACCCCAGGTACCTCTACGGGAAGAAGCCGGTCCGGGTGATGAACCAGGCCGCCGCGCGGCTGCAGGCCATGTCCCGCGGCACCCTGACCCGCATGCGCCACAAAAACCTCGTGCACCACACGACCTTGGCGCAGGCGCGGATGCGCGGGTACCTCGGCCGGAAACTGATGAACCACAAGCAGAAGATGGCCACGAAGATCCAGTCGCACTGGCGACGGTGGCAGGCCCAGCTGGCCATGAAGATGCATTTGTACAGTCGGTTGGACGAGATCTACGGCGTCCGCAAGCAGGTGATGAAGGAAAAGTTGTCCGACCTCGCCGCCACCATGATCCAGCGGAACTTCCGCAAGCACAAGGGTTACGAGTACTTCGTCAACGAGAAGCGGGACAAGGCGGAAGCGGACAAGAGAATCTCGACCGTCCTCGTGTCCGCCCTGCTCGGGGCAAGCAACGTGCGGTATTTCGTCCATCCCTGGTTCCGGCACTTGCCCCCGGAAATCCAGGAGGTGCTGGAGCAGATCAAGGCGTCGTTGCAGAGAACTTTAGGCTTGACCCGGGTCACCGGGAAGCTTGCCAACGAGGAGATCGGGACCCGGTCGAAGCGCTGCAGCGCGAAGGACTTAACGTTAGACGAGTCGGAGAACGACCTGGGGACGCACATGCTGGTCACGATTGTGCACCATTTATTGTCCCACATCGACAACGACGTGTTCTCCAACACGGTGAAGTGGTGCTGCTACAACCTGGCGCACTTGTCCACGTCGTTTTTGAAGTGCCCGGCCTACCCCTTCGAAGAGATCACGTTGGGGAAGCAGCCGGACATGCCGGTCCCGCCGCGACCCGGTGAGCCGTTGGAATCGATGTCGCAGGACTACTGCCACATCAACCACCACCACGACCGGATGATGACGGCCACGCCGGAAAACTTCTACGTCTTGTTTCTCGCGAACATGTATGAAATGTAAAAATGTCTGGGTCTGGACGGTCGCAACTTGTGATGCTGCATTTGGATTCCAAAAAAAATTGTATTGCATGAGTAGCAAAGGGAATGTAATTCTTGCTACGCGGATAGGGCATTTGTCATGCGACATAGGCATCAAGAACCCCTCGAAAAATCTGTGATGCTACGGCATGTATCACAGACATCATGGCTCATGCAAAACGTGCATGACAAGTCTCAGAATCTGCCAGACCCAGACATTTTTACACTTGATAACATGCCCCCGCATTTGCGACATGTGTACTTAACCGCCCAGATTTTGATCACCACGAGGCAGGCGCTGGATTTGTCCAGCTTGTCCACCGACGATCACTTCGCGTTCCAGGGCGTGGACGCCACCGTCGGGTCGCAGATCATGGACGTTTTGTCGAAAGAGATGGGTCTGCGGTACCCGTCTGAATGGCCGAAAGCGCACGGGACGGTGTACAGTCTGGCAACGCAGGTTGGGAAATTCATCACGACCTTGCCCGGTTTGGAAGCCGACAAGGACGGCAAGCCGTCGAAACTCGCGGACCCGAAGCAGAACCCGCTGCTGTCCCGCCACGCCTCGGTCGTGATGGGCCCGGAGTACAAGGGCGGGAGACTCAGTTTCTTCAACCGCCCGGCGTGTCTGCGTATCGTGCAGCAGCTGTCGTATCTGATGCGGGACCAGGAAGGGATTATTCGGTACATCCGCAGGAAGAAGGACGCCGAGAAGGAAAAGCAAGACGGCGGCGAGGGGAACGTCCGGCAGAGCCGGTTCATCGCGGTGATTGACAAGTTGTTCGACCTGGCTTACAAGGCGAAGCACGACCACTGCCCGTTCGTCTTAGCCGTTGTGTTATTCCACATGCTGTGCCGCGGGTTGATGGTGAGGACGTACTACCACCGGGCTAGTGTGCAACTCCAAAGCAAATACCGGTACTACAAGGCGACGACGCAGCGGAGGAAGCAGTTGGGCCCGGCTTTACTTCTCCAGAGGTACTGGCGGGGGGTGAAGACCTCGATGAAGACCTACAACATGCTGAATGCGGTCGAATTGGTCCAGCACAACGTGCGCGCGGTGCAGCGAAAGCGAAAGAATCATTCCTTTACCCTCGCGGTCGCGAAGATCCAGCGGTTGTGGCGCGGGGCGGTGATGCGCAAGTGGTTTCGCAAGATGAACCACGCGGCCATCACGATTCAGAAGAACGTGTATCCTGAGCAAATAACGTATCGTACTAGTAGAAATTGCGCTTTTTTCATCAGCATTAATTTGTAATGCGGATGTGGCTTAAGCTTAACAAGAACCAACGAGATTTGTCATGGACGATTGGGATTACTACTAGTACCAGTACGATACTTTTGCAATGCATAACGTGCGGCGGTTGCTGATCTTAGTGGTCTTCAACAAGGAAGGCCGACGGCTTGCGGCGAAATTCAAGCAGGAGTCCCACGCACTGTGCGAGAAGGCAGGGAGAATGACGGAGTCGGAATTTCTCGCGCGGAAAGCAGCGCTGGTCGCAAAGTCCAGAGTCCAACTCCACAAGCACCGAGAAAGGAACATCGACTACCGCCGCATGGTTGCGGTCCACGGGCAGTCGAAGCACGCGCGCGCGAAGAAGAAGGACAACCGCGAGAACATGAAGGGCACGATCCAGCCGGTCCGGCTGTGCTTCTCCGAGCCGCTCACGTTCGCAATCGCGCGCGGGAAGCGCGGGATGCGGGAGCAGGAGATGCTGGCGGGCAAGCTCGCGGTCGGCACCGGGGACAGCGACCAGATGCCGTCGGGCTTCACGAAGACCGCGATCATGACGCTGACCGAAAACGCGAAGCGCTCTTTGGAGAAGACCATGCCGCCCAGCACCAGTCACATGAAGATCCACCCGCTGAAGCGTCGCGGGTCGCAGATCAAGCACGTGTTGCGGGTGGGGAAAAGGCCGCAGGCCCCGACGGTGGCAGAGTCGAAGCTGATCGACGAGGACTTTCTCAGCAACTGGGAAACCAAGCAGTTCCGCACGTCGATTCCGTGGATTCCGAAGTCCGTCGGTCTGCGACTGGTCCAACCACACCAGAAGAACAACTTGCGGGCGACCTATTTCATGGCCTCGGCGTTCTTAGGTACTTCCAACTTTATGTAAGTATGATTTGCACGTGTAATTGGAACTACAGAGTGAAATCTTTATCTTAGGCTAAGATAAAGATTTCAATTCAAAGACAAACACAATCTGACATACTGCATTCAATTTTCCAATTCACCCAAATCAACAGGCGGTCTGCTTTCGCGGGCGGATGACAAGCGACCAGCCCCGTGGTTCCACCGCCTGAAATTACCCAAGCCGCAGGAGCTCCCGGCCGATGTGCAGGAGCACATGGCCGCTGCCGCAAAGATTATTTGCACCAAGATCAACCAGGACGTCACTACGCTGAATACCAAGAACCTCTCTCCGTGGAGAAAGGCGCTGATGTCGGTCGTGATGATCTGGAAGTCCCTGTTCGCCTACGCGGGCGCCAGAACGGTGAAGCCTGCGAAAGCGACGCCGGTGCTCCTTATGAGCAGCAACGAGTCCATGTTCACGTGTGTGTCGTTCTGGTTGTCCAGGTTGTGGATTGAGACGCTAAATCAGTTCACCACCCGAGAAAACCGGTACCGCGGAATCAAGTCGCGACCGAAGTGGGACGTGTTGGAGACGCTCGAATACCGGTGCGTCGGCGAGAAGTTCGGCTTCGCGGTGAACGACCCGGCGAGGGATAAAGTGCAGCCCGCGACGGCTTCCGCGAACAGCGTGAAGGCGGCGAACCTGCAGGACTTTTTGGAGGAGGTGCTGGCTTTGCGATTTGCCTCCGAAATGCTGATGGAGTCCAACCGGGATGCGGAGGAACACATGGACCACTTCATGAAGCGCAAGGAAAAGGCAAAGAAAGTCAGGAAAGTCGGTGCGGACAAGAACAAGGCGGCTGCCGCGGTAACGGGGGTAGATGCCAACAGACAGGCACTGGACAGCTTCACGGGGTCTTCCTGGACGGAAGATGCGGAGGTAGAAGATAGTTGGGTTTTGCGGCAGCGCGACTGTTTTTTACGGCCATTTCTAGATTGAAAAAATAAAAAAATCTGACAACATTACATTGTGATTTTTGCCATACAGAGACATGATCCCAAACTCCTCCTCAGGTCCGCTCGATTTCCAAGCACATTTCTCTCCTCCTCGGTGCGCTCGAGGGCACGGATGCCCACCTCCAGGGTTACACCGTCGTCTCCCAATTGGTCCTCGCGTGCTTCCGCGGGCTGCAGCCCATGTTCGAGGCCAACGCGATCAAGGCGGTCAACGAGATCAACGTGCGACACATCCAGCAGTGCCAGATCCCAATCCCGAAGCCAGAGCACCCGGACGACGGACTGAACACGCACAATTTTGCGTTGATGTCGCAGTCCTACGAGAAGACCGACCCGGAGAAGGCACAGCAGATCCTCAACGCCGCGCCAACGGCTATTCTCGCGCTGGTCTGCAAGCTGCAGGCGAACTTCAAGGGTTTTATGCTCCGCGCGCGGTACTCACACCGCGTGAAAGTTATCTGCGGGTACTGCAAGGAGATCGACTGGCCGCGGGCGCTCGGCGACGAGCCGGATGAGGACGAAGACGAGCTGACGGCCTTGACCAGGAAAGCGAACAAGAAGCTACGCAGTTGACATCAAAAGTGTCGTACTAGTAGTCATTGCGATGCTGCATGACACATCTGCTTTCTTACCCAACTCCGCATGAGAAATTTCATACTTTCTTCCTAAAAAATTGTTTGGCATGCGAATTGTACTTCTAAGACGATGCTTTTGCAATGCATAGAGGAAGGACTCCGGCAAAACCCTCGACGAAAAGATTGCCACCTACCAGCCGGTCGTGTCCCAGTACCTCGGTGGCCAGGGCCTGGAGGCGGAGAAGAAGCAGAAGGAGCTGAAGCGGCCGGGCGCGTTGTCCAAGCAGGAACAAGTCGGTATGCCGGAAAGGGGGGAAAAAGGCGCGATCCCGGTCGAGACGCTGCAGGACTTGCCGCAGGTGAGGATTACCGCGGATCACCGGGCGTGCGCGGATTTATACGCGCTCTACGTGTACAACATGTACCGGCGACGGGAGATGGCGAAGATCTGGAAGGCGCTGTCCTTCGCATACGACACGGTGGTGAGGAATTTCGTTTCCTTATTGGAGAAGAACGCCTCTTTGAAACCCATGGTCGAATCCGTGTCCGCGCAGCTCAAGCGCGGCCGCGCCATCGGGTTCTCCAAGGCCTACGTCCCGAAGTCCGAAGCCGCGGGCGCGGGCGGCGACGCGACTGGTGCGCCGGGCCGGATCAAACCGGTCGAAACGGAGCTGTTCCACAGAAAACCCACCGCGGGTTCCACATCCACCTCCCAGGCCCCGGGCTCCCGCCAGTCCGGCGTCGGCCTGTCCGCGGCCGCGCAGCGCGCCGGCGGGCAGCTTGATGCGGATGACCAGGACATGTCGCCGACAGCCAGGAGGCAGGCGTCGGAAGCGGCGCTAGAGCCGGAACGACCGGAGTCGAAGTCGCAGGAGGAGGAGCAGCAGATGGAGAGACCACCGGATCCAAACGCCATTCAGCTCTCCGGAGACTACCTGACAAGGTACTTGGAAGAAACAAACGGTATGCATTGCAAATAAGTCTGGGTCTGGAAAAATAAACTTGTGATGGTGCAAGTCCGTGAACAGTATAGTGCTCTGTAAAAATGCACCGCCAAGCATGACAAGTTTTTTCGTGCTTCTGTGCTGCGTATTTCGCATGAGAGACTGCGCTTTTGCATGACAGGCAAGAGGGCCTCTTGGTGGCCACGCAATACAGACTGCAGAGTCATGCCAGACTAGCATGACAAATCTTGCAATCTTCCAGACCCAGACCACACATTTGCATTTGATAAACGGCGACGACTCGCAGTTTAAAGACATCGAGCCGGCGGTGATTCCCTTCTCCACGGGAACCTCGCCGAGGCGACTATCGCAAGAAAAAACTGTTCCACTGTGAACTTGTGATGCAGACAATGGAACACAGAACTTAACTATTTGCCTTGCTACACCTCCCTGCAAGCCGTTGGATTTTTAAGCGTATTTTCCCTTGGGAAACGCGCGCGGCAAATTTTCTGTGTCATGTGTAACAAACTTGTGATGCGGTTCCTCTTCCTGCGAAATCATCACAGTGAAACGGTTTTTTCGTGGGATAACGAGAACGACCCGACGAATACCTGTTTCGCGAGGACTACATGCAGAAGAAGGCCGAAGAGGAGATGGCAGCCGCGGGCGACGACCCGGCCGCGCAGGCGGCGGTCGCGACGAAACTGAAGCAGGACGCGGCGGACAAGCCGTACGAAAAGGTCCCGACCCCGAACGTGACGGTGGACTGGTGCAAGGGAAAGCTGAAGCCCATGTGGCTGCCGATCAAGGCCCACCGGTTCACGGCGTGCCGCTCGAAGGTGTTGCAGTTGCTGCCCGCGAAGCAACTCGAGCAGTACATCGAGCACGAGAAGCAGTGTCACTACGCCGCTTGCATCAAGTTGTTGGAAACGTGCGTCCCGGGCAACCTGAACGTCTTCCAGCCCTCGCAGCTGGTCGCAAACCGGCCTCTGCTGATCGAGACGATCTTCCAACTCCTCGTCGGTTACATCGGTTTGTGTTTGAAGAACAGCGACTCCGCCGCCGCGGCGAGGCTCTGTTTGCAGACATTGGAGGCGATGCAGACGGCTTTGAGGGATTTGCACCCGGCGCACCGTGCGGTTTTGGAGGCTTACCTCTACGACACGGCCCTCTCTGTCGCCTACTATTCCCCCCAAGACGTGCAGCTGGCCAGCAAGGCGGAATCCTTCTTCCAGCAGGCAAGCCAGCGGTACTTGAAGCTGAAACACGTCAATCGGTTCGCGAAGTGCTGCCTGCGGTACGGATCGGTTTTGTTCCTGCAGAACCACCATCACGAAGCAGAATACTTCCTGCAGCAGGCTCTGAACAAGCTGACAAACTCCGGAGTGTCGTCTCTACTAGTCGTGTGCTACCACAATCTCGCGGTCGAGACCGCCGTGCAGGACCGGTTGCCCGATGCCGGTAGTCATATGCGGACCTACATCTCGCTGTTGCGCCAGATGTCGAAGCTGTCCAACCAGTGGATCCAGAAGGCGGACAACACGCAGTGGCTGTTGCTGAAGCTAACGGATCTCTGGCCGGCGCACCAAGCCAGGTTGAACGCCGGGATGGTGTCGTGAGCGGAGCGGGGGATCGACTGGAGAGAGTAGTAGACGAGAAATCTACTTCTAAGAGTCAGAAAATGACAAAGGGGAAATGTAAAAAGTGGTATAATTTCAACAACAACAAACGAACCTGGATACAGACGTGACGTACAATCAGGACATTACGGAAAATTTCAGAAAAATCGAATGAAGCTGTACAATATGAGATAGAGTCAGACAGAAAACGCATAAGAATGCAGAGTCAAGAGTTACCGTTTCGACGTTTCGAAAAAATGCAGTTTTTAGTATCAGACCAAATAACGCAAGATGCTTGATCGTGCTCTTACGCACAGGCAGTATCAAGCCTTGTTGGGAGCATCTCACTTCGGAGGGCCCCAACTTGTTAAGATTAGCAGAGAATACAGATCAGACTTTCCAATTTTACAACTTGTTTAGCAGACTTAACATTTCTTGTTTCTATGAATCACAACTTTCAGACAGTTTCAGTCTCGGTGAGGAGCTGAAACTCTATCGAGAATAAAAGTTTACCCATTAGTTTCAGACACACGACAACGTCCGCAGTGTCAGACCGGACGAGCGATTTCAGGTTTATTGGTTTATTGATGCATAACAGATTTCCAATATTAGCAGTTGATATTTATTCGAGCTTGATGTCTGCCGCGACCGTTTCGTCGCAGCAGGCAAAAACATTACTATTCTATCGCAGACACGATTACGATTTACCAAACCTAGAGAAAATGGAATGCTAGATCACCAGCCAGAAGTCCATCGTCTTTTGCGAAAGCGCGATGACATCGATGTTTGTTATACTTGTTTCCCGGCCGCATCGCTCAGACGATGTCAGTCACTAACGAATAAATTTGATTTTACAGACGCCTGGAGCAGTAGTTTGTGTATCTATGACGAAATTTGCAATGTAGTCTTCAACAACTGTATTGTGTGAGAATCGGAAATACGAATGTCGTACGGATTAGCAATTTAGTTTTGAGCTGTTTTCTTAGCGTGATATCAGACCAGTTTTATTAGAAATCAGACAATATTAATTTAGCATTACCAGCACCACGTTCGAGCAAATGAAAAATTCTGTTACAATAGGATTGTTTTCTGTTTCTGAGACTTATTCAAAATGCTTTGAATATGAACAAACTTAATTCGATGCAATTGTACATAGTCAATGAAGAAAAACAAGGACGTCGAGCAGGCCGGTGACGTGAAAAGCGATCGAATTTTTGTACGGGTGGTGTGGTGTTCGATCATCTTCTGAGCGTTGTTGAATGACGATGAAGGATGAGCGTGTTAGTGTTAGAGCAAGTTGTGAGACAGAGACGGAGCGAGTTGGATGTGTGTTGAGCCGGAGATCACATGATGTGTGATTGATCCCAAAGAGAGGGATGCTTAGCTGTGCGCCCGAGATGGAAGCCCGACGCGCCCCGTGTTCCCGTGAGTGTGACCGTGTGGGCGGGCGTCGCTCGGCGGTTTGTCCGCAGTTTGCCAAAGTTGGCGAGGTGTTTGAGCTTTGCGCCGCAGCCACCGCGCGTCGTACGTCCTTGGGCGGAGAAACGTGACGAAGCGCAAGGCCGGGGGGCCGCGGACATGTCGAGGTCGTGACCATTCCGGAAGCCTGGGCTCGGCGGCGCGGCCCATGCAAAAAATCGGGCGCAAACCGGGGGCAGTCACGGAAAAAGATAAAGCATGGCGGCCGCCGCGCTTGCTTGCTTTCTCGACTGCGCGCCTGCCTGCGCGGTAGGGTTGCCCGAGCTGGCCACGCGCAGGCGCAAAGCCCGGGCGCCCTGCCCCTCTTGGCTGCCCGGCGCCGGCCCGCCTGTTCCTCGCCCCCGTGGCGTGCCCCCAGCTGCTCGGGCGGTGTGGCGCCCCCCCGGAAAGGCGGGCGCTTCTGGGTTCGGAGGTGGCGGCGGGCTTGTTGTGGTGTTCTCCCGCCCGCCGATTGGCGTGGGGCCGGGCGCGATGCCGCCCGCCCGGCGCGCCCATTGCAGCAGGAGGCCTATTGTACACTTCTACCCGGGGCCGGCATTGTTGGGCTCGTTGTCCATGGTGGCCTCAGTGGCATGCTATCTGCAGCGGCGCGAGCGTGGTGGCGTTATCGCCCCGTCGCAGCTTTTTTTCGCAGGCAGTCAGCCGGAAGGGCGCAGCAACAACGTATGTCGCGAAAACTGTGGCTAGACTCTGGCTCGTTGGCGTTTGTGGTTTTCGTGCTGGTGGTCCAGAAAATGTGTTTCGACAGGTTTGTGTTTGCGTGAGACCGGTTGGTGTTTTCCTATCCACCCGAGTCGTGTGTTTTCCTGGGGGTTGTTAGACGTATCTTTCTTCGTGGCGCCCTTGTTTTCGGTGTGATTTTTGCAGATAAATTGCGGTGGCAGTGGGCGAATAGGTGGTTTGAAAGCGTGCAGCAGAATCTTATCAGCGAGGGAGTGGTAGTGACCAATATCAGAAAGTTCTCCAGTGTGACTGAAAGCCCTAAGTAGCGGACGCAAACCCGATTCCACGAGAGGGATGCATTTGAGAGTGTTTTGTGTCACGAGCTAGTCGGTACATTTGTGCCGCAATCCCGTAAATTTTGCGTTTGGTATAACAAGAAGTAGTCACACAGCACTCAAACGCTTGCAGGCGCAGCAGCGGCGGTGAGTGCACCGCAATGTTGTGGCACCTCTGCAGCTCGAAAAAAATAATGAAGCTTTCTTGAAAGAGCTATCGCGTCCTCGGGACACCCGGTGCGCCACCAGCCTTCGAAGATGGAATTCGGCCCCCACATAACGACCGATCCTCCATCTGGAGTTGGCGCACCATCCAGTCAGGTCGGCGAAGTTTCCTGGGAACCGCTCCGTGGCATCAACGACAGCCAGCAGTATGGGCCGTTTTCGCCTGAAAGCAAGCGCGGGTCCATTGCTAGCACGCATGACACGATGCAGAAGAGGAGGTTTTTGCCGGAGAGTCCCCAAAAGCAGTTGCTGCGGCGACACTCGCAAATGTCCGTCGGGGCCGCGGCTGCAGCGGAAAGGGGCAGTCACAGCATCGAGGTAAAATTTTTAGTAGGCTCACAGCCGTAAAAATATTTACCCGTTTTCGAGTACGCATGTCTGTGCAGCCAGAAAAAAAGCATATTTTCCACTGCGCAACTACCCAAAATGTTGGCATCACAGCTGCAGCACCAGGGAGGACTAGATGGTGGCGGCGAAGGGACCACTAGTCCTCCCAGTAAGGCACTTCGTCGTGGGCAAAGCAGTCTTCTCGTCACACCGTCGCTCGGTGCGGTTGCGGAGGTCCCCCAGCGCAAAAGTTTCGTGCAGAGCATCTTTGGCCGCGTCTCCCTCGCGGGCAACATGATGTCGAGTCAGCAGCCGGCGACCGCCAGTGCGGAGAGGAAAGCCCAAACCACGTCGCAAAACACGGACGAAGAGGCCGCCTCACACGCAGAGGCGCTCACACGGAGCAACTCGGCGGAGGGTTTTCAGGAGCGAGAGCCACAGAGCGCAGTATTGTTTTTTGTCTTGTGTCTTGCGAACTAGAGGCTCAGGTTTAGTTTTGTATTTTCATCTCTTGCGTTAGCGTTGCTACTGTGTTTGGCTGCACATCATTATGGCTCTTGCAACTCACTTGATGGTTCCAAATTAGGTCTCCTTCATCGCACCACTCGCTCCGCCAAGCCTCACGAGCAGTTTTGCCGGTAATGCGCCCAGTTTTGCCCCGGGAAAGCAGCTCCTGAAGCGGTACGAAATAGAACTGCGGTCGTGGTGTGCTTTCGTGTTTGCCATTTTGTCTTTCTCTCTCGCGCTGGCGCTCGGTTTCTCTGGGCTTCCTCCGCTTACTTATTTTTTTCAAGACTTTCACTTTGCAATAATACATAGTAAAAGTAATACGTCATATCAGGTCCTCCACCCAATTTTCCCAGAGCAGCGCCTGGGGCGGCGATGTCGGCCCTTTGCTCAACGACCGACTGAATGACAAACTGCAGGAGTTTCTGCCCACGGGGGCGCACAAGAGGAAATCTTTTCTCGGTGGGCCCCCAGGTTTGCCAGGAAGTATGAGCAACACAAATCTGGCCGTTACGGACATGCTTTCCCAGCAGGTCGACCGGGAGGATCGGGCACAGTTGATGCGGGCAGTAACCACCGGCTTTTCTGTGGAAGCCGGAGGATTTGAAGACGAGGAGGACTACCAATTCGACTTCTACGCCTGGCTGTACACGCGGAAGATTCTGATATGGTACATTTCATCATCCTTGTGCGACTTTGCTGAACAAGAAACCACCATGGCAATCTGAGGTCTACTGCTTTTGTTGTGAAAAATTTGCAAATTTCCATTTCCCCACCACAGGCTCTTCCTCGAGGAGCCCTTTCTCTCCCGCCGCACGACCATGTATTCCCTGTGCATCCTGGGCTGCATTGTCACCGCCCTGTTTCTGTCCATTCAGAATTTGAAGTACACGTTTGTCCCCGACGCGGACAACTTCCTCTTCCAGGAGGGCGATTTATCGGAAGACCTGTCCCACGGCGACACTGCGGCGTGGTTGAAAATGATCACCGTGACGGTTTTAACCCTAGAAACCATCGTCCGCGTAATCGTGGTGCCGGTGAAATCCGTGTTTTTTCTGCAGCCCTACGGAATTTGCGACATTTTCGCGATTTTACCCTTCTGGCTGAACGACGTGTGCAAGTTGTCGGAACACGTCCGGATCTTCCACATATTAACCCTCTTCTCCTCCCTATTCTGGCTGCTGAAGCTCTGCCGCTACTTCTCGGGCTGGCACTTGCTACACAGAAGTTTATCGGACTCGATGCGGGCACTGCAGATCCCGGCGTTTTTCTTGCTCATCATCGTGTTCATCGGCTCCTGCAGCATCTTCTGGGCCGAGCAGGACGTGACGGAATTCTGCGGTCCGGAGGTGAACGTGCAAGACTACTTAACGGAGTCCGCGGCCCAGGAAGACTGTGGCAGGCAGGTGAATTCTCTCACCGACGCGATGCTGTTTTGCATCGTCTGTGTGATCAGTATCGACGTCTCACCCGCTTTCGGGATCGAGGTGAAGTCCGAAGTGGGGCGATTATTCGCGGTCGCGATGATGATAGCCGGGGTGATCTTCATGGCGATGCCAATCGCGATCGTCGGCACGACGTTTTCGGAAATTTGGTTCAACCGGGATCAGTATGTGTTGATCCAGAAGGTCAGGAATCGCATGTCGCAGCAGGGCTACAGCATGGCGGACTTGCGGGAAGTTTTCGACGAAGTAGACGAGGATGAATCTGGAGAAATCGAGTTCGGCGAATTCCGCACGATGCTCGAAGCGTTCCACTTCAACAGCTTGAAAACCGCGCATAAGCTTTTCAACTACTTCGACAGCACCGGCTCTGGATCCATAACTTTTCAAGAATTCGCCTGCGGGATCTTCCCAGAAGTAGCGGAGCAGGACTTGGAGAATATTTTAGGTTTGGGAGACGAAGACTTCCTCATAGGGGGGCATGGTGCGGGGGCCGGACTAGGAGATAACAGCAGCTCTGGATCCGGGGTAGGGAACAACGCGCTGGCTGATTTCCTGAATCCCGAGAGCTGTAGTTCTGATAGCGATGATTCCTCGGACAATTCAGACGACAATGACAACGCGGACGACCATACGAAAGGAGATCAGGGCTCCGAGGAGGGCGGTGCGGGAGCTGGTGCAGGAGATAACCATTCCGCAACATCTGATACTAAACGGGACGTCGACAAGAACAATTCCGTTTCCGACAGCGAGCTTGTAGCAGAAAATCGAGACAACTCTCTCGTCAAGAAGAATCGCTCGTCCGCATCTTCGACAAAAGGCAAAAAGAAAAACCGCGCGTCCGCGAAAAGCGAGCACAGTGCAGCCGACGAAGTGAGTTTGCCATCATCCGACGAGGCGGCTGGAGGTGCGGGGGAAAAAATCGTATCTAGTCCGAGGGACTCGTGGAAGAAAAACATCAAAAAAGGGAGAAATTCTGGACCAGGTTATGAAAATAGTGGTTCTGGTGGTAGACCACCAGGGACAACAAGTGGAGCCTCACCCTCCTCGCCAAAGAACAAAAACGCCTTTGGTTTCAAAGCATTCACCACTTCCTCCACCGCGACGACGTCTAATTACCATCAGCAGCAATACGACCGGAATAGGTTGACGGAATCGATTGAGTCTTCCGCTTTCTCCATGGCGTCCCCCCACTCCCCCCAGCACAACAGAAACTTCGGCGGGGGACAACTTGGTGGCCCGACGTTACTCGCCGGCTCCACGACGCCCAGCGTGATGCTGGACGGGAACCAATTTCTCCGCGAGTCCACAGCGACCAATAGAGGCGGCGGCGGTGCCACATCAGGTGGAAACCACCACCACAGAGGTGGGCCCCCAACGGACGATTTCGGGATGACGAGTTCGCAGGCGGTTCCCGCCACCTACAGCAATTTTCGCGGGAGCACCGGCTATATTGGCGGAGGGCCCGGTCCGCCGGGAGGTGGAAATAACAACAACCTCGCGGTTGGCCCGCAATCCTCGGACGTGGCCCGAGACAACAGCTTCAATTCCAACGAACACGACCCGTCCTACGACGAACTATTACCCGGGCAGGACGAAAAGGAGCCCGCAAAAGTGAAGCTGCAAAGGTCACTGAACCGTGCGAAGGATAAGTTGATCAAAAACACGAGGAAGAGCAACAATAAGGACAATACCCACGAGCAGCAGGAGGGGAGTAATATGCAGCCGAACAGAAATAATACCCTCACGGTTACGAAAAACCTGTCCACCGGCCGTAGTCAACAGCACGGCCTAGGAGTTCCCGGCGGGGGTGGGGGTGGTGCGACTCGAGGGCTGTACGGGGGCGGCGCGGCGGGTCACTACGGAAATAAATCTGGCGCGCCACTGCACTTTTTGGCGGGCGGGACCATGAATATGAAGCAGGGTGCGGAAATCCAGCAACTGCAGCAGTACGTGCAGAAACTCGGGCAGAGGCTGACGTCTCTGGAGGTGAAAACGGACGAGAATCAGCGCAAGATGCTCTACATGCTGTCCGTGCTCTGCGAGCATGTGGGCGCGGAGGTGGACTTCACCCAAATGCCCGGAACCATGAAGAAAATGAACAACAAACTCCTCGCGGCACCGTCTGACGGAAACAAACGGTCCAGCGAAAACAAACCACGCTCGAGCGGTTTGAGGGTATTATAGCTGGATTTTATGGCAGCAGCATTTGTTTACATTCTTTTTCTTTGATGAGACTTTCGACCTCTACTAACAAATTCAATAGGGCTGTATTCTAGTATATCTTCAGCGGAGGCCGCGGGCTTTCACCGAGAAAAATTTCAAAAACCACACTTATCCAATCATGTTGATTGTACACCTACCCAATAGGACGGCGACTTCGACGAACCTTCAACGAGTCCTTCCGGCGGTGGTAAACCGACGCAGAGCCACAGCACACGGTCGATCCAGGTTCCCGCAGGATTGCTGCGCGAGTCTCTGAACCCCCGCACGCTCAACTCCCACGCGCCGAGCGTAATTCAGAGCTCGGACCGGCTATCCAGCTACCGCGGATTGGCCGCGACCTTTCGGACCGGTGGGGTGAAACAAGACCACACCAGCAGTAGCCTGGCCAGCAAGGGTGCCGGGGGCCGCCGGCAGTCGCACGCGAGCATTTTCACGGCAGCACCACCAAAACCTAGGAGGGGAAGCAACTCCAACGACACCGCCGGCGGGTTAGCGGTCGGGCCGCTAGTGAGTTTGCAACAGGCAGGTGGAGCAGGGGACGTCGTTGGAAAGACCACAACTTCGCCGAGTACTAGTGGTGGCGCTCAGGGAGAGCAAGGCAAAAAAGACGCTGGCGGCGGCGCTGGTGGAAACAATATGCTGAACATTGCGAGCCAGATGTTCGGGGTTCGGCGCTCGTCCAACAGTCAGCAGCCACCGGAAACTGGGATCTTCACCGCAAGACGGGGCTCGAACAACGGGAACGGTGGGATGATGTCCAGGAGGACTTCTAACGCTGGCGGGACTGCACCACAGCCTCCGCCTTTACCACCCCAGCCCCCGGACGGCGGGGAGGAGAGGAAATAGCTGGGGTGTGGTGCTCAAAAAAAGGCGGGTACAAACGGATCGTAAAAATTAAAATTGAAATTTCAAATCAGAACAAAAAAACCTAATATCGATAGACACGAGTGATAGTGAACAATGGATAACAGATACAGAGCGGGTAACAGGTATTTGACGAGTTACGTCCCAGAAGTGCATCAGCGTCAGGCCTTGCCATCGTCCATTATAGTCCCAAATTTAATAGTGATATAGTGATTTATTGTGCCGGAAAAGCAAATTTTGTTTCAACGACTAACTCACAAGAAGCTCGGTGGAAAATCTTCAAAATGGAAGAGCAAATTCATTGTCTACTTAGTACGCTGCAAAAGCGAACTTGGAAGTAGAAAGAAGAGAATCTCGAGACACAGAAGGGCTGCCTGTTACGGCATCATGGTTAACTATTATCCTATGTTATCAATCTACCAAATCATCATGTTTCAAACTAACGAAAAAATCACGTTTCAAGCTAACATCAAAAATGTACTATGTAGCGTGAAGTGCTCCCAGTCCTCCCAATGAAAGTAACTGACACTGTATAGAAAGAATAAACATATGCGAATAGACACAGGAGACGACACCTCTGAAAATAAACAGAGACTGTAAAATTGCACGTGCTAGTTTATAATCTTCTGTCACTTGCTCACGTCTACTCCATAGCTTGTTGCTTTGTTAGGTAGCGGCTTCTATTGGACCCGCTCGCCCTCGCGTCGCGCATGATAGGGCGAGATGAAGTATATGTTGTTCACTTTTTTTTTGAGCGCCTCTTTGGTAGTTTGTTTCATTTTTTCACAACCTGAGAGTGACGTGAGAGTTTTTTTGCCGCAGCGGCAATTTACAGCAGATGAAAGGTTCACGGTCCAGCTTTCGCAGGTTTCTGTTTTTTGGGTCTGGTTCGACACACATCAATCAAAAAACCAGCCTGCTGTCCGGTGAAATTTGCTTTTTTCTCAAAGAATCTGAATCCAGAGCTTTTGAAGATCTCCACAAGATGATCCTGTTGCTGTCGGTCTAAGTATTGCTCGTTCCTTCGGTCAACGACTCATCATACAACTTATTCCATCAAGAACTCTTTCTCTTTCTCATTCTCTGTCGATGCGCGATCATCAAAATCATGCTTAGCACGACAGCACGGCTGAAAATCTGTAGTTGACCACGCAACTACATTGATACGGCCTTGCTTGCGCGGCCCAGGCAGCACTACGCTTGGTTCTGTATCCATCAGTACTAGAGTAGATCATGCCTCCGCTAACGCTTCTGAACGACCGGGCCACAACGCCCAACGACAAAAAGCCGAAGTCGCCCAGCACCCGAACAAACCAGGTCACCTCGCCCTCCTCCGGCAGCAAACAACAGGTCAACCCGAACAACATTCGTGGCTCGGTGAAACTCTTCAAGAACATTGTGTCCCCCGAGGGAGTCCAGTCGCATGACAGGACGGTCGCGGGTAAATCTATTCCGGAGCTGTACTACGGAGGACCAACCGCCGGAGGTGATCACCATGGTGGTGCGCGGACTGCGGAGGGGTCCAAGGCCAAGTCTTTCCACGGTTCGAAAGCGATCTCTTCGGCGCCAAGGTCGAAAAAAACCTCGAAGGAGAGCGTGACCTTTTCCCGAAGCAGTAGTAAGAAGTTTTACAACCGAGGAGAACAGGTGCGATATGTCTACGCGCCAAGACCGCCAAAGCCGTGGGAACTGGTATGAGTATGGAAATATATTGCTTTTGGATTTTGCATGAGTTTCTATTTCTTTGGGATTCGCGGCATCGTATTAGCGCCATCAATCTTCAATTCAAATTCTGCGCAGGTGATATAATCTGGGTTCTTTCTTTAACTTTGGAAAAAAATCTTCATCAGATCGAACAGCGGCAGGCATCCAAGAAGAGCAGTCGGCACCACCATCACGGTTGGCACCATTTCCTCGCAAGACTGCACGTGGTCGAAGAGAGTGAGTCCGACTGGTCAGAAGACACAGAGACGAGGAAGCAGAAGCACAAAATGCCAACAAATCCACGAAAGAACGTCTGCTTCTGGTTCCTCATACCAACGGGAATTTTCGTCACCGGTATAGATTACTTCGTTAGAAGAAGATTTGGTTTGCCACGCTGACTAAAACTGCGATTTTTTTTTGGATGAGAAATTCAATCTTCGAGAATGAGAAATATTGCATGATTCTCCCTTGTTGAATGAGTGACACGCTACTTGCAACATGCATGGCCGCTTCCAATGAAGACGATATTTCATCGCGTCAAAATGAAAATCTCCACCAGGCGTGATTCTGATGATGGTGTACTTCGCCGCTATGGGCAATCTTCTTCCGCGCAAGGAATCCACCTGCACCACGATTGGGTACAAACCGGGGCACAAGTGCGAGGAGTGTCTGTTTGAGTTGTATCCACAGTAAACCTCCCGTACACGTACCAAAAATGCGGTTTCTGCATGACAAAACTTTCTTTCTATCCTAATCAGCATGACAAGGTGCATGCTCTTCCAAGGTGGTGAAATTTGTGATGCATTTTGTATATGTGCAGGAGAGGAAATTTGTGTTGCATAGTTTGCAGGTGGAAGGTCACGGGCAGGCGTATTTCCACCTGAAATTTGACGACGACGGGAAGCCGCACGACGAACCGTTTCGGGAATTGTGTCCGCCCACCACGAACTGCTGCCATTTTATCACGACCGAGATTGACGGGCAGGGCAGAGAGAAATTTTGCGATGAGGACCCCTGGTCGTGCACTTTCACGGTACTATTCATTTGTGAACCAAGTCCGATTCGTAGTTTAAAGTTTGATAGACCAACCTTGTGATGCATGATCATTCATTAACTAACACTATTTTATTCATCGATTAGTGCAGTAAAACTTCGGTTGCACCGCCAGCACTTTGATTGATGGATCGAAAAACAAAAACCTAGCTCTCCCACGGCAACCAAACCCCGACGCAAATCGAGTCCGGCAGCATGATTACGCAGTTCAATGTGATTCTCGCGTTCGGGTTGCTGTGCCTGCTGCTGTTTTTCCCAATCTCCCTCTACTACCGCACGGTCATGATGTATCGCAAGAAAAAAGTGTTACAGTTACACATTGTGGTAGTGTTGCAGACCAAGCAAGACAGACAAGCTCTGTCATGCCGGATATGCATAGGAGCCTCGTTTCATACGTGTTTTCCCGTAGGATTTCTGCATTACAAGTTTTCTCTCTCATACAGAGAAATTTGTGTTGCTGAATTGACTACAAATGTGTAACTGTAACACTTTTTTCGTGGGATATGATGCGAGAGTACCACGACCAACTGCAGTACTACATGGATGAGACGGAGAGAAACTTCGCCCAGCGGGACCGGGAAGTGCTGGAGTTGCAAGAGCTAGAGGAAGCGGAGAAATCGGAGAATTTTGCAAAGCGTTATGCATTGCAAGAATATCGTACTACGTATAAATTGCATGGCAAATTTTCTCAGAAAGAGAAACGAAATTTGTAATGCGGATTAATAAGCTTAAAATGAATTTGTAATGCATGTCTGCGATTGAAAATGGAATACGTACGAGTATGGTACTTCTGCAATGCATAAGCTTGGCGCTATCACCATGCAGATGGCGCAGGCCGCGGGAAACGCGTTATCCTGTGCAAAAGTATCGTACTCGTAGTAATCGCAGTCATGCATTACAAATCTCCATCACAAGGCAAAACAGCATGACAGATTCCATTTGTCGTGCTGAGCTAATTTGTCTTGCGATTACTACTAGTACGATACTTTTGCAGTTCATACGCGTCGTCCGCGAACAACACGGGGTCGAGTTTTCACGGCTCCAACGCCTCCTCCGCCGTGGGCGCCTACGGAGCCAGTCCGCGGAGCGGGGCCAGTCCGAGGAGCCAGGGCGGGAAGAGGAAAAAAGAGGTGCAGCAGTAGAGCACCAGGTCAGCAGCGAAAGAGATGATCAACACCATATCTGTCTTCTACACTAAGAAAGTCTACACTGGCCGTTTCTTTGTTCTTGCTCGGGTACTTGTTGTAATTCAGATTGAACTTCTAACAAATCTCGATGATAACATGAATATTTATTGCAGGATCCGAATGTTGCCATATCTCATTCTCAATGTATAATCTATCTTTGGGCTCGCTACACAGCATCATCGAACACCGAAAACATGTAGATATGGCAGTCCTCATACCTTTCCGTAAACGGTACCAGTAAGAAAATCGGACGAAAAAAATGGAGTCACCATTACTTTACCGTCTTCGGGATATCATGCTAATTAATGATGAAGCGTGTCTAAGTTGTTCTTGTATGATACGTCGTAATACAATAGCACAAATCGAAAAATGGAAATTCACGGAATAATCCTTGTCCACCTGCAGGTGATTACCTTGTACATTTTTGAAATCTCCAGTTGCAAATGTAGGTGTACATCATCATGGACAAAGATAAAACGATGCCAGCATATGGCCTGCGGTTTGTTATTGTTTTCACGCGGCCTCACAGTGTGGAGTCGTCCTGGCAACGGCATTCCTTCTCCACGTCTTCATGGTCGCGGAAAGTCGTTCATCTTCTGTCGGTCGTGCAAGAACTGAACTGTCGTAAAACCGTTGCTTTTTTTGGATCATCGTCATTGATGATGTGATCGCGCTTGCAATTCTTGCGGTCAACAGCAGAAGATCTCCACATTTATACGAAGGTTTACTTCTTACTTGTTTTCATGCACGACCGATAATTCAACCTTTTATCTGCTCAACCTTTATTCCTGAAAAATGTAGCGGGGCCGGCCGCGATGGTGGAAGATGAGAGGGCAGCACAACCGCGCCGGTCTTACGATCGTGCTGCTCTTGCGGTAAGAGCTCTTCCAGCGAAGACCCGTCGATCTCCATTTGTGTGGCGCACCTCTGCAGGAGCCTTTGAGTGTTGAGACAAAAGGTAAAAAACTCGGGCGGCAGGGGCTCCTGCCACGACAGCGCGCCGCGGGAGTGTGTTGGACAAGCAGAAGTTTCTGCGCAAGTACAAAAAAGTCATGGGCGCCTTAATTCGGCGGAAAGGCGTGGACTATTTGGTCCTTTCGCTTTTCGTGATCTACCTCGCCGGCATCACCGCACGAAAATTTTACCAACTGGTTTTTGATGAAGCAAACATGCCGGCCGATTGGGTATGAGTCTACTTATGCTGACCACTAATTAGGCAGCATTCTGTTGCGCTGTAGCACTTCTTGTTTTGCGTAGACGAAGACGGACACCTCCTCCACCTAATTCCTGGCGAGCATGATGATGATGTTATGATGATGATGATGATGATGAATATGGTTTGTCGTATGTTAGAAATCCAAAAAACCTATTTCTCCCGTTCAGGCGACGAACTTCATGCGGCGGTATGCGTTTCAGGGAATCGCGGGCATTTTCGTTGTGATCGGGATCTGCATCATTCTCGATGTCATGGGTTACCTCACCGGCGAGACCCCCTGGGAAGGCATGCAAGAATACACGCTCGGCCTGATGGCAATAAGTGTCGTCTTTTCACTCTACATGTGGAGGGAGCAGAGCGTGGACGCGGCGTTTTGTGTCGCGTAAGATTTTTGTTCTTGTTTCTTGATATTTGCCCGGAGTTCTTGTATGTACTTGAGGCCGGCGTACTAGGACTAGGATTTTGTTGTGCCGCAAAATCAATATATAACAGGATTCGTTTCATATTGATATTCACTCCCGCAAAATAACAGCATGCTGATTTTCCTCGTCGGCGTCGTCTTCGGTTTTTTGAAGATTTTCTTGCACGCGCTGTTATGAACTGCAAAAGTATCGTACTAGTAGCAATTGCAATACAAATTAGCTCAGCGTGACAAATGGAATTTGTCATGCTGTTTTGCCTTGGGATGGAGATTTGTAATGCATAACTGCGATTACTACGAGTGCGATACTTTTGCACAGGATAGCTGTCCCTCTACAACGATAGCTGGAACATCGGGCTGATGCTGCTTCTCGCCTACGTCTCCCTCATCGCGTTCTACTCCATACAGTACCAGCGCCGCCGACGGCAGAACGAGGCCAAGGGGGAAGCGATCAAGGACAAACTTTACGACGACATGCTTCGGTCTTTTGCGTATACGGTCCGGTATAGCAACACGCTGTACTACTGGGGCATGGTGTACTGGGTGTTCCAAATTGAGGAATACCTAGAAATACATTTAGTCGGCTGGGCCGCGCTGCTCTTCTACTACGTGGTTCTAGTCCACGTCGTCATGGGGTGCTGCAGAGAATTCCGAGAAAATGACTTTTAGATAGAGCTAGCATGACGGGCAGTTGTTGTAGTACTGCGACGAAGATGAACAAGATCCAAAGCTGACGCTTGCGTTCGCTCTCATTGGCTCCATTCCTCTACTGCACTGCGTGAACCAGAGGAGGAAATCGAGATCATACCTAGCGACCACACGACTAATGTTCTCCTTGGTGCTGGGCTCGTATTTTTGTAGTTTCGCACAGGATGATCAAAAACAAGATCATTCTACCGCGCGTTTCCATTACGTAACTGCAAAAGAATCGGGTGAGGGTATGGTAACTCGTTGAGAATCGTCTTCGTGAGCAGCCATTTTCATCGTGAATCTCTGTCCACTAATGCTAGGTTTGTGCTCATCCTCATGCTCTACTTTCGTTTCACGCTGCTGGCTAATGAAACACAAAAACCAAAGCACAAAATCAATGCAAATGCTGCAGCGACAAAAGTGGTCGATCTGCGAAAATCAAGCTGTAAGATAGTGTTGCGGCCGTCAAAAAAACTATTATGTGAACGGTCCGGAGGTGTATCTACGTCGAGACGATTAATAGAAAACCAGCCAACGACATCAAAAATATTATCCTTCTCTGTGGAGCATCAAGGAACAGCTCCTCCATCATGTTGGAAGCACTCGGGTTCACCCTGCAGATTTGCGGTCGGATCGTGGGTGGCTTGCTGTATTTTGTTTTCACTCACGTCATCCTGCGGTTCATCCAGAAAGCGACGTGGTCGCGAAAGCCGTACGAATCTCTGTACACGAACGCGCAGAGCGAGAACGACCGGAGATGCATTGCGGACGCGCCCAGACCGAAGGCGATACTGGACAAGAAGGAGGACCACAACGAGACGAGTTTGAAGGTGGCCATGAGCTGCAACAAATGTGGCACTACTGGTGCCAACAACCTCGAGAAGTTGAAAGCGTGTTCCAGATGCAAGATCGTACACTACTGTTCCGAAGCTTGTCAACGTGCAGACTGGAAGAAGCACAAGCTAAACTGCAAGCCCGGCGGTGCTGCGGTAAGTTGTACAACATCAATAGCGTCAACAAGAAGCGTTACAACAACATCCTACGACGGCGTGCTTGCGTGGTTCGAGGACGAAAACCTGAACAGTGTTCCGACCAGCATAAGCGATGCGGGGCGGCGGGTCAAGGAGATTTTGACGAAATGGCGACAATGTAAGGGGCATGTCGCCGCACGGGTGACTTTGTCCTTGGCGATCTTCAACTTTCTACACTACATGGATTATTTCCCGTTTGTTGAAGATCCTCAGAGCAGCCGCGAGGGTGACTTCAAAGAACTGGCAGATGTTGACAATCTCAAGTCCAGCATCCCGTGGGAGGACATCACGGAGGAGTTGATTGGTTTCATCGTCGACTGCGGGCGAGCCCCCGATACGTTCTTTGCACAGGATGAGTCCCTGCTGAAGCTGTGGATCGAAGCGAGCGCCGCCCTGGTGCTGCTGATGAGCAACGCGGACTGGACCTTCCTGGACTATTTGCCGAACGACGCGGGCGACGGGTTTTCGAGGATCCTGGGGTGTCTGGATCTCACCTTCAACACGGTGGCGTGGTGGGTGGCGCGGAATTTCGGAAAGGATCATGTGGAAATTGTAACTGAAACTGAGAGTAGTGGAAACAAGAAGAAGAAGTTACTGACCATGGAGGAGAAACTTCTCGTTTGGACCCTCGTGGACTCCCTGACCAAAATCAACGCACGCTATTTTTCCCGAATTCGGGTCGTCGCCAACTCGCCGCTGTCTTTCTGCATCATGTTGCTGCTTATGCTAATTGCAAAAGTATGCTAACCGCGCTTGTACCACCAGTTGCAGTACAGCATGACGGGAGTGGTTTATGTAGCCCATTCAGGATCAAAAACAGAATTTCATTTTTCTTTCTGGAAATTTGTATATGCATATGCTATTTCATCTACTTCTGCTTCCTCTAGACCGTACTTTTGCAATGCATACTCCCGATTCGCGAGTTGCTCAAGCTCGTGGGCGCGGACCACGCGGAGGACTTGCCGAAACTGCTGCTGGACTTCGTCCTCGCGATCCGCCGGAAGAAGCCGCGATTCAACGTTCGCGATTTCTGGGGACTGCAGATTGTCCTGCGCAGCATGGGCGACCTGCTCTGGAACTACCAAGGGCGGGAGCAGCAGGAGCTCTGGCTGCCGGCGAGGGGCGGAACTGCGGGGAACAAGAAACTGAGTCTGCGGGAAGCGCGGAACATCTTTCGGAAGTGCTTTGACATCGTGCAGAAGTTCGTGCAATCCGCCAGCTGCGACGGCGCTCCTGAAAGTCAAAACCAATATCTTCACAGCTTTTTGCGCATGGAATTTCACGATCTCTGGAGCGACGCCTGTTTTCTGTTCGCCGTTCCCAAGGCCGCAGAGGATCTTGGAATCCGGGTGAAGTCGCCGAACACCTGCGCGATTTGCTTCGAGGAGGGCGAGGTGAAGGAGGAGGATGTGGGAAAAATCTACATGTGCGGCCACTGGCTCCACCTGGAGTGCCGAGAGCAGATGGTCGCGCACGCGAACCGCAATCCGACGCTTCCCTGGGACTTGAAGACCCCGCTCCCGCCGCACTGTCAGTTCAAGTGCGACCCCACCGCCCGCGCGGCCTGGGACCTGAATGGCTCCGTCGGAAGTCGGAAGATGGTGGCCATGCTCGACTCCATGTCGGGCGTGATCAAGCCGGTGGACCTCTACGAGGCGCAGCGGTATACTCCGCCAAGCTGAGAAGGTGAACAACAGGTGATACAACAAGACAGAGTTTCAAGTCAGTAGTGTCTAAATCTGAAACAACAACGCAAAAAACTTGATGCGACGCCTACTCTGTATGTTATAATTTTAATTTACCCTCGATCATCATCATCTTCATCATCAAGCAGAGCACGAGCAAATTCGAGACTCGAAACGACTATTGATGCCGCTCTTCATTTCTATGTATTTACTGTGTTGATAAATCAATGAAGATGTTGGACTTTGAACACACCTGCCACACTGAGTGGCCAAAGCTTCTACCTTCGAGAGGTCTCTAACACGTTCAAGCACTTCAATCTCTCAGCAGACAGGGCGAAAGCCTCTGGCTGCGTTGCATCCTGTGAAGATTCATCAATCAAGGTTCATCATAGACATCATTCCACACATCACAGGCTCTGAGACTCCAGATCTCTAGGCATTCTGGGACCTACTGCCCGCTCTGTATGGGTGCGATTTTATCAGGGACGGAGGTCCCTGGTAAAGTTTTTATCTAGGTCGGAGCTCCTTGGCAAAGTTTTGATCTAGGACGACGGTCCTTGATAAAGTCATCATCCAGGATTTGGCTAGGATCTGGACCATTCTGAGATCGGTCAAATCGGTACCGTGGGAGCCTGCGTAGGGATTTCATCTGGGACCCGGGTCCCTGGTAAAGATTTTACCAGGGTCGCCGGTCCTTGATAAAATCCGAACCAAGAGAGCCCGACTTGCTCAAATTCTTCATCATTTGCATTTGGAGAGCAGGCATTTCGGGATCTCATAGAAGCTTCAGTCTTGCGTGGAGGTAGGGTTTAGATCACATGACCAACAGAAGAATAGGAGTCGACTTCTTTATATTTTTTACGATCAAGAAATTGCAGCATGACTGAGTTAAGTGGGTCCGTCCTAGCATGGACTGACAACGAACTAAATGTATCATTCTAACTGGTACAACAAGCATGTTGCAATCATGGTCATGGTCATGCGATAGCCATATACGTCGAAGCCTTGTTGGTTATGTACAGTCTGATCTTGATCTATCATCATGAGAAGCCAACGGAAACGCCGTTTCCGTAACGGTAAAGCAACGCAAAGCTTCATCAGAGTTCACAGGTTTGATGACCCCGCTTCCTTTGCGCGGGTTTTTGTTCAAAAAACGCAATAACAAAGTGTGAGAGGAGATCATACGACGTTACCAATATTACCAGTCGTGGGAGGCGACGTCATTGAAGACGCTCTATTAATAAAGTCTTTTGCAGCAACATTTTTCCAGTAGCTCTACCCGCTTCGCGTCTGCGCTGGTCCTGGTTCTAATAGCAGCTCAAGATTAATAACTGTGGCCGATCCTGTTCATCAAAAAGCAAAATGGCTGTCGGTGTTTCAGATTCCGCAACCGCGCAAGCACAAGAACTCGAGCCGCACGCATGCGATTGTTGTGGAACACGGGAAACAGAGGGGTCCGCTAGTGTGCAGTTGAGGGCGTGCACCGGCTGCAAGCGCGTGTACTATTGTTCGCGTGAATGCCAAAAACGAGAGTGGAAAAGTCACAAACTCGACTGCAAAAGCAAACGACGTGAAACACGAGGACCGCAGGAGACGACGGCATCTACGAACCCTGCGTCATCAACATCCGCTGCGACGCCCGGGGAGGACGCATTGGAAGCAGCGAATGCGGGTAGCGGGGACGAGGGCCGCCGTGCTGACGGCGCTGACGAAGAAGTGGACGCGTTGGAGCAGTTCTGGCGGTGGTTTGAACGTCAAGAACTGCACCAGATCCCCGCCACGCGTGCCGATGCTGAGATGCGATTCGACCTGCTGAAGCTGAAGTGGGAGCGGACGGATGCTGCCTCCGAGCCGGATGTCCGCGTGTGCGTGTCTGTTCTCCTGCTCAAATTTCTCTCCTACACGAAGTACTACCCACCTGCTGCGGCCTCAACTCCTGGCGCAGCAGGCACACCAGTGGACGAGGGAAACTGCTCTCGCGGGCTGCAGCAGCATTTCGCAACGATGACCGACGAGCTCCAGCAATTCATCAAGAAATACAGATTAGTGGCCGACCTCGCCTTTCGCTCCAGCCTCCGCGACGATTTTCGAACCGATAACCAAAATCCTTTTCGAAAGAATAAGCACCTGCTGCGCTTGTGGCTGGACGTGTGCCATGTTACTCTCCTTCTCATGAACAACACCGATCAGCTCACGTTTTGTGCGGAAGAAGGAGGATTCCCGCAGTATGCACTGCAAATATGTCAAGGTCTGGCAGATTGCATTTGCAACTTTACGTGCTGAATCTGAATCATGCAAAAATCTGTGTTGCATGAGTGCCAGAAGCTGCCCACTTTCGAGCAAGATGAAGGAGATTTTCTCATGTAGGGTAGGCATGATATTTAATATGTCATTCAACTCCCGCATTCCAGACGAGACGAGACCTCATGGGCCATGAAAAGCCTGCATGACAAAACTTGCACTCATCTTCCATTCCCATTCATATTTGCGATGCATACGCTGTCTTTTTTGACCATGTTCACCGACCTTGACCAGGCCGATGCGCCGTTCGAGGTGGTCGCCAAGTCATGGTGCGGCGTCGAACTCTTTGGGTTTGTAAGCGAGCAAGACGCTGCGGCTGCGGCGAAGCACAAGACCGAAGAGGACAAGGTTGCGCGCATTGCCATCATCGTCAGTGCGATCGAATCGATCATCCACTTTGAGCGCAAGTTCTTCTCGCGGATGCGACAGGAGGTTTCTGGACCGCACGCACTTCCCACACAATGGACGCTGTATCCCCTGCGAAAAATGATGAAGGCGATCGACATTTACTGTGCCGAGGACCTGCCGAAGGTGCTGCGATCCTTGGTGCAGCACATGCGGCAGCGCGGTCGTCCCGATCTGCGAGAGTTGTGGGCACTGGTCCGGTTCACGGGCCTGATGACGATGTTGTGCCATAATTTCAGTGGCAACGACATTCAGGCACAAATGCTGCCGCGGCGGTGTGGGGAGAAGGAGTTTACAATCGTCGAGACGAAGCCGATCATGCGCGAGTGCTTCCACGTGCTGAAAGGCTTTGTGGATAGTACAACGACCTGCAGCACTTTCCTCCGCACGGGTCTGTACGAGTTTTGGGACAACTGCATGCTCCTCTTCGGAAACCCGGACGCCACGGAGCTGGTGAACGTCACGCTGCGGCGCCCCGGGTCTTGCACCATTTGCTTGGAGGACGAGGACGATCCCCCGGAGTGGAACATCGGAAAGATTTACCGCTGCGGTCACTGGCTGCACCTCGACTGCCGCAAAGACTTGATGGAGCGCGCGCTCGCGGCACAAAATAAAGGTGCCCTGCCGTGGGGAATCACGCGGCAACTGGGCATCCCGCACGACGCGCCGGTCAGGAACAACAAACCGCCCATCGACCCAGGCTACTGCCAGTACAAGTGCAAATTCATCCCGCCCTGGGAAGCCCCCGGCAGCGTGGGATACAGCACTCATCTTGGTTTGTTCGACCCCGATACGGGCTACATATCCCTTCCCGACCATGCGGGGAAGCCGTATAACGCTGCGTGATTGAGTATGTTGGTATTTTACCGTGATTTCTACGAGTTCGAAAATTGGTAGAGCACTGACAAGAAGAAGATGACACCGTACTACCTTCTGTGCACTCTCATGGGTGAAGTCAAAGAGGAAAAAGACGTAAACGAAACAGATGAAGAACACAACACGAAGTAGAACACGCGGCATTCGCTCGCCTCGGCCAGCTTTTGATCATCTGAAGCGTGTTCAAGCTGAAAAGCAAAGAGAACGCTGGGCGGATTCTTGCAGCAGTTCTTGCAACCGACAATCTTGTTGTTCTGCGGGTGTGCTTGTACTTCTAAAGTAGGTTCTTGCGGCAGCAGCGTTCTTCATCATTCATGCTACTACCAGGCAATGCTTGTAATTGGCGAAGATCGTCCTTCTGCACTGCTGCAGCACGTTTGCTATTGCTTCGTGACGACGTGTGCACTCTTCAGGTACGACATACAGATCAACAAGTGTGTATCTAAGTACGACTACATTCATCTTTGGTTAGCGTGCGTAGATCAGAGAACAACTTCTACAACAGCTATTAATTTATAAAATTTCTATTTCGCGGGCCGAGACCAACGCTGTTGTCGGCTCTGTGGTGTAATGGCAGCTCCCGCGCCTCACTCGTCTTGAAAGAATTCATCTTTCTTTCATGTTGGTAGATGAATTGTACCACCTTTCTTCGGTAGAATCTTTCAACGTTCGCGTTTCACGTTTTAGTCACGAACCACCACAAGGACAAAGTTGAGAATCAGAATACGAAAAACAACAACAGTATAGAAAAATTGCAATACCCATAGAGAAACAGATATGAATCCCTGGTTTTTTTTCCGCGCGTTTTTCCAGCAGCACGAGAAGCAGATTCAGCACGGCTTGAAGGATTTCTTGCTCAACAGCCCAGCCTATCAAATGCAAATATGTCTGGGTCTGGATCTTGTCATGCTGTTTTTGGTTTCTAAAAAAGTTTGTATTGCATGACCAGCAAGAGGGGTCCAGTGCGTGCTACGCAGACAGGGCATTTTTTTATCATGTGGAAGGCGCATCAGGAAGCCCTCTAAAAGTCTCTGATGCTAGGTCATGCTTTACAGGCTTTACGGGTCATGGAAAATCAAAATCTGCATGACAAGTCTTACATCCTTCCAGACCCACACATGTTTGCAGTTGATACAGCCTTCCGCACTTTCGCTGTGCGTACCTCCCAGTGGGCCACCGAGGCGCCGAAGGCCTTCTCCCAGTTCGCAGAAGGATTTGCTACAGGGGCTTCTCAGCGACAAAATACTACCTCGACTGCCAACAAACCAGCACTGCAAGATATTAAGGACAAAAAAGGTTATTTTTCGAACAGCACGAAAAGAACGTCAACATCTTTTTCTTCAACGAACGCAGCAACTCGTGGTACCTCAACTAGCTACTACCACGGACTGGCCGAAAAGCTGCAGGCCGCTGCTAAACCTTTTGTGCAGAAATTTTCCAAGGACCTGTCCCGCGTAGCAACAAGACGCGTCATCAGTGCGGTGCTAAGAAAACTTCCCTTCAAGTAAAGCTTTGTTGACTCGATACCTACTTTCCGCTCCGCACGATCTCCGACTTCATCTGTACAGAACAAAAATCTTCACGGACGACGAATCAGAGTTCGCCTCGGCCCCGAAAGGTTCCCACGTGCCCTTCCAGCTTTCTAATTTCGGTCACGAGGACGAACAACTAACTTACAACAACGACGAAATGAAGCACTCTCATCTCGCCCGCGAGGGGCACGACCCTACTGCGGACCACGGCGCACAGGGGCAAGACCACAACGGGGACGATGCACAAAGGCCGCACAGTCCGCGCGAGGAGACGAACACAGTTTGGGATGTGGTGGAAATAAAGTACAACAGCGACAACTACACGCCAGATGATGCACTGTCGCCACAACTACTACGCGGAGCGGGCACCCGTAGTTGTTCAAAATCGAAACGCGTGGAGGAGCCCCATAGTACCGTCAGCGATGATGAGTTTGACTTTGAGTACGACTACGATTACGAAAGGAAGAGTGAACGCCTGTGGGAAGCGAGCGTTCTTCTATTTCCCCCGTCGTCGTTGGACGATAATTTTCCTTTTCCCATACGCAAGAAAAAAAGTGTGTAAGTGTAAGTCTGTGATGCAGAAAATGCAACACAGTTACACTTGTCATGCTGGACGTGCGTCATAGCCATGCTTCATACGTGTTTGCACGTACTAGCTGCGCATGACAGGTTTTCTCTGTATATGCAAAGCGAATTTGATGTAATGCTACTCGTCCCACACAGTTACACTTACACTTACACACTTTATTTTTTCTTGGTGGATATCCCATCAGTAAAGATAAATTGAAGATGAGCGAGCCGCGACAGGACGAATGCCAAGCTGTTTTACCGCACTTTGACTTGGTCTTCTCCAGCGTTATTTGCGAAGAATTCACTCCATTTCCAGCGGGAACTAGGACTACGGATGAAGGGCTCTGCAGAGAGGATAACTTCCTGGTATCCTCCGGGGAGGTGGGTCACCAAACGGATGAAGACGAGTTATCCCACTTGAACAATATGTGCGGTGGTTGTACTGCTTTTGCTTGTGGACAACCTTTCACGCCAGTCTCCCGCTCGTTTGCGACCACGGTGATTCCACCTCTCCTCGAAAACGACCTCTGCTTTTTTGCTGAAGAGACCACGCCGGTGGCGAAGCCGCGCCGTCAACAGATATTTTTGCCGACACTGGTTCCAGAAAAGAAGAAGTAGCACGCTTGGTGAGATGATGTTGTTGGGAGGTGCTAGTTTCGATCAGGGTGCTGGGGACAACCACTGGAAGAATGCCTCGTCAGATGTTGTGCCGAATTCTTCCACCACTTCATATGTGTGTTTGTATGTCTACTAATTTCACCGGGAGGACCGAGTTTAGGAATAGCTGTAGCTTCATCCGATGATCATTGGTGTTTTAAATCTTCAACCTAAACAGACAAATCCCTAGCAGCTCGTAGCAGGAACAAAGCAGTAACAATCCTAACCTCGCCTTTGCGACGAGGAGAAAAAAGTTGAAATTTGCGATGCCTGCTTCACCCGAGAACCTTGAGTAAGAATATGGGCGGCTCCGATGATGCAGACCAGTGAAGCAGAGGTGGCTTAGAAGAAGATCCTATGACTGAAGTAGAAGGTGTTCATCACTGCTACTACTTTATTTTTTGCAGGCACGACCACGACACACAGATGAAAATGAAAAATGATCCAACTTCGCAACAAAAAACCTGCTTGCGTGATCACGAGAAAGCCTCTTCACGATCATGTGCGCAAGCAAGTCCCACGGACTCTAACTGCGCGGCAAAAGTTATGTTTAGGTGCTCGCGAAAAGAACAAGGAACAGGATCCCAGAGGATGAAAAAGGAAACACCGTCACGCGCACTACGCAGGTGTAGACGAAGGATCAAAATCAGTTCAGTTTCGCGACGTTCTTTGGATTCAAAAAAGTTGAAGTTCTTGAGTGCCATCGATTCGATCTTCCGATCCGCTCTGCAGTGTGTTGCCATGCAGCTGCTAGTAGTCAATGCGGCAACTCCAGACAAAAAGAAGATCAAGATAGCAGAGTTCTTTGGGGAACTTTCGGAAAGCAATTGTCTTCAGCAGTGTTTTATTTTACAACAGGGACTAGCGACAGGAGCCGTGTAAGAAGTATCGTCGTCAGGAAAATTATAAACGTCCCTAGAACGATGAATAGGATTGATGTTATCCTGATGACTGCCAAGCCTTCTCATAGGTAAGAACATAGAAAATGCCGCGCGGTGGGCGAAAAGCGGGCAACAAGAGCGGAGGCGCGGAGCCGCGATCTTTCTTCTACCAGTTTTCGAACCTGTATCGTGCGGCGCTGGAGAATTTACAGGACACGACCTCCGACCACGACGTGAAGCAGAATAAAACCGCAATCCCGTCAATAGCGCCAGTCCGTCAAATTCCCGACCAGTTCCGATCTATCGACACATACGCGGACATTTTCTCCGGCCTAGTTGGCGCTGAGTGTCACGCGTTCGTGAAGGAGCAGTGGCGAATACATCTGGCCAGTGCTGACAGTGGAGGGAAATACTATAAAGGGTCGTCGTCGTCGGCATCTTCAAGCACGCGGGGATGGTTCAATTCGTCAGCTAGCAATAGCCGCAGCAGCTCTTCCTCTTCTCTCTCGAATATCTACCCGGTGGAAGTGACCGATGCGAGTTCACGAACGTCCGGAGTCCAGCATAACTTGCTCACGGTTTGCTTCTCGAATAATCCCTCGACCGAGCCGGTGCGCAGTTTTCAGCGCCACTGCATCGTCGCCGTGCGGGTACAAGGGTCGAGGCATTGGCACCCCTTTGTCATCGCCACCAGTAACGCAAATGAGCTCGCCTTCAACAGTAGTTCAGGGGGCTCGAGCACGAGCTCGTCATCTGCATCATCACATCGGGACAACTTGCTGTGGACCGGTGGTCGAGGTGGTGGGACTAGTACACCTCTGACTTTGCAGCTTTTCACAACGCAGACGGATGTTATTGTTGGAATGGAGCATGATGCGCCGGATATTATTTCGTCGTCCAAAGCCAGAAGCAAATTATCAGCGACAAAGAACTACTATTTTTACAGTGGCAGTACTAACGCGGGATCAAATAAAGCGTCCTTCTTCCAGTCGGCTTTTGGGTTCGAGGAGTTCAATCCAAATCACCACCGTCCCCCGGCCGGGCAACGGCGCACCGCCGAGCAAAAAGAGCAGGACGCGAAAAAGTTGTTCTTTAAGAAGAAGCAGCACTATAGGTCTGTGTCGCAGTTAGAGCTCCGCATTGTCGCGGACTGCTGCCTCTACACTCGGATGTACGAAGCGGCAAATTTAATCGCGCGGGTGAAGTTGCCGACCAGTGGGGGCAACGGGGAGAGTGACCGGCTTTCTTTCTGGGCACAACTGTTGGGATCCGCGTCCTCGCAGCATATGGTTTTTGACAGTAGCTCCGAGGAAGACGAGGATGATGGAGAGCAAACGGTTAGCTGCTTACCACTTGATCGACCACTAGCAACAGGAAACGCCGCTCACCCCGACCCAAAGAAGCAGCCAGAGGCGCGCTGCGGCGGAAACGCAGCCGGAGGCACTGACTCATGTGGCACTTCCACCCCTGCGACAGGAGAGAAAATGCAGATCATCGAGATGCAAACAGCCGGGCTATTGAAACTGAATCCTGCGCAGCAAACCGCGCTTCGTCTGAGCCACACAAACCCTCTGGTTTGCATCCAGGGTCCCCCGGGAACGGGAAAAACAAGGACGATTGCGCAGATTGCGCAATCGCTTTTGGCGACAGGAATAGAAACATTCGCTGGAGGAGCAGCTGCTGTAGAAAATATTCACAAAACCTGCTTGCTCATTTGCGCCGCTTCTTCCAACAAAGCCGTGTGCAACATGTTGGAGCGCTTCGTCGCAGAGGAAGAGAAAACGTCGAAGCGAGCCAATCTGCACCACAAGAAGAAAATTGCTTACATCGGGGTAGACGAGAAGATCCCGGACCACGCACGGCCGTACTTCGTACACACGCGGGTGGAATATTGCACGACGCAGGAGGATTTTGAAAAGTTACGACAAGACGCACCGAACTGGTGTTCGCAATTTTCCGATTATTCGGACTTTCTTGCCGCGAAGAGTAGAGCGCAGCATGCGAGATTTGGCCCTGTGTTGCGCACGGACGAATCGTTGGAGACGGAACTGTTGAAGAGCGCTGACATACTGTTTTCCACGCTCGCCTGTCTGGGACGCCCACGCATGGTCAATTTGCTCAAGCCGGTAAATTCATCTGCAAGAACGAAAGTTATACGAGGGAACAAAAGCTGTTCAAGCATTGTAACTGTGGCGCTCAGAAGAAAGATCTTTCAGAATGGATTTTCATACGGAGCAGATGCTGCAGCACGTAGCTACGCGGACGATTATGGCGAGGAGTCGCCGCTCTCCAGCGGTGCGGAGGAGGAGGGCGATGTTGTGGCTGGGGTCGAGGTTGCTGACCTTCATCGTAACTCGGCACCGACGATGATGCGAGACAACGAGGAGTCATATGCGGCTGGCAGCGAAGATTCATCTTGCTCGAGCATTGCAGACGATGACGCTGACGTTGAGGGGCTGGCCGACTGTATTTCGGACGACGACCTACGGATGTCGCTGCAGCGGAAGTTTCCTGAGGTGGTTGCAATGAATAAAAAATCCTCTGCAAGCAAGGTGGATGTAAATAAAATAGCCTCGTCAGCAGGATCGAAAAACAGACAGAAGGAGCAGTCTGCTAGCTCTAGCTGCACCGCGACCCCGACATCAAATCTGCAAGGAGCATCGGAACAACAACTACAACCGCAGAGGCAAGAGCGACAAGCGCAAGAACCAGAAGGAAGAACGCGCCCAAATAACACTAGCAGTAGCACGACCCAACATCTTCCTCGCCAGCTCTTCATCATCGTCGATGAGGCCGCGCAAGCGGTCGAAGCGGAGACGATGATTTGTCTGGGGCTGCAGCCAGACAGGCTGATTTTGGTGGGCGATCCCCAGCAGCTGTCCGCCACCGTGTTGTACTCGGAGCAATGTAGAAAAGCCGGGTATACAAGAAGCTTGCTGGAGCGACTGATGAAAAACGAGGCGGAGCAGAACGGCGTGAAAACACTCAAAAGCTGCAATAAGCTTCCTGGAAACAAGCTCAACGCATCCTACGCGACCGCCCCGGTGCAGTTGTTGGACACGCAATACCGGATGCACCCCGAGATCTGCAGATTCGTCAATCAGCGGTTTTACGGAGGAAAGTTGAAGACCTGCCACGAAGTTGGCGGGAAAGATTCACACCAGCAGCTCCCATCCTGCTTGCGATCAGATTCAGATCGGTTGTCGAATATTACGCCACGACTTGGAGAAGGAGACTTTTTTCGACTATCGAACCTCGCCGCGTTGCTCCAAAGTCGGCCATACTTGATTGTGGACCACGGGTTTCTCGAGGACCGGTCGCGATTCAGTATCAGAAACGAAAAGGAGGGGGATCTGCTGCTGAAGGTGCACAGAATTCTAACAGGTTGTGACTTGTCTTCGTCGTTAGTATCTGGGAAAAATTATGTCGATGACGAGGACGTGAAGATCATCACTTTCTACAACGGACAAAAGGACTACTTGTCCCGCTCCCTTCCCAACTATGGCCGCAACATTGTGCACACGGTGGACTCATTCCAGGGTAGCGAAGCGCCGGTCATCTTACTCTCAATGGTCCGCTCCTCGAGCCAGCACGGGTTTCTGTCGGAGTTCCGTCGATTGAATGTCGCGCTTTCCCGCGCACAGCACGCGCTGGTGGTCTTCGCAAATGTGGAGGGCTTGCTGCAGAAGAAGGCAAACTCGTCTTCGCCAGATCAAGAACAGAACGAGGTGACGGCTTTTCTGGAAGATGCCCGGGCGAGGGGCTGCGTAATTTCTGCTGCGGATTTTGAGAAAGAAGTGTTTCAACAAAACAGGAGCGCAAAGATGAAGCCGGCTGCGGCGCCATCGGGTGTTTCTGTGGTTGATGATGAGCAAGTGCCTGGCACCACCTCAACAAAACGGTTGACTGAGAAAGAAATCAAGCCCGCTCTGAGGAAGCAGCTTGTGATATCGAACGCTGATCAGAAGAGAAACCGGAGCCAGGCGCAAGTCTCAAGTCCTGCGGATCGGAATGCGGCTCGTGAAATAAGTACGAAGAAGAAGAAAAGAAAAGTTCTTGTGAAGTCGAAAGCAAGACGGTAGTAGCTGGTAAGTAGTTCAAATGCCATTCATTCCGCTACAGTGTCAGAGGAAGAGGATAGCTTCTACTTATGTAAAGAAGTAAAAGGAAAAGCACGCAAATTGAAATGCTAAAAAGCGACATCGATCCCCAAGACCTCCGCAAGTGATGCTTTCATTTGCAAGAACAAGTGCAAGCGATTGTGATTGTTCCCGCCGGTGGACAAAAACCCGGAGAACAATGCTCGCGCGAGCACCCCCACGGCCATTATCCCAAGACCGTCAGACCATGGCGCGGAGCGGGTCGCGCGGCTCATCCGGCCGACGTTTTGGCATTGCGCCCACGGCCTCCAGATATGGCCGGCGATGATTGCCCTCGCGCTATGTGGTGAGTCGGCGCCGGCGCCGCACAGGTTGCGGCGGTTTGGCGGCACGGGTGGCGCTTGGGAGAGCGCAACCACGGCCGATCTATTCGGGAACGCCTTCGGGCCCGGCTTCGGTGTATGCAGTAGCGCCCTGCTGAAGATCCCGGAGGAGCCTCGCAAAGCTGGGGGCCAACCGGGCGCGCCTCGCTCTCCGTCGGCCGTCGGTGCGCGCGCCCTTTTTGGCCTGCGGCCCGCTGCGCGCCGTGGGCTTTGTGCCCGCCGGCGGAGCAAGGGAGTGGGGAGAAGGCCGTGGCGCGCCATGCTTGCCGGCTTTGACGCGGGGGGCCGGTGTTTTGCACGTGCCCGGTGCCAAGTAGACGGGCCGCCAGGGGCGGCTGGGCGATGGGCCGGGCGAAAAGCGGGGCCAGACGACGGCAAAGCGGGCCCGCGGGCCGCAAGCTTTCGCGCCTTTCGGTTCGCGCTTTACTTTTGGCCGGGGAGCCATCGATGGCGCCTGCCTATAAAATTCTTCGAGGGCTGCGGCCCAGAACCTAGTCGAGGGCTTGGCATATCTACGCAGTGGAAACGGTGTCAGGCCACCGGCCAGAACCTACCGCGGTGACGGCACCTTTGCCAGGGGCGCGGAAGCAGCCAAGCAGGCAGGCCCCGGCGTTGGGAAGTGAAGGGCGCCGGGCCGCCGACCTGCGCACCGCCGTCCTGCAAACGCCCACCCAGCAACCCTGCAGGCGCCTGCTACATGCCGAAAAATCGGTTGGAGTAGGTGCGGGGGTATATTATTGTCTCACAAAGGCGGGCGCGTTTTTTTTTTTAAGTACTTGGCAAGGCTTGATGTTTGTACAGAAACAAAAAATAGGCGATCGCGCTCGACAATGAGGCCCCGCGCAAGTCGGCGGGCCCAGTGGGGTTCTTCTGCCGGGCCCGGGGCGCGCGTGTTTGTGCCGCTATCGGTTCTGCTGTAAATTTTGCCAGCAATCGGAAGTACGTCAGCAGCTGCATGGAGAGACGCGGGCTCCCGGGAACATGTTGGCCCGGCTTCGTGGTTTCGCCAGGGCATTTTGTGTGCCGGCAAGGACGGGCCCGCCTTCTATCTTGCCTGTTGCGTTTAATCGTTGGCCGCCCGAAGTTGGCGCAGCATCTTGGCAAGACGGTCCTGACCGCCTTATGTGTGGCGCCGGCCGGCCCCGGCATCGCCCGGGGCAATGGCGGGGCGGGCGCGCTCGCGATATTGGTGGGCCGTCCGTTGCGCCCCCCGGTTGTGTGCCGCCAACACCCGCGCAGCCAGGGAGGTGCCGAACTCGTGCCGCCGAGCAAGCCGTCGCCACAGAATCAATAGCATGCTGGACGACAGGCAGGGACGACAGAGATTTTGGGGCACTTAGCTTGCGCGCTTTTGCACTAGAGACCACCCACGGACCTGGCCGGGTCTCATGCAAGCATGGGCTGGGCGGGGCTTCGCGCCCTGCGGCCGTAAGAGATGCGCCGGCGGCTTGTTCTCGATGACGTGGCGCGGCTGGCCCTCCGCGCAGACGAAACTGCGAGGCGCCGGTGTGGTTTTCGTGGTGATTGTGATTGGGCATGACTTGCCGTGCCCGCTTGGGCGGCGCCGCATTACCTTGCGCCGGCCGGTTTTCGTTTTGCGAAGTTGCGGCGCACGAGCTCTGCGCCCCCCGGTGTGCGCGGGTGCTGCATCTACGTCGGCCTTTGCGCTCCAGGATGCGAACCGAGAGTGAACAAAGGTGGCCCGGCCGCCCGGGCCATTGTGAGTGGTCGTATGGCGGCGGGGGCGGTTCTCTCTATGGCAAGGCACGACCTGCGATATCAAAGCTGCACCTGCACCTGGCAGCTCCTCTGCAGTTGTTTTGCAATGTGTTGAAGTTCGTTTGCATGTGCTACATCGGTCCTTCGTTCACTTCTTTGGGTGTTTGAGTGATGAAACCAAATCGCTCCTCAGGATTGTACTCGGTAAGAACGTCCAGAACAAGCCTCGATCTCAACCACGGCCACGCCCTTGCTCCTTCGTGAGAAACAAGCTAGATCGTAAATCTTAATCTGGAAAATTGAAGACGAAAGTTGCTGCGCGTCATGCTATGGTGATGTTGTACAAAGCAACTCCAATAAACAGGAGATGAAGGTGCAGCAGCAACGATCCTAAACGCGGTCTATGAGATCCACGTCGATCTTCATCTTGAAGATCTGGTACGTAAAATCGGATCAAAGGTGCAAAATGCCAACTGGAGAGATCATGTCCAAAAAAGATTTTCCCGTGCAAATGATCCCACATGTCTCGTCGATAATTTTCGCCGCTGTCTAGTAAAGTATGAAAAAAAGACTTCGCTCTACAATCACCAATCACCACCCCAGGTGCGGCCGACGACTTAGGTTTTATTGTGTAGCTTTATTGAAGTAGAAAACATCACGACGCGACATACTTATGTGGTGAATTCAAGCTCTCAAAGTCAAACGTAGATAGACGTCTCGATAAATTACTTCTTTCTTCTTCATTGGTTTGCAAACCTTTATCGCCATTTGCAACTACACGATTCCATTATCGTTTTATGTCACTTTGAAGCTACCAAGGTTTCTGATTCTTTTGTACTACCGCCGGTATAGGCACATCAAAATGTCGTCCTCTCCCAGCAATAGCTCCCTGAATATTGAGGACCACAAGCGGTACCTCACCCTGGACCAGCACAAGGCGAATAACGTGAATTGCTACGAGTCCGCCGCGTCCTTTAACAGTCTCGGGTACGACAATTCCTTCGACATCCAAAAGTTTCAGCGAAATTGCAGCATCGAGATCAAGAAAATCGAGGAGGATGCGATTGAGTTCGACCTCATCGGCGCCGATCCACCGCTCGCGAACGCGTTAAGACGGTGTTTGATCGCGGAGATTCCCGGGGTCGCGATCGAGAAGGTCATGATCTACCAAAATACCGGGGTACTGCACGACGAATACGTCGCGCATCGGCTGGGGCTCATACCACTCAAAATTGACCCACTGGAGATGGAGTATAGAAGTTGTTGTTTTGCAATTGATGCCAGCATTTTTACGTAGCATAAAGCATGATCATAAGTGTGAGGAGTATTGTGTACTAGGAGTACGTATCTTCTGAAAAATCATAGCATAGGGTTGTATCTATTCTGCGTAGAACGATCGATATCCAATTTCTCCATATAAACCTCATCAGCTGGGAGAGGCCTGGTGAGGAGCGACCGGACGGCTGCCTGAAGCCGACGCAAGTGCACTTTCAGCTGCACGCGAAGTGCAAGGACAGCGATTTGACGGTTTATTCCGGAGATTTAGAGTGGAGACCAGCAGACGATTTAGAGAAGGAACACTTCAAGAACAACCCGCCACGACCACTGCACGATGACATCATTATCGCGAGGCTAGCGAAAAATCAGGAGATCTTCCTCGAGTGCTGGGCGCAGAAGGGGCAGGGTAAAGACCACGCCAAATTTTCGCCCGTCGGGACGGCATGGTATAGCAGTCTAGTAGTATGATCACATCACGACCAAAAGATGATTGAATAACGCTAATAGAATTTGACATGCAATAAACGCGTGAGAAAGCATGTGCTCACATTTGTATTGCAGAGCATGCATGATAGAGAAACGCATAACTACTGCAAATCAGGTATCGCCTGATGCCGAAGATCACACTTACCGAGCCGGTGTACGACGAGGAAGCGGACAAGCTGGCCGCCTGCTGTCCGCCCGGCGTTTTCGCAGTGGAACCGGATATGGAGGACTTTACGGGCAAGAGAAGAAAAGCCGTGGTGGCGAACGTGCGCGACTGCACGACTTGCCGGGAATGCATCGACCCGGAGAGAGGGGTGCCGGGGAAGGTGAAGTTGCAGAAGGTGAAGGACCACTTTCTCTTCCGCATTGAGACCATCGGCCAAATTCCGGCGGAAGTGCTGTTCGAGCGCGCACTGCAGGAAATTTCACAAAAATGCGCCATGGCCGTGCAAATGCTGAAAAGTGGCTAAGGATTGTTGTACTGGCAAAAAAATGAAGAGGTGGCGATGAATTATGTAATCGCCCTGTTGATGCAAAAGCGCCATCGCTTGGATCATCTGTTTGTTACATGTGAGCATATCTTTTTCTGAACAGACATATGGAAAAACAAACGGTGGTAAGAGCTACAGCTAGCACACCACCAGCTGGCAAAGCAAGATCGATTTGTTTTGTGATAGTGTTCACGGTAGTTCTGCCTGCATCGATTGTTTTTTCCTCGTTTGCGTGAGAAGTTGAACGACAACGAGTCCGAGTAAAGGAGCAGACCAAAATAGCAGGAAGAAGAGATGTGCGCTAGCACAAAAAATGTTGCCCCCTGTTGAGATATATTGTTTCCCGTATCATGCAGTGAAGAGAAGCTGTGCCTGCGTCAGAAAGATAGCAACCCAAAACGTGTTTCGTATAGTGCCGTTTTCTGCTACCGCTTCTAGGTTCTTCTCTGTTTTGGTGATGTACTGCAAGCGACCGGCAAATCTTGCTCTGACGTTTTGTTCGTATATGACTTTCGATGTTGTGGAAGTGGACGTACCTAGAACTACGAAATGGAGGTTTAGCTTGCTCATGTTGTGAAATCAGAGTGTGTAGATAGTGTTGTGGTATTATTTTGTTCTTTTTGTTATTTTCTATCCACATGAACAAGTAAAGCAGAATGCCTAGCCAGTCCTCAAAAAGCGGGCCGCTGCGGGACAGACTTCGGCAGAAAGCCAAAGCGAACCTCGCCGAACAAGATGCGGCGCAGGCACTGGAGCAGTCGAAGTCCGTCGGGGAAGGCGCGTCGCAACAGGAGCCCGACCTGAAATATGGCGATCTTTGGGACGGCGAAGAAGGGGAAGAAGCGGCGGGTGACGATCTCGATCTCCCGCAGGCGCCAACAACTCCAGCGGCTCTGCCCCTGCAGGCCAGTCCGAGCAGTTCTGGCCCCGTCATAGCAGACCTGCCAGGGGCGAATAACAAGAGAAGGCCGGCGGGCGCGTTGAGCGACGATGATGATGACGACAAGGTCCTCAAGGTCAAGAAGAACAACTCTGCCAAGCGGATCAAGCCCACAACGACGACCGGCGGGAATAAGACATCGCTTGGCAACACTTTCACGGATCTGGAAAACGATGATGGCAAGATGGACGACATGCTGGACCTTTTCGGCGACATCGGGCTCGACCTTCAGTTTGACAACCCAACACTTGAAGATGGTCCCGCTGCTGAAGGTCAAATAAATGCTGGAACTGCACGGCAATCTTCTGTGGGGATGGACCTGGACGAGCTGAACGACTTTTTCAACGCGGACAATGTTGAGGACGGGAGCAACAGCTACAGTACCTCCGGCAGAGGACCTGCGAAAATGGCAAAAAAAGCCGCGGGGGCGCCAAAGGCGGCGAGAGGGAAAGCGGCCGCGAAGCAGAGACCGCAGCGGCAGGCCGCAATAAACGCGAAAAACCGGGCGGCGGCAGCAAAACAGGATGACTCTGACGACGATAGCGATGCGTCCTCGGAAGAGGATTCGTCTGCCGAAGAAGAAGCCGACGACGACGATGAGGCAGACGCTGACTACGCCTCCGCCTCGAGTGACTCGGAGTCGCTGGATGGGCTTTTTGAGGAAACCAGCACGGAGCGTGCACAGAGGAAAAAGAAGCGCGCGAAGACCAAAATGGACAAAAAGTGGAAGAAGGAGCGCACGGCGCTGATTGAGCAGCGGACAAAGGAACAAGACAGTCTCGACCGCTTACGGACGTACACAAAAGGTAGTCATTGCTGACATCACTCGAACATCAGGAGCTACAGACTTTGAGGACTCGTCTACTGCGAAAAGCATGATCTTATGTGCCAGTTTCGATGTTGTTCTCGTTTATCGTGATCGTGGGATAGAAGAAAGAAAAAAATCTGCTATATTCGATATATTTGAACACCACAGCGTACAAGGGAGTTTTGTTTTATTTCCCCCCTCCGGACGATATGGACATCAACGACGACGACGGTGCTCCGACTGCAGAGGACGTGTTGAAGCTTCTGCAAAATTTCGCAATGACCTTTCCAACGGAAAAATACAACGACCCGGACGAACGGCCAGTGCCAGTTGTGGACGACGGCCCAACCAGTAGTGCAGCCTCCTCGCAATCGGACGACGATGAAGACAGCGAGGAGGATTCTGACGTGCCATCCAAGAAAAAGAGAAAGGCCCAGCGCTCGAAACGAATGTCCAAGGTGCGCAGCAGTCCGGCCGGGGAGGATCGCGTGAAAGACCTGCAGTGTCGCGAAGCAGAAGACGCGGAAAGGATCTCGAAACCAGCCGAAGTTTCGCGCCATTGCCCCGCTCACGTGATAACCTACGCCAAGGGCCTGATGACCGAAAAGCAGGCCAAGGAGATAAGGAAGCTGCTGATAAACATGCTCGGCCACATCACCGCGGATTATGTCGTTTTCCTTTCGGAACCGAAAAAAGACAACGAGGCCGAGGACGAGGAACAGCTCATCATGCCTAAAGCAAAGGGCAAGGCAGGAACTGGGCCAAAAATGAAAGCCCAGTTCAAGCCGATAAAGAATTTGGCGTTACCGGACAAGGTGCTGACTGTCTTTATGCATCCATTCTGAATCTATTCACTAGCACTACTGAAACTGATGACGTCAATTATTTGAATCTCTCCGTCTGTTGTAAATAAAGCAGGCCCTCGCCCTCCTCGGTCCTGGGTGTGGATTGTGAGATCAAACATTTTTGATCTTGATTCAATACCCATGCACAGGTAACAGACTGGTGCACCAATAAGATACTGAACGCGTCTGAGAAAAACGGCGGCGGTACCGCTCTTTTCTATCGCTGTTTCGACGGACAGGAACCCTCCAGTAAAACGTCGGAGCTTTCCGGTGACTGCTTCCTGAACCCCGAGGGACGCAAATACCCGATTTTCCTGCCGAACGGCCGACCCTCGCTGCCACTGCTGCTCTCCGCCCACAAATCGTTGTTCGGCGCGTATGAGAAGTACTTTAAGAACAAGTGGAAGCGACTGCTGAAGCGGCCGGACGATCCAAACGCGATGCCACCTGGAGGCGGGATCACGACGTCAGAGGGACCTCCCACATTCGACGTTGAAATGACAGCGCCAACATCTGCTGCGCGCGAGGAGGGAGCGGTTGGTGAGATGAAGAAGGACGACAAGACTTCTGCTGCGCAAGGGCAACAGGGTGGAGACGCTGGTAAAAACGCGGGAGAGGAAATAAATCGCGAGCAAGGCACAAAGGAAGAAAACGACTGGTCCGACGGGGATGAAGGTAATGAGAAATCCAAACCGCCAAAGCCCACCGAAAACCCAGATGCACAACCACAGAAGGAGAACAATGACGAAATAACCAAAGAAAAACCGGCAGCCGCAGTAGAGGCGGTCGCGCAGCCTACTTCCAACGAGAATAAGGACACCACCGCGGCGAACAATCTGGACTACTTCCCCGACCTGGAGTACCTTCAGAAGGTCGCTTACTTCGTGAACCAGGCCTACAAGGGCAACTGCATCTCGGCGACCAACATTTCGGTGGGAAAATTGAGCGACAAGCAGAAAAAGGAGATGAAGGAATTCCAGCGGCGCGGCCTCTCCGTCTACGACGGCTACGACCTGCGGCAAATGAAGTCTGTCGGGTTGGAGAGGCTGCTGGAGAGCCACCGCGACCGGGAGGAGCGAGACACGAAAGTGCGGGACGCCCAGCTGCGCGAAATCATGGACCAGCGCCTGAAAGAGATGAACAGCTTCGGGAAACGGAAAAGACTTCTCACGTCGGGAATAACCTCGTCCGGGAATTTGAACCAACAAGACAATCCTCTCTCGAGCCAGGTGCAGTCTTTTGACTCCTTTCAGCTTCAGTCCTTCGACTCGCAACTACTCGGCCCCGCGGGCGGTGGTGCTGGGGGGACGGACACGAGTCGGGGCGGAGGGGGCGGACCAGCTGCACAGCTGATGGACGTGGACCACGACAACCAGAGTTGTGGCAACAAACAAGTACTCGATCTTTCTAACGGCGCCGGCGCCGCGGACAACAGTCAAAGCGGCCCTGGAGTAGGAGCTGCTCGCAGTGGTGGTTCTGGCCCGACAAGCTTCGAGGCCTTTCTGAACGCGCAAGCCGGCGGTGGTGCTGCTGCGGGGGCAGCTGCACAGGAAATGAATCAACATCTTCAAGGCAGCACTAACAATACCAGCGTGTTGTTTCCTCTGCAGCGACAGGACAGCAGTTCGCTTGCGGCGGGCAAGAAAATATCCAGACTGGAGATTCTGAAGCAGAAGAAAGCCGCCGCCGCAGCGACGAAGCGACCTGGTAGTGCGCCGGCAACACAAGTTGCACCCGCGAACATCCCTGCGCTCGCGGCGCAGAGATCCAGTATGGATCTCCGGTCCGCTTCCAAACCGGCCGGCGCAGGAGTTGTAACAGCGAAGGAGGCAGAAGTACCACCAGCTGCTGTTCCTCCCGCACGGCCAGTCGAGCAGCAGCTGAGTACCACTCTGCTCCCCCCGCTGGAGGAAGATGATGAAAATGAGAAGGTGATGAATAACATTAACGTTGCACCACCTCCGAAAAATAAATCTACTTCCTCCGTTCTGAAACGCGTGGACACGACCACTTCCCTGGACGGCATCCGGAACTTTCGGCAGATGCAAGCGGACACCATGCGCGAAGAGCTGTATCGGCCGCAGCTGAAGGCGGATGACATTTTGGACCAAAAAACCGCGGACGACGATGAGCTGCTCGTGTTGAACGAGTCGCAGTCATATCCACAGTAAATTCCCCGTACACGACGTCCAAGAAAAACAAAGACATGCGGTTTCTGCATGACAAACCTCCCTTGCAATCCTATTCAGTATGACAAATGGTATGCTGTCAATTCGCGAAATTTGTGATGCATTTTTTTAGTACGCGTGCGGAAAATCTGTGTTGCATGAGTCGCAGCAGGTCGTCGGGGCCGCGCACTTCGTGGACGTGGCGGATGTGTCCAACAAGGACGCGCTTAAGGAGAAAATCGCCGCCGCCAAGAAGATATCCTGTGCAAAAGTACCGCACTCCTACTAAAAATCGCAGTCATGCAAGACAAATTTCTTTTTCAAGCTAAATCAGCACGACAAATTCCATTTTTCACGCTGAGCCAATTTGTATTGCAATACTACGAGTAGCGTAGGATACTTTTGCAGTGGATAGAAGATGGCCAGCAAGATCGAGTTTATCGGGCAGGACATCCGCGGTCTCGTCGCCGAGGAGCTGAATTCCCCATCCTGGCACGACAAAATTAGCCGCATTCGGATGGCGATTTCCGCGATTACCAACCCAGAGTCGCAGATGAACCTGAACAAGCAGCTGGAACTGCACTTGGAGTACAAATTGAGACACCCCACGCCCGATTTCGAGACCATCGTCACACGAGAGCTGGTGGACCGGCTGAAAAAAGCGAAGAAAAGCAAGAAAAAGCGAAAAGCTTCCTCGGAGAGCAAGGAAGAAGGTCGTGGTGGCGGCGGAGGGGAGAAGAAAACGGGATCGTCTTCATCCTCCGCGGCGAACATCAACGGCGGCGCAGCGTCGTCAACCGCTCTGCGCAGCATCAAGTCCTCGACTGCGCTCGAGCTTGCGCCCTTCGACCAGGAGTTGCACGCCCCCGACATGATGGGTCGGCGCAAAAGCAGTCTGGCGCCTATTTTGGAGGGCGATGATCATGACAGCTTTGTTTTTGGTGCTGCAGGAAACAAGATAAAGCCGGTTGGAACTACTGCGAACAAACTGATCGTTGGGACTGGCGCGGCTTCGTCAAGCAGCGGCAGGCTACTATCGGGAGGTCCACCTGGAGGAGTTCTTGTTGGAAATAATTCATCCACGACGACAAACAAGCGGCTAAGTGAGGACAAGAGAAGTAACGGAATTTTGAACAAGGTCCGCACGGATTCTGACGACCAGCTCAACAAGCGCAGGGCAGACTCGGATCTGAGTCTGGGGCGCGAGGACGATATGTCGCTGCAAGAGGACGACTATCCTTTGCAAAAATATCGTACTCGTATATAGAAATTGCAGTCAAAAGTAGCGTGAAAATTTCTTTTCTAACTAAAGGTGAATGGCCATTATAGAACTTATGTCCTTGTGTGTCACAATTTGTGATGCTATTTTAGAACTAGTGCGATACTGTTGCAAATAAAATGCATAACGACCTAGAGCAGTTGATATTGGAACCAAAGTCTTCCAGGGTGATTGCAGCCGACTACCGGCCGACGCCAACCGCCGACTTCAGTCGTATCAAGATGCCTATCAAAAGCAAAAATGTCTGGGTCTGGAAGATTCTGAACTTGTAATGCTGTCTCTGAATTCTGAAAAAAATTGTATTGCATGACCAGCAAGAGGACTCCAGTTAGTGCTACGCGGAGAGGGCGTTTCTGATGCGGTAGAGGTATCACAAAGCGCCCTAAAAATCTGTGATGCTACGGCATGCATCACAGACATCATGGGTCATGGAAAATGTGCATTACAAATCTACTAGAAATCTTCCAGACCCAGACATTTTTGCATTTGATGATGCCGCCCCCGAAGCCGCCCATGTCAGCAGGAGCGCTGCCTGTTGGTGCATCATCTACTTCCAGGGGCATTATTTTATCTAAGCAACAAGAAGTTCTCACCACACCAATTCTCGCTTCCGGCTCCTCCATGGATCTGGGCGCGCCCAGTGCGAGCGCGTCTGTAGCAATTCCGATGGGCAAAAACCTGATAGCTGCGGACTACCGTCCAACGCCGACCGCCGTTCTCGGCCGGCCGCCGGCTGCGGCGGTCCAGAGGCTCGGCACCCCGGGTGCGGCGGCGTCGAAAGCAGACGGAGCAGCCGGCACAAACAAGCCGGCCGCGATCGAGACCGACGGAGCTGCTGGCGCGGCGCTGAGCGAAGGCGCACCAGCAGCCGCCCTGGAAACACCAGTGGGCCCCGGGGAAAGCGGGAATCGGATGTATTCCACCGAGGAGTCCTCACGCAGCGAGAAATTAGGCGGCAGAACGAGCATGCGGCCACCGGCACTCAGCATGTCCGATGACGGGATTCCGATGCAGTTTGCAGTCGGGGCAGCGGGTGGCGAAGAGGAAAACATAGCAAATCACAACAACCCGCTAACGAGCTTTTCCTCCTCCGCCGGCGCCGCGTCCCTGGCGGAAGAAGCTGCCGAAATTAAGAAAATGAAAGTGGCGGCTGGCCCGGCAAAAGATTCGGGGATGCTATCGAAGCTGTGCAACGTGAAGGGCAGAACCGCATCGGGCGACGGAATCAACAAGCGATCCTCACCAGAGCAAAATCCCGCTCGTATGATGATCTTTGAAGTTGTTTCGCTTTTTTGTTTGGGCTATGGGCCCCTTACGCTTTCCGTCTGGAAAAGAAAATGAACATGTTGATGCAGAAGTACAGATCAAACGAGCGAACTACGTATACAATTCAATACCATTTAAACATCCCCAGTGACGTCCGGTTTTGGCTTTCTGCTGGACGACGAAGAGGTTGCTAAACCAAAGAACGCGAAGCCCAAGGCGAAGGCAGGCTCGGCATCTTCCGCTAATGGGAACAAGGCAACGCTTTCCGCAGACCTTACCGGTGCAGATACTTCTAGCATACTGGACGCACTGCAGAAACCAATACTGGATCCTCCGGTTGCACCGAAGGCTGTCGTGGCTCCTTCAGGTAGAATCGATTTATTTTCAGGAACGTATAAAGTAAAACAAACACTCCATTGGGTGTTGCATTTGTTCCAAAAGTAGGGATGCGTCTGCCGTTGTTGTGCGTATCGGTATTCAATAGACCAACTTTTTTTCCTATTGCCACGACTAATGCCTGCAAAAATCGCAACCACAATACCACCAGCTTCCGTCGCGAGCAGCAAAGTAAAAAATGCTGTGTCTTCTACCCGTGCTGGGGTCCCTGAGATAAAAACCACTGGCGCTGCACTTGGGTCTTCCGCACAAAGCAACGTGGAGCTGCAGGTGGTGAAGAACCAGACAGCACAAGACCTGCAGAATAAAAAACCCCCCGCTGCTGCAAAAAACAACATGGAAGTCGACGAGGAGGGTCCAGCGCCTTGTGCCGGAGCTGCGAAAGACATGAACCTCGACGAGCAGCAAGCTGACGCAGACGACGAAAACGATGAGGAGGTGGATTCCGAAGCGGAGCGCGAGGAGCAGAAACGCCAGGAAGAAAAGTTTGTGCGGCGCATGGCCAAGTTGCAACTGAAAAAGCAGCGGGAACAGAAACTGGCGCGATTCAGAGTAAGAGAATGTTGTTCATGCACCGCTTTCAATTTATATACGACCTTTTGAGTAGTTTCTACTTGCTTTCGTCGCTACACGTGGACGCTCGTTTAATCAAGGGGGCGTTCGTAATGCAAACGAAGAAAATGAGCTACAAGTAGATGTAGAACAGCAACAGATTGGATTTATATTCACATATACAAAAAAAAAACAGGATGACCAAGCCGAGGAGTCGGACGCGTCTGAGTCTGAAGATGGCGAGCTCCGTCTCCAGTCCGACGGGGACGACGACGAAGACAATCCCAAGCCGAAGAAGAAGAAAAAAAAGGCGGTCAAGAAAAAGAAAAACGCCAAGAAAAAGACCCCGGCGAAGGGGCCGCTGCAAGACGGGGAAACGAATAACGACGACGAGGAGGACGATATCCACGAAAAAACTGTGTTAGTATAGGTTTTTGGAGTCACAGCATGACAAATTTGCTCTGCATGACAGAGACAGCCTGCCATGCGGAGCTAGTATTAGTGAAAACACATAAGAGAGATGACTCCATGTTGGCTGGCCAGCATGACAAGTGTGTACTGTGTTGCAGTTTCTCCATCACAGGCTTGCACGTTTTTTTCTTGCATAGACGAGCGCGACGACAGCGAGCTGGACGCGGATTTGGATTCCCTGATCAATTCCGATTCCGAAGACTCCGCAGACGAGGACCCGGAAGCGCGGAGGAAGTTTTGGGAACTCACCATGCAGTTGGACAACCGAGAGGAAGACAGCTGGCTGGACAAGTACGCGGCGGACAAAAAACGACGCCGGGAGGAGCGGAAACAGCAAGATTTCCAGATGTTCCAGCTGGAGGAAGCCAACGATGAGCTGCGCCGGAAGGCGAAACGCGACAAGAAGATTCGCCAGGCGCAGCTCGCCGACGAGCAGCGCAAGGGCTACGACAGTGACGACGTGGAGGTGGGGGAGGGGAAGAAAAAGAAGGTGCGGGACAAACGCGAAAAGGACGAGCGCCTGGACGCGTATCTCGTGGAGGCGCAACAAAAGGCAGCGCTGGAGCAACAGAAAAAGGTTTTTAGTTTTGCGATCCTTTTATTGGTTCGCTAGTGTATCTGTGTAAAAGTTGTAAGTTTCATATCTCTTGCTATATAGTGTGTAGCCACTTCTCTGGATCTGAATGGTTTTGTTCGCGTATGAAAATTGTTGAAAATATTTCCTCTATCAGGCCAAGGAGCGGCTCGACAAATTTATCAACAAGCAGTATGAAGGGGACCTGATGAAGCAGTTGTGTGCGGAGCAGGACGCCGCCGCGGGCTTCAAAGTCGACGACAGCGCCGGGGCGCAAAGCAAACCCGCCGCCCTGTTGCACCCGGGCAAGGCGCGGCTGGCCGCGAAACAGGACAAGGCACGCATGCGACAGCGGAAGAAGGCCGCGGGCCAGCAGGTTTCCTCCGACGACTCGGAGGACGACTTGCGAAAATTCCAACCGCAAAAGGGCCGCCAGCTGGGACTCCTCGGTCAGGTGAAAATGCGCCCGTCCGAAGGCGGAGGAGGGAACGACCGCGGATAGAGCCATCCCTGTCTGAAAGTTTTCAGACCGAGTAAAACAGGATTTTTTTCTACGGTATGTAGCGACATGATCAATCTCGCTAATAATCCTTCAAGCGAAGTAGAGATTGCAAAAATTTACGAAGTTGTACCGCTCAATCGTTGCAAAGAAACGGTTGCGAGCGAAACCATTGGGGACTAATAAGTCTAAGTCAAACTTACAAAAAAACTGTAAACAGTTGTATTTTTATTGAACCGCTTTGACCGCGGTAGCCACAGAATATTTGTGCCTCAAGCTGCAGGACACTTTTTTTCAAACACATTCCGGACGTGAATCTCCATTATAACATGATCACTATTCTCTTTCTCAGGCTCTCTCAGGAATAACAAGATAACCAGAAGTGAATCAGTTTTGATTTTCGAGCAAGCCAAACATTTTCTGGACACACAAATCCACTCCTGCTGGAGTAAGTCCGACGAAAAAGAGCGTTAGCAATTGTGGTTGAGCATTCAATTCTTGTTCACCTAGTCAGGCCTCGCCTGCGATTGGCAAAGAGACGGCCGTTTTCCACGAACCCCAGTAGAGTTCTTTTGTACATGAGCTTGTTTCTGAGTTTTCGTTGGAAGAAGTGTCTTCAGTGGTGGCATTTCTTCCACTAAAGTATGTGCTTTCTTCATTCAACGTCACCAGTCTACGTCTCGTTGTATTTTTGAAACACATAAACAAGGCTTTCGAATTCGGTCGTGTTCATGCAGGCTGAGCACGAGTGGACGTTTTTTTGTCAACCGTAGTAAGTTGACATAACCACAAGGGGAAAATAAAGTCACAAAGCAAGAAGTGTGTTGCGTGTTTTTGTGGGTCGCTTTTCTTCACGTTTACCCGATGAGGTTGAGTCTGACTAACTTCGCACTTCCACTTGCATTGAAGGCGAGGGTTTCATTTGTACCTGGAGAACGTGGTCTGTTCGTGGTGAATGGCAAAGACAAAAAGACCGCGTCTTGTAGGAGTAAACGATTATATCCTCGCTATCGCATCTGCAGGAACTAGTGAAACAGATTGTGTGTGGTCGCTGCCCCCGTCATGGCCGTATTTCCGTGGCCCTCGCGGTGAACAGAACGATCGTGACTGGATCAACAAAACGCGAGCAGGGCAGGACGAGTCCTCGGGGGTGCAGCTACTGTTGCTTGTAGACATTTCGAGGGGTGTTGTTGCAACAAAACGACGGACAGCATGCATTTCGGCCTCGGCGGCGCCCCACCACCCGGCCAGGGTCAGCAGGTACCAATACCATGCATGCAGGACACGTGAATAATAATTTTCTTGTTCATTTAATGTGAATGTCTTTCATGCTCGCCATGACCACACAGCCAAGCAGCCGAGAAAAAAACTTTTTGGTGCATTCCCGTGAAGGTTTATGTTCTTATTTTGACGTCGCAAGAAAAAGTAAAAGACTTAGAATCCGGAGGGATGCGGAATGACGTGGAGATTGCACAAAAACCCATGACACCCACACGACCATGAGAATGCACTATAATTGACACAAATCTACTTCAGGGCGGTGCGCCGTACTTCGCGGCGTCTCCTTTTGAGTCCAACCAACCCGGCGGTGTACCTGCCGCGCAGCAATACCTCCGCAAACCCCTGGCTCAAGTCACTGCCTTTGTGAATGACAGCAGTTATTGTAATGACGCTCGAACTTCCAGTACAGCTAGTTTGCATGATGGCCTCAGGCCGAACTGCATGCTGCGTACGGTGCACTACTTCTCTGGAACCGTGTTTCCCTGCCGAAAAACTTTTTGATATTTTGTACTTTTGGTCACAGCCAATATCAATATATGAGAAGTTAGTAGCTGCTTCTCGAGATGAACGCAGGTCGGGACAACGTTTTAGTTCCCTTCCGCCCACGTACAATTAGCATGACCTTAGTATTATCGACCACGACTAAACTACAATCCGTTTCTAGTGGCTGAACCCAGGATTTTCTTACCTTTGACAAAAAACAACCCGCGCCGCCGCAGCCTTTCGCCATGAACAACAAACCAATACAGTTGGGGCTTTCATTCCCCACGTTGAGTCTGAACAAGAAGCCCGCCTTTCCCTCCACGCGGTTGAGCCCGCCGCAACCGGTCGGGGGTGTGGAACAACAGTCCGAAGTCGGCGCATCTTCCGCTCCCGGCGGCGCGCCGGAAAACCTGTCGCCGGACGTCGGCGCAGAGCAAGTAGGGGTCGTGGCAGGGGGTGAACAGCCGCAGCAGCACTTTCCCACGGCAACCGCCCCATCCGCATTCGGCACGCGCCCGAGTTTCCTCCTGAAGACGCCCGCGACGCTACAGGCACCAGTGCTGGGCGGCGGACTAAACCAGCAAAATCCTATGGCGGCTGCTGGTACTGTTGGCGGCGGCGCACCGGTCGCCACGATGGCACCCATCGGGACGATGCAGATAGGAGGCTTTCCGGCGGGACCGGTACGAACTGCAAAAGTATCGTACTAGTTAGTCAAACCGCATGATCAGAAATTTTATCGGCATCAAAAAAGCAACTCGTAGTTGTAATGCTGATTGTGCTTGAGAAGGAGGGACGTTTGTCATGAAATAAATGACCGTAATGCTACTAACGTACGAGTACGATGCTTTTGCAGAGGATAACCGGGTCTGATGAACAAAAGTTTCCTGATGAACCAGCAGCCCCCGCCACCGCAAGGGCCGCCGAAAAAGCTGATTGCCCGCGTGATATGGAATGCAAAAGTATCGTACTCGTATAAATGCATTACAAATTTCCTCAGCATGAGGAAGAAGATTTGTAATGCAGATTTGCCTTGGGAACAAGAGTTGTAATGCAAGACTTGCATTTATACGAGTACGAAACTTTTGCAGGGGATGCGTCATCATCGCCGACGACTTCGAGCCGGATCTGGCACTGGTCGACTCGAACGGCAACGGGGACTCCACCAACGACGACCAACCGCTGGCCCAGGGCGGCACGGGCGGGGCACTGTGCGAGCTCACGTGCGTGGAGTCATCGGTCGACGTGCAGCTGTTGAACGCCGCGACCAACGAGCCGGTGCAGAACAGCATCAACCTGCCGGTCCGGTTTCTCAACCTGCACTTGAACAACTGCGCCTACGAGAACGGGATCGAGAGGCAGGTCGAGGAGAAGGCGCTGCTGAAGTATCCAGGAAAAAACACCCATCCCTATCCATTTTTTACATGACAAACATTACAAATTATGCATGTTTTGCATGACAAAGTGGATGGGGATGGGTGTTTTTTCCTGGATACGAAGTGTCCGCTCGGGAAGTACGCCGACGTGCCCTCGCTCCGGATCCAGCTGTGCGTATGCATTGCAAAAGTATCGTTCTCGTAGTAATTGCAGTCATCCACCATTGCAAATGCAAATCTCGCTTTTAAAGGCAAATCCGCATATACAAACTTCATCTGTAAAAATGCGAAGGAAATTTGTCATGCGGCTTCTACTACTAGACTACGATACTTAATGCAATGCATAGTGCGGCTCCAGTGGCAAGGTGGGGTTTGTGGACCGCGGCCGCGGCGACTCCCCCGCAAATAACGCGGCACCGGCGGGGCTGCTCGGCGGTACAGCCCACCAGCAGCGCTTCAAGCCGAAAAAGGGCGTATCACCAGAAAAAAGCGTTACAGGTACACATTTGTTGGAGTTTCTGCATCACAAATTTCCTCTGTGTGGCAGACAAAACTTGTAATGCAAAGATCATAAGGGAAAATACGTAGGAAACGGAGCTCGCAAGCATTGCCTGCATGACAAAGGTTGTCTGTCTTGCGGCTCCTGCAACTCAATGTGTAACTGTAACACTTTTTTCTTGCGATAGGGCGAGGGGATCTTCCAGTACGCGCTGCATTTCGAGGCGGACGCGGTGGCGGAGGGAACCCCGGAATCGGACGACAAGGAATTGTTCCTCGACATCAAGTGCATGCTCACGGGCGTCATCACGGCTATGATCCTAGAAAGATGTTTTCGGAAGTCAACGCGATGTAGTTGCTGGCGCATGAAGATCTTTGAGGGATCATGTTCATGCGGATGTGCTGCCGCCGCGCAATGTGTATAGTTGAATGCGTTTTCATATATTTCTTTGGGCTACCGCGGCTCCTGTCGTGGACCATCCTACTTCTAAAAAGTCTAGCGATATTAACATCGAGTTGACTCGTTCGAAGTGATTTGCTAGGATACTTCTCTCGAAGCTGGATGATACCGACGTGGAGGAGGAGGAATGAGCTGCAGGATTGGTCTGTAGTCGTGTTTTTCAGTTCGTCTTTACGCTTTTGCTTCTACTAGGACCTACCCGAGTGCCCTCTTGTCTTCTTTTATTCGGGCAACACCAGGGCCTCATCTTCATGTGTGTTTGTGTCATATCCCTGGCGAGGAAGGCTATCTCGAACCTTCTCTCGCAGGTGGTTCAGTGCAGCTTCTACATTTGATCAATGGCAGAAAAGATAAAGAGCTCTCAATTGTAAGAAGTATATTCTGCCCTCTGAAACCGAAGACGAGAAAAGCTACACTTTTTCTGCTGCTTAGCAAGCGAGACGTCGCCAGATAGCATGCGACGCTCCTTGTTTGTTGCAGTCGGGCATACTCCGTATCTATAGTGCATTGAGGCGTTGCCTTCTTGTTTGTCCATTCGTTGTTGACAGCTGTAAAGGGATACGTTCTCGCTCCACCGTCGTGTTCGTAAATAGGTTTACGGTTCTGAGCAGGAAGAGAGAGAGTGAGGGAGAGAGAGAGTAGAGCTGGCGACGAGAAGGTCAGAGAGTGAGACGAGAACCAGAACAGGTATTCAAGTCTTGCGCAGCACCGCTTCATCACGTTCACTTTGATATGCATGTGATAATGAAAGATATTCCTCTCGTGTTTGGTGTTAGTGTATCTGGATCCGCATCTATAATCAAAGGACAACATCACAATGGAAGAGTGTAAAACCTAAACCTAAAAGCTATCTATTGTACATTTTCCGAATTTTGTGATCTCCACCTTGATTCTTTCTTCGACATCATCTCAAACACAAATCAAAAATAGGTGAGTTGATCAGATGAAAACGAAAAAGATGATATTGTTGGCAGGGGATCCTCCGGATTGACCTGATCCAGGGTCTATGTCCCCATTAAAGAAGTGTCGGTCTACTTCAGTCACACGAAACATCAAAAAGCAGAATTGGAAGTAAAACCTCTGCCGCCAGCGCAAAGAGCGGTGGACTCAATTGTGAAGATACCTCCGACTCGAGGGCGGAGACGGAGGTGAAAGAATTATTAAGACTCGTTCTCTTTCCGCCCGACAAGCAGAACGTACTTAGCAACATGGTCCGGGTACTACCGCAGCCGGTGTACGTGTTTTTCCACCTGCTGCTCAACCTCCTCGCCTTTGTCGTCATCTCCCCGTTCAAAACCGTGTACGCGGAGCTGGTCGAAAAGAGAAATGAACGGGACGTCAGTCGTGAACACGGAGCGCGAAGTACAACAACTTCTGAAGCTCCGGCTGCACGAGAATACGTTATTACCCACGACGCAATCGCCACGGAGGGAGGTGATGCTGACGCTTTAGAAGATGCCATGCTGAAAAGGACGAAGGACGTCCACGGGGACGCTGCTGGCGGGGAGGAAGAAGGCGGCGATGACCAGGAGGTTGAAGACGCGAAGTTTGCGCAACTGAACGAGCAAATCAATGCGGTGCAACACGAGCAGCACGACGGCAGGAGACCGCGAAAGATGGCGTCGACACAAATATCCTCCTCGCCCAGTTCCGCCAGCGAATTAGCTGCGTCTTCCACGGATTTGCGGAATACGATGGGCTCCGAGGAAAAGGACAATTCGGCACCCACTGCAGCGGATACTACGAAAGTGAAGACCAAAATAAAGATTTTTTCTCTTCTCGAGCGACGTGGTCCAAGTCCATTTATGATCATAAAGCCCCCGCGCTTTGCTCACGTTTGGCGTCGGGCTCTACAAGTACAAGTTACCACTAGAGGTAATTTATTCATACATAATACTTTGCATCCACTTCCACTTTACATTAATACTTTGCATCCACTTTACATTAGTACACCGACCGAGTTGTATTTGAACTTGTGTATGTTTCCCGACAAGGCGGATTGTGCAAGAGAAAAAGTTGTAGTTCTACTGTAGGCGGTTTCATAACACACGTCGATGCGTCGCGTCCGCAGTCCTTCACAGAGGGAGTCGCTCCCGTTGTTGGGACAGAAGAGCAGGAGGCGGGCCGCAATGAACCATCGGTACTGACATGCTTGGTGTTACAGGGTGAATGTGACTGAGGAACCAGACACCTCCTAGTGCTTCTATCTATATCTTCTTGTTCATTAGGTAGAAAAGTTCGTATGTTGAAGAGCATGACGAGAAAATAAGTATCTGCTTGTTTGCTCTTCAATTTCATACGAACTCGTCTTCGTCTTCATGATACGAACTTATTTGCGCTTCATCCTAATCATAAAGCTTCCGGTCTTTCATGGAAAAAAAAAATGCCAGAAATACTTCGAGAATGCAGTGTCGTCGTCTATGCCTGCAAGTATTAACGCTAGTTTGTTGCAGCAAGAAGTAGCGATGGGAGCTGCAGCTGCGCGACTCGCTGCTGGAAACGCCGCACGACAAGCTGGAACGCGTACGGGTGCTGGCGCGGGACGGCAGACTGCTGCTGGAGCCGCACGTTCTGCAGCTGCAAAAACTCCTGCTGCCATCCATGCTGCTCGCAGAGAGGGTTTACGCCGGGGTCTCAACAATATGCGCCCAAATGGTCATCCTTCCGCTTCCCCGACCCCGTGGCAAGCTCAAGCACAAAGACATGGTGCTGTTGCGGCAGCACATCGAATCAACCAGCAAAACGGGCGAGGGTTGGGAGTTCATGCACAGGGCGCGCTTCGTGCGGCAATCGAGCAGAACGAAGAGGCATGGACACGAGCACTCACCTTCGCCAACGAAGCAATTGATGCAGGTGACCTGAATGCGGCCGACCAGATGGGGCTGGATGCCGTGTCGGTAGTGCAGAAAATCCTCGATTATCGTGTGCAAAAGTGTTGTAGCGTTGCCTATTTTGGAATGAATGTATGGTTCATGCTAATGCTAAATAATTTGATGGACCATGCATAATTGAATTCATTCTTTTTCAGCTACATCGTGCGGCCTTGAATGCGTATGCATATGCGGCCTTGGTCACGTCTTGAATATGCGGCCTTGGAGTTGTTATTGTTCGCAGTTGTTCGAGGTCTTGAACATACAATCAAGACCAACAACGAGGCACGAATCCTCATTTCGCGGAATTCCCTGTTTCCTCCTGACCCTTCTTCCGTCACCAGAGGCAAAACAGTTCATCTCGTCGCGTGACCTATTCAGTAGGTCGCGCGAGGACAATGTCGCCCTTTAGTAGTTTTACCATAGGAACGCAAGAAGATGTAAATGAATCCCAATGGCGTTGCGCCATACGACAAAAACGAGGAAAAGAGCTGCACTTTTGGACTTGATATCGGAATCGAAGGTATGAGTTTCATGCAACAGCTGAAAAACGACTGGCATGCAGACGACACAACTAACAACCCGACACACACTAGAGCCACCGAAAGCGAGGCACACCACGTAACTCACTTTCTCGAGCACCACAAGGATCTCCGAGACGGCACCCATACAGTTGAAGGCACCACATTCCACGTCAAGCACTGCGGCCAGCACGGGATGTTGTTGAAAGATAAAGATGATAATGTGTTCTCCGACGTGGAGAAACACAAACATAAAAATAAACATGATAAGCATGATGTTACTAATGTGGTTTGCTTTCCCGGATCCTTTGTGAATGCCGTGAAACACGAGCTTCGAAACTTACGAGAGACATTGATGCACCCGAACGAGGAAAGCTGAACAGAACAAATACGTAGTCGGGCCTGCGAACTTTTTAGGCCCGAGGAGCTCCCTCCGCTCCGATGTCGCTGCCAGGCAAGGCACCTGGCAGGGGTTTCAGCGACAAGTAGCGAAAGAAAAAAAAACGGCGGCGATGAAAATATGAAGACTACACAAAGTACATGGTCGTCCTAATTGTTCGAGCACGGGAATTGTAACAAAAACAAGAGCGGAACAGGTTTGACATATGGAAAGGTGATACGAAAATCTTCCGTCGTGTTTGTATGTATATTGAAGATGCGCTTGCCGAGGACGAGAGACAGAGCGAGAGAGAGAGAGAGAGAGAGAGAGAGTTGAACCAAAGCGCCACATTACAAAAGAATCCCCTGAAGAAAATGAAGCTATGAGTTATTATATACATTTCGATTTCCCAGTGAATTTTGTACCACAAGAAAAGGAAAAGTGCCGCACTTCTTCTACTGCTGATCTCCACCTCGCTTTGTATCTTCCATGTCATCTTCAAAAACACAAACCAAAAATAGGCGACTTGATCAGATGAGAACGAAAAAGATGATATTGTTAGCAGGGCGGGATGCTCCGGATTAACCTGATCTATGAGAGAGTTAGACAGAGACAGAGATCTCATTTTTTCCATCTTTTCCGTCAATTGATTCCCGCACAACCGCAGTTGAAATATGTGTATGTCAGAGCATTGCTAAAAGATGGAGGACAAACTCTTGTGCGTTGATTTTCTCGATTGCATCGACCGGGAAAGCCGCCGAGGTGATGGTGATACCGCGTTGTGCGTTTTCGGGATGCTACGGTTTGGAACCAACAAATCACTGCGGCTGCCAGCCATTGTTGCAGCCCGTGAGTGTGTCTGCTCCGTTCTTACTTGTTGCGCAAACCATGTTCGTCCTCACGGGTTCGGTTGTATGTTTCAAACAGTAGCGCGGTCGTCGTCCGCTAAACTACGCAGACGTGAAGAATGTACTAGGCACAAGTCAATGAAGATACATATCACTGCAGTGAGTTCACTTGAAGCTGAACTCACACAGAAGCCGCAAAAGCACTCTTGTTGCTGCATACTCTTGGCTGCAGGCCGCAAGTGTCACGTACATTTCCCTCGCCGTTTTCTCCGCGAACAGAATTGCCAGCTGGACTCCTGGGGCAAGGGTTGTTGACTTTTTGGTGCGAGGAAAAGACGAGCGGCTGCAACCACATCCACTGTTCCTGCTTGCCGTCTCCACGCTTAGCACTGCTACCATACTGTCCCTTCACTTTTCCCGGAATTCGCGGCTGAGGAAAAATGCGAAAACTTCTACAGGGAATAAAAAATCTTCGCAGCAGCTCGAACTGCAGCTGGACGAAGGCGCAGCAATGCTGAATGAGGCTCGAGTCGGTGAAGATGTGGAAAACCTTCTGAGACCACACAACTCTACGAACGTCGCTCGTGCGGAGACTACATCAAAAGCTGAAATAAACAATAATTCTTGCGCGAGGTGGACACCGCAAGTGCCCAGAGGACATCCGGGCTCAAACAACAGCACTGACCAAAATAAACTCGCATCTCCACGTCCTTTGTTGAAGATTTTCGGGGGCTGCTTTACGGGAAGCGCGGTGTTTTGTTTGTTCCTCGACACGACCGTCCCGTTCGCATATCCGACGCTGAGTGTCTTCGCGGCCGGCGCCGGTATTCTAGCGTACTTGTCTGCGGTCCCGACTGCCCGGGAGGGTGTGGCGCGGGATCTCGTCCAGGCTGTTTGAAGAATACATAGGTCGTACTTTCGCTCCTGGAGGGGAAAGCCACGCGTTTTATGTTCAGTCAGAAAAGAACTGTGCCGCGGACCATGAAGATTTTATCGGCGAGCGTAGACTTTTGCTATTATGATGATCAACAAGGAAGCCCTTAGTAGCGAGGCCGGTGAGCAGTGTTTCCTATTCCTTGGATTTCGAATATTAGGGCAACAAGATAACGCGAAAGTTACAGATAAGTACTAGGTAGAATGATCCTCAACTTCAACAGACGTAAAAAAGTAGATCACCGGCAGTTATAAAAGCTCCTCAGAGTCGTGGTCAGTAGTCTTTGTTCTTTGGGAGGTGATTCCACATGCATGATCCAGCAGACTGTGTCTGCTGTGTCAGACCGCCTTGTGAGCTCCATTTATTTGCGTCTTGTTCTCACTGCCTCGAATGCGCGTCGGTCATGTAGTTGCTCCTCTTGTGTCTACTTCTATCGGGTAGATACGTAAACGACGCTCACAGTCACAGACCAGGGGTTCTCCTCCTCCAACGCGTTCCTCTTGATCGGTTGCTGGAATTAGTGCTTGCAAATCAACATCTACGTTCAGCATGGCGTTGTCGTACGAGGCACCGAAAAGATCATGGCGATAACAAGGTTGTTCTTGTAGCTGCTGGCGTGTCAGCTGGCTCTACAGCTAGACCATGCGCTCCTTCTTGGTGCAGAAAGTGTCCTGCTCCTGACAGACCGTTCTTCTGCACATCGGGAACGAGCACGAGCAGGAGGAATTGTGGGGTCCAGAACGGCGGCGAGGTACAGCAGCAGGTAGCTGCCTCGAACAGCACCACGAGTAGATCATGTGGGACCTTCTCAAAAAGCGATGCAAGACCACCCGCCCAACAAGATTTGCAGAAGACCTGCATAAAGATCGGAGCGCGAACTACAACGGTTCTTGCAAACGGAGGTCCAGCTGGCGTTTGCGTTGCACCGTCCGCTGTCTCGTGCTTGTTAGGGCTTTGTTCTCTGCTCTGAATTACTCCGTTCGACAGGTCGCTGCGAATGAGAATGCTGCTGAGCGAGACCACAAAGCCACGGCGACCACCCAGGCCGCCGACAGTACCTCTACCGGCGCAGGAGCCGCTTCGCCACCCGAGTCGGACCAAAACGAGGCAAAGTTCGAGAAGTGTCTCGCGTCGCACTACCCAAACACCCGGGAGGATTTCGCGTACCTGCTCAATTGCATGGGGCTCACCGGTCACGCGGTGGAGATCGGGGTGCAGCGGGGGGTGCACGCGAAACAGTTTCTGGAAAAGTGGCAGGGGAAATTGCTGTACCTGGTAGACCGGTGGGAGCACGTGGTGTCGCAGACCTACATCGACATCGCCAACATTGGCTCCACCGGCATGCAGACGCTGAAGCAAAAAGCGGTGGAAGCGTTGCAGCCATTCGGTATGCACTGACGAGGTGGTAGCTGCGTCGGGATCTGGAAGAAGTGATAGCTCTACTTATGTCGCTACTTGTCAAGAAGTGCTCGATCATCCTATGAGGACTGTTTGTTATGTTCGGTATATCGCTTATTCGTTCTTCCATCGACCCGATTATCGTGTCATCGCAACAAGATAGAAATATTTTGCCTTTCCTGATAGTCATATACATATGGTGCGCTTGTTACTTCCAACACCGGCAAGACACTTTTGTAGTCCCGCCCCATATTTGAAGACCGGTACAAAATTCTGCACGCGTGGAGCGAAGACGCGGCAAAGGAGGTGGCAGACCAGTCGTTGGACTTCGTTTACCTGGACGCGCGCCACGACTTCCAGGGCGTGTTCTCGGACTTGATCGCGTGGTGGCCCAAGTTGAGGATCGGCGGGGTGATCGCGGGTCACGACTACTGCGACGGGGAGCTGCCGGAAGGCGATTTCTTCGTGCAAACCGCGGTCCAAAGCTTCCTGGGCACGATCTCGTCTTCTACCGGCGTTGATAGGGGGGACGGTGCAGCGAGCACAACTTCAGCTGTTGGGGCAGAGGATGGCGGGAGCGGAGCGGATGGCGCTGGTATAATTTTTACGTAGCGCACTCGTCCTGTTTCAGTAAAGATTTGAAATTCGGATGAAGACCCTTCTACATTACATCGAAGAGGGATTCTTGACTGGATATATTCCTCCGCAGAACGTATACGTAAACCTAAACGAAAATCAAAACTTTACTGGTAGTGTTGGACATCTTGGAAACTAAAGAGAATAAAGCTCGACTCCTTGTTTTTCTTTATCAGTCCCTCGACCGTCAACTTCCCCGGTGCACGTGACAAAAGAGCCGGTGAAATTTGTTTCCTTCTTCGTCCTGAAGACCGCGGCCCTTGACGCCCGCGTGCGGACGCAGACGTTCCGGTCCTTCCCGATCAACCGCGTGTATCCGCAGCACTCTTGGTACTTTTCGTTGTTTTACCGCGACCACGCGAATTTCAAGACGAAGTGCCGCACCCTCTGCCAGTTCGACTGTGATCGCCGCCTGCGCCAGATTTTTCCCGAGGACTTCGCACTGCTCTCCTCGTCAACCGGAAGTGGAGGTGCCGCAGATCTTCATGCCTGCTTCTCGGGGGTTCCGCAAACGACGAGAGAAGGAGGTGTTGCGGGTTCGTCGTACCACGAGGGAAGTAGTAGTAGACCTACAGCATCAACAGCTGGTCTCCAAGCCAACATCCACGATGGCGTGGGTAATGGTAGAGCACTGGCAACCTCAGGTGCTAGAAACAAAGATGATACCACCATCGCTGTGAAAGAAGTAATACCAAATCCCGCTGCACCCTCAACGACGACGCTTGCACCGATAAAACCCTCAGCCTTGTCTTCTTCTAGTACCAAAGCACATGCTACTGCGGCTCATCTCGTCTCGTCCGTGGTCTCAGCAGACCACAGTGAGGACAGCGAAAGCGTGTGTAGTCGGCTCTCGCCGTCTTTCACCACGTACCGCAACGAGTGCGTCCGACGGTGCGGTGTGACCTGCGGCCAGCGGGAAACCCTGTTTCAGCACATCCTTCAGTCCTCTGCCGGGAAGGAACTGCACGAGAGCCAGGTGTTCCGGATCGACCCGGGGTTTTTCCGCGACGTGACGCGCGACCCGGTGCCGAGCGAGCAGGAATTTGTGTTGAACGCGGACAATTTCTTCCAAGAAAGGATACGACAGCACCAGAGTGAGGATGAAAAAGCTCTTGCAAGAAGTGGCTCTAGTAGTTCTTCTTCTTCTAGTACAACAGGCACTCCTCCTCCACATAATTCGACGGCGCGCACAATAACTCAAAAGAAGGAAGAAAGCCGCCACGTCATCTGCTGTGCCGGTCGCCATCAGTTCAACTGGGGCACGCCAGAGACGGCTGTTGCTGGCAGGGAAGAGCTGTAATGAAGACTTTTTCTGATCGCGCAACGGGAACACTGTTGAAGTTTCCAAATGACAGGAACAAGCCGCGGCAGAAAAAACAATCATTCCATTTCTTCGAATTTGTTGCTACTCTCACTGACTAGGACTAGCTAAACTTGAGAATTCAGATACGGTCCGGCCCCGCCTGGGCGCGTACAGAAGATGATGTGGTTGAGTCTATCAATCTGTCACATACACATCAATGAAGACGCGATGTCTTCCACTGGCCAGCCCGGAATAAAGCGAACCAAAGTGAAGACTACTCATCCATGACCGGCGTATTGTCCGCCTCCTTGTTTCACGTTCATCCATTTGAGTGAACTTGTGATGCAGAGCCTGAATCTCAATGAACTCGTCGAGTTGCATAGAAGTGGTTTAGTACGACCTCCACACGAAAAAGCAAAGACAAACGAACTCAAGTAGCAGAACAAGGTGCGAGTCGTGTTGAGAGAGGTTGATGTCCCCTGTTGGTGGTGTCTCCGCGGACGATTACTTACTTATCCGCTCGAGGCCCAGCTGTATCCACCTTGAAGTTCGTCTATCTTCGTTCTTTCAGATCAGCTGAACCGGCTGAAATCGCCAATCGGGAGGACCATCTCCCCCGATGTAGTTGCAACACTGAGGACCACTAACATTGAGACTGCACGCCCAATCAACATGATACAACCACCGAGCAGCTCCTGATCCGCTGCTCCTTTTGGTGAAAGATTGACGTGGAATCTAGCTGTTTCTGGACAACGACCTACAGCTAGTACACGACAAGAAAATGAGCTTCGTCGATAGCGATGACTTCAAGGAACTTGTATCGAATGCAAGATTTTTCTCTTTTTCCACCACAAATTTGAGTCTTTAGATGCTGGGATGCTTATCGACACTGAACGATGAGTGTCGTTGACATGATCCTGCAAAAATCTGTCTTCCCGAGCTGGGATCAACATATTGGTCGGGAAAGAGAATGCTTTGCTGTGCATAGTTTTTCCTTATGTTCGATAAGGACAACGGGGGCAGTATGGCGTTCTCAAGTGTTACATTCTCAGCCGTTGCATGAATTTGCGACGCAAGAATGGGAAAAGTTAAAGGGGGAAGCTGGCACCTGTAGCATTACAAATTACGCACAGACCACTTAGGCGCGGTTTAGCCCTTCGTAAATTTGTCATGCGGAGCAGCTTGATCGTGAGGATGATGATGGTACTTTTGCATGACAGATTCATCTTCTAACAGACACTTGAGAATGTAACGCTTGAGATCTCCATAGGCAGTATCGACGAGCAGGAGTTCATTTGAATTGCAAAAGCATCGTACACGTACTCGTATAAATGCATTACAAATTTCCTCAGCATGAGAAATAAAATTTGTCATGCTGAGTTGCCTTGGGAACAAGATTTGTAATGCTGCAAGACTTGCATTTATACGAGTACGATACTTTTGCACAGGATAGTTCAATCAGATGCTGCGAGTGCTGGGCATCAGTACCCACTTAACTTTTGTCATTTGTTTCGATTCTCTATCCCGTAGCTGACGATGACGTATTAACGCTGAACGCAGCTATTAACAAATCGCACATACTAATTTTTGGTCTTGCTATTTGAGCACCGTGGTCCGCTTCATTATCATTCGTTCGCACTCGACACACATGGGAGCCAAATGTTACTGCTTTATTTGCCCACGAAGAGAATAACTGTTGACATGTATTTCACCCTGCGGTCGCCGAATTTAGCACAACAGAAAATTATTATACCATCCTCATCAACACCTCCCAGATGTCAAGTTCCCCAAGGATCCGGACGACGGGATTACCTTTCCCGAGCTTTGCGCCCTGTTGAATCACCTGTCCCGCCCGCTGTCGCGCGAGGAGGAGATCCGGGAGGCCTACAAGTTTTTTGCCCCCTCCGGCGGCATGATAACGCCACAAAGCTTGATGGAGGCCTACGGCATCCTGGGCGACAACACACTCTCGGTCCGGGACGCGGCTAACTTGCTCAACGTCCAACCGGGCGTCGAGCTCATGACGGAGGAAGAGTGGGAAAATGCCAAGGACCACGGTACTATAGCGAAACCAAAAACAAAATCCAAATACTTCAATAGTGGATCACGATGAATCATTTTCCATATATGAAAATCTCGTGGTCAACATCAACGCGACTCATCATGCCACAACCAACAGGTGCCGGGATAGCAGAGGGATCGCAGGGCATGGCCTACAATGAGTTCGAGTTCCGTCTTCTCTCCACAATGACCAAAGAAGACGAAGAGGGGCATCCGAAGCTGGGAATGAGTCCCAGGAAAGCGAAGAGCCCCCAGAACCGAAAAGCGTCGCTGGCGTGAAATGAGTAGTTGTACCCTGAGGAAGGGGGCAATTTAAGTGTTGCGTCCTCCATTCGACAGGCAGCATAAGAAAATGAATCAAAAGGTTCCTGTTTCAGTTTGAAAACAAGAACTGTATGATGAAGAAGACGCCGAGGGTTTTTTGCTATCAAACCGTGGTAAGATCGTGACCTCCGCGAAGCCAAAAGATGTCCGTATGAAAATTGTGTTTCAGAATGATGAACGAAAAGCGAACTAAAGTTGAAGCTGAATTTATCAAAGAAATCTTTCAAAGAGGAAGCTCCATCTTGCAGCTGAGCGGATCTCTGTACAAATGTGTTGAAGTGCACAAACCTTGGACTTTTTCTGGAACACTGCGCGACATCTATTTCGGTTCTCGGCTCTTTCATGCACTCTTGTCGACGTCGTGGGCGTCCTCGGAGTCTGTGTAGAATTGATAAAAACTAAATTTGATAAAGATGTTTTGCCGCCTGTGATCACGATGAACTGTCGGTCGTTGAGGATTTGCGTCGCTCGGTTACATCTTCTGCATTTACTGCGACGCGCAAATTGCGCGTATACAATTGGCATAATTGGAGTAAGCGTTACAATTACATCAAGAAGAGGACCAAGTCCTGTCTCTCGGTGAGTGTGCTCGGGAGTGAGTTTGTCTTTGGTATTTGAGAGAGAAGATGAGGTGGAAGAGGGACGGGAGAGTTCAAGAGAGCGCCGTCTGACGATGACCATGACTTGCCAGGACGACACAAATTTAGCGGCTTTCTCTTGACTGCAACATTCTGCTCAGGTCCTTAGAAAATCTGCACACAGCACGACACTGAAGGTTTTTTTACTCTCTCGTGATCATAACTTATCTACGATGTCCTCCAATGTATTCTATTCTAAAGTTGAAAAATGCACTTGAAAGCAAAGGGCGGACATCATGCGTTCTGAAGCGTCAGGCACTCGTTGTCCGCGCGCTGCAGAAGTTGATCGTGGAAGACTTCTGCGGCTCTCGTGCTTCTGCTTCGCTGACCATACTACGATCTGCAAACAGACGGCTTTCTAGAGCTGAGGCTGGCACCTACAACGTCATCACAGAGCAAGTTAAGTAGTTTTTGCTAAACCTCGTCCCGGAGCCGGCGCTACAAGTCTGTCTCGGAGCGTGATCGTGAAGCGACAACGACATAAAGGCGTGCTGTATTATCCACACTGACCACCACCTAGAGGAACCAACACGTCGACGCCATGCAACCAGCACCGTCGGCCCCCGAGGGCGGCGTAACTGCCACTATGTCCAGCTCCTCCACCAGAAACCCCGTCTTCGTCGAGGCGGCGCCCGCGAACAGCGACACATCGTCTCAGGCGGTGCAGCAGTTTTTTCGCGAAAACAAGTACATTCGGCAGCTGGGGGTGGTGATGCTGGCCAACGGGTTGGACATCATGATAAACTACCCTACCTGGATCCTGTCCAAGCGGATGTCGGCCGGTCTGGGCGTGCCGCGCGGCGTGGCCGAGCTCTACCGCGGGGGGCTGAGTTTTTTCTGCGCGGGCGTCGGAACCTTGTACGTGGAAGATTTCGTGCACAACAGCCTCGCCAGAATGCGTGCGCAAAGGGGTACTAGCTCCAGCTCGATATCTTCAGAGAAAAAGAACGAAGGCGATAGCCAGCGGCCCACTACTGTAACCTCCACGTCGCGAGAGCCATCATCTGCAACCGGGACGACAATCGGTTCTGTTTTCAAGCGCTCTTTGTCGTCGCAAGCGGCGGACGAAGAGGATGTTGAATCGGGCGGCGCTAGTACAGCTGGTACTAACCTAAAAATGCACAAGAAGAATTCGGAGCTCGCTTTCCCGGGCGGTGACCTGTCCGAGGAAGAGTTTGAAGAGTCGGTCGCGATTGCGCGGAAAATTGCGCCCGTCGGCCCGCGCTACAGCTACCACATTCCGCGCGCGGCTTTTGCGCGGCTGAAGGAGCAGGAGTCAGAGGAGGAGCTGGAGAAGCGTATCCGGGATTTGCGGCGACAGACCAGAAACGCGAAGAAGGCGGACTCTGAGGATCCGGACGCAGACACTTACTTAAGTGCAGGAGGAAGGCAATCTTTGCGAGGTGGTGTTACTGCTGGAGCCGCAGGAGCTACACCCACAGAAGGTCTTTCATCGGAAACAGGTTATAATTTCCAGAGCCGGTTCCTGCCAACTGGATGGAACGCCACATTCCCTACGATGACAACCAGTGACTTGTTGGAAACGGTCTCGAATCCGACCGCGTCAGCCCTTTTGTCCGGAATGATGGGCTATCAATTGCAAAAGTGTCTGGGTCTGGAAAGATGCAAGGTTTGTCATGCTTGGCTAGCATAACTCTTAAGTTTGTCATGGGCGTGACCCAAGTCTCCCACTTTTCTCTCATGCAGAAGCTCACTTTGTCATGCAGAATAGACAAGACTGTAGCAACTCCAAAACTTGTCATGCTTGGCAGTCAACTGAGGTTTTCTTGTCTTTCCCAACCAGCATCACAAGTTTCCAGACCCAAACACTTTTGCATTTGATATGGGCGGCTTGATGGTCGGCACGTGGGCGGAAACCTTCATCACCAAGTTGCACATGGAGAGTGAAAAGGTCAATGTCAAGAAGGAGAACTTTCGTCGCGTAGTGGACGTCATGGGCGTGACGCCTTCGGAGCGGGATAAAAACCTCGTCGGGCTGGATAGGGTGCAGGAACATGAAGGAATGATAAAGCAGGGCGGAAATAGTAATTCAAGTTCTAGTACTACGACAAGTAGCGGAACTACATCAAGTGGGCAACAGAACGCTGTTGTTGACAACAAAAAATCTACCACGTCTGCGGGTAGTGGTGGCACAGCAGGCACTGGCACGTCCGCGTCCTCTTCCACAAGTACTACTTCCGGCTCAGGTTCTCGTACAGGAGCTCCGGCAGCAGCAACATCTCCCCAGCAACCCCCTCCTAGCGCAACACCACTACAGGCTTCTCCCAGCGCCTCAACAAGCTCCTCCAGTAGTACTAGCACGACCTCTAGTACAACAAATAGCAAAACCCAGCAGACCCGTTCGTTCTCCGGCTCTGCGAAACATAACGACCCCAAAAATCCTGAAATGACATCAAAGACCGCAAACAATAACTCAATTCCTCAAGCATCAAAACCTGCCGACCTCCCCAGGAAAAACGCCCACACCGCGCTTCGATCGGAAGCCGATGCGCTCCGGTCCATGCTGGGATCGGACGACGCGGCCGAGTACAGAAAACTGAAAATCCGCCACAGGGCAAGGAATCTGCAAAATAAAATGGGCAACAGTAATGCAGCTAATGCAGGCAAAACGATGAACCCCCTTCCGGCTATAAACAACGCCACCGCGCCATTTTCCTCGCAACTGCTGAAGAACCACGTGCAGCGAAAACACAGCGTCTCGTCCGCCGTGCTGTCTGAAGTTTCGCCGGCGTTTCTGTCCCGCACAGTCCTGGACGAGATGTCGTCTGCCATGGTGAACCACGATGTGGCCAAAGCGAAAAAAACCGAGTTCGAGCAGAAGATGGCGGAGGCCAAGGAGGTCCGCGACAGCCGGCTGCGACGCGAGGTAAAGCCCGTGTACCAGCGGGCGCTGCGGTCGACGTTCTTGGACAAAATTCCGCCGTACGGCACCTCCATGATCATGATGCGCGAGGCCACGTACACGGTGAGTCTCTTCTATTTGATCGCCAAGATGGAGTCGATTTTTTTCGAGCGGTTCCCGAAGCCGGAAAGGTACGTGCCGACCATGCAAATGGCAAAGGAGTGGTTTACGGGGAAGGTTGTAGCGGCGGGAGAGGGTGGAGCGTCTTCTAGTGCTGGTGGCGCAGAGTCAAGGAAAACTACCTCAACATCATCCACGTCTTCAAGTAGCTCAAGTACAATACAGCACAACGACGCGTCAAAACGACCAGCCGCAGAGCAGCAGTCGCAAAACTTTCTTCTTCGGGCATTAAGCCGCTCCAGTGAGGAGCTAGAGACTGGTCTTCGTGGGGGCAACGGCAGCGCTTGCCCGACACCGAACACGGAGGACGCCCACGCCGTGGATGCCGCCGCGTTTCCGACTGTTTCTCGCGGTCCGTTGGGGAGTTTGGGCTCCGTCGGCCAGATTCCCGCGGCCAAGTGGGAAGCGCCGGAAAATGTTGTTGTAGCTGGGGATAAAAATGAGTCCGATAATTCTAGTGGTTTCTTTTCCTCAACTGCAAAGCTGCCGAAAAAGATGAAGAGCGTGATATCTATCAACGAGATGGAAACCGAGGATCGCTACGCCGGGGTGTTTTCCGAAGCGCGCAACAAGTACATCAAAGACGATGGTGGTAACTCGAAGACCTACATGCTCCTCCGGGAACGGTCGATGCAGCTGGTCCGGGCGGCGGAGGAAGACTTTCAGCGAGAGAAGACGAGCGTGAAGTCGTCCGAATTGAGCCCCGAGGAATACAAGCAGCTGGCGTACTACAACTTCAAGAAGGAGGCTTTTGTCGTGCTCAGTTCGTCCGCCGTGTTCACCCTGTTTTCCACGGGCCCCATGGTTGTGGCGTCGCAGCAACAGGTATCCAGGAAAAAACACCAATGAATCCCCATCCATTTTTTGCATGACAAACACTGCAGCTGATGCATATTTTGCATTACAAATTGGATGGGGATGGGTGTTTCTGTTTCTTCCTGGATAACAGGCCTACAGCACCCCGCTCGTCGAAACCGCGGCGCGTATCTGGCGGCTGGAGGGTCCCTATGAGAATGCACAAGTCCTCCACCCCCTCCCCCTCATTGGTAATGCAAAGTACCCAATTCACCTTTTGCCTCTTCGCACTGTTTGCATGACAAGTGCCTTATAAGTACTCCAGTGCAAATTTGTCATGCAAAACCGGCATTCTTGCTGATGCATGTATTGCCGTTCATGCTATACAAATGAGGGGGAGGGGGAGTTGTGCACTGTTATAGCCCCCGGGGGTTTCTCAAGGGCCTGCTGCCAAGGTGGGCCACATTGACCGGGAGTATTTTGGTGGTGAGTAACGTCATCAACTTCTTTGACGAAGATCACGTGGATGAGGACGGAGCAACATGACAACTAAGTAGGGAAGAACCAGTACCAGTGTGGTGCTCACGTTTACAGTACACCAGAATTCCCGAGGCCAAGCTTTCTGATGTTTCTGCTGGCAAAATGATAGGGCCTGAGTTTTTGAATCAACTGACTATGCTGCGGAATACTGCATGCGAATAGAAGAGGGTCTTCATGCCTGCTGGAGTACGGGGCGTTTGCATTTTATTTTCATTGTAAAAAAGTACTTTTTATTGCGATTTATTTTGAATGTTGGCGAGGTATTCACCGATGGGCTATTTGAGGTTTATTTCCGACAGACTGCAATTTTTTTTGGCGAAAAAAAAAAATCGCTGGGCTGAAGAGCCCTGATTGCCTTCGCGCTGGCAATCGGAGTTGTGGCGTTTAGGAGCCTGCGTCGCCTGAGCTTTTAGGCCATTAGCTGTTGACGGACATTGGCCCCCATCGCATTGCTTAATGTTTTTCCGGGTTGGCCTGTTGCGCTAGACCGGGTCGGGCGGGTCAGGACCTGCGTGGCTTGACGCGCAAGATCGCACGCAGCGCGCAGCGCTTCCAGGCGTCTTCGTGGCCCCCGTCCTGTGACAGTGGGGCCGCATTGAATTCGGCCTGGCGCACCAGCCACACCGGCGCCCGACAGTCCCGGCCAACAAGACGCCGCGGCGCGGTGAAGCGCTCTGCGAAAACTTTTTTGCTATGGGCCGGCGGCACAGCTGATGGGTTCGCCTGCTTGCGCGGCCTCCCCCCTGGCTTCGCGATGGCTTTGGTGGTTGGCCGGCATCGGGCCTCTCCCAAGCAAAGGCTGGGGTCTCGCATTGGCAGCGGTGCTTGAGGAGCAGCACACCACCCGGGGTCCTTAAAAGAAGAGCAGGCTTGGGCGGCCGGAAGTCTTTGCGGGTCACCGCCATGCCCCTGCGCCCGGGCCCGGCAGGGGCGTTCTTTTTCCGGGCCCCCCGCGCGGAAGGGGGGGTAAGCAGTTGCCTAAGAAAAATGCCCGGCCGGCCCCTGGATACAAGCGCGCCGGCCAAAGAAGGTGGCGAGCAGGGAAACGCAATGAAAACCGCCAAGCCCCAGCCTCCCGCGGCGGCTGCTTTTGCCCCCGTGAAAGCCCCCCGAAGCCTGCCCCCCCCTATTCTTAAAGCTTTGCCCGGCGCCTGCCGCGGCCCGGCCGCGCAAAATGCTGGCGCGCCACAACCGCCCCGGCGCGCCTTCCTGCTCTCAGGAGGCGCCATCGGCTGCCGGGCAAAAAGAAAAGGCCGCCGGCGGGGGGGCCAGCAGGATGCGCGACTAGCTCGGCCCCGCCCGCGCAGGTGCTTAGGCTGGGGCTTGGGGCCCGGGAAAGGTGTCGCGCGGCAGCGGGGGCAGCTTTATGGGCAAAAAAAGACCGCCCCCGCGCCCCGCGAATGGGGCGCAGCCCCGGGGACAAGAAAGGAAGCGACGCAACCCTTTGCATTTTCCCCAGCTATCGCGGCTTGGCGCCGTTGTTGCCAAGCCGCCCGTGGGCTGAGGGCCAGCGGCCTGCGCCCAGGGGCGGTCCTCTTCGGGCAGGACTGCTCACGGGCGGCGACCGCTTGTTCGCATGCCCCCGGGCCTGCCGCGCCCCCCGGGCGACCCCGTCCGGGGGGGTAGTTGGAGGTAAATTTCTTACCGGGCGAAATTTGCGAAATATTTAGGTTCGTCTGCCCCTGATATTTACAAAATATTTAGCTCGAAACGCGACCACAGTGTTTTCCCATTGAAATCATTAAGGAGCCGAATCCGGCCGCGTTTCGAGCTAAATATTTTGTAAATATCAGAAGCGTTCCGAGCTAAATTTTCGCAGTGTTCCGGCAGCCGGGCCGCGGACCGGATTGGCGCTTCGCGAGGGCTTCCGGGGCCCCGGTGGTGCCTCTCCGACGCAGGCAGCAGGGCGACGGGCCCCAAGCCCCCGCCCGGGGAATGCAGGGCGGGCCCGGGGAAGAACTCGGGGGCAACGTGAAAAAGGCCGCAAAGGCTCCGCCGGCAAGGCCGGCGTCAGCGATGTCCGCTTGGGGGCTCTTCCGTTGCCCGGCCGGCCGCCCAGAGGATGTGGATGGGCGGCCCCTTGGCTTCGGGGAAGGCCCCTGCAGTGGGAGAGGGTTCGTGCAAGCTACCTGGCGCGCGCGTCCGCGGAACACCCGGGGCCCCCCGTCGCAGACCTTAGCCCGCCGGATGGCGCCGCCGCCTTCCGAGCCACTATCGCGCCCTTGTGCCCGGGCCCGGCCACAGCGCCTTTTTGGGATTTGCCCTCTGCCCGGCGGCACGCGAGGAAACCACGCAAAAGGCCCAAACCCCCGGCAGGCCGCGGCCGGAAAAAAGACCGGGCCGCGGGGCGGGCTTACCTGGAGACGCGTTGGCAGCCGGCCGCGTTGTTTTTCTGCCGGGCGCGTGTGCATGTTTCTGAAGTTCCCCAGCACCGGCCTGGCTTTTTGCAAAAATCCCCCCGCTTGTATTGCGCAAATCGGCCGAACAAAGCCGGCGCGCAGCGGGTGGCCCGGCGCTTCCTTTACCATGCCGCGGCCCCGACGCTCCGTTGGGGCATCCTGGCAAGCAGCCTCGAAGGACACGGAGCAGGGGCACGCGCAGCCGGGCAGCGGCCACACGGGGGGGCCGCGGCGTAAAGGGAGGTGGCAGGGGCCAAACGAAAACAGGCAGGGCGCGAAGGAGGGTGGGAGGCCATGCGGCAATTGCCTGCTAGTGTGGGGCCCGCAAAAACGCAGCGGGGCGAAACCACACCACGGGCCGCGACGCGGTCTCGCCGCTGATGGCCGTTCCCCAGTCTTGGGTCGCTTCGAAAAAGTAGGCGCGCCAGGAGGCGCCCCGGCCTTTCCTTGAGATAGGCCGCCTAGCGGTTTCGGCAATGGGCCTTGCGGCAGTGCACGAAGCCCGTGCTGCTGCGGTAAGTATGGTTTTGGGGGGTGCGGAGGAGTTCCGGGTGGTGTACCTTGCGGTGTGGCGTGTCGCTCGGGAAAATCATCCGTGCGATTAGCCCGCAGCGTCATCTCCTTGCCGCCCTCATGGGGGTGAGTGTGTGTCGTGCCCCGTGCCGTGCAGCTGACAGCCATAAAGGAGAGGCCATGCTCAGGGGCCCCCATATCAACTCACGACTGGCCGCGGCTTGGCAAAAATGGATTTTGCATCCGAAAAATGTCGGAAATTTCGCCTGCAATACCCATCGGGCGATTCCTCTCCAATGAATGGCTCTCTTTCGCTAGGATCTCTACAACGTTTCGGTTTTGCTTTATTTCGTGTACTACTGGATCGACATCACCATGAAATCAAACGAGGGGACGTCGAGATTGATGATGAATTCTCGTCAGTAGACTCATTGGAGGTGTTAATAAACGACAACAAACGCAAGAAATAAGCTGTCAATCCTCGGGTACAACATTCTTTTTCGTGTTCGGACCGCGTCACGCGGCTGCATCTTGTGCTCCCCCAGTTCACTTCTACTTTTTTCATAGTTTGGCAAACTTTTGCTTTTCTTGTCTACTGATTTTGAGTTGTGTGGCCATCAGTGTTTCTGTTGTTTGGGATTAGATCGAAGTTGTTCATCTCTGGATTCACGATGATGTCTCTTGGCAAGGTGGATCCTTGTTTAGCTAGTATCCATACGCATACTAGGAAAATGAAGCGAAGTGAAGCTTTTGGAAAGGATCCAGGTTCAAGGCAGTCCTAGCTCAACAGAAGATGAAAAAGATCAAGTCCTCGCTATCTTTTCCTGGGCAAGTTTCAGGATGGTCTTGGTCACCGAAGGGAGCACCGGCCACAGCACATAGTAGTGAAGTAGAGTCTATTCGCCGCTTTCACAAGAAGACATGTGCCACGGAGGAGAACCTGCGCCCTTCATTGAAATAAAAAATCACTACTAGTGCAAATCAGTGCACCCATGGTGCGGCGAAAAGTTGTGCCCCCATGTGCCGGGATGCGCTCTGTGCGTAGCAGAACGGAAGGATTGCGATTGGTTTCTCGCAGCGATAGTTCGCTGTCATCTGTTGCACTTGTGCATCACGATTCAAGTGGTCTGGCGTGCTTTCCCCGAAAGGTACGCTCATCGCAAATCCCGGAGCTTGGTCACCCGATGTGTGTGCTTGGGGCAGTGAGATACTACGAATCTTCAGCGGCATCGACAGCACCGCTCTGCGCAGAAGAGGGTCGTGAGGACGAAACTTCCGCTGTGGATGACGTGGAACAAGTGCAAGATGAAGAGCATGTTGACAACAGTCCGGAGGTGGACACCATCTCAGTGGCCGCGCCTGGCACAGATGCCGATGCACACCGGTACTGCAAGGGTCTCCTGCACTACCTGAAAAGCGGGAAAGCCACAGAGCGCTTCAAGGATCTCCGCAAAAACGAGGCAGAATTCGACATCGGCGCGCGGCGATACGTCGTGCAGAATTTGCGTAGTGTGTTAGAGCACGTCGCGAAGAAGGAGGTAGAGGTCCTCGCACAAGGCCCTCCTTCATCTTTACGAAATAAAATGGACGAGACCGACCCCGGTACCTTGTTTGCGGCAACGCAGCAACCTTGTTCGTCATCCGCTTCAGGTGGATATTCAGGAAATATTGGCCTCCATTCCGAGGACCTTGCAAACTATCCGTACCTGTTGCGCCAGATGCAGATCACCGACGCGGGAACGCTGGAACCTCTCCTGGATCTCGTGGTTAACCGAATTCTGCAAAAGCGATTTCGGCTGGTCTACGCGTGGAAACGGCCGGGGGGAGAGGCAGATGACCATCATTCTAGTGGTGGTGCAGAGAAAGGTCAAATAAACTCTTTGAAAAAATCTACAAGCGGAGGTACAGCTTCTACATTCAGAAAAGGAAAAACGTCCACGTCAACATCCTCATCTTCGGAGCAGGACCCGACCTTTGCCGGCGAACATCAAGACGCCAAGCTCCCGAAGGTCCCATCAGATTTTCGGAAAACTGCGAAGCTTCCCTCGCAACTCTCCACGTTTGTCAAAACCCTGAAGGAGCTCCCGGTGGACTTCAAGGGCCCGCTCCACGCGGTCCGCAGGTTCGCAGATAAGGTCGTTGAACACTTAGAAAGGTTCGACACGGCGACCCTGTGCTTTTTACTGGATGAGCTGCACAGCCGGGGCGTTCCGTTGGACGTTGTGCACCACCGGGCGCGGTTTTACCGAGAACTGTGTAGTCGCTTGGTGGAAGGAGGTAAAGGAGGAGCGACAGATCAACAACATGTTCGGGAACCAATGTCAGTTCCGAGTACCCAGGAGCGGCAAATTTTACTGGAAAAGCTGACACCCGTGGTTTTCGAGGACCACGGCAGTGCGAAGTTCGCTTTGCTCTCTGAGGATCCGCATAACCTTGGTGGAAAGAAGACAGAGCCTGCCGATGCCGCGGTGGAGCTAGAAGAATCACAATCAGGAGCCACTCGAGGAGAATCGGCTGCAGCAGATAAGACCGCAACTACAGTACTAGAAAACGGCAAAAATGCCCAAGAGAAACAAGAAGGCAGGATTTCGGAGAAAGCTTTGTCGCGAGCCGCCGATGCAAAAGCGGTGCAGCAGGCGTCAGAGGATCTGCAAGCGTTGAAGCTGTTTCTGGGATCACAGCTCCGCCTCCAGATCGTGGAGGCGAAAGACGTTCGTGAGCTGGAAGTTCGGTGCGGGGCGTTATTGCGCTACTTCCTGGACCAAAGCTTTGATAGTTGTACAAGAACAAGAACAGAAGAGGGCTTACCCGACGCCAGCAACGTTCAAAAACAATTTTCACCCCATGGAGCTGCACCGTCAAGAACTTCCGCGAATAAAACAACTGCACCCACCGCCACAGGTCAAGAATCGTGCGAATTATCTTCCAAACAGGCCATCCTGCGAGACTTTTGCGTCCGCGCCCGTGGTCTTGTCAAAGCGCAGAAAGAGTACGGGAAGCTTCTGTGGCACACGCGCGGGCTGGAGCACTGGGCCCGGGCGGAAATCGTGCGGGAGTGGTTCCTGCCCATGGTCGACGCCGTGAAGAGTGGGCGAAACGCCATGGACCTGTTTTTGGTCGCGAAATGGCTGGAAATGATGACCGATCTGGAGGAAACGGATCTCCCCGAGGTTGGGGAACTGCGGGAACTGCTCACAAAACGAATTTTAGCGAGGAAAACGGGTATTTTTGGAATTGTTCGTCATTTATATGTAGTGAGGTCGTTTTGAACAAATACATCAATTGATCTAAATTTAGTATCGGCAAAAGTCAAAGTACTTTACTTACATTTTCATTCTTCCTCTAGATCTTCTTACCTCGAGCGTGGCCATCTCTCTCCTGCTCGCTACCGGAAAGAAGGAGTTTCTTGACCTGGTCACGGACGTGCCCTCCCTCTCTCCGGCGGACTTGAAGAAGGTCATGCGTTTACCGAACGCCGACTTGCGCTGGAGCTTCGTGTTGAAGGCTGCCAAGTGCGCAGACCGACTCTCACCGGATCAGCTGTTGGTCCTGGTTACCGGACAGTACACCAAGGAACAGTGGCAGGAGCTGAAGAAGTTGAAGCTAGTTGGACCGCAAAAGAACGCAGGGGCAAGACCAGCATCCACCAGCTCAGGGGATATAAAAGACGAGAAAACTGCACAACAAACTTGGGCTTCCCCTTTCGAGGATGCGATGCGCAGGAAGCTGTGGCAGAAGAACGCAAAACTCTCACTGGAAGACCTGAACGGCTTGATAGCAGCGATGACAAAATCGCACTGCCACGATTCCAGGCTACTGGCCACTATCCGAAACGCGTACACGCGCCAGGTGCTCGGCGCGCCTGTGCATGCGGAATTCTAGAACGCATTTGTATTTTTCTACAGGCGCAGACGTCCTAAGTACAAGATTATAGTGAAGAAAGAAACAAATAATCCCTATATTATAATTTTGTCCTGTGTCTTCATCGTGTTCCGAAATGTCCTTGAAGATTGATGATCAAAGATTACAAACTTCATGCTGTGTCGCAGTTCTAGACTATGCAACGTTTTTCAGTTCTTGGCATTGGTTTTCGTCACTCTCACTCTGACCAGATCTCTAGCCTGAATGGCACATTGAGCAACAGGATAGTAGATGCGCAACGTAGTTCATGATCTAGTAACGGTAGATGTTATGTTGCGAATATGTCGCCCCATCGGAAGGATCTCACTTCTTAGTGCTGCGCTATTCAAGATATTCCGTCCGTGCCACGTAAACAAGATCGCTAGAGGTAGAGGAGTAAGGTAACTCATGACAACGATGAATAAGATTAGAACTAGCAGTAAAATACGGGGTAGCTACATTAGTAGTAGGACGACAAGTGCAATACCCAGTTCCAATCCTGTTGAGTCAGCCACGATCTAATTTAGAAGAGCACCCGCACCGAAAAACTGCTGACATCTTTTCTTTATTATCCTTTTTGCACGAGGAAGCCGCTGTTTTATGTAGAGAATCGTTCGATCGATTTCGGCTCACGGTTTTCATATCGGACAATATCCGATTATACATCATTTCTCTTCATCTATACAACTCCGTCTAGGATTTATTTCAGAGATATTTTGGATCTGCGAAATGTGCATTAACGTACCGTAGCCTTTTTGCAAAAAGCACCACAATATTTTGAAGTTGAACAACAAACATCTATTGAAATTGGTATACAAAACGCAAACGTCCGGCCCATCTGCTAACTAACCTAAGGATGGGCTCCTCCTCGGCATCTTCCTCCTCCCGGCCGACGAGGGAGCTGCGACCGCCGGCCCGAGTGAAGTTTTCTTTGTCGGCCCTGCAGCTCGTCCTGTTCAAGAACGTTTTTCAGCACCCCGCTGTTGACTGTTTGCATCTAGAAAAAAGAAAAACGTATTTTTACCGGCCCGCCCCCAATTCCAACTCGGACGAGCCGAGCTGGGATGGTGTGGGGCCTTGGCCATATGCATTGCAAAATAAGTATCGTACTCGTATAAATGCATTACAAATTTCCTCAGCATGAGAAATAAAATTTGTAATGCGGATTTCACTCAAGAAAAAGACTTGTAGCGCATGACTGCAATTACTACGAGTGCGATGCTTTTGCAGTTCATAGGCCGACCACTCGGGCAACTTTCGACCGCGATCATGCGGCTGTACCAAGCCGGTCCAGTCGGAGGGGTGGCTCCGTAGACGAGCACCAACGAGGGCGGAGCAGTAGAGGAGGAATAATTCCCGGTGCTGGACATCAACCCGCGGGGCCGCTTTCCGATGTGCTGCGCACCGCCGCAGGAGGGGGTGGTGCAACAAGTTCCGCCGCGGCGGGGGCAGCAGCATCAACAACTTCATCTCGCATGGCAGCTCCAGCGGCAGGACGTGTGCTGCCGCGAAGGCCGAAGAGCATGGGGACGTTGCGAAGTCGTCAAGACACGCCGACGAGAGGAACTACACTGAGAAACAGGGCGATGGTTCCGGTTGCGGTAGAACGAAATGGTGGAAATAATGCTGCTGCCACTGAACGAGAACGAGGTGGGACAGTAGAGCCTCAACCAGAGCGGGGCGTAGTTCCAGACACTCAACATCATCCGGTGGTTGTTTCCGAAAAGAAAACGAAGCAGGAGGAGGCGTCCCTGCCAGATGCGAAGCCGGAGGCTGGAACACCGGCCGACCACGACCATGCAGGTGCTCTTCTGCGCGATGTCAAATCGACCTCCACTACCACGATCATTGGCAGCGAGCTTTCATCTCTCCCCTCATCGTCTCAAGGGGACAGATTAACGACTACAGGAGGCGATCGCACTTCTATTCCCTCCGGTCGCGGCGTCCCCGACCTACTTCATCTACCGGGAGTGAAAAGCAAAGTGCACTACACAAAGCAGAAAAGGGATGAGCAAATAACCCATGATAATTCTAGTTCCAGCCGCCCGAGCACCCCTGATCTGCTTGCCAGCACCGACTCGACCACCGTGCCCGGGACAGCTTCATCGTCCGCCTCGAGCCGGGCAAGTAGCACCGGTGAGGAGGACGATGAAACAGGCAAAGGCCTTTCTCAAATAAGTTCTCCACGGTTTGCCAAGCCGCGCTCAAAATCCCTGCCGACCAAATTCGGCCACCTCCTCGCCGGCGACTGGTGTTTCCGAGACTGCGGGCCGCCGGAGAACGCCGGAAACCACATGACCACGCATCCGTCCTGCACCGCGAAAGCATCGCTGAAGCACAGCAACCCAGACGAATTCGCGGGGCCCGCGGGCGAAGTTCAGTTTGCGCGCCTTGCACAAAGGTGCGCGAAGGAGTGCTTCCTGGCGCTGCCGCCCAATGCACTGGAAGGTACGTACCGGTACGTAGAAGCGATGTATCAAGGCCTGCGCGAAGAAGATTCAAAATCCGGGCTGCAAGAACGTGATCTCTACCGAGTAGAGAAAGCCAATAGTGATTTTCAGGACGCAAAGGTGTTTGCCACTGCCGTCGTCGGGCTCGCGAAAACGCATATCACGCGGAAGTTTGGCGAGTTAGTGGATTACAGAAACAAAAGCAGAAGTGGTCTTACTTGCCCTGCTAGAACTGGTGGCTCTGGGCAGCTGCACGACCAGCAGGAGCACGACAAGAACACATTACGAGGCTCTTTAGACCTTCGAGCACAAGACTTTCGTCTGCTGCAAATCTGCACCAGCCCCGCCTTGCGCCCCAGACAGTACATCCACTCTGCGAGGCGCACGGACTTCGTTGAGCGTCAGATTGGCGGCGGCTCCTATGGCGAGGTGCGGGTCGCGGGGGTGGACAAGAAGGCCAATAATTTAATCCCTTCTCGCGGAGACCTGCCTCCAGCCCATTACGGGGCAGCTGCTCCCGTCGGTGAGCTCGATAGCCGGGCAGTGAAATCCTGGCGCCTGTATTCCGACCACGATTCGGATGTGCAAAACGTTCGCGAAATTGCGCTCTTGCAAACCGTTTTGCCGCCCCACCCGAATTTGGTGACGTACTTGGGTTTTCGCCTCGGGCCGGACAGCGACAGATCAGGAGCTTCACATGCACATGTATTTTGTAGATGAACAAGGCGGACGAGGATGCGCCCATTTTTTCTAATCGCTCCTGCCTTGTGAATACCGTAGGCGTTTTACTTTCCAATATGAACAAGTTGATATTATGTGCAGATTTGTGAATTTGCTCTCAACCAATTTACAGACTCTCCTTGGCTGCGCCGACCAGGACCTGCGGAAATGGTTGCTAACGGGTGACGAGCTGCAGTGGTGGCACCAGCAACGTGCCGACGTGCGGTGGCAGCTGGCGCTCGGTTTTGGATCTGACTTGCTGCACGGCGTAGCGCACCTGTTCAAACACGGCACGGTGCACCGCGACCTCAAGCCGGCGAACGTCCTGGTTTGCGGGCGCGTACACATGCGGCAAGATACGATTGCGAGTCTGGGACGCACGACCAACTCAACACGGCTGATGCGCAGCGGAGGCGCGCCCCGCGCCGAACCCTCCCCGCATCTGAATCGACCACGGCTGCGGCTCGCTGATTTTGGCATGGCGCAGGTCGGGAGACATGCGTATGACGAGCAAGTCTATTCGCCACATGGCAACGATGAAGGGGGTTCTTTCGCCTTGTCAGGCACAAGTGGCGCGGCGGCCCTGGCGGCCTCGGCCACAAGTAGCTTTCAAAGCAGAAGCAGTTCCAGTTCAACTGTTATGACGCCGGCGTCTTCCGTGCTGACATCCACCACGACGACACAGCAGCAATATCCGGAACTGTACTTGGAGCCGCATCGGCACGGCGAGATGCTTGTTCAAACCCCGGCGTACCGAGCGCCAGAGGTCAACAACGACTGCGCGCGCCGCTTGCCGTATGAAATTATCGGCACGGGCATCAACAATTGCCTCACCGGCGCAGCTGCGTGCAAAACAGGATACTCGCGAAGCAGAAGTGGCGCGGCGGCGGCAGGAACGAGTGTGCGAATCGGCGGCACGACCGCTGCTGCTGCTTCGTCTACTGCACAATCGAGTCGTTCTTCCAGTATGATTGACGACCAGAACACGATTGCGTGGACGCACAAAATTGACGTTTGGAGCGTCGGGTTAATCATGCTTGACATTCTCAAGGCGCTCTTCCCGCCGGAGCGCGAACTTATCCCCTCGCCGGTGTTGGGTCCGACTGAGAATGGGAAATCGCTGCGGGGGACCGACTATCAAGTGCAAAAATGTCTGGGTCTGGAAGATTCCGAGATTTGTCATGCAGTTTTTCCAAGCTCCGCCAAGTCTGGAATGCAGGGCCTAGCATCACAGATTCTGCAGCCCCTTGGTGTTGCCTATTCTGCATGAGAAATGCCCTCTCAGCATGGCCAGAAATGGGGACCTTTTGCAAGTCATGCAACGCAGATCTCTGTATGATCCGCAACACGCATCACAAGTTCGCATCCTTTACATTTTTGCAGTTGATACCGACCTGTACTCCGAGCGGGTGTATCACGAGCTGCGCCTGCCCCTGGAACTGAAAGCGAAAGCGTACCAAGTAGACCGAGCTGGTGCACCGCTTCCCGGACAGTACTCGTTCAAAGTCGGAGCAGCACAGCAGCAGATGCAGATGGAGATGCGGACCCAGCAAGAACTACAAGTGCGCGATCCTTCCAGTACTGCTTCAGACGTGGTGATGGGGACGTCGTCTGTTTCAACCACTACCGCTGCACACCAGCAGCAGCAACAGCAAGAACGCTCGCAGCAACTCAATGCCCTGCATTTCCCCGAATTTACGGTAGTGAGCCAGATGGTCAACAGCCACGCTAGCACAAACGCCGATCAACATCCCCGAGCTGCAAGAGGACCTCTCGTTCCGCCATCGCACAGGAGGACGCAGCCGATCTCCTCTCTGCAGACTTTCTCCTCGCAGGTTGAGGAGCAGCGCAAAGCGGATGCGGAGCGGAAAAAGCGGGCCATTGAGCAACACGAATTCGCCACCCAGCTGGATAACGCCGCCGCGGAAATGATGGCGGGACTTCATAGTTACAAGCAGCTTTATTTCAAAGACGTGGTCCAGCGAGTGCAAACCAGCTTGCAAAATCTCCCCGGCCTGCGGACTCCCGAGCACGTCCAACTGCAAGCTGAACTGAAGCGGATGATCGTAGCGCTGCGAAAGATGCTAAACCCCATCCCGGAGGAGCGTGGCCACGTGCTCGAGGTACTGCAGGACTGGACGGAAATAGGGGCGACCAAGAAGACGAGCAGTGGTAGTTCCCCATCCAGCAGTGTAGTTTCGGGGCAAGAACAAGTCCACGTCGAGGGTGCAAGCACAATCCCTCCTGATTCGGGACGAGCAGCGGCGACCACCACTGGGTCGTCTTCTAATAGCGCCGTTGTGGACCAGTACCGCCCTGACCCCAGCTTCCGTCCGACGTTTCCGCGAATGTTTCAGTACTTGCAGGACGACATGAAGGAGTTTCTCCCGCCTCTTTCCACGTTTGTCATTTTGCAGTTGTACGCCGACCAGGTGCGGGAATCAGTTCGCGTCACTGACGAGAAAAACGCGGCTCTGAACAGCCAGCGGGGTAACTCTAGAGCGTTGGAGCGGGAATCTGGGATAAGAGACTGGAGGTTGATTATGATTGACAAACCACCGTGGTACCCAGGGTGCAGGGCGGGTGAAGATGAGGATGATGTTACTGCTCGTTCCGCTGCTGATCATCCCCACGTCGGACCAGGACCTGTTGTGAATTGTGACGTCGTTGCCGCGAATAAAGCAAGTTTTTCCTCTTCCGATTCGTCTGGAAGGTCCTCTTCACGGTTGCCACGTGTAGTCGACGGATCTGTTACAGGGTTATCTTCAACATCCTCAACATCCGCGATCCTCCGCGGCCGGGCTTATGGGAGACGAGAACAAGAACCCAGCAGTCGAGGAGAGGATGACGACAGATCAGCCATGATGTCCGTGTCTGCAGCGAGTGCCACAGTCGAAAACGACACAGAACAGCTCCAGCAGGTTCAGCAGCAGCCCCGTGGCTGGGTCAGGAGAGGAGGAAGCAGCACAACCACGGCAGCCGCAGCTCCTGATGGAAAAACAGCCACGACTGGAAGTGGACATGAAGCGGATCGTGCGGGGCCAGCTTCGTCGAGAATAGCAGCAACAAATACGCGCGCTCTTCGCGGCTGGGGTCCCGTCGCCCCAGCCGTCCCGCCAACCTCTCAACCTCGTCCAGCAGCTGTTGAGCAAGAGCGACACCACGGTGGGTTGGTAGTTGGATCCACATGTTGTCCACCAGCGGCTTCTACCGCCGTTAATACCGCAACGACCTGTACTACAGCTGCAGCCCCCGCCCGCAATCTTCGACTACAGTTCCAGGATCCGCCGGAGCGACAGTGCTTTCTGAGGAACTGCGGTGCCGCCATCTGGAATCTGATCTTTCCTAACAGAACAGGAGGCAACGTCGGCACAAGAACACCTGGTGGTAGTACTAGAGGTGGCGCCGGTGGTGCACCAGCAGGAGCACGACAACAAGGCACGAATCTTGTTCCAAGTCAGCATGCTGTAACTGGGACGAACAACGCAACTACGAACTTCATTCCGCAAGTGTTCGGCCACCCGTTGCCACCACCGCGCGATCGGACTCCACCACTGCAGCAGCCGGCGTTTACCCGGCTGTAAGCAGAAGGGAAGTTGTGCTTGTGTTGCCAGAGCTTGCAGTCCACTTCGAACGAAGAGCAAATGCGATGTGTTTCTGTGATTGTGATGTAGAAGATCGTGGATCAGTACAGTGCTATTAGCCACCTCATGTATTAATTATGTTATTTTTCGAATCAATTATGTCGAATTTTTCGTGGCGACGCAGGCAGAGCTCGTCCGAATGATAGATGTAGAGGTAGATTATGATCTCGTCATTTTGGAAAAAAATAGGCCTGTATGTACAAAAACTTTGCAAAAATCATTTTCTTGAGCATACAAACTCGCGCTCAACTGGTATTCCAGTATTGATGTTGGCTGCTCACATGGTTATGCCGATTAGGTGTCTCTGGCTCTACTCTTACTCTTTATCATGAGAACATAGAAAACAAAAACTGAATGTTAAACTAGCAGACAACTGGTGTCTTCCGACGCTTCTTCTTCTCGATGAGCTACGAGTGAAGGTCTCGTGCATGCAAATGATTTTCTTGTGTACAACGCTTCTGTGAACAATGAAAAATAATGGCTGCGTCTCTTTTGATGATTGTACTATAACTCTGAAGAAATGCACGCAACAGTTTTATTTTTTTCCTGGGTGCCGCAGCCGCTATGTCACAAGCGCGACGGATGAAGAAGCTACTTGTAGTTGCATAATTTGTCGACGTTCTACTAGTGCTTGTCAGCATCTTCACGCTCAAAAACCTAGAACTAAGACTAACGAAAAAAAAAACAGATCCGCTCCATGTCCGTGTGCTGTCTCTGCATGAAACATTTGAAGACCATCGCGAAAATGAAAAGATCTACCGCGGCCGAGAATTGCGAACAATCTGGATCAAGCCTCCAAAACAATAAATAATTAACGATCTCGACGAAGAAATGGTTTTTTGTCCGCCCTGACCACGGCGGCGTGCCTCTTTGATCTTCTTTTCGAGTTCTTTCCCGCAGTAAAGAATTGGTAGATCTAGAGGTAGAAGGTCATGTAGGCTTTTGCCTTTAACGCTCCTGGCTCTGCCACGAACCGATGTGGTCTTGACAAATTTCTTGATTGCAAAAACGACCACAGGGTAGTAGAAAGACTGCTGGTCAACAGCTTTATTTCGTAATTAGCATAAAATTAGCCTTTTCAACATCGCGACCCCATACGCTGTTGTACATGTCAAGGATAATTTTACCCTCTGTCGTACTATCACATAATTGCATCATCTTACATCAACCCTACTTCATCTGATATAAAAAGAACAAACATGGCGCCGGCTGCGAAAACAAAGTTTCCCTACCCGGAGGATTGGGACCCGGCAGCGGAGGGCTACCTCTCCGAGACGGAGGAGGTGAAATCCTCTTTCGAAAAGCCGAAGTTCCCCGACACGCTTCTGGTGCTGAATCTGCCCAAGGTCGCGAAAGGCGGCGAGGGGGAGGATAAATATGCAAAATTGCAGAAGGCGATCAAGAAAAAACTCGGCAAGGACGACAGCGATCCGGGTTTCGAGCTGGAAATGAACATCAACCCCAAGACGAACGAAACCGACGGCTGCGCATTCCTCAAATTCCCGAGCAAAACCGCCATGGAAAAGGGAAAAGCAAGAATCGACAACTTCAAATTTGGCGCAAATGTACATACAGCTACTTTTTATCGAGGATGAAATTTACTAGTTGATTTGTGAGGTTTTTACGACTTCTGTATCATTTGAACATAGTAGGAGCTCTTGATGACCGACGCGGCCATTTTCTCACCACCGAGCATAGTGATGATCGAGGACACTACAACTGGAGGACTTTCCAACTCAATCCAAACTCATTTTTTGAAAATCACAGAAACTCGCTGCTCTCGCTTTGGACGAATTGGACACCATTATGGAGCTTCCGGAACACTTTCAAGCCGCCACGGGAAGTCATTCATTGGCGCTGACCGCCGATGTTAACGACTGGATGTTGGATGATCAAGGTAAGACGTCACATAAGAACAATGCAGACGCTTTTTTTCAAAGTTTGCGGGCGGGGACACAGAGACTACGACTAGTACCTTCACGGTTTTGATTTCCATATCGACGTACAACTAAGTTGAATCATGAGTAGTTTTGGATCAACATCTGCAAGATGAACGAGAATTGACTTCTTGCTAGTTATGGATACGCATTCCAATTCCAAATCTCCCCAACGTCTACCAGGTCGCGAGCAAATCATGCTTCGTTACCAGCAGGAGACAGAAATCTACCACGTCGATCCCCTGCACGCATTGGTACCATACTACTGCGGTGAGCGAGAAAAGCAAAAAGGCCGGGTGTGGTGCGACTGGAAGGTAATACCATGCTCATATTCTTCTGTTTTACTTTTGATTGCAGCATCAACCCGCTTTTCCCTGCTGGACATGAATATGTCGAGTTTCACATTGACCTAATACGTCTAAACGCTACTTGCACAGAAAATGCATAAAAGAACAACTTAATGCACAACTAAATGAATAATGTGCAACTATATGATGTTGAACTTGATTTACAAGCTGAAACTTGCACTCTCTTCCCGTACAACTAACAGGTTGTGTGGTCCCCGCACGGCAGCTACTTGATCACGGTCCACAAGCCGGGTCTGGCTTTGTGGGGCGGTAAGGACATGGAACAGAAGCGAAAACTGATGCACAAGGAAGTTCAGGAGTTGATGTTCTCTCCCAACGAGGAATATCTACTCACCTGGAACGGCTCCCCAAAGGAGGACGGGGACAAGTCCGCCTACCGAATTTGGAACGTGCAGTCGGGAACCATCTTGAAGGAAATCGCCACACCGCAATACAACCCATCAGGAGTGCCAGGTATAATTTCGAAGAGACCAAGCAAGAAGAAAACTTGGATTTGTAATGCTCTTTCCGGTTACGGGTACGGGAGAAAGATGTTTGTCAGGCTTGACCGCAAGAATTTCGTATACAATTACAAAACCCCACAACATCAAATCTACAAATCAGGTGCCTTCCCGCACTTGCTTTTCAGTCAGGACAGCACGTTTTTCGCCCGTTGCACCGAGAAGGAAATCCACATCCACTCGCTTCCGTCCTGCGCACCCTACAAGAGGCCAGGCATGACGGAGGCCGTGCCCTTCCGGTTCGAGAACGGAATCACCAGCTTCCAGTGGTCCCCAACGGATAACATCATTGCGGTTTGGTCCCCGCAAGTCAACGACTCTCCGTCGTGCTTGACTGTCGTCGACGCAGCGAGCGGGCAAACGTACAGATAGTTTGTTGTTCTACTACGTCAAGCTCAACTTCTATCCTGAAGACCCTGTGTAGATGTAGCTGAATGCACTTATTTGTTGATTATCAGCTTCTCTTTTCAACAGGATAGTATAGAAATTGAAATACGGTTTAATGTGCGTGAAAATTTTTAATCGTTGAACATCAAAATTATACAGATTGAACAACAAGTCCCGTTTGAATTTCAATGCGACGATGCATTGGCAGAGCAACGGTGACTTCCTCTGCGTCGTGCTGGCGAAGAAGGGGAAGGTCAAGGACGGGAAGGAACAGGCCGGGGGAAAGGCCAAGAACCTGGATATTCTCCGGTTGAGAGAAAAGAACATCCCGGTCGAGACCGTGGAAGTTGAAGAGGGGATTAAAGGTACTATTCAAGCGTTTTTTTGTTTCGAAGATGTTGTGCTGTTGCCGGTTCGGATTTCTATATCCGCTGAAAGGCAAAATATTAGCAGCGGAAGAATAAAGCTGCACTTCCTGTTTTCCAACGGGCATGCTGCAGCTTTTTGCTGCATCAACAGGACGTGGGGATAACGCAGCAAGCAATTTCAAAACCTACAACATGAAGAACCTCCTCCAGAGACAAATCATATAAAAAAAAACAGGCTTCTTCTGGGAACCCAAGTCCAACCGATTCGCCCTCCTGACCGAGGCCGGAGCGGGCAAAACCCTGCTGACGTTCTACTCCCTCGCGAACAGCAAGTGCGAGCAGGTGGCGAGCTTCGAACTCCCGTCTGGGGCGTACAACCGCGTTTGCTGGGCACCGGAAGGCCAATACTTCGTGGCCGCGGCTATCGGGTCCGGGGAGTTGTTGTGGGGCCGACTGCATCCAGACAAGACGGAAAACGCCATGGAATTGTTGTACAAGGATGAACAGGTCAACTTGACGCAGGTCGAGTGGGACGCCCGGGGGCGGTACGTGTTGACTTCCGTCGTGCAGCCGATCGACTCCGCCGCAAGAGATTTCAGCATGAGCCAGGACGCAGGATTCACGTTGTGGACATTCCAGGTATAAGAAACTTTAACTATTCTATTTTTTTACTGCAGATCCAGAAATAATACAGGCCGATCTTCCTGTCTGTAGACCGCTTTCATCTGAAATTTTGAATTTTGATCCTTTCATACTGACCGTGGCAGTGGGAGTGGCTATCTTCAGTACTATAGTTCTCGCATGTTGATAGTCGCATGTTACTTTACTTCTCTAGTAACCCTCCACTCCCATGTCTATCTCTATCGATGCATCCCATTTATTCCAACCGCAGGGCCGACCCGTCCATCAGGAGTCGATTGAGAAACTCTACGCCGTGAATTTCCGGCCGAACCCGCCGTCCATCCTCAGCAAGGAGGACGAGAAGGACGTCCGCACCGGGTTGAAGGTGCACAGCCGCCGGTTCGACCAGCTCGATGACGAGGCCCGGACGAACCAGCGACGAGCGGACCGGGAGAGCAAGGAAAAGCACATCGCCGAGTTCCAGAACATTTGCCAGATTTTGAACACGAACTACATGCGCCACGCCACCCAGATCGGCTGGGAGGACGCCCAGCAGAAGTTCAAGGACCGTCATTGCTGGAGGGACGCCCAGGACTTTGTGGAGGAACTTATTTCCACGAAGGAGGAAGTTATCGACTTCAACTGAGCAGGCGTGGGGGGAGATTTTTTTCGAGAGGGGTATTTTTTGGAAAAATGCCTCCACACAATCTACGTATTCACATCTTCAACATTAAATGGATTTTATCCAACGAACGTTTAAATTGTCTCACAAATAGAACATCAAAGGCATCGCAGTAGTTTGGGCGATTGTCATCTCATCAGAAACAATTGGGGTTTTTAGATTGTATCACACTATTGTTTTAACGACACCACAAAAATGCATCCTGCTACTTCAGGTGGTGGAACAAAATGTCGTTGATTTGCGATCGACGACGTTGTATTGGTCGTTCTGCATTTGAAATGTATACCTATTCACCGTATGCATGGAGGACGAGAATGAAGAAAAAAAATGCAGGCACGATACGGGATGTTTTCAACAGCTCGATTTCATTTTTATTTCCCTTTGCAAATCATTCAACATGATTGACTTCTCACGAGTCAACATAGAACAGTTTGACTTCAAGCTTATTTTGCCCAAGAAGAACACGATACAGATCATGAAGTGAGCTTGTTGCGCATAGATGTACCTACTGCATGTACACGAACCATCTTTCAGCTATTTTCACCGATATGCTTGCTCTCCCGCGTCATCAAATTCTAGTGGCTTGCAATCGATGGCTCTCGTAATGTTGTTCTCCGATCGTTTTGCTCGTACGTTCACCTTCTTCCGCACTCTACAGTGATTCTCGTGGTCGTCTCGAGGTTATCGTGAATGAAGAAGAGAGTGGTCATGTTTGCCTTTGAGTAGTATATACCAGAGCGAGTATCTTCAGTGTCGAGGACTAAAGACGAGAGTACTACTTTGGTTCGAAACTACAACTAGGTAGTGACATTGTCGTCGTAAAGACTGTCGTCGCGATAAGGGTAAAAGCGTAACTCTTGTATGCCGTACGTAGTTGTGTTTTTGTATTCGGTCGGAAAGAAAAAGATGAAAATTAGCAGCAAGGAGCACCTCCTGCTCCGCGGAACAAGGTAGGAAGTAAGAATCACGAAATCTTCAGAGAGTAAGTAAAGTAAAAGAACCTCGCAACATCAAGACCAAAAAATGGCTTCTCCGGCGAGTTTGATGTCTCGCAGCACCCGCAGCAGCGGGATGTACGTGGATATCGACCGAAAAGCGGTCAACCCGCCCCGGTTCCGCCCGGACCGCAAGGAGCAGAAGCCCGGCCCCGGGTCGCACGATCCAAAATTGGAGATCACCCGGTCCAACAAGTTCACGACGTCGGTCTTCGCGCACGACGACCGCACCCGCTATCTGGGCCGCGCGGGGATGAAGCCGCTCTCCGTGGTGAAGCGGCCGGAATCTTCCGCGAATGTTTCCACAACGGATAACAGCGAAACTGAGGTAACTATCCTGTGCAAAAGTATCGTACTCGTACTAGTAGTCGGAGGCATGCATGGAAAATCTCACCTTCTACCTGTTCTAGCATGACAAATCCCAATTCTCAACGTTGGAGAATTTGTCATGCGGTTTCTACAACTAGAACTAGATGAACTACAACTAGCGCGATGCTTTTGCAATGCATAGTGTCGACGCCAAGTGTGAGCAACCTGAACGACCCCGATTTTGGCGAATGTCCCCTATCAAACGCAAAAATGTCTGGGTCTGGAAACTTCTGATGCTAAAATGTGGATGATGGAAGCAGTTCCGAGTGCAGCCCAGCATGACAACCTTCCAGAACGCTTTTTCATAGGCAGTCCGCATGAGAAAGTGCGTTTACATGACAAAAGAGGTTATTGCTTCTGTTGGTTATGCAATACAGATTTTCTAGGCCTGGAAAGCTAGCATCACAAGTTGCATCCTTCCAGACCCAGACATATTTGCAATGCATGTCCCCCACCCGGGACGTACTCCCCCAGAACGCAGATGTTTGGAAAGCAATCGTTGGCGAACGAATTTGTGTTCGGGAAAAACGCGATCGGCGGGCAGTTCCGCGGCGTCCCGCGGAACGTGTTGGGGATCACGAGCAGCAAATCCGCGCAGCAATTAACCGGGTTGAAAGCGTTGTCGGAATCTCTCATGTATGAATTGCAAAGGTATCGCACTCGTACTAATTGCAGATATGCATCCCAAAATCTCCTCCCGAAGCTGAAACAGCACGAGAAATTCCATTTGTCGCGCTCAGGAAGTTTGTGATGCAATCTATACTAGTACGATGCTTTTGCATTGTATATCATGAAGTCCATCACGGACCACCAGCAGCGGTCGCCGCCGAAGGGCGTGGGGAACGGAGTTGCGGCTGGAAGTACCACTAGTCCAGAACAACGTGCAGCCAGTTCCCAAGCAGGACAGCGTCCGGACAGCGTGGATTACGCGCAGTCCCCGCGGTACTCAACTTCCGCGAGCGAGGGACTTGCGACGGGAGAAGCAGCAGCAGCGGGGGAGAAACGTAAAACTGGCAACCTGGACGCGACCACGGGCCATCCCGAAACGCGCGCCACCAGTCCGGAACGCAAGACGGGGACGTCGCTGCGCGCGGTAACCCCGGGAACCTCGCACGGCAGGGGGGACCGCGCCGTCACCCCCTCCACCGCGATGCAGGAGAAGTTCTCGGGGGTGTGCAAAGTACCGGGGGATCGGCTCAAAGCGGCGTCACTGTCGCCGCGGATATTGCGGAAGGAGGCGGAAGTGGCACAGCTGGCGGCGATGCGGGTACTTACTATGATCTGTGGGTTGAAGTGATCATCATCATGTTCATGTTGTTGCGCTACGTAAGCAATACCTCGTATAGAGGATCACAAAGAAAGGAATCCGAATGTTCTTCGTTAGTACAAGTTGAAGTTTTCATTTTCATGTCAACATCAAATCCACCAGACCATCACCCCGCCCCGCAAACCTCGCGAGCGGGATCCCGGTCCGCTGGAGTTCGTCCGCTCGCTGCCCTGGAACGAGCAGTGCGAGTGGTTTGACGTGGAAATCAGAAAGGGCCCGTTGAACCTGGAGCTGCACCGATATCTGGTGCACCTGCAGAGCAACCCGACCTTCAAATCGCACCGTGCCGTGGCGGAGAAGGAGCAAATGCACCGGGTGATGGACCGAAAAGCGGGGAAGAAGACACCGCAGGTGGACATGCTCGGCTGTTACCAGCACCACTGGCCCAAGTTCCAACCGGAAAGAAGCTGAATAGTGATAGATAGGTTGGTAAAAGTAGAAAAAGTGATTACTTATCTCTGAACGAAGAAAACCTTGCTTCGTTCAGTTTATTCCGGCGAAAGCACAGATTTCTGTAGTAGACGCTTTGACAGAGTAGAGCACCAGAAGTAGAACTTCCTTTATGCCTGTTTATTTCCTACCTTTGCTACACCTTTCGGCCTCCTGGCAATTGCGAGTCACATCTATACTAGAGAATTTAGAATCTTTCTGGTGAAGAGCTTCAATAGTACAAGGAAGCTCCTCCTCAACCGACGAGATCTCGATTTGGTACAAAAGTTTGGAATTTTCGGCTGTGCGTTGTGTGCGCAGTTTGAAAGAAATGGGAAATTAGTGCCGGCGGCGCCGACGGTGATGCAGCAAGCGAATGCGGAGCATGAGAAGTTTTTCGCTGTGTTTTCCCACTGGATGTTTCCAGAGTGACGACGAGAATCGGAGACCGATTTAAAAATGCAGAGGAGACAGAGAGCTTAGGTAGCTGAAGAAGAATCTGCAGTAAGCCGAGAGGATGAGAGACGAGGGTAGAGATCACGACATGGTCAGCTGCCGTTGTCGTTACAGCTTCTGGAGGTGAGAAGATTGTTGATTGAGCGCGAAGTCTTGCGTCGGAGCGAAATTGTTCAAATGTTCGTGCCTAGATTGATACATATCCCCAAAGCGACGCATCCGTTTATTTTCGATTGGAATCGTAGTCAAATAAGTCTGGCTGTTGCCGCCGGTAGTTTGAGTGTGAGCGACATTATGGCCTAGCCCTAGCGGACTACGGGCAGCAAGCTGCTGCGTTTGGTGGATTTTTGAGCGGCAGTGGGTAACGTGGCGGGCGCGAGCAGTTTGGTGCAGACACATAGGCGGCGGCCCGGGGGCGTGTCGTCTCGGTGCGCAAATCGCTGGAGCGGCCTAGTAGAAGCATGCATCGGGGGACCCCGGGCGGACAGCGCAGGCACTCGGCGGCGTGGTAGACTTCCGCCCTGGAGTTATTTTGTACAAAGATTGTGCTCGACGAGGGCGGCGCGCTTCAGAACGCGCAGCGCTTTCCCACGCGCCACGTCTGTCCGCCGCCGCCGCCTTTTTTCGGCCTGTTTGCGTGTGTGGTGTGTAGTATGTGCGGCGCCGGCGGGCGCCCAGCTGCATGGGGCGGCCCCGAGGCCTCTCCGGCCGCGTCCCACCCGCCCACCCCAGCCCAGCGGCTGCCGCGCGTGTCGCGCGCAGCGCCGGGCGGCTGCTCGGTTTGTCTGTTGTGTTGGCAGGCGGGTCAGGGTGAATGCATCCAAGGGTGATGGCGCGGCCGTTGCGCCGCTTAGGTACGTGCTTGCCGCACCTGCTTCAATTATGGGGCCGTGCCAGCAACAGCATGGCCTATTGGGATTCCGGGCAGCGAGGCGCGCGCCGCCAGTCGCCTGCCCTGCCTGCCAGCCTGGTTGTGGCCGGCGTGTTGCCATCACCCACTGCCGATCGATGCTTGTCATCTATGAGTGCCACTCCTTGCTAGTGAGCTTTGCCTCATCCTCGTTTGTGGGTTCCCCCCGGCGTTCGTTTTCGTATCGCATTTTCTTCGGGCCGAGCGGCACTCGCATGCTAAGGCAGTCTTTTCAGCTGTTCGTCCCTAGTGATAGGCGCATGCGGAAATTGAGAGCCGACTGCGGACAGAGGTAAGAAGTGAGATTGCCACTTGTGCCCGTGATCCATCGCTAGTAGTTCGTTGTGGACGGGATCGATAACGATGATCAGGCTCAAATATTCTATCTAAGGAGCCTTGATGCCGCGAATGTGATGTGAGCCACCACGATGAGGTGACCACGAGAGGCTGGGTGACTGAGAGATTCTGCAGAGAGAGGCAAAAGAGAGACGGGCCGCGTGGTGGGTGAAGCATTTGTCTGAACAAGAAGACATAGACGAAATCATGGGTGCTGATCGGCTCTCTCATTTTTTTGTAGGTCGCCTCAGAACGGAGTCGGACACGGTGGAGCTCTTCCCCGCGTAGTGTGCGAGTCACAGTGCGCTTTTTCAATACGTTTTAAAAAAATAGTTGGATGGCGCCAGCTCAGATCGCCTATGCTACCGGCGCTCAGACTCAAACCTAGCAGAAGATGGTCCAGTTGAATAGCTTGAGCGTCGTCCAACTACCCGGGCCCCCCGACCTCCGAAAGTCCGCCTCTACCCGAGCTCTCTTTGGACCGCCACCGCAGCTTTTTCTGGAGTCTCTCAGCCCAGTTGCCGGTACTCGTGGCTTGCAGCAGGCGACCTCTAGTACCAGTCAGCCACCTGGGACCACCACGACGACGAGATGGCGGTCGCAGTCGCCGCCATTGGTAACGCGGACGATTGTTCGCCAGCCTGGAGTGGTGTATTCTCACCCGGCGATGGTATCTACAACAGGCCACGCTTCTGTGTTGCAGTCCACGATGAAAGGAACGGCACCAGCCGCGCAGCACGTAGTTGGAACAACTCAACATCCGGTGACTTCGACGGTTACTTCGTACCACGGAGGCCTCGGCCTGGCGGCGCAGCCACCCGGAGTCGCACAACGTAGTGCAACGGCAGCTCCTTTTTCCGTAGTAGCGTCTGCCTCTGCCTCCGCTCCTCCACCGGAATCAAGACCGATAGTCCACTACCAATACGTTGGAATCAAACCAGTGCCACCACCGAACAGTGCTAGCTTGGTAGCCAGCAGTGCCAACAAGAGCGCAATATTAAACGGCAGCAACTCGAGGGACTCTGCGTCCTCTTCGTCGACGTCCAGCATAGCTGGTACTGGTGGCATGGTAGTTCCACGTGCGGTTCCACCACCAACTACGACGACCGTCTCCCGGTACCCACCAGCAACCACGGTTGGTGCACCATCTCCACCAGTCGCAGCTGCGGCTGCGGTACAACAACCTGCGCATCATGCTGCCGGGTCTGTCGCAACCGCGCCTGCGCTTTCCCTCGACCACCAGGAGCGGACGCGGCTGTCCTCCTCTCAGAAAACCCTACCGCAAATTGAGGAGGGGGACAACGAGGACGCGGCGAGTGCGAGTGCAACTGGGGGAGCGGCCACGTGGCGGCAGTTTCAAAGCGTCAGCGAGACTATCCGTCCACCCCCGTTTCCGATGGAGCGCGAGGAGAGGGCCACTACTCTCGCGGACGATAGACGCGGATTGCTAGCACCGCCGCCATCTGCATTTTGTTCCACGACTGGGGGTGGTGGGGCTTCTGCTTCTGCACATCTTCCAGTGGCATTGACCACCCCGGTGGAGCAACAGGGCGGTAAACAAAATCTTCCAGGCAGTTCTTCCTACCGTGACAACATGCAGGCGGGGCGGAGCAGCGGCAGTAGCTCGGGGAGCGCCTTGACCCGTCAGAAACTGTTTCGCGACACACCCAGCACGTTTGTGCAAGGCCATCAACATCATGAAGCGCGGTTGTACAATCCGGAAGACCACCAGGCTTATTCCACTCTGACCGACGGCGAAACCGATCCGAGAAGAAACCTGCTTTACCACGGTGCTGAGGAGGAGGAGAAAGGTGGGAAAATAACTCCTGCAGAAGCAAATCGCGGCGACCCTCGTGCGGACAAATTGCAGGAGTTGAAGTCTCGGGCCGCACGCCTGAAGGAACTGGTTGCCGAGGTGGAGCAGGCAGAGGAGGAGCGCAGCCTGGTGGAAAAGATTCTCGAGCCGTGGCGCACCAGCTCGGCTTCTTCGCATTCGCACTCCACAGACGAAGAAGGAAGTGTGAGACTTCCTTGTTCGTCCGGTATGGCGTCGCAGAGCTCGTCTTCGCATGGGGCAGGAATTGCAACTCATCAACAGCTACCGTTGTTTTACTCGTCCACAAGCGAACAGCGACGGTTCGACAGCTTTTCGTCGCCGATTGAAGCGGGCTACATGGTCCAAGTCCCGGGTAGTAGCAAGATCAAGCGGCGGACCCAGGAGGAAATAGATGAGATGATGAAGAAGCAGGGAGGAGGTACAACTCTTCCTGCGGGTAGTGGTCCCCCGGTCCGCTCGTCGAACAGGACGAGCGATTTTTCTGCAAGAAAAGAAAACGACAAGGAGGAGGACCTTGCACGGATTTTCGACAAAACTGTCCAGAGAGAGCAGGGAGCAACATCTTCCAGTACCACAACTGGTATCTTCCAGCCACGTGCACGAACCGGTCCTGCAGGCCAAGCGATGCGCCCGCGTACGAGGGAACTGCGGTCGGAGCGCGGCGGCCAAATCGCAGCGTCAGCGGAGAAAGAGAAGGCGGCGTCCGTCGATCAACATCCGCGACTCGGTTTGCTGGATAAGAAGCACTACATGGTGCACAAACACGCTATGGGAGTAGTAGAGCAGCCGTCCTCGATCTCCGCGACCTCGTCAAAATCTGGAAATCAGGGCAGCGACAAAGGCCCAGCAACGTCCTCGTCTTCCAAACCGAGGCACTACCGCACCCCGACCGAGAGTGCGAGGAAGCGGACGCAGGCCGCAGCCAGCAGCTTTGCGCACGCGACCGCGGCCCAGCTTGGGCGCAGGACGGATTTTATCGGCGCGCCGGGCGGGGTCACCGGGGCGCCGCACTTTTCGCGGCCGACGAAAAATTCGAAAAGGAGGGGCCATCATCTTCCGCACGGAGATGTGACCGGCTTGTCAGAGAGGATGACCGAGTCCGCAGCGATTCACCGATCGCATTCTTTGGAACGACGTCACGAGGTGCAGGCGCATGCGCGAACGCGGAAGGACGACTCGCCGATTGAGGGACGCGTGTATTTGCTTTGTGCTTTGCTATCATTAGTTCCTTATCTAAGTACTTTTTCAGAGCATGAAATGGATATGGCCGCGTGACTTGCCATACATGAGTTTAGCTCCATGGAGAGGTTGTAAGTAGTGGTTGATGTGTATTTGAATAGCCCTACCTGCGTGGTACTATCACCATCAGACCCGAGAGCACCTTTCGGCAGGAGTGCCCGGACTCGGAGGGATTCCCGAACGCCTTGCGCGACAGCAGTCCGCCCAGGATTGTCAGCTTTCCCGCCTCGCCGCAGTTTCTGGAACGGCCCGGGCAGGCGGCGGTACGGCACGTGGATCAGCAGCAGCACAAGGAAAAAATACCTCCCCCGCCGAAAGAACACGAGACCGTGGAGTTTCTGCAGCGTTGCGGCATCACCGGGTTCGAACACAGTTTCGCAACGAAGGCCGAATCGGATCACAATGAAAGGCGGTTGAAATACCCACAGGCACCCCCGGAACAAGCCCCACTGGTGCCGATCGAAGAGAAGCTGTCCCCGATTGGCGGAAGTGCAAGTTTGAAGCTGAAAAAGAGTCCCAGCGCTCGCAGTTCGCCGGAAAAGCATCACGGTCGTGGAAAAAATGACTATAGGGAAGACGAGGAGATCGAAGTCGTGCGACTGAACCGGGAGCCCAGCCAGCGACTACTGGAATTGGCTAGACCGAGCAGCCGACGGCTAGCAAACGTTGTTTCCGGGAATAATGAGATGAACCACGACGGCGAGCAGGGTGTATTCCAGGAGGAAGGTGCTGCCCGACCACCAGCAACTAAAAAGCGCGACACGAGCAAATCCCGGCGCGAAAGTGCGGCTCAAAGAGCAAGCCAAGCGGTCGTGAGTGCAGGGGCGCGTGGATCTACAGAGCGCATTTCAGGCATTCTTTCCTCCGAGGACGAGACTGACAAACGCGCACTACTCGAGTACCTCACCCGGATAAAACAACTGAACGAGGAGTACGGCCCCAGGCTCGACACTTCCATCTCTTCCGCCATCGAGGGCGTTTTCAGTTCCACCGGGAAGAACGGACGTCCCGATGCAAGCTGGGACATTGTCGCGAGGCGAGCTGTGAATAGTGCTGGACGGAACAAGTCACCACTAGTTATTTCCAGCGCTAGAGGACCAGAAACGATGTCACGAAATAAATCTGCATCAAGAACCACGCCCGCAGAGCAGAAGCGAGCGTACAGTGCTCGCGGAAAGAATCCGAATTATTCAGCCCGCGGACCTAGTCCGAGTGGTGATGCGCGGCGCACGGCGACAGTGGTTGCATCATCTTCGACAAAGAACTTGTACAGAAAGGCGAGCCCCAGTCCTGGAGCTACTGCAAGTCCTCCGTTTTCGGCGACTAGAGGAAAGTCGAGAAGTCCGCGCGTCGACGAGCAGCTGCGTGGAGGTCCTCTCCGTGCAAATAAATCAACAGCCTCCAAGTTCTCGCCACGCGGAATCACGTATGGTTTAGGCACAGTAAACAGTGGCAGTACCGATCCGCCGTTTTCCCATGCGGGCTCAGGGTCCCACTCCCACCGCGGTAGCCGGAGTGATTCCTTCCAGTCGGCAAAGAGCAGCACAGCACAAGAACAGCACCATCAACCAAATACGAGTGGTGCTACGAAGATGGTGACCACGCAAGAGCCCCCGAGCGAGACGTTGCTTCTGTCGAAAATCAAAAAGTACGTCGAGCGAGCGACGAACATTAACAACAAACGGGCCGCGGGGGGTCAATCTGGAAGAATCGCAGCGGACTTCGTCCAGGCGACGCGCTCTCTTGGCGACACAGGCGTAGAAGTTTATTCCACCGCCGCGGCGGAGGTGCCACTGCCAGCAGCGGATCATGTTGGAAAGAAATCAATCGCTGTAACTACTCGATCGGCTCGGAGTGTGTCGCCGCGTACTTTGCAGTCGGTCACAACTCAGTTGGAGCAGATCCCAGAGCGGGTCAGCTGGAAGGAACTGCAAAAGAACCACGACAACCTGGTAAACAACTCCGGGTCCACGAAGGATCTCACTCTGGTACTAAAAGGGCATGAGAGTGTTGGTTTTTTGTTGTGATCATGGGTACGTATGATTCTGTGTCAAAGTGCACCGATGTGTCAAAGACACTGAGTGTCTTTGAGACTCAGCGTGCTGGACAGTTGGAGAAATAACTCAAAGCAACAAGTATTTGAAATACAGATCCCCAACCCTTCTCTGGCCGTGCAGCTTGCGAAGGAGCGAGCAAGAGCAGTTTTGCGCCAGGCATCGCCACCACGAGCGCGAGACAAGCTAGTGCAGACGTCAAAAAGGGTTGCGGAGTACCGCGAGAGACGCAAGGTTGGGGCAGATTTAATGGTGGCGCGAAAAGTAGGCCTTAGCGAGCAGGTATAAATCTAATTCACGCCGTACGACGAGTAGATCGTGTTCGTGATAAAGGTGTCTACATTGCATTTCGTACGGAGTTCATCTCCTTGTTCACTCGCTTTCAAAATGGAATTGGAATCTCTCAAGGTGGAGACACGTAAAGATTAAAAACGTACTACATGGAAGAACACAACAAATCCTTTCACCAGGAGCAAGACAAGAAGCTTCTCGACTTCTTCGACGGTGTCACGGTGCAGGCGGGGCTGAAAGCTCCGCAGCAAACTGGCCGTGGGGTTGTGGTTGTTGCGGATCCGCGGACGGTGAGCGCAACTACGGTGGCCGAAGCTACTTCTACAAACGGGACAGCGGCGAGGAATAAAAAGGCCATGAACACAAAGCCAAGTAGGCTGGTTCTGGAGGAGAAGAAGCCCGATGAAATTGTAGGCCGTGAGCCCGTTCTACTTCCCGTAGCACCAGCGACGACCGACACGGCTCCGTCTACTGGAAAGAAGAAGGACAGTGTGGTTTGGCGACAGATTTTTTCGGATGTCGCTGACGGGAAAACTAGCAGAACGACAGTTGTTGCCGGATCCGGAAGAGGAGATTTAGTCAATGCAAATGACAGTCTCGTGGCGTCGTCGACCAGCCGGCCGTCTTCTGCAACGGATCATGGCAGCAGCTTCTACCATAAGTCAGCAAATTCTACACAAGAAACGTCGCATCTAACAAGCGAAAATGCCCCAAATAAAACTAGAACTACACAGAAAACCGCTGCCTTGGGCGAAAAGCTGCAGCAGATAAAAATGCTGAACCGAGCCGGAAGCGCTCGCGGACCGACATTGGTGCCCACGACAACGTCGATAGCCACCCCGAGCGAGGCGGACATGACGAACGCGCTGAACCAGAACAACACCTCGACGCAGCTTTCTCCAAAAAGCAGCGGCTTCAAGCGCGGCCTGACCGCCTCGACCCTACCCATTTCGTCGTCTTCTCCGAAAAACAACTCTGCATCGGCAACCCGAGCTGCGGCTGATGAAAACTTCAAGTCCCGCGCTACGGCTGCCAGTGCCCACCTTTTCGCGCCAGAAAGCGATGAAGCGGAGTCGCCGATGGACCGGCTGCCCTACGAATCACCGGTAGGACGAGGATACAAGAACGCGAAGAATCACCAGCTCGCGGACCACTTCTACACACCAGCGCCGGCGGTTATGGTGGACGACCACGTAGCTCTCTTCAACGTGGACGGCGCAGATCGTGGCATATGCAACGACGAAGCTGAACCATTTGAGCACCGGAATGAAGGATCAAACTCTGGCGAAGTAGCAGCTTCAAGTTCGAACAGAGCTGCACACGTTCCGCAGCACACGCTCCTCAGTCCCGGCGTGACGAAGAGGACCACCGAGGGGGCTGCGCGCACGAGAACCAGCTCAGACGAAAGTTCTTGTCCTGGTCAGCAGCATGGGATTGGCAACGACCACGGAAGCGACAGCCCCATCCGGAAGTGGTACAGTAACCGCGAGAGCGAACAGGAGTTGCTGCTGCAAGTCCGGAAACGCGAGGGAACGTCGGTTGTTGGGGAAGAGGAATTTTTCGCCCCGAGGCTCGTGCCGCAGCCGGATCTGGTGCATACTTACGGCGGCGGAACAAGTTCTGCAGCTGGTGCTAGCGGGGGTGCAGCAACTACTACCGGGATTGAAGATGTCGCAGCAGTTCTTCCCGTTGTGCTGGAGCAGGAACGACCTCAACGAGGCGTGGGGTTCAGCAGCTACGATTTTAGTTGAATCCGCTCTGCGCTTCTGCTTCATCAAATCATTGCAGCGACGAGGAGGGCGGAACATTTATTTCTTGTGGTTTCATACTTTTTGTTTCCAATAGAAAAGCGCCTGCACGTGTAGAGGGGAGTTGTGTCATGGTGCAAATATCGCAAGATAGACGGTCAACGAGATGAAAAAGAATTTTCAAGTAAGTATGTTTCTCGCTACTTTCTCGTCACAATGAATTAAGTAGGATTTTTCTGTTGTACGATGGCCAAATCAATGTAAGTAACTTTTCATCAGATTTCGACTTCGACCTGTTTGAATTTTTATTTTTCCAAACAAAATGAACTTCTAAGCAGTTCGTGGTGGCTTAGCAAGCCGGCAACGGCCTGGCAAGATAGAAATTGGAATTTCAACATAACCTCGGAAAGAAGAACAAAACGACTTGACAGACAAACAGAACACTATAATACGAATATGTACATGGTTATTAAGAACCAGACCACTGTCGTGCTACCCAGCAGTGGTGAGTAGAAAATGAAACGCGTCACGACATCATCAACTTGTACTATGTATCGAAAGTCACGACGAAAGCAAAATCAATAATGCTTGAACACCTGCAAAATTAGAAGGAGCTGCGGTGCCCCGGATGTAGTAACACGAACACCTGGGCGGTGCTCATAACAAGTATCACTGTTTGTTGTTGCTGTGGCATATTTTTTTCTTGCTTTTCTCTCCACAAGATTCTTGTTGTTCAATCTAGGAAGCATACAGAAGTCAGGATCCTTCATTCAAGTGGTTTCGTAGAGGTAAACGTCTGAAAGTGGTCTGCACTTTTTTTCTCCAGCAAGCCAGCTGTCAGGAAAGTCAATCCTCAACGTTAATTGTTTTCATGATTTGAAGCGGCGCGATCATGAACATGATCTCAATATTCAAGCGATAGTTCTTGCAGTCACATACCTCTATCTTTGTATGAGCATGACGAGAAGAAGATTTTTTCCATTGCTGGTACCGGTATGGGCTCGCGAAGATAGAGACGATCCGAGGACTACTTTCACTAGTATGAGTAGGGTATTGTCAAGACTGCGCGTGCGACTATGTTCCATGAGTGGTGCCCATGAAGCCTGTACAGTGGCGCTGTACAGGTGGCAATTATCTCTACCTACCAAGGCAGCACGGAGGGTATTGAATGTTTCACAAAAATAAACATATTAGGAACCGAGACGAGCTCGCGTGGCATGAACGACAATGAATACAGCGACTAATTGTAAGTAATCAGTCCAGAGGGACTTCACTACTTATCAAACTGTGAAAAGTTTTTAAATTTTACGTGAGTCGTCTATGCGATTTCTATCACTATCGTATCGATAAAAATATCAAAAGAGGTATAGAAAATCCGGCACTTTATCTTCTAATCGACACTGTTGACATCTTGTTTGTGTTTGATTTTTTCTCAACAAAAGTCTTCTTTTCTGCCGTACGTGGAGCGCGCGACCACTCCTCTGTGATCTGTTTATCAGTAGCACATCTGTTCCGTGTGGCGGCACTTTTTGTAGTTCACCACAAAGAAAGTTGTTGTTACACTGAATACCGGAATCGGAAAAAATATCTTTCGTCACGACCAAAAGTAGGAAAATCTTCACTCACAAACGATCGAAAAGACACAAAAGAGTAGCCACAATCGACGATTGAAACTGTGTTTTTTTCACAACTTTTTGCGCCTTCCATACATTTGTTTTCGATGGAGTATCTACGATCCTTACCGTTTTCGCAAAAAATATTTGATGAAGGTTGAGTTCTCTGTTATCCTTAAGAATTTTTTTGTAACTAGACTTGGACTTTCGAGCACTTCTGAGTGCGATAATCTTTTTTTCAAGATTTAAGAATTTGAAAGTTGTGTGATTTGTTCCACCGTTCTATTGTAGCGTCACTTGTACACCATAGACATACAAGCTTCTGCGAATTTATCAAGGTACTTGTGCCCTGTTTAACTTTTGTTTTTCCATTAAGCAGCTAAAATTGAGGACGCATTAGCTTCTGTCTAGGAACAAGGTAACCTAATCCGAAAGTACCTGAACATTTTTCAAGAGCAACATTGAAAAAATACTTACTACCGTATACCCACCCTCACGCTTTTTTCAATACCGCGAGCTAACTTCTATCTCACGACTTCCTTGCTATAAATTTCGCAACAAGATGGTGAGTGACCGCAGTTCGTCGGGCTCCTCGGTGGATTATGCAGAGTGAGCATTTCATCGTTCTGTCGGTTGGTGCCAGCACCACCAAATTCGATTCTTCTCAGTACTTACAAAAACAACAATCATGCATAAAATAAAAGGACGATCGACGGAAAATGACATTCATTGTAATTGTTGTCCCGACAGTTTTTACGTGAGAATCGAATTTGGTCGTATGTGTTATGAATCACAGCCGGCTTCAGAAAGAAGTTTTCAGACCCATACAAGGGGGTTCTTTTCATCCAAGGTCGGTAAAGGATCCTCGTCCAACAAGGTCCCGCCTCCTGTTTCTCTCGGAAACAACTTGTTAGCCGAGAACGCAGATAACGGCTTGCAATCCAAGGGAAAAGAGTCGGAGAAGGGTATTAAAGACGTTGGTGGCACCTCCGCCTCCGCGGGAGGTGGTGGTCCTGCACCGGCGGTTCTTGATGTACAGCAAGCTGCTTTTACGACGGCGGTATCATCGGTAGGCGCGACTCCAGTTGGAGGTCGTGCCTCGGAAGGAACGAATGCGAGCAAACCAGCTACCGCAACTGCTGATGTTGGTGAAAAAGCAACGCAAGGTAGTTGCGCCGAAAAGCAAGACACCTCCGACAAGAAAACTGCGCCTCTGAGCATCAACTTACCCCCGGACAACCACGACCAACGAAGATCGCCAGTGCGCTCGCGCTCTCGGCAGCACTCTCGGTCCTCTTCTTCCCGTTCTAACAGCTCCCGCAGTCGCAGCGAGCAGATGAAAGGAACCACACTGGGGGCGGAGGAAGGCGAAGGTGGTCGCCGTCGCGGAGACGCGTCTTCGAAAGGGAATCAGGGTGGCGATCGGAGCAACCGCAAAGGGGCGGGGAAAAATAACTGGACGAAAGGGGGTCGCGGACGCGGCGGAGCGAACAAAGGTCGTGGCAAGCAGTCCGACTGGTCGGGCAGGCACAGCACAAACATCAACTTGCAGGAGAACCCGGCTAACAATCTGCGAGGAAATAGAAGCCGCGACGGAAACAGAAACACCACGGGAACGAATAACAGAAATCGTTCTACTCGCCGCTCTCGTTCCCGCTCCGCCCGCGACGGCAGCCGTTTCGGGAATGATGACCGGGGCGGGAAAGGAAATGGCTTTCACCATCGCGATCGCCGTGACACTGCTGCTACTGGTAGGAGCTTCAACAGGGATACCACTACAACCCGGGATCATCGCTTTACTCGGGGCCGCGGCGTCGGGAGAGACAACTACAATCACGGCCGGAACAACTTCACGCGAAGCAGTCGGAGCCGCGGGCGAGACCGTCGCGACCGAGGGGACCATCGTGGCGGCGGCCGGGGCCACACCGCGTACCACACGCATGATCGCCGAGGCCAACAGCAAGGTATGGTTTACAATGCATATTAAGAGCCTAGTTTTGGTGCTCGCCGACAGGAAATAATGTATGATAAAGCCGGCCGCGTTTTCGTGTTGGGCGAAATTAATTTTGTATCTAGATCCACTCTACGCCACCGTCGGCTCGTTCGCTGCTTGTCTGATTGAGAAGATTCGTTCTAGTGACGGAAACCTGCTCGTCCTCGCGTAAGGGCGCTTACTGTAACTGTTGATGAGGAGCAGGCACTAGAAAACATAATCGATGCTGGCAAGAAGAACATCACTTTTTGCAAGAAATCAAATTTTTCTCAGGAGGTGGTTTCCGAGGTGATCGTGGAAATAACCGGGACTGGCAACATATGCATTTCAAAAGCGTCGCTGTACTCGTGTAAATACCAATCTTGCGCCAGCATGACAAATCTGGTTGCCTAGGCAATTCAGCATGACAAGTTCCATTTGATGTCATGTTGAGCGAATTTGTGATGCGATTTATACTTGTCCGATACGACTTGTTTTGCAATGCATACACCAGCGCCAGCGCCGCGGTGGGACAAACTACAGTCCATCTCGCGTCCATGAGACAGGGGCTCCTGCTGGTGGGAGCAAAGGAATTGGGAATCAACCTCTTGACCACGACGGGAAGAAGGACGTCGAGAAGGAGACAGTGATTGTCGAAGTGGACGCGGTTGTTTCGGGAGATGAAGGTAAGAACGCTCCACAACCACAGCTGGCGGCCAAAAAAGATGATGCGGAGGCCGGCGACGGTAATGCTAATGTCGACAAGGTGGAGCAGGACGAGGACCAGGAAAAGGTAGATCAACCAGGTGGAACTGCGGACGCGAACCGCGACAACGCGAAATCTGGCGCAGAGAAGAAATCGAAGCCTGAGAAGTTGCTGCCTTCGGACAAAGAAGATTCCTCGCGCGAGCAAGATGACAAATCTGTGGACGACGACGAAATGGACGAACATTCTTCCAAGAGCGCTGCTAGTCAACACAGCGACCACCGGGGCTCCTCTGACGAAGATGATGAGGCGAAGAGCAAGCAATCGTCGAAAAAGCTCACCAAGCAAGCAGATTCCGGTCGTTCCGAATCGGACTCATCACACCGATCGCGCAGAGGTTCATCTTCGGAAGAAAATGTCCATAAATCCGACTCCGAAAGAAACAATGAGGAGAAACCCGGGAAGATGAAACGAGGACGATCTCGGCGGAATGAAAACTCGTCTTCGCGGCACTCATCTAAATCTTCCCGCGGCGCGGCTGTTTCATCCCACAACGAGAAATCGAAATCCAAAAAAAGCATCAGCAGCAGGAAGACGAAGATGAGTAAAAAGAGTTCTGTTGACAAGAAGGGAACAAGCAAAAGTCCCTCGCGGCGCGACCGGCGTAGACCTGTCTTGAAGAACAATAAAGCCGACCTGTTAGACGACGACGGAGAAGCGCTCGACGAGTCGGAAATTGGTGTGGTGTCCGCGATTGGAGGAAAGAAGCCTGCTTCCTTATCGATTGCAAATATGTCTGGGTCTGAGAGATTGCGAGATTTGTCACGCAATTAATCATAATCTGGCATGACTCTGAACTCTGTATTGCGTGGCCGCGAAGAGCTCTTCCTCCCTGTCATGCAAAAACGCAGCGTCTCATGCGCCGGAATACGCAACTCAGTACCATGAAAAAAACTTGTCATGCTTGGCAGCGCATTACAGTGAGCTCACTACTCCCTTCTTCGCATCACAAGTTTCCAGACCCAGACATATTTGCATTTGATATTTCTACGCGGCGAACAACCAAAAGAAGGCCTCGTCCTCCACCGGAAATAAAAACAACAAAGACTGGCTGGACAAGGCGCGCGCCCCGCCGCAGAAGCGCGAAAACCGACCGGAACGGTTCCAGCGGCGCGTGGCAGGGAAGAGCCGGGAGGAGGGTGAGAGCGCGGGAAGCCCTTCCCCTACGGACAGCAGGACGCGCCTCGTGCGGAAATTGGAGGGAACCAATCACCCCCGCGAGCCGAAGAAGAAGCTTTTTCCCGCCGGTGCCGAGAAAGACGGCGAGGAAAAAGGAGCGGCGATGACCAAAGCAGACAACGCGGATGGAAGTGATGCGGAGATGAACGCTGGCGCTGGTCCTGCCCCCCGGAGCAAAAGCAAACTGGCTGAGAAAACTACCAGCAAAGATAACGACGTTGGAACGCAAGGCACTAGGAAAGATAAATCTAAGCCCCAAGCTGCACCAGAAAAACAGGAGCACAAAAATAACACAAGCAACTCCGATAATGAAGATGCTGAAGACAGCAGTGAAGCGGACGGCAGAAACAACAGCAAGAAAAAGGGAACCAAAAGGAAGACCACCTCCAAACGGGGGAAAGACGAGGCATCAGACGAGCCTTTCTCTTCTAGCGAGGAGGGGAAGAAGAGCAAGAAGAGTAGGAAGCCGCCTGCCAAGAAACGGCGTCGCGGTCGCCGCGGGAACAGTGACAGCGAGGACTTATCGTCTTCGAGCGGTGGCGCAAGTAAGCAGAGCAGCAAGGGACAACGACAGAGCAACGCCCGTAAAAACTCGTCGAGCGCGTCTTCCTCCATGCGCGTGCTGAGAAATGCTACGAGACTGCACAACTCCCCCTCCTCCTCATTTGTAAATGTAAGCACAATACAAAATCCACAGTTCTTAGCTCGTAAGCCCTGTTAGAATGACAAATGATTTTGGAAGAACTCTCTCAAATAGTAACTACAATCTAGTACATCCAGGTTTGTCATGCGAAAGCCCCTTTTCTGTTGTTCTTTGTGTTGCTGTTCATGCCATACAAATGAGGGCGGGGAGGGGGGGTTGTGCACTCTCATAACCACCAAAATGGGCAGGAAAGAAGTGGGGCAGGATAAAATCGTTAGTGCTGCTGACATGAAGCTGATGAAGTCCTCGGGTCACGCGTTGTCATCCCCTCCTCGTCGCCGTTCGAAGCAAGATCAGACTGCGAACAAGCTGCAGCTGCAACCGGATAAGAAAGACGCTGCTGCCGGCAGAAAACCAACCAAGACCTCCGCCGGAACTGCGGATGACAAGAAAACCAAGGCAAACGCGAAGGAAGAGCTCGAGCTGCAGAAATTAAAACTACCTTCTTCCACTCCGTCGAAGGCGAAGAGTAAGACAAAGACTCAGAAGGAACAAAAGGGTGAAGATTCTATGGACCACGTCGATAAGAGCGAAAAGAAAAAATCAGATCATTCCGATGAGTCATCATCCGACGATTCGTCCTCTCCCTCCCACCGGGACGAACAGATGGACGGCCATAAGGGCGGTCGTGACAGGAAGAGATCATCCTCTGAACGCAGTTTAAGCGGCGTTAGCAACATGTCGAAAAAGAATCCGGTTCGCGCTGACAGTCTTTCCCTCTCGGACGCTCTGAAGCAGGAAGAGGATGAACAGAAGAAAGACGCGGACAAGAAGGCAGACACGACAGCTTCTGGCGAAGACAAAGGGAATAAGGATGGCACGGATAATATGACGAAAAAGGTAATAAAGGATACGGAGATGAAAGAACAAGTGATGTCGAACAAAGATGACCGCCAAGAGGAGGATAACAACAAGCAAGGCGTCTCTACTACGAAGGGGCGAGAAGTAGACCACGGTAGTTCTAAGCCGCGGGTTGAGAAGATCGTTCTGAAAAGTGTTTCTCGTGGTCGCAGTCAGAATCTGAACCCTCGGGACAAGAGTTCTAAAGAAGACACACGTCGTGAAGGTGGGAGAGTAAACTCCATGCCGCGCCGCGAAAGAACGAAAAGTCGGGACGAGAGTGCCAAAAGTTCGCGCGAGCATGATCGCTTGCGTCGTTCCCGTGCAGGTGGCGATCGGCGTGTTGGAGAGCGCGACCGTCGGGCTGGTGGCCATCGGGACGGCTCGACAGCAGGCCGGTTTGCACGACGCGGCGGACGGAACCACGCACCGGGCCGGGATTCCAGGGGCCGCGGAAGAGGAGACCGTGACGGCGGGAGACGTACTTACTTTTTTTTCCGTGTGTTAGTCTTTTCGATATCTGACTGTTGCGGCGTGCGCTTGCCTCTTCGATAAATATGCTACGGTTAATAGATTTCCTGTCGTAGTTCAAGCAACCACTTTATTCTTTATACGCAAATCAAATTTAGGTGACAATTTTCGTGATGGCCGTCGCCGCTCGCGCTCCCGAGACCGCACCGCGGAGCGCAGAGACATTACAACCACGGGACGCGCAGTTGGTGGCCGCGGGTCCACTCATCTCGGGCGTCGCGGACCGGTTGGGCGCCGCAGGAGTCGGGATTCCCCTCGCCGCAGTTGTTCTAGGGATCGCAAGAACGACGACCGCAATGATAAAGGCACTTTTCGCAGATTTCAGGTGGAAACCGACTCGGACAGGGATGTTCTTGGGAAGAAATCGCGAAAGGGCGAAGAGAATGCGAAGACAAAGACCGTTGAACTGGAGCAGGGACTGCACAAGGCCCATCACGACGAGCGGGCAGGGGCAGCAGCAGGAGAAAATAAGAAAGCGCTCGGGCAGGAAAAGATCAGAGAAGCATCCTCTTCTTCTTCTTCGGATGACGAGCAGTCTCCTTCTCGTGGGCGAGCTAGGGAGAAAGACCAGAAGAAACTACGGGCTGCAAAGACGTCTGGAAAGAACGATGGAGAGGAGCAGCAGGCGGGTGGCAACAAGGTAGGAGTTTAGCAGTAGAGATTGAGACGCACCACAGCGATACTTGAGCACGCGATCCTCCAGTTTTTGTAGTAGTTTGAGCTTCGAACAGTTGTACTTCTGGTAACCCCGCCATCTTCGGCATTTTTATACTTGTTTCTTATCAGCAGGAACAAGTTTACTAAGGACAAATCTAGCAAAATTATTCGCACAAAAATAAAAAATCAGGTTTTCAGCTTCACTTTCCAAAAGTCCAAGTCGACGACGAGCACGGTAGCTGGAGCTGCAGAGAAAAACGCTATCACCTCGGCGGAAAATATTTCCACGATGCAGGAGGACAAGGCCACCAAGCCTGTACAAACGGAGGGTAAGATGAACCCCGCCTATTGCATCACGTCTCTCACCGAGCAAGTCTCAAAGCAGCTCGAAGGTAAAAGAACGTCATGACAACAATGTAGAACTACGAACAGCATATCGCAACACCCTTTTTTGTGTTTCCAACCCACCGTTGTGTGTAGTTGACCGGCACAAAAAATACATGGTGATGCTCCATATGCAACAGAAAAGAAAAGATGATCAAATTTCAATCCTTCTGTCTGTCTCGGATAGATCAAAATGCATAGCAAGCACGTTTAGTTTACATATTGTTAGTGGACTTGAGAACACTCGCACACACTTACACACGTATGCTCCACTGAGCTCGTTATCAACAGCAGTTCAGTGAATTCTCTCAATTGCAAGGAAGCAAGCAAGTGACGCAAGTCTCTTGCTGCGTTACATCCTGTAGGTTTGGTTCAATCAGGCTCATCAAGATTCTCGCATCATTCTCACCAGATGTCAACACATTCCAGGGTCTAGATCCGCTTCGTAGTTAGCTACTTCATTAAGGATCTCAGGCCTTGGTAAAGCAGCATGTCACGGGGTCGATTTGAGTCAGAACCTTCAGTCATTTTCATCATGGAACAGGCTTCATTTGGGGCGATCGTGTTACGTGTGTGCGGGATCGATTTCCATGACCAACACCCCTCCTCAATCGCTGCGGCGGTGCTAATCAGGAATAATCCTACCACACTCCCCTCCTGAGCGCTGTGCCTATCTAGAAACCAAAGTAAATCGAATAAGTATAGCCTACTTTAGCCTTGCCCTTCTTATGATTCCCCTCAATAAACGTGTCTAAATCATCCTCATCGTCAGAGGAGTCACAAATAAAAGACTTAGGGTCTGGGTTATCAATATGGTGCAAGAGTCCGCGTCTCTGCGGCACACTACGCTCGAGCTTCGTGAGACCGTCTGCCTTCATTAGGTAGGTCGGGCAGAACATGATCTGGCTCGCTGCGTCTCTCACGCGGAGATATCGCAGTGCGTAGCGCCTCGATTTCGGTTTGTTGTCTGTGCTCTTAGCTGTAGTTATCGCGGACTGGTTGTCGATCCACAATATGGCATCACCCAGGGAGGGAGATAAGCCACTCGGCTTTTCCACCATGACAGTGGGTAGAGGTTTGAAGAACTCTGTGAAGTCATTCTGCTCGCTCAGCTCAATAGTGTCGGAAGCAGCTATATACTCCGCCTCCGCCGTGGAGTACGCCCTCACGGTCTGCCGGTTGCTACGCCAACAGATCGGGAAACCGCGGAAGTGCATAGTGCTACCACTAGTGCTTCGCATGGTCTTGCAACAGTTCGCAAAACTAGCATCCGAAAACAGATTCACATCAGGCAAGTCTCTCCCTTCGGGCAGTCGCTTGCTGTAGATTCTGTTGGATTCTTCCTCAATCTCCGGACTATACGACAGACCCTGCTCCTTCGTTGTCAGTAGATACTTCAGAATCTTCTTACAGGCGTTTACGACAGGCCGAGTCGCCGGCTTGCCCACATATCTGGCGACAGTGGCAACCGGGACAACAATGTCTACCCTGCAGGTGGTTGCAGCCCACTGCAGAGAGCCAACGACCTCTCGAAGGGGAAAGCCTTCAATAACTTTAGCTCCTTCAACTTCTTTAGCGAGTTCAGACTCATCGAAGTTTGGCGAGTGGACCGGCTTGCCCGCTTCTGAGACGTGGAATTTCTTACAAATCTTGGATATGTACTCTGACATCACGATCCTAACGGTTCGTAGATTCCAGTTGTAGTACACTATTGACCCTAGGAAGTCAAACTTCTTGGGCACAGAGTTAAACTCCGGAACAAGCTCGACGTCGATCATGCGCCCCTTGACGTGGTGCAAGATCTCCGCAAGTTCTCCAGCCAACTCGGACCCAGTCGGAGGGCCTGTGATAAGATTATCGTCGACATACACTGCCAACTTCAGAAACTTCCCAGGGTGTTCCAAGCCCGGTTTCTTCCACAGACCTGGCGCAGAGGGACAGGGTTCCCAACCTAGCTTGGTCAGTGCTTCCTCATACTTCTTATACCAGAGCCTGGGGGCGTCTTTCAAGCCGTAAAGCGCTTTCTTGAGCTTGACGATCTCCACGCCGTGCTTCTTCGCCCAGATGGGTGGCAAGCGGCAGAAGCCGTCGCGATCAAGTAAGGCATTGAGAAACGCACTATCAAGGTCGAACGGGATCACATCGTCACCGTCTGCGGCTGCAGCGGCTAGAAGTAACCTGTTAGCGGCATGGGACACAACAGGAGCGAAAGTGTCCAGCTCGCCCGAACGATCTAGATTACCGAGAACTACTGCCCGCGCTTTCTTCGTACCGTCACGCTTCTCGGTAAGAAGGATAGCAATAGGCAAGACCTGTTTTGCGGTCGCTAGCTCCTCGTCAGTAGCTGGCTCCCACACTTTATAGGCTCCAAGTCTACAATCTTCCTTGTTGGTTGCTGCGTTCCATTCGACTGAGTCTTTGCAACGAGCAGGATCCAACTTGGCCGATGTAGTCAAATAACACTGGACGTCAAGGAATTCCTCGCCTTCCTCTCGATCATCCTGTGCTGCTATTGCTGTGGCAAACGCACTAGCGTCTTTTCTCAATTCTGCGAGCTCTTTCTTAGTATGTCTCACGCGCTTTTTCTTGTCCTTTCTCCCTTTGGGACGACCACGACCTCGCGGCTTGGAGTTGCGGTTGCCAGCCACAATCCTTGCCGGAGACGGGCTCGCCTTTCTTGGACTAGATAAGCTGCTGCGAGTGGGGTGATCGTCCAGATTCCCCTCCTCAGGTTTAACACCTTCAGGCTCGGGATGTATCTGGCCCGGATCATCTTCCCTATCCAGACTTTCAACCACCAACGTCTCTTCTGGGCCGTCAGTCTGCCTACCAGTGTGCTCCGAGACATCCACCCCCAGCCGGTGCTCAGCCCTTTTTATCAGACCGACACACGGGAGAGATGGCGCGCACGACGCTCCACTAGGTAGGGCCTCGATTGCGTCACGCTCGACATAAATGCCTTTCGAGTTAGGAGCTAGGTCTTCAATATTCTTCACGAGGTACTCCTCACGGAACTTGACGTCGATGGTAGAATACTCCATCCATCGATGTCCCGCGGCGGACCGGCCATCCGTGACATACGTCCCAACCCGCCAGCCCGAAGACTTTGGACAAAGGCCGAGAAATACACCACGACGAAATGGCGCGGACAGCTTTGGAGCTACCACATTTACTCCCCCCTCAGGAGCTTCATGAGCTTCGCCTTTCTTGACTTGTTCACGAAAATAAACGAGACAGCCAAAACTCCTTAGCATCCTTGTGCCAACTTTTGAACTGTTTCTTCCAGTTCTCTCATCTAGAATCTCTGCAGGAGTCTTCCCGTCGTACTCAGGCATTTTGCTATACTTATGCGGAAGGCGGTCCCAGCATGCTGCAGCGTACTCGACCGAGTAGCACCACAGACGCTTGCCCACGTTCACCAACATCGGACGCACAGCGCCGAATATGGTCCGCATAAAGCGTTCGCAGGTTCCGTTCTGCTCTGGGTTGTAGGGAACCGTAGGAGCATCACCGACCCGCAGCGATTGCATGACCTTGGTCATGGAGTCACTGCCCAGAACTGGCTCATTGTCCCTACGGACGAACCATACCACTTTGTCCTCGAGGGTCAAAGCGTAGGTCTGGCGAATGCCTTTGATCAATTCTTCCAAAACCTCAACGCAGTCACTTTTCAGCTTAAGAGGGACACAGAAACACTTCTTGATGGCATCACAGATGACCACAAGCACGCAGGTGCGTGACCGAATCGATACAGGTTTAATACCTACCGCGAAGTCCATCGCTAGTAGTTTCAATGGTTCAGGTTTGTAATTACTAGTGTCTCGCTCCTTGGCGTGAGAGCTTCTTGCGCCTTTCGCTTTGTCGCATTCCGGACACTGGACATTAAGACCATCTACATGAAAGTGTCCGAATCTTCTATGTTGTTCTAGACGCGTAAGGTGACAAATAGCGATACTTTCTTCGATTGTAATGCATGCAATGTCTTCCGCGGTGTCACTAGTCGCCTGACCCCGGAGGCCCACCACGAAAAGATCACACCCAAGGACTGGGAGGGTCAGCCTCTCGTGGTTCTTGATTGGTAGCATCTGACCGGATTCCCTGTTGACGAGAGAACCGCCAGAGCTGTTGTAGTTCAGATCCCACCCACGATCACTGAGATTGTCCTCACCGAGCCACGGAAGAATACGATCAATGTCTCTTGGTAGATGTTTAAAGTAGACGCCGTAGGGTAAACCTAGAGCGTTTTCCTTCAATTTTCCGACAAAACCATCACGAGCCCCGGCCGTGCCGTTGATGCGACAGACGTTGCGTGAGATGTCAATAAAATCCGATTCGTGTCTAGATAAATACTTGTTTGCACATGAATCGACCAAGCTCGCTTCGTCCTTGGTCTGTGCAATAAAACAGCTAGAAGAATCTATATGAAACTCCTCTAAATTCTCGAAGTTCAGCATACAGCTACCATACTCCGAGACGTAAGCATCTCCTTCATTTAGTCAGGCTGGACCTTGCCAGACCCAACCACCCTTGTTTCCACCGGCTCCCTGCCCTTGATTCTGGTTGTTCATCTGGTTCTGGTTCACCGGCGGACACCACTGCGGCTGCTGGTTTCCCCAGGCACCACCCCACTGACCTTTCCCTTGATTGTTAGGATTCCAGCGGCAACGGTCAGCCTTATGGTTTTCCTTGCCACAGATCCAGCATTTGGGTTTGGTCACAGTGTTGTAGGGAGTGCTCTGGTTCCGACCAGTCTTGCCACCACCTTTCTGGCCACTTCCACCCTTAGCGTTAGACTTCAGGGGCAGGCCATGGGCAGCCAAGACACTCGCTTCGGTCTGCTTGCGTAATTTGGCTTTCATGCGTTTCAAGGCTTTCGCCGAGAACACCTTGCCAGAAGCAGCATTTTGACCATCATCAGCGGAGTCCGGCTCCTCATCGTCGTCGTCTCTCTGGCGCTTGTTTCCCTTTTTCTTCTTCGGCTTCTCCTCGATGACCGGGAAGGCCTTGCCGAGGGACGGGCTCTCGATCTTGTAGGAACCTTCCTTGACCAACTGCGCGAGCTTCTTCTCGAGACGGTTCCCGATCTCCTGCAAGGTGATGTGATCGGACTCGTCCACGCAGCGGTCGATGGTCTGGCGGAAGGCCGACGCGAACATCTTGGGCAACTTGTCCAGAATGTTCTTCACGTGACGATCTTCGACCGGACGCCCGGGCTCCGGGACGTAGACACTCGGCGCCATCTCCATCAGCTCGTGGATCTGGGCCAGGAACGTCGGAGCATCCTTCGGCGCATCGCGGTTGTCGAAGTGCATGGCGTCGATCGAGGAGGTCTTGATGTGCTGCTGGTCACGGGAGGCAACATTGAAGCGACCAACGTCACGAATACGCGCGAACAATTGCGCAGCGTCATCGTTGATGTAGTGCTGACTGTTGACCCACGTGGCCACGGACCCGGTGCGCGACTTGTAGATGGCATCCTTCAGGTCGCGCCACTTCTCCCGGATCGCGTTATTGGCGGTATTGTTCGCCTGCGGAATCCCCGGAGGGTTACCAGCAGGACGATTACCCCAATACTCCTGGAGTCCGAGGCGAGAAACCTCGTTCGTGACTCCGCGATGCCAGATGCGCCAGTCCTGCGCACTGGACAGCTTCTCAACCAGCTTTGCCTCTTGGCCCATTTTGTGAGTACTTATCTGACTAGAAGAGCCAGTTTGAGTCTCAAGGCGTAGCGTAGTGTTAGTGGACTTGAGAACACTCGCACACACTTACACACGTATGCTCCACTGAGCTCGTTATCAAAAGCAGTTCAATGAATTCTCTCAATTGCAAGTAAGCAAGCAAGTGACGCAAGTCTCTTGCTGCGTTGCATCCTGTAGGTTTGGTTCAATCAGGCTCATCAAGATTCTCGCATCATTCTCACCAGATGTCAACACATTCCAGGGTCTAGATCCGCTTCGTAGTTAGCTATTTCGTTAAGGATCTCAGGCCTTGGCAAAGCAGCATGTCACGGGGTCGATTTGAGTCAGAACCTTCAGTCATTTTCATCATGGAACAGGCTGCATTTGGGGCGATCGTGTTACGTGTGTGCGGGATCGATTTCCATGACCAACACATATGAACACTTAATATGTTGTAGTTGTTGATTTTTTTTTGAATGACTTTGCATACTTCAACAAGATCTGGATGTCGTACTTAGTGTCGCCGTCCATGATCACTTGATATTTTGTATCACGTTCTTCCCGGCACGACGTCGTCCGCACGATCGAACGAAAACAAAACAGAATCCAAGAAAGCGGCCGAGGCTACCGGCGTGAGCGCCGATGTCCTGATTGGTTCGGACAACATCGCCGCGACGTTGAAAGCCGCTCAGGATGAGAAGAAGAAACCATCTCCGGTGATGGCCTGGGGCTCGCCGGCAGTGGACTGTGCCAGTCGCGTTGCTGTCGACGGAGACCTCTGGAGCATGCCGGGCGTTGGTGGACAACAGGAACAGGACGATAGTAAGCCGGACTCTGACTCGTTCGCGCAGAATAAATCTGAAGACTTGTTCACTCCGACAGACCCCGTTGCTGCTGCGAATTTGGCTGCTGCGAAATTTTTGGGTGCTGCGAATTTCACCCCACCGGCGGCGACAACTACAGAGGTGGTTCTGCTGAAAGACGATACTACTGCTGCCAGTGGTCCTACTCCGAAACATCAACTACTACACGCTGAGCATCATCCTATTGGTGCTGACCACTCGACGTCGTCGCGTAAAAGTAGTCAGCAGTTGTTGAAGGTGGCTACTGCGAAGAAGTATCAGGATATCGAAAGGAAAAATCCCCCCTCCCCATATTGAAAACGCACGCGCCTGAAAATTTGTGATGCAGATTTTTTGACCACAGATTCTGTTTGTCTTGCAAGAGAGCAACTCTAGAGAGTCCGCCGCACTATGTAGGCGGTTTGTGATGCTGCTGGGCCTACAGCATAGACGTTTGTCATGCTAGGCACCTACGTCAAACCCTCGCGCCTCAGGCTCGGCATGTGCCTGCAGTCATCTGCTGCAAGACAAAGGCGGTTTGTCTATCCACATCCAGCATCAGAAATTTCGTTTTGATATGGGGCGGGGGGATTTTTTCGTTTGATACAGGAGGGCGCAGCGGCCGCTTCCGTGCCGGACGGGGGAGAATTATTAGGGGAGAAAGATGAGATGCAGATGGAAGTCGAGGAAAAAGAGAACTCGCCTCGTGCACAAGCGCCTGCTGCTGTTGAACAGCTAGACCAGGAAGAAGCTGCAGCTGCAGGTCCCGTAGTTCATCTTGCCAATACGACCGAAGGAAAAGAAGTTGAAGTAGAACCCCAGCAAGAGATGTCTGATTACGATTTCTTCGCGCCGCCAGCATCTGTAGTTCCCGCTGACGGCGCCGCTGATGATCAACAAAGCGAAAACGTTGCTCCTATTCCTGCTGAGGATCATCCGATGGCAAAGTCGGATGAAGATGAGGAAGTTCGTCCTGCGGAGGAAGATGCTTCATCCTCTTCCTCGGGCTCTGTCTCTGAACAAGATGAAAGTAACTTGGACAACGACCGGCAGGAGACAAGCTCGAACGCCGAAGTAGTGTCTGAACAGGAACAGCAACAAGCTGATTCCCAAGAGTCCGACGCCGCTAGCGTGAAGTCTGACTCGTCTGAGGGTAGCGAGAGCGACGCACCCGCTGAAAACGAAGATCAAGTCTTGGAGGAGCCGGACGTCGACGGCCAAGAACATGAGGCTGCTTCATCCCCTGCGAGTACTGGAAAACAACACGACGAATCTGACGGAAATGAACTCCCGCAAGAGGAAGAGCAGCAGGAGGAAGTGCACCAACAGCAACAGGAGAACACCAATGGCGCCGCGACGTCCAGCACCGCAAACGTCGCGCTCCCAGATGAGCAAACGACTGGTAATAATATGACTCTGCCGAAACAGGCTTCCCCGTCAGGATCGAATCCCTTTCGCGGCCAAGGCGGGGGAGATGATGAGGAGGAGGAGAATCTACGGTCCGACGAGAACGATGACCACCTCGCCGCGCCTGAATTAAGCGGACACGAGGAAGATGAAAAGAGCAACAGCTCGATGGAGCTCGAGGATGCATTGGAAGTAGCCGGCACTTCAGGCGACGACTACCTGGCGGTGGAGAACAAGGAAGTAAATGCTGTCGGTGCTGGCGAAGGCGAAATATTACGAAAAGATCAGGTAGACGAGAGCGTTGCGAAAGTAGTTATTGATGCTCCTTCTATTGTCGAGAAAGACGAAGATGTGCTCGAAATGAACAACGAGGCAGCTCCTGTATTGGATCATCAGAAGATTGACTCGAAGACCACGGAGTTGTGTGACGCCGCCACTTCAGGCCTTAGTTCTTGCCCGGTGCAGCTGAGCGAGGCTGCAGTTCTTGGCGAGGATGGCGACGAGTACGAAACAGAGAAAGGTAAATCAAAAAAGTGCTTTCGTCGATTTTTGAGCTCGAGCTTCTCGTGGGGTTCAGATCATGACTTTCATTTTTCTTTTTCATCCTACTACATTTCTGACTTTTTTTGTTTCGACGTACCTTTCAACATTTTCAGGTGCTGTGCGGATCATGGGTGCTGGCGTCAAGGCTCTGGAAGGAGGACACAACGCAGAGGACAAAGCGGAGCCTGAAGAAGTGAAGAAAATGTTGGAAATGACAACCCGAACCGCCTCTAATGCAGTTGTAGAGAAGGAGGAAGCTGCTGTGTCGATGAAGGTGGTCGAGTTGAAACAAGCTGCTGAGCAGGTGGACATCAAAGCTGCTCCCTCCACGACGTTGCTGGTGACCGAAACAACTAACAAGCGGCGCCAGGATGATACTGAAAAGGAGGAACACGATTCTGATGTTGTTGCTGACCCTAGTGCTTCTACCGCTTCTGGCGCCGCCGGCGCAGTTCTCGCTGGCGTGGAGGATGAAACGAAGGACACCAGTGGTGCTACGACGACCACGAAGTGGGTCGGGGGCGTCCTGCAAGCTGGTCCCGTTCTTGGTACAGAACAACAAGAGGAGAAGACCACTGAAGCCGGCTCCAAGAAGCAAGATCCTCCTAGCACAACAACCTCCGGTGCTGGCCAAGAACAAGAAGCACAAGAGGAGCCGGTTGTCGCCGGCCCGAAGAAAAAGCGATCCCGGTTCGGACCGCCGGCCAACTCTCAGCCAGCGCCTGGAACAATGCCGACTCCGCTGCAGATTCAGCAGCAACAGGCCATGGCCGCCACGGCAGCGCGCTTCGCTCCCGTGGGCGCGGCCGTGAGTAGGGAGCAAGCGGAAGTGGCGGCGAGTAGAGTTTTGGCGAATAAAGCGGCTGCGACTTCTTGTGCGACGATTGACGCCAGCGCGGCAAGCTCCAACAGCCTCGGCGCTCGTCCTCCGGTAGCGAAAGCAACTGCGCCGGGCGTCGCGGTTACGAATAAGCCACAGGTAGAACAACAGGCGGTGGAACAATCGGAAAGCGTAGTAAAACAAAAAGAGAATATCCCTGCTAGGACTGAATCCGAAGAAGTGGCACTGACAAGTAAAGGTAAACTCGAAGTAGTAGAGGGATCATCCGCCGTCGATGAAGATACTAAGTGCGCGGCCTCTAGTACTGATGAAAAGGCAAGCAAGAAGATCGAAGAAGTTGTGCCGGGAGGACGACGAGTGCTAGAGGTTCAAGAAGGTCAACATGATACAAAGAAGCTGGACGTCGAACAAGAGCAGCTGCCCCCGGCTGCACAACCTACCACAGAGGCGGATGAACAGGCTCAGGTTGGAGACGAAGAAAACTCCGAAAAGAATAAATCTTCTGATGAACAAGCCCACGACCTTCTCGCGGAGCCTGTTCCTTCTATATGGATGTGTCAGAGTTGAAATCGACAAAGTTGAAATAATTTGTCATGCATAAAATGGATGCCAGTTGGAACCCAGTTTCCAAGTGGCGCATGACGAATCTGGGTGGTCCCTAAATCCAGTTTGTCATGCTGTTTAGGCAAAGACGAGTGATTTTCTCATGCTACTTTAGCAGCTCGAGCTGCAACCACAAACAGGCTTACAGTCGGCCTCACTTGCCTGCTCTGCAACACACGTACCTCGGGCCATGCATTTTATGCATTACAGATTATTTCAACTTTGACGATTTCAAACCTGACGCTTCCATATTCTACCGCCCCCTCGTCTGCCTCGAAAATGATTGAAGGAACGAACAACCCCTTTCGGGACGGCCGTTCCTTTAGCGAAGTTGAAGGCGAGCAGGCGAATGCTTTTGCTGCGGGAGGGGGAGCTCCAGCCGTCGAAGAACTGCAACACCTACAACCGAAGAAAGAAGATGTTGACCGTGAAGGAGTCGAAAAGTCGTGCAAGGCCGAAGCGGAAAAGAAAGTAGGTCCACTTGTTCCCGCTACTGCTTCATCCTGTTCTGGGCAGGAGACGGTATTAAGAACGGAGGAGGAGAGTGCTAACGTCGCTGTCGTAAAAGAAAGTACTGAAAATAGTGCCGACTTGGGAATAAACAGCAACAAGAAAACCGCCAAGATGAACGACATGGAAGCTGTTGAAGAGGATCAGAAAATTACCAGCACCGCTGCCAACAAGCGCCCCAAGAGCGACGATCTGGGTCATGAACCGGTGGAGCAGGACGAGGTCAACAACAACATGATCCCCGCTGCCAAGCGCCCCAAGATCGACGACGATCAGAAGGAAAACAAGGAGAATGCTGCCAGCAACGAGCAGGTCGGAGCAGTCGCTGCGCAGGCAGGTGCAAGCACGAACGCGACTGACTCTACCATGATGTCCACTGACGGGCAACAGGTATGCTTTAGTGTTTGCGCATTGTATTCTATATCTATTTGTTTTTCATCTTTTTGTACTGAATGGAAATAATTAACTGCGCTCCTGTCCTTGTTTTCGATCTCGATCGCGATCGAGTGCAGCTGCGCGCGTTGAGTTGTTTGGATAGATTTAGATATCCACTTCAACCGACTTCGACTAGTAATCTACCGTACCAACCTAGTACATGATGACGCAAAACTAAAACTACATTCAAAAACTACCACAGCAGTTCCAGATGCACATGCAGCAGTTGGTTTTCCAAAACCAGCAACTCCAGATGGCCAATATGGTATCACACGTTAAAGCACACCAATCGGGGCCCGCAGAGTAGCTCCTTGCGTGTGCTGTTGAAGGAGCTTTAGGTGCTCGATTTGAATTTTGCATTTATTATAATGTACTCGTATTCGTACTACAATTCGTAGTCTGTCACGTGCGCAATTCAACATCTTGACCAACTGCTCTGGATGGCCGCGAGAGTGAAAATTTTCCTTGGTACAACCGCAAATGATGATGAACCCGATGGGGATGGTGATGATGATGAACCAAGCAATGGGAATGGACATGTATGGAAGTGTCAGAATCGAAATGGACAAAATCGAAAAACGTGTGATGCACAAAATCGATGCCAGTTAGACCCACAGTTTGTAGTCGGCGCATGACAAATCCTCCTCGTCCTGGAAGCGAATCTGTTATGCGGTTTAGGGCAAAAGAGCTGCCTTCTGTCATGCTAGTCAGCAGCCCAACACTTAACCCTTACCAGGACTACAATCCGCCTTCCTTGCATCCTCTGCAATAGAGTCGCTTTTTGCGTAGCATTTTTATGCATTACAGATTCGATTTTGTCGATTTCGATCCTGACACTCCCATAACATGAGTGGTATGAATATGATGTGGGGCGGTCAGCACGTGCACCAGCCCGGGGGTGGGTACCAGAGCACCTACAATAATTATCAAGGTGGTTCTTACAACGACAACAACTGGAACAATTCGTATTCGAATTACAACGACTGGGATAACAATTGGAACAATTGGAACTACAATCGCAAGGGAGGGGGAAAAGGAAATCGAGGTCCCTGGGGCGCCGAGGGGGCCTCTGAGAACAACCCTAACCCATCAGTGTTGGAATCCATGAAACACCCGATCAACCAGAATCCGCCGGCGAACAGGGCGAATGGCGTTGTCAACATGAAGTGTGCGAGGCGATGGGGTGAGGAATTTTTTTGAAATGATGTGTGATGTTGAATTGATCCTTAGCTGTGGTCGTTTGAGGCAGGAGTACTAGCACTGATGTTTGATAATCTTGATGTGACAAAATACATCATTGACATTTCTTTTCCTCAAATGAACCGGGAAGAGAGCATGATAAAAAACTGATGGCGTCTTCTTGTCCCACAACCACAGAGCGTCCAGATTCTAAGGCGGAGAATGAGCTGTTGCGAGTCGATGCGAAAAACCGATTTGCTGTGGTATGACCCGCTCAGGTGCTTTCACAATCTCAAGCGTTACAGCAGAAGCGTCTGGATTTTGTCTTGCATGGATTGCATGAGGAACATACAGGGCTTTGCGCTAGAGATTTTCGCCAGAGAAGTCTCATGCATGGGGTTCGTTTGGAGCTCCAGAGCTTGTCATGCGCAAAAATCCTGTGACAGTACCAGTAGACTAGATTAACTGCACTACTTGCATTACAAATTTCCATTGCTGTAGTTGTAACGCTTGTTGAGATTGTAACGGTTGCGCACGGTATATGTGGCGATGCAGGGAAACCCTGTGGCGCGGTCGTACTCGATCAAGATCGTGGAGAACCTGCAGCATCATATCAACTGTAAAAAAGTCTGGGTCTGGAAGAAAGGAAGATCTGTGATGCAGGTTTTCCATGATCCATGAGGTCTGGAATGCGAGACCCAGCATGACAGATTCTCTGAGGTTTCTATCATGCCTTTCCTGCATGAGAAAGTCCCTCTCAACTTGGGCGAAAGGGGACAGCTGCTTTTGGCACTCATGCAACACAGCTTTTTGCATGATTCGGATTTAGCATGACAAGTTGCAATCTTCCAGACCCAGACACTTTTGCAATGCATACATCAGCTGAAAAGACCCGAAATCATTTGCTTCTTCTGCCCCGTGTACCAACAGAGCTACCGGCAGAAGGGCAAGGGCAAGAACGGCAAGAGTGCTATGAAGGCCTCAGAACGGAAATCCTCAAAGTGGAAATAATTTGTGATGCATGGAATGCGACGCAAAAAAGACTGTATTGCAGAGGACGCAATGGAGGCCGATTATTGTCCTGCTAGGGGTGAAGAATTGGAGTGCTGCTTAGCATGAGAGAAGGGCACCCCTTTGCCTTAACCTGCATGACAGACATGCTTTAAGTGCCCGGGAGATTTGTCATGCGCCGACTACAAATGACGCTTCAACTGGAGTCGTTTTTTTGCATCACAAATTATTTCCACTTTGAGGATTTCCAACCTGAGGCTTTCATAAGTGCCCCGCCGGAGGGACACCCGGACTTCAAGTACATTGGAGACAACGTGGACGCCGTACTATACAAGTTGTCACCACGACGTGAGTATCAAATGTAAAAATGTCTGGGCCTGGAAACTTGTGATGCTGGGTGGCGTCTCATGATGAGGCTAAAAATGCTGGCTCAGCATGACAAGTTTCTGAGCTCCTAGGTGTTGCCTATTCTGCATGACAAACTGCGCCTCTGCATCACAGAAAAACGGAGCTCTTGGGTGACGTGCATGACAGATTTAAGAGTCATGCCAGACAAGCACGACAAACATGAATTCTTCCAGACCCAGACATTTTTACATTTGATAGTGAGCAGCTGCAAAGCAAATAATTTGTGTACCGATGAAGTAGAACTCGTGACTTGTACTTGAAGTAGATGCTGCAGATCATCGCTTGACAACCCCATGATTCATCAAAAATCCTAGTATTAATTATACATAACCCGACATGTCGTGAAAATGTAAATGAATTCTATCAGTTCGTCGAATCGCTGGAAGAGTACATGTACCCCGTGGACGCCGGCGGTGTGGCGGGTTCCTTTTCGAAGGACTTCATCGACAAGGAAGAACAGTACTCGCAGTGTCGCGGGCAGCTGCACATGCGGGAAACCTTACGCATTGCAAAAGTGCCGCACTCGTGTACGAATTGCAGTCATGCAGGAGAAAACTGCCTTTCCAAGCGAAATCGGCATGAAAAATTCATTCATTTGTCATTGTCCATTTGTCATGCTGCATTTGCATTGCGATCGCTACTAGTGCGATACTTTTGCAGTGCATAAATCAAGCTTAACGACGAGTCGTTCGAGAAACTCATCGATTTCTTTCTGCGAAAAAAGATCCAGGTATTTGAATAATCTTGAAAAACAAATAGAGGTGATCCGTGCAGAGATGAGAGGTGATCCGTGCAGCTGGTGCACGTGAGAAGTTTAGAAGTTGTTGGCCTGTTGAAGAAGATGTTGACTACATGTACATGCAACACGAGCAAATAGTATACTAGAAAAGGAAAAAAAAAAAATCTACCAGATCTCCGTCTGGCGCATCGACGGGAACTTGTTGACGACTCTGGATCCGTTGATTAAGTACATTAAGCAGTGGAAGGAGATGTTTCCCGACCAAGAGATGAAGTTTCACGAGGTGCACTGCTATCCAGAGTAAATAATTTCCCGCACAAGTACAAATGCGGTCTCTGCATGACAAAACTGGACTTCGATTCTAGTTTAGCATGACAAGAGGTAAAAAAGCCCAAATTGGTGAAGTTTGTGATGCATTTTGTACACGTACAGGAAATTTGTATTGCATAACTGCCACAACAATTACCTCACGAGGAAGGGAGCCATCGACTTCATCACCTTCCTGCTGGAAGAGTTCAAGCAAGCCCCGGCGCGAGACGACTTATCAAATGCAAAAATGTCTGGGTCTGGAAACTTGTGATGCTGGGTGGCGTATCATGATGAGGCCACAAGTGCTGCCCCAGCATGACAAGTTTCTGAGCTTCTAGGTGTTGCCTAGTATTCTGCATGACAAACTGCGTTTCTGCATGGCAGAAAAATGGAGCTGCTCTTGGGTAACTTGCATGACAAATTCAAGAGTCATGCCAGACAAGCATGACAAACATGCATTCTTCCAGTGACCCAGACATTATATTGCCACTTGATACGACTGGCGTTACCACCACTGCACGAAGTTCTATCAAATGTAAAAATGTCTGGGTCTGGAAGAATGCAACTTGTAATGCGTATTTCAGAACACAGAAAAGTCTCTCATGCATACGTAGCAAAAGCTCCCACTTTTTGTTAGCAAAATAGGGGACTTGTCATGCGGATTCGGCATTGCGGAAGGTTCTCGAAACCTGTGATGCTAGAGCTTCCATGCCAGACCTTCTGTGTCATGCAAAAACAGCATGACTCTTCCAGACCCAGACATTTTTACATTTGATAAGTTCCGCCCCCTGTCGATTGACACGAACCGGGTTCCCATCTGGATCCGCATCGGGGATAATGATTGCAGCCGGAATGAACCGGAGCAAACGGTCCTGGAAATTGATGCCCTGCACAAAAAATACTCGGACGAGACCAACTCGACAGAAGCAATCTGCTACGGTAAAGAGAACGCAGCTTCTTTCGCTATGGTTGAAGATGTACTTTCGTTAGATGTAGACTTCGGCTGTTCTTCGCATTACTCTAGTACGTAGGTACCTAGCTACTTCTTAGGTACGAATTTTAGTCCTCTTCAAGAGGAGTGCGTCGATAGTAAGCGTGTACTTGTGAAACATGAAGATCAGCGTTATGCACTGAAAAAATATGCTAAATTTTATTATTCCATTTTGAATTTGAAAAATCATTCCAGTGGGCTGCGAGGAGTGTACTCACTTGTGCTGCCGGAGATTTGCAGAAGGCATTTCCCCGATCGTGCACGTGAACGGACTGACAAGCCGTGTCCCGGCGAACTACTACAACGCTGAAAGTAAAAACAATTTCGGCGCGGGCGCCGGTGGAAAGGGCGGGTCATCTGGCAAGAATGGCTCCAGTAACCACTTTGGCGGGGATAGTGGTAGTGGTGCTGCTGGTGGGGGAAACACTAGTGGTGCTGCAGGTGGGGGAAACACAAGCAGCAGCGGTAAAAGTTCTAGTAGTTCAAGTTCTAGCTCTAAAAACGTGACGCAGAGTAGTTCGCTTGTTCCACCATCATCATCTGGTGCAACACTAGGAACATCAAACGAAGGAGGTGTCGCGTCTTCGTCGTCAGCTACTTCTTCGTCCGCTTCAGGGACCACAACTTCTGGCGCAGCGGCCGCGGGCGCAGCAAATCTTTTCGAAGGACAGCACCAACAATGCTGGTCAGGAGCATATGGGGGTGTGAGGATTGAAATCGACAAAGTTCAAATAATTTGCAATGCACAAAACGCAAGACACGGAGTGACTGTGTTGCAGGTATTGCAAGAGAGGCCAACTGTAGCCCTGTTTGGGGTTTGAAATGGAGCTGCTGAAGTAGCATGACAAAAGCAGCCTTCTGTGCCTAAACAGCATGACAAATTGGATTTCAATGCTGCCAAAATTTGTCATGCGCCACTTCCAAACTGGATCCCAACTGGTATCGATTTTATGCAGCACAAATCATTTTAACTTTGTCAATTTCGATCCTGACACTTCCATAGAGCATCTCCAAGCAGTACAACTTGGAGAAACTACATTGGCGGGACGAGCACTGATATCGCTTCTGCTTATCCCATGGGAAGAAAAACGCTATGTGCTCCCTGCAGCCTCGTGGTTTTTTGATTTTGTTGCGCATCTTCAACAACTTTTCAATACATGCAGATGCAGAGCGGAACTTTTATTTTTTCGCTTAACCAAGAACCTATTGCTATTTCGATTTCCTTTCACGACTTGGAGCCTCTGCCTCATGCGCATGCCCAAATAAAGCGTGATGAAGATAATATGAATTGGCATGCAAGAAAAATGTCATCGCATGAGGACCAGCACACGAAATAAGGCAGGACGATCATATCGCATGTTTTTTCATGGCATAGGTACAAGATGAACCGCTCCTCGACGGCGCCAGGCCCCGAGCTGCCGGCCCAAATGACCAGTACAACTCCCGTGAGCAAGATGATGATGGACAAGGACGAAGGTTCGAAGGAACAAAAAAGGGCGCCGATCTGCCAGCAGTTTTTGACAACGTTCTATCCCCCGGAATGGAACGAGGAGAAGCAGGAGTTTGAGGCGGTAACGACGACAAAACTGTTCGCCATTGCCACCGCAAAGATTGACGGCGAGCAGGAAGAAAGCGAAATGTACAACGAGGAGCAAGAGAAAGATCGCGAACAGCCGGACTTTATCGTCTTGGAAATCACACCTCCTCACACCATCTTCGTGCAAAGTATGCGCAAGAAATCTTGAAAGAGCGCAAAAACACATCAAGTCGGTGCAATTTGCCTTGCGTTTTTCTTACATCAGCTGCAAAATGTTTACACAGAAGATGCTCTTTGGTCTTTGCATCCTTACAGGAGCACTTTATATTATTTCCATGATCTACTTACTACAACGAGGCTCGTGCTTTTTCAGACAATAAATTGCCGGGAAATCAGGAACCGCACTTACACTAGCAAGGCCCGGATCGAACAGAACACCGCGAGCCTCTCGATCGATGAAGACGACCTGTGAAAAAATCGAAAACAGTAACTGGAAAACTCCTCTTCACAGTAGAAATCTTAGCAAGTTGCTTTATTCATCTTCTCCGCGTACAAATAACAGCGCTAGAAGGGCGGCAGCTGCGTTGGTGAGCAGTTGCGAATAGAGCGGAGCGGGTTATTACAGGCACGGAAAGGTACTAAACTTGGCTTGCAGCTTTTCCTGCATTTCCTTTTCTCAGCGTTGTGATGTAGATGCTGTGCCAGGTTCGTTGAAGTTGCGTAAGCTAGCCTCCCCCCAATCATGATCCACCTGTTGATGTAGTGGAATTATGTGGCTCTTTGAGTTCTTCATACTAATTCTAGTTTGAGTTCCTATAAATACGTAAAAATGCTCATCTTTTTATTTTTTACGCTATACAGCTGTATTTTCATCATCTCTCTTTCATTACCAATTCAAAACAACTGATCAGATCTTTCCTTGTGGAAATTTTTCCGTCCCGCGTCGCCGTAGCTGCATCTCTGCGCTTTTTGTATGCATTGCATAAGTATCTTCGTGCTGGCTCGTACGCATTGCGGGTATGCATGACAAATCTACTTCGCAAGGTCCATGAGCATGGCAAACTCGATTTCTCATGATCCTAAGGAAATTTGTAATGCAAGGTGTACAGCTGGTAGTGGTACGTGTACGATGCAAAAATACTTTTGCAATGGATATCTCGCCTTCCCCGATGGCAAAGGAGCTGATCGCCAACTACATGTCGAAAAAGGTAGAAGATACAACTTCGGAGCACTTTATTCGGTAATGATAAATGAAAAAGATGAAGCTGAACAGCCGGACTTGGTTGTGTAGCCACTTTGCCTTTAGCTCTAAATATAGTAAAGTTTTGTAGTAGTCGCAATGGCATTTTTGCAGCGTTTTCGCAGCGAGGGACTTTTCTTAAAATATCACTAGTAAGGGTGAAAAAGGTTGTGTATACGCGTGCCCACCTTGACGTATGAATACAAACAGGAGTCCCTTTGCTTTATTTCCACCTCGACGCATCATGAGTTGCTTCATTTTTGGCAAAAATAAAGTAAATTGGAGCGGCGAGGAGTCATTGAGTCAATAAAACCCATTTATTCATTTATTTTCTGTATCCTTGTTTTTTCGAACTGCGTCTGCGGATGATTTTCTTTTTGCGAAACGACAGTGCTTTCATTCAACTGTGTTCTTTTGCAGTACTTTTCTGTCTACCTTTCAAGTAGTAATGAGCGACTATTGGAAGTAACACGAACGAAGCCTACCGAAGCCGAACTCAACGACAACGGCCACAGGAGCATATTGGCCAGCTTGCTTTGTCACTGTTCTATGTTTTGGCGCCGCAAGATGTGGCGAAGATAGGGCCCGAGTGCTGCAACTTTTGTGTTCATGATGGGTTTCAAGCGTTTTGCCTGCGCTTAAAAAAAATTACAAGAGTATGAGCTTTTTATGCCCGTAGCCATTTTGGCTCAAGGCATTCTTTTATGTAAACACGGTTGAAACACTCTTACCGTGCCCGCCGCTTGTGGGAGCCCACGTTGGGCCTTTTTGCTTTTGTTTACTCTTTGAGAGATGAGTGTAATTCTCAACTTCACTGTGAAACACACAATGTAGTCTGGTCTGCGTTCGTCTTGTCTCCGCTGCCCACCTGGGCGGACTTGATTCTACCGTTTGTCTCTTCTCTCCCGAAGACGGTAATTTCCGAGCGTTTTGCTCGCCTCCACCTGAGGCGAGATGGTGGCCGACACTACAGGCGATATAGAAATGCAGACGAACAACGCCGGCGCCGCCGCTTCGTCTTCAAAATCCTCAGCACAGCAGCAGGGCCTGCTATGGGAAGGCTTCGAAGCAGTTTACTCGACCACCCTCGACCCCGACGTGGATGTCGAACCCGCAGGGGCGCTGCGAGAAGGAGGGTATGTACTTGGCCAGGTCCTGAATTTGGGTCGAGATGCGAAGACCAAGGAAGTAACGAATCAGTATTTCTTCGTGCAGCCGGTGGGAGTCAGACGCGTCGGCAGATGGTTAAACGTTCTGAACGAGAAGGGCCGGCCGGCCGGAATCTACTCCTCCAAGGGAAACGTTCGCCAGGGTGTTGCGCTCAGCAACATCCGACCAGGGCAGCACATCTTGTTTCAGATCGACGAGTATACGCGCCCGAGCACGGGCAGCAGGTCATGGATAGCGCGCGACATCATCGCTGTTACTCGGGACGGAAACCCGCTGGTGACGGGGAGTGGCAGCGGCTCGACCAGTGCTGCTCCATGGTACAACAACGGCCTGCCTGCGGAGGGGCAGCGAGGTTTCAGCATGCAGGTGGACGACTTTCCGGCTCTCCAGGGATCAGGACAGCATCGCGGATCGGCACAGCAGGAACCGGCCATGACAGAAGAGGAAATCAAATTCTACATCGACGCGCAGGTGCTGACTCGCGTCGAAAAATACAACAACTCACGCATAACCGACCTCGAGGAACTCGTTGGCAAGCTGAGGGAGGAACTTGCTGCTCACGGGACGACCTGCGAAGGGCTGCAGAAGAACGTCGGGGCATTCGCGGATCGCTTGAGCACGGTAGAACAGGACGCGGCCTCTGCGTTGACGCTCGTAGCCGAAGTGCCGAAGCTAGAGAAGCGCGTCGCAGCAACCGAAACAGGACTTGTCACCCTGAAGTCATACGTCCAGACCAAGATGACGAACCACTTCACGCTGATGATGCAGGAAATCAACCAGGTATTTGAGTTGGCCGCTGTTTCTACTTCTAGCGTTTCTGCTTCGTCTTCTAATATCTCGGTGCAGACAGATCCGCCCGTGAAGGCATCCGCATTTCGCACACCTCCGCAGCCAGCACCTGGTTTGCAAAAGGGGGCTATTGGCGGCGCGAAGTATTTCCCGCTCTCGGTATTCGAGAGCGAAAGCGACAATGAAGACGATGATGATGATAGTGATGACGATGACGTTCTTTCGCACATCACAGCTCAAGATCACCGACGAACCGGACGACCAGGCTTCTCCGCAGAGCGAAGTCAGCGACATGAGCCCAGTATCAGCTGCAGAGGGATCAAACCCGCAGGAGGAACCACCAGCGGCGACGGGGGCCCCTATTTCGAAAAGGGAACGGAGCCGCAGTCCCTCTGGGCAGGTGGAGAGCAAGGCGAAGCGGACAGCTGCAAAAGGGTCGGGGGGCACGACCAGTGGTCCCGAGGCCGGCGGGGTTCCGGCGACGAGCCCTGGTGCTTAAGCAAGACGACTCTCTTCACGGTGCTCACATTTCTTCTTACCATCATTCTGCTCGGAAATTTCTTCTTCTCTGCGTTTTTCGGCATCTCCGGATGGAAGTACACCACAGACCACGTTTTGCTCTCGTTGTTTACGGATCGCGGAAGGACATTTTGCTCTACATCGAATTGCGACTACATTTCGGATGACATCTCTACTACCAGCTGTTTTGTCGCGACCTGCTGCAGTCTCATCGCGGTCGCCGTTTCACAACTCGCGTGTTTGCGGACAAAGAGCCGCTTGCTCCGTTTCAGCGTCATCTTTCAGATCTACAAGTTTGCTACTGCAGGAGCAAAGTCGCTGCGCGTTTTTTGGAATACCTCACTTGCAGTACCGGCGTGCCTCGGGTGCTGTTTCGACAAGTTTCTCACATTCAGCTGGAATCTGTTCAGTAATCGTCTGCGAAAAACGAAATGTTACAGAAAGAAAGATAAGAAGTTTCTAGGGGCGGCCGGGTCTTTCGGAGCGCGGTTGCTCCAAGTCGTTCTGTGCATCTCGGACCACCTGCTGGTGTTTGCGGTCCCACCCGACGACACTGCGCTTTTTCGGGTCTCGAAATACCGGCTGCGCTTCACGGAGGCGCGCGCAAATCGGGCTGCAGAGTACGAGGCGCTGGTAAGTTCATCTTACCGGGAGGTAATGTCGCGGGCGCATGAAGCGCGGCAACTCAAACGTGAACAGGCGGCGGCGGCAAGTTCGTCGGCTTCTTCGTCCTCATCCAGCGGCGCGGCCCCGCAACTAGATTCCGTCTCTTCCCCTCCTGTCCCGACCACCCCCCCACGCAGCCACGCGTCATTTAACCGTCCCCGATGTCCGGATTACGGCGTTTTTACCCAGCCGGCGACCACGGGTGGCACGCAGATACGCATCACGACGCAGAACTGCCGCGAGAGTATCATTGGCAATCGCGCGCGCGATAAGATAATCCGCTCCGCTCCCGACGATGAAGACTACAACGTGCTGGCTCTGTCTGAGGTGAACTGGGGGAAATCCGCCGCGGGCTTGGAGGGCGTTTTAGATATCTCGGGCGACATTATCCAGGATCGGCTTCATAAGGGCGGCGCAGCGAAAGACGACGACTCCGACCCTGGCGACGCGCATGATCGGCCGGCAGATACGAAGTCCTTCATCACCAGGGGGCCGGGTTTTATCGCTTGCATTGGTCACGGGGCGGGTATTGTGGTCCGAGGGGGGCCCATTTTCGACGAGCTTGTGGTCTTGACAGATGAAGCACTTGCTGAGCGATTTCTCGTCCGGGACAGAGTAGTAGTAGGGCTCTTTAGGCGTCTGACCCTCCTCTCGGTGTACGGACCTGCGGACAGCCCCAAGGCCAGCGCTGCGAACTTCTACCGACCGCTGCTGCGATGGACGCGGGCCTTGCTTCGCAAGACCAACCGCCGGAACATCCCCTTCATTCTGGCAGGGGACTACAACTGCCACATCGGAGCGGACCAGGAGGGGTTTGTGGTTGGGAAGTTTGCTTCGGGAAAACGGTCAAACGACAAAGGGGTGGAGTTGGTCAGCCGCCTGGCCAAGCATAACATGCGGCACGTCGATTCCTTTTTTGAAATGCCGCAGCCGCGGCACACTTACCTCCGAGAGGGTTCGGAGTCCGAGATCGACGGTTTCATCACGAGCGGGCGTTTCTTGGGCCGGGTCGACGGCGTTAACGTGTGCAAGCACCTTCGGGACGTGACAACGCTTCGGTCCGGCAAGGATGGGCAGTTTTGCCACCACGACTTGGACCACTACGGGAAGACCATAACTCTCACACTTCCGCCCGACGCACACGAGGAGGAGCAGCCTTCGAAGCAGCGGGGAGGCGGCTACGCCGGGGTGGCCCCCGTTACCCAGGACTGCGTGGCTGCGTACTCCGCGCATGTCAAGTCCGAGTTGAGCCAGCACGCGAACACGCCGACCACCCTGGAATCATTTTTACGTGCGATGTCATCAGGAGAAGCAATAGTTTTGGAAACTGCGCAAGAGCGAGGTCTCCGCTTGGCGACATGCAAGAAGCACGCGAAGGTGAGACAGCAGGAGGCGCCGCCAGCACTACAGCAGGACACCAGCAAACCGGCCACGGTGCGGGCACTGTGGAAGCACATCGGGAGCACGAAGAAGTCGCGGGGGCCTTCAACGGCTCCGATGGGTTGGTCGAAGCACTACGTAGAGAAGGTCGTCGCGAAGCAGCAGCCGTGCTCGACCTTCAACGCCTCGGAGTTCGTCGGCCGTGTCTCAGACTCGAGTGCTGCGGCGCTAGATGCGCCGATAGCTTTGGAGGAGTGGAAGGCGGCGGTTAAGGAGGTTCGCGCGGGTTCCGATTCCCAGTCCTGGAGCAAAGAAATTTTTACCGCCCTCGACGACGACCTGACCCAGTTGCTTCTGGACTTGCTCGCGCAGGAGCTGCGGGCGGGGAACGGCCTTCGGGGCATCGACGAGAAGTTTAGGCGCACGAGGGTCTCGCTTTTACACAAACGGGGGCGACGGGACTCGTTGGACAACTACCGGGGAATCAGTGTGGTTCCGTCACTCTGCAAAGTTTTGGCGCACATCATGACGCGGCGGCTGCAGAAATTAATCTTCGACGAGGATTTGGCGGACATTGAAAACTACGGATTCGTTTCCGGGCGCAACAGCTCCGACGCTATCGTCCTCCTGAGGCGATTGAAAGAAGACGCCGCCGAGTTCGCCGATTTGGAGCAGTTTTGTACGGTCTGGGCCTCGTGCCTGGACTTACGCAAAGCTTTCCCCTCGCTTTGCTGGTCTGTGACGCAGGATACGGTGACCGCCTTAGGGATCTCCGGCACCCTGGCGTGGTCCGCTCTAGCTTCGTGCCATCGGGATGTCGTCTGTAGGGAGGTGCGGGAAGGGGTAGACTTCGGTCTACCCCTTGGCCTGCAAGAGGGGTGTCCGTCCTCACCGTCCTGTTTTAGTTTGGTATACGCGGTGGTCTCGACCGCAGTCCGCCGCGCCCGTAGTAAACTCCCCCCCGCTGCGCCGAATCTGGATAGTTCTGGTGTTCTCCTCAAGTACCCCACTGGGGATTTTTTCGCGGCCAACGAGAAGGAGAAGCTGGAGTTCCTCCTGCGACCGTCCCAGCAGTCGTCGTGCGGACAGACCCGGCTGGGGACCGTGAAGTTCGCCGATGATACCAACTCGTTTGGTGAATCGGTCTCCGGGGTGGTGGACCGCTCGGTGGTGGATTCCTGTTTGAACGTGTTAGCCTCTGCCCGCATGGAGGAAAATGTGGACAAGCGCATCGAGGGGCAGTTGGACCAGCTGGACTGCGGGTTTTTGGGCGTTTCGCTCGACGACACCAAAGACACACGGAATCGCATCAGCAGATCATGGAAAGCTTTCTACGGTGCTCAGCGGCACTTGGTCGGGTTTGGGGAATTGAATAAATGGCACAGACGAGCGGTGGTAGTTGCTCTGGTCCGCGGTACAATGTTGTATGGGGCGAACGGCCGGTCTTTTTCGGCGCAGGAGCTCAGCGACCTCACTGCTGCTGACAACGCGATCCTTCGGCGGTTGTTCAATCTGTCCCTGCCCCAGATGGAGGTCATGAAAGTTTCACACGGCGACCTGCGGGAGCACATCGGCGTTGCGCCGATCTCCGCGGAGATAGGTTATTCTAGGCTGTCACACGGGGGGCATCTGTTGCGGCGCGACCGGGACTATTTGCCGCGCAAGGCGTTTTTCGGCCGTTTTATTATCAGTGCTGTGGACCCCAACGCGACCCCGGATCGCAATCCCGAGATGTTCCTCCTGCCACGACGCCCATCGCGACTACCATCTGTGTACGAGTCTTTCATTGAGGCGTGCGCGGCCGCACGAATTCCAGTCCAGGAGCTTGCCGGGTTTGCAGTTTCGGAGACTCGCAGGGATTGGTTCCTGCGTACGAGGTCGTGGTATATCGATGCCACGATGCAGCATTGGTTTTTCGCGTCCTGGCGTGACGCACTTTCGCAGCCGCGCGTTTTAGTTGCATATGAGCGGCTTTTGAAGAAAAACGGAATTTCGCGTGAGGAGTTTGATGCGGCGTACGGCGATCGGGCACGGGTCGGCAGCAAGCGGGCGACCCTCAAAGTGACTCCGAGCTTGGCGGAGCTGCGTGCGAAACAGACGGTACTGAAGGGCGAAATTTCGGAGCGGCAGACGGACGAGCTTGTGCGGAACTCGGGCGGAATCTACACTGCTTGCAAGGACGGAATAGGCGCCCTGTGGTGCAACCAGTGCGCGGCGGCGCTTGGTGGATCTTTGCGGGCCCTGCGTGCCCACCTCAAGTTGCACCAGGAAGACGACTTCGTCCGCATCGTCGCGGAACGCGATGGGTCCTACACACCGGCCGAGGAATTCGCGTATGGGAGGTCGGGCCAGTGTATTCTGTCGAAATACAAGCCATCGCAGCGCTTTGTGCTTCCTCCGCAGCGGTTTCTCAACGGGGCAGAGGCGTCGAAGTTTAGCGCCCGACAGCTGATTTGTCCGCACTGCGCGACGCACTCGATATCTTGGCCGCGCGATTTCCAGAAGAAAGTTGGTGCGTCCCGACGCATGAAGACGCACGAAAAGAAGTGCTGCGCGCAAAGAAAGCTCGATTTGAAATGCGATCCGATTCTTGAAGAAGAAGATGAGAACGACACTAGTGACGTTGCGGAGAGTTGAGGAGTTCGATAAATTGGTAGTCTTAGTACACGACGAGCCACGATGTGCGAAGCTGCAGTGACAAAACCCCGAGATGCAGCTTGAAACGAACTCGAACCCCAACCCCTCCGCACGTCCCCCCCTAGTGCAGGATAAATGATGATGATGATGATATACAGATAATAGTACCCTTCTGAAGATCAAATACAAGCGCCGTCCCGTTTGTGGATTGTGCCTTTATTTTGGGGCAGAAAAACCGCACAAGTGATAGCGAAACTCAAATTTTTGTAAGAAGTTGACGTAATTAATAATAGGTGTTGGTGTACTCTTGAAGGGCTCGCCTTTTTTTTTTAGAAAAGCAAACGCGTACGTTGCAAGCTTGATAAAAAAGAACGCGTATTGCCTCCTACTAGAGCGCCACGTCGGCAGCGAGGCGCCTGTTTCAAAAAATTGCGGACGAGAGTCAATCACAAGTAGCAGCCTGCTGATGCTCTCTCTCTCTCTCCGGTGAATGGAAAAGAACAACCGCTCCAAAGATATAAGAACCCAAAAAAGCTCTAGCTCAGCGTCGAGTTTGTGTTTGCCTCTCAAGAATGCGTCCACGCTTTTCACTCTTATTCGCGTAAAACGCAGCGCAAAGAAATGGATAATTAATTTCAGTCTCACCAACATCAACGAGGAATAGGAAAGAGAAAAGATGCCACTTTTAAGTTTAGTATAATTGTGTGAAGAAGTTTTTTCCTATTTCAGTCGAGCATGGAGCAACTACATGATCTTGCCGCCGTCAACATTCGACATGATTTCGATTTTCTGGATGTGCCCTAGCTACCGGTGTATTTATTTTTACCTTCCTACTCGCCCGTAGTACGAACAACTTTTATTCACCCAATTTTTTCGTATAATTTCGAAATCTGAAGAGTAACGAACCTGTATCTCAACAACAAACGATGAACCAACCCGTTATCATGTTCAAAGCAAAAATAGAAAAAATGTTGGGCTGAGAATTTTGCACCCACAAGAGTCTCATTTTCTGTTGAACACCCGTTGATGTTGACCTAAATGTGTTGGCTCTCCAGTAGCTATTGTACACATTTAAGTAAGTAGAAAAAAGTTGTATTCGGTCTACTTTTGCCTTTCGTGACTACAATCTGTAAACAAGTATGAAGATGATTTCTTGTTTCGTCGGTCGTCTTTCGACACTGAACGGTTGTTGACAACAACTCTGTGCAAGTCGTGTATTGGGTATAGATAAAGATAGGAGGACAAGATGGACGTGAAAAAATTGTTGGAGCAGAAGCTGCTCGCGATCAATTCGCAGGACAAGTTTCTCGAGGAACTCAAGGACCAGAAAATTAAGTTTCTCGAGGAACTCAAGGACCAGAAAATTTCGTTGGGTAACCAACGAGTCGCGGTGATCGACGAGCTGTTGAAGGTAGAGTTGCAGCAACCTACTACAACCCAGCATCAAGGTGTCCATCAACTAGGTGGAGCCGGCGGCGCGGCCGCTTGTTCCTCGACTACTACGGCGGCCACGCCAGTTGCGCAGTCGTCCACTTTTCAGCCGGTGTTGGCCTCTTCGACTGCAGGCACTCCTGCTTCCGGAGCTCCGATCCCGGTTGCTGCTGCAGCGAGTACAGGCTCGACGTCCCTTGCGGCCACGCAATTTATCACTCCAGTCTTGTTGTCTGAGGCGCCCCACGAGGAGGTTCTTGCCCAGAACAAGCAGGAAAGCGTCGGCGTTGTGGAACAAGCAGAACCGGCAGCATCTGCGAACAAAAAACACACGGCCGCGCAGTTCCAACAGAGCAGGTTCGTTTTCATTATTTTGAGTCTATCTCCAATTTCAATATTCAGCGGATTTTTCAAAAACCAAAACCAGCTAAGTACAGCTCTTTTCAATTTCAAGAAAACATTTTGATTTGCATTATTACGTCGGAGGTGGATTGTCGTGTAATCAAATTTTTTTTCTTGATGTCTCTGGTTGCTGCAACGAAGTAGGCAATGCCACAGAGAATCGATTTCTATTTCATGACTTTCAACATTTTGATTTTGAAGAATCGAATGAAAATAAATTGCATTGGCAGCAGCTAGGACTTCTACACACACAAAGATAAACAACTCTAAACAGTCCTGTGACGGTAACTCCACCGCATTCGTCCGTGGAAGATGGAGTCGCGAAGACTACTACAAAACAGACCAACGTTGGGGAAAGCGCCGGCCCATCCGACGCCGAGGATGATGATGCAGCGCAGAAGATGAAAAATGGAGCTGCTCAGGAGGTCGCTCAAGAGAATTCCCAAGAGATCGCGGGCTCAGCAAAAAAGGCCGCCGAAGCTTCAGCACCGGTCGATCAGCCTGCGCTGGCGGACGCGAAGGATGAGGCTGACCACGTAAACGAGGAACAGAACAAGAAGGGGGCGCCAGAACAAGATGACGCGAACCGCTCTGTTTCCGAGGATAATTCAAGCGAGAATCAGAGTCTCTCTTCTTCCGAGGAAAGTGAGCACGACGAGGATAAGAAAGATGATGAAGATCATAAAGTAGATCATCATCTTGACCGCGGCGGCGGGGGCACAAAAAATAAAACCAGCATTCTGAAGAAGCCGGAAAATCAGCGTGCGGCAGAGGGACATGATCAAGGTGAACAGCAGAACAATCGGAGGCGCGGGTCGCCTTTCCCAAGGAGGAGCAGGACCAACAACAACGACACCGAATCTTCTGATGTTGATGCCATTCCTCCGAAAAATCGGGGCAACGGGACAAAGAAGAAAGTGCAGATCGTCGTCGGTGCAAACAAGGACGGCCACAACTCGCACTCGGAGGACCGCGATAAGAATATGAACACGAGGAGACATTCGGCAGCCCATTTTTCTCCGTTTGATGCGAAAAACAAGCGGTCGTCTCCTGCAGGTAGGGGGGAGTCTTCTCCTTCGGTGGAAGACTACTACGGGGCGGGAAGTACCGACGGCGCCAAGCGCCGGAACAAGATGCGAAAAGTGGATTTCGAGAAGGATCATGACCGGCGCCGGGCCGGGGGCCAGCACAGCGACGACGATGATAGCCGTGAAGGTGGAGAAGAACAACGGAGATCTGACGACGATGAACACCGGGAGCACGTTGAGAACAAAGATGACCACCACAGTCGGAGCAGCAGTCTCGGCATCAGCCAAGACTTTGGCGAGGCCGAGGCAAGCGTGATTCCGCGACCCTTTCGAGTAGCCACTTTTGGCCGAGGGCCCCCGCGGGGCGCACAGAGGTTCCGTGGCCGCAACAACGATTTGCAACACCAGCGTGGTCAAAACCAACGCAACATTGTACCCAACAGAAAAAACCTAAAATCACATTCGTAAATTATGCAAAGGTAATGGTAATAAATCTCACTCTAAGTGTCTATGAATAATAACAGAGTGTTGAAATTATAAGCCAGCCCCTGCACACACCAGAAACAGCTTACTGCCGTTCCGCCGGGGCGGCCGATGACAGCTTTATTTTCCGCATAGTTTTTTGTGATATGGTTTTGTCTCTGTCGTGATACTTTGCTTCCGGGGTACAACAGCGGGGCAAGAAGATGAACCACGGCGCGCACCACCAGCAGCGCCGCCAAGGAGGTGGACATCGTAAAACTTTGGCCGCCCCGCCGCGGCGCAGCCGGAGTCGCAGTCCGCGCGCTACTTCGTCCCGAGATCGGGGCGCGAATAAACAAAACGGCATGTTGTCACAAAATGCTCGTGGTGGTCGCGATCGCGGCGGCCGAAATCAGGACCAGCGCAACAACAAGGCGGACTCTCGGGATCGACGGGCCGGGGGAGGAACCAACATGGAGCACAAAAATACTTTTAATCGCAGCAACAGGTCCCGGGACCACGATGTACAAATGCGCAATGACGGAGGACCGCGTGGTGGCTTTCGTGATCGCATGATGAATCAGAGAACTCAGTCAAAGTCTCCCCCGCCCGGTGAAAATAGCCGCGCACGAGATCATCGCAAGGATCTCAGAGGGGGCGGGAGGGACGTCGCGGCGAGTCCAAGGAACAAGAAGAGGTCCAATTCTCGTCCTGGAAGAGGTGGAGGTCGCTTCAATAGCAATCAAAATACTTCTTCTAACCAGGAGCGTAACGGTGGACCACGGCGCATGAGTCGAGAGCGAGATCGCCGCCGCGATGGGAAGTCTTCTCCTGGACGCGTAGGTGGGCGTGACCATGTCAAGGGCGCTCCTGCGCAGAGGCGCGGAGAATGCGGTGAACAACGGCGAGGACCAGATGCGGCATGCTCTCGTGATCGCTCCAGTGATTCTCAAGGTCGCTGTTCCAAACGACGGAGCACAAGTCGTGGTCGACGCGCAGGGCCCAACAGGAACAACGTTGGTCCTCGTAAAAATTCCAACGGCAGGCTCGACAAAAATGGGAAGCCGGTGCGGACTTTCGTTATCGAGGAAGAAGACAAAGCTGAGGGGTCGTCCCCCAAGGACAGCCCCGTCGGTGAAAGCCAAAGCGGAAGCAGGAGTCGTGGAGCATCGCCGAAAGACGGTACAGGAACGCGAGGACCGGGAAATTTTGGCGAAAGCGCACCCGTCGCGGCGGATGAAACCAACAAGGGCCGTGGACAGAAAGTGGAGGAGATGAACGGCAGCTCATCGTCCAGTTCTTCGTCTTCGGACGATTCTTCGTCCTCAGATGACGATGGAAAAGAAGCCGAGGCAGCGATGGACGCCGCAGTAGCTACCTTGAATAAACAGAGCGCCGTCGGTGCTGGTGCTGGTCGCGTTTTTCCGGCGACAAGCGCTACTTCAACAGGTGGTATTGATGCTCCTACTAGTACCACCGCTTCGCAGCAAGATGCAAACGTAGGATTTGATGTTGCGCAACAGCCCCAAGCCAACGCCGCCAGCGGAGGTGCGCCCGGGGAGTACCAAAATCCCCACGTCGGACCACCGGTGTTGCCACGAGTGGGATCTTCTAGTGCACCAGCCGCGGAAGATCATGCCGCGCAACAGGCACGGAAGGATAAAGAGCGGGCTGATGGCTGTACTTTCGGCACCAGGGCGGTAGCGCTGCGGACCCGAGCGCAGTGCCGACAGAAGTTGCGGGGCTCGCCAAACAGTCTGAGTAAAGCCGATGGAGACGGACAGCAGGCGGGATCCGATGTTGGGTCGGACGTTCTCCAGCGGCCTGCTTTTGTCCCGGGAAGCAAGAAAGATGGCGTATTGAATAAGGGAAGCGGAAAGCAATGGCTAGATGCGCCACGGCAGATGACACGAGCGCGATCCGTGCGCGCCGATCGGAAGGCCCGCATTATCACCGACTCCCGCGAACGAAAAGGAGGGGGTCGATCCTCAATTGCCGCCAAGACCAACCAAAATGACAAATCGCGGTCCCCTGATGCTGGGCGCGGCTCTACAGGGAAGAACGATATTGGAATGTCGTCCTCAACTGGAGGTCAGGAGACGAATAATAATCCGGCGGTGAGAAATTCCACCAACCAGCCGACTGGTACTTCGAACCGTGCCCGGGCCTCGCGAAATGACAATCCCGACCGCGATGAGGACTTGATTTCATCGTCTGAAAGCGACGGTGAAGCTGCCGGCGCACAGAAACAGGTGGCCCAGAACAAGACCCACGGCGGGGGCCAACAAACCGGCGGAATGGGTCAGCCACACTTTGCTAAAGCAGCTCCACTGGGTCTGGGTCCCGGAGCTGCAGTTGGTACGCAGCAGAACAACAGCATAACTGCACCTGCTGCGCAAAAAGCAACCATTTCTGCTCCGCCACCGATGACCGAACAAGGACCTCGACAAAATCAAGCTCCGGCTCTGATGCAAGGCCCACAGCCTCAGAATGCGGACAAGGCCGGTAGCGACTCATATGGCAGCAAAGACCCTTTGTGATTACCGTCGACAATGCACCGCGGCTGCTTCGCATGAGCATGAGAGGTGGGCGTGGGCAGGAGCTAGTTTATAATTATGGCTCTTCTACTACTATTTCTGCTACAGCTTTGGATTCTGTAATGATCACCACATGCACAAGAAAGGTAGTCCTCGTTGCCTCTGTTGCTGTTGTCAGCGCGCTTACTTACTTTCTTTCTTCTTTCGGGAACAACAGTAACGCGCCGCATGATTACATTTTCTACACCAGTGAAGGAGGAGAACTGGAGCTGTCACTGTCTCTGCTACTGTATTTTTTTCGAATGATGGAGCTCCCAATGATGCAGCTTCAGCGACGTGCTCTTGCAACATGAGAGTCGCAGTGCCGCGTCTGCGGTTTTTTCTTTTGCATAGTGCGTCGGGTTCTTCTTCGAGCGACGACGATTCCTCGCCCTCGGCTGACCAATTTATCTCGAGCAAAATCGCCAGCTCTGCAGGAAAAAAACCCACACTCGCACCTGCTGCATCGACTAGTGCACGCCCTTTGGTTTCCGTCGGCAATATAGTCAACCTTAGCGCGTCTATTGGCATTGGCGGAAAAGGCAAGATTGGAATGAACGCGGCTGGTCCAGTGGTCGTTCCGGCGCCTCCCGCTCCTGGGGTAGTTGTCACGGCGCCTGCGCCTGTCGTGGGAGGTCCGTCACCTGCACCTGTCTTTGGTCCGGCGCCTGCTCCCGGTGAAAATAAAACCGCGCTCACAAGTGCGAAGATGACCGTTGGTGCAGTAGCGACTTCTGGAGCGTGCGTTGCAGCAAACGCAGTCAAGAATCTCAACGCAGCGAAAATAACCGAGCAACAGAATAAACTACAGAAGGAGCAGCAGCAGGTGCTGCAAGGAGGAACACGACCAAAAGCAGTTGCGCCAGCGCCGCTGGTGGCAGCAGGTCCTGTTCAACAAGGCCCTCAGCTGCTGCAGACAGGTGCGATCGACAAGCAGAAGGTGCCATCACCTCCATCTGTAATTCATAGTGCTTTGAACAGCGACAGCACCAACAAAAGAGTACAACCCACAGAAGCCGCAAATGCGAATCCAAATGCGCTTCAACCACTAGTCAAGAAAACCAAAGAGGACCACGATATTAAACAGCATCAAGACGAGAAAAAGTCACCAGTTGTTACCGGACTTAGTGCAACAGCAACTGGACTTGCTCCATTCGCAGTACCCGTGGTGGCGAAGAAGGAAGTCGGAACTGCAGAGGCGGTTGCTGACAGGGAGTCGCAGGGGAGAAACGCTGCTGCTGTAGCGGAACTGCAATCTACTTCCGCAGGATCTGCGCCCCGGGCAGCTAGTACTGGTGAAGACAAGAAGACCGCTTGTTCGAAAGAACCGGAAGCGCCTTTGGGCCCTGATGGCACTAAAATTGTGATCGAGAAGCCCGAGCCCCTTCCTGTTCCTCCAGCTAGTTCAAGCGCTGGCTCAACGAGCACTGCCATTGCAGCCAGCAAGAACGATATTAAAAATGCCAAAGCGGAACAAAAGAATGAAGCAGTGGTCTTCGACGCGAAGCCGAGCACGGAGGCCCCAAGCCCAACGAACAAGCAGAATGAACAAGGCCCCTCTACTACGTCTGTTCGTACGGCCCCACCTCCGAAGAAGCCCGTAACTAATACGGAGCAACCCGGAGCAGGTAATGCGCAGACCACCGAGGACAAGAAACCTTCCGCAGACAAGGACGATGAAAAAGCGAAAACTACTACAGTTACACTTGACAGCACGACTTTCGCCTCCCGGGACGACGGTGAGCAGGCGAAGCAACTACAACTCGGAGCATCAACAAGCAACACGCTGACCAAAAGTGCGAGTAAGAAACCAGCAGGCACGACCAACATGGCTGCGGCCGCTGCTTCGAAGAGCGGTAGCCTTTGTCTTTCCAGTCTTGCGAAGCCCTGTAATATGGGAGAAAAGTCGGATGCTACGAAACTCGAGGACGAAGAACAGCACTGGGCGAACATTCAGACACCGCAGGTGAATCCTCTACAACAATCTGCGCACGTGGTCCCGCCCATGAAGATGGCGTTTGGAGGAGGTTTGGTGCCGCTCCCAAGCAGCAGAGCAGCGAAAGGCGGCGCGACGGCAGCCGCTTCGCCGGCCTTGGTATCGAAAACAGATGATGGGAAAGAGAAGGACATCAAGCTTAATACAGCTCTGACGGAGAACAAGCTGCAGTCTGGTCCTGGTGCTTCTAGTGCCGGCGCTGAAAATCTTAAAGTGGGTAGTACTTCTGCGGCACCTGTGGATGTGTTGGAGAACAAAGACAAAGCGAAATCTCCAGGCGCAGACCCCGAGTCGGGTAAAAATCAAATTCAAACGATAGCTGGTGGACAACTTGTCTCGAACCTTCCAGCCACCTCTTCTACCCTGACCAAGCTTCCGGAGGAGGATAAGTCGAAATCTTCCACCGTTGGAAAGCAACTACCAGTGGACAAGAATATTCCACCGTTGACGACTCCGGACTTGAGTAAGGATGACAAAACCACGACCTGCACGACGTCGACGCCAGCAGTAGTGGAACAGCAGAAGGCTTCGCCGCCTGCTCACGCGAAACACGTGCCGAAGCACACAGCAAAGGTTTCCGCGGCCGCTCCGATGCTGGGAAAGACCAACAACACGGCGTCGACGTCGTCGCCGGACGTGCATAATAAAGTGCAGGAGCAGCTACCGGTCGGCCAAGCGGTCAGTAAGGCTAAGGCAGTTCCGGGTGGATCCAAGAAGCCTGGCGGGCCCCTACTTGGGAGCGAGGAGGTCGCCGCGACAACTGGTGCTGGAGACAAGATGAAAGTAGAGGCCACTTCTACCTGCGCAGGAGGACGCACGGCACCACCAGCTCCGGCAGCGCAGACGGGCAGTATTGATGAAGTAGACTCCGCGGTGGAGAATAAATCGGGAAATAAACCGGCGACAGTCAAGGCGTATAAAATTTATAAGCGGAAAAATCTTCCGCTCCTCTGACTGATTACCGCATGCGTGTTGTAGTTGTAAGTTTTCTTATACATCAAATAGTGCAAATAGTACAAGAAATAGCAGTGACTTTTTTGAAGCTCAACACAATAAGAGTGGCGGAGGTGTCCTCCGTGATGTAGTGTTATTTCGCGACGAGAATCACAAGAAATGATGTCCCAGTGATATACTGAACTGAATGAAATACTCAGGGTCCAGCCAGGTCCGACGTCTTCGGGCCTTCAGCAACTTCCGCAGCAGGCGCAGCCGGCGGACCGGAAAAACAGCAACGACTCCTTGCGCGGCGGGACGAACAAGGTTAAGAACAAGGACCATTGGGGCGAGCCGATGAACAGCAAGCCAGCCACGATTGGCTCCCAGCTTTTCGGCGCTAGCGCACCGGGCCCTGGCACAACCACAGCTCTTGGTACTAGTGCTCAGCAGCCGGGCAATCCGTTTGGTCAACAGCAGAGAAAGGCTTCGCACGAACTCGACGACATGATGGGCGGCGGAGCTGCTGGTGCGATGATGGGCGGCACTGGTGGTGATACCAGCAATCAAAACATGATGCAGAACTGGATGAGTCAGCAGATGGGCGGACACCAGTATCATGGCAGTCAAGGTCCTCTTCACCACCAGCAAGCGGCTGGCTACAACATGCAACAGCAGCAGATGCACCAGTATCCCTCCTGGGGACCGGCAGGAGGGGGAGGCGGCAAGGGAAACAACAACTATCAGCAGTACAATAATTCTGGAAATTGGGGTGGCGGTGGAGGCGGAAAGGGAAACAACGGAAATAATTTTCGTAACAACAATTGGGGTGGCAGTGGCGGAAATCACGGAGGCTTATCACATCTGCAAATATGTCTGAGTTTTCCAGGAAGGTTGCGAAGGCTTTTGTCATGCGCATGCTTGTCCAACTCCAACATGACTGGAGAGTTTGCGATCGTCCATAGATAAAGCAATAGGGGCATGACCGCATTCATTTTTTTCTGCAAAAAGAAAAACGCAGGATGTCAACATGTGGCAATGATTATACGCACAACGCAGGAGGCCGTTATCGTTATAGTTGTCTGGGCGTTTTTTCAGTGCGTTCATCAACATTCGAAACAAACCACGTACGAACATTTTTCCAGCCCCTCCAGACGCAGACATATTTTCAATGCATAGGGCTATGGAGGTGGTGGCGGGAACAACAATCATAACAACTGGGGCAATAATGGCGGTGGACATAACAATCGCGGCGGCGGAAAGGGCAAGGGCAAGGGTGGCGGAGGCGGCGGAGGCGGGAGCGGTGGAAAGAACAGAAACAACAATAACCGAAACAGAAACAACTACGGAGGAGGTGGGCGGAATCACAACAACAACAACAATCGGGGCGGCGGTGGGGGATACTAGAAGTACGGACGAGCAGTCAACGCCGTGGCTGTCATCTTTTGATGATGCAGCTGGCTAAGTAGCAGGAGCTCGCTTGTATATTTCATCTACTTCGACAGCTTTTAATTTATAAATATTTTGGAAAAATAAAATGAACCTCGCAGTGAACGTATCTATTCTAAATTATCTGTTTATACTAAACTAAAACTCTGCATCGACGCCGGGGGTGATGTGAGCGGGCAGGATGCGATATTAGTATACCTCGGTGCTAAGAAGTCAAGAGGTACTTTGGAATGCTAGTTTCAATTCTCGCTGCTCAAAACAACTTACAATATCTTTGGACTGTCTTGTTCATCAACCTCAATCAGTCTACCGTGTCTGCTCTGTTGTTGTTTTTTTTGCCGTCGAACAAGGTATTGAAAGTTGTTTTTTTTTTGGACCTATGATATTCGTATGTGGTTATCTGTTGTATTCTGGTTTCACGGCTTTCAGTGGAAGATGAAGCCAAAATCTGTCTTCGCTCAGAAGTCCTGGCAGGTGATTGGCCGAAAGCGAGCCGACGTCCACTCAGAGGGCTCGTTTTTGGTCAACAGCATTTCTACCTTAAGAGGACGCCAAATTACGAAGAATGTAGATTTTTTTACGGGAGCCGAAGCAGAAGGAGATGTTGACGGCAAATTATTTGGTCGTGACGTGCTCTTGCGTTCATGGTATGTACGGTGGGGGCTTCAAGCCTGCAATAAGACGATGCGGAGGTGGTGTGTGAAATGCAAATGCTTTATTTTCTAGAAATAAATGCCTATGTCATTTGGGAAATAGGTATAGGACGAATCACGGTGCAAGGAGAAGGACAAGCTTTCAGACAAAGCCAGAGATAGCGGAAACAGCACTTTGCAGGAGCTTATTCGCTCCACTAGCACTACAAAGATTGATTTGATTGCTACGACCACGACACTCACACTGCGCACACCCCTATCGATATGCTCCGGCTGCAGAAAAAAATCACCAGCAGCGAGCTGTGCGAGCAGGGCCGAGTTGGTGACTACAACTTACTACTAAGATCGGTCGTTAACAAAGTAGAAATCGAGGACAAAACATTATTTCAGATAGTTTTGCTAGTACTGTTACCGTACTACTTGTACTACGGCAAGAAATAAATCACGACTACGACGGGGTTGATTTGTTCCGCCCACGGCGACATATTACCTTCGATGGGTCACTACTTCTTCGATTGTACAACAAAATACAGCTACTGCAAAAAACATCTTCTACTTCTTGTAAGAAATGAAATCAAGAAGTAGTACACCAAATTCAAGACCCGTTTTGTTTTGGCTTTTTTGTTTTGCGCACCATCCATGGATGATTGATAGCCTTTTCATTCTATGCTATTCCTTTTTTGGTTTCTGCGAAAAATGAAAAGCTGCCCATTATCCATTAATCGAAATAATTTCGATCTCGATGTCGGTTATTTGAAGGGTAGCGGAGGGCAGCGAGCGGTTTATGGAAGTTCGTTGTAATAAATACGGAGAAAAAAAATAAATGAAAAAACGCAAGAAAAAATTTTGCGAACACCACAGCTGCACCTCTTCCTAGGTTCCCGTGTCAAGAAGCCGAACATTTGTCGTTCGTTTATTGATGTTGTCCCGGTATTTAGATGGGCCGAACTAGCACCCTAACAATCCCTATCCTAGGGGTTCTCGTGGCATGACAATAACAATTACGGGCAGAGTTTGACTACTTTTTTCAAACTCGAAAACGTGAAAAAAACAAAAAAAAACAAGAAAACTGATATATGAAAAACAAAGCTAAAGCAACGCGGCGAGAAGTGCTGCGCATCGTGGTCCAACGCTCTAGGTAGTTGTTGCACGGGCTACAGCACACGACCCTCGTCCCAACATCGTGCCTGTGAAGATTCTGTTCGTTCCTCAGAATCTTACGTAGTTTGGCAGTCTCGTCGTGTTTTCTTTTTCCGTTAAGCATCTATCAGCTTGTTGTAGTCGTGGGGTCGGGGATGGAATTTTGAAAAGTCACATGTTGAGAGTGAGTCATCAGCTCTCGGTATTGTCAAGCATGGTAAAAATATTACGTACAAAAATTCCCGACCACCAGGCTGTGGTTTTCGCGGTTAAAGTTATTGAAGTGAGTATGTAGTGATGTTGAGAGTGAGATGAAGCATTGAGTTTTTTTTCGGCAGGTGGAACGCACTCTATCAGTAGCTCGAAATTTTGGAACTAGAATTGGTTGTTCACGATTGACGGTTGTGACTACAGTTGTGTGATGTGAAAATAGAAATTCTACCTTTTTGAATGATACGAACGAGCTGAGAGTACAAGAGAAGAATTTAGTCGTTTCGAGACAGGAGCTGCTAGAGCAAAATTCTAATCCAATCGTCGAAAATACAACAAGGAAGACTTTTAAGCTCGTTGTAAATATCCAAAAATGGACGTCCTCCGTGATTTCTGTGTCCCGTTGTGTGGGTTGTCGGGTCTCCGTCCCCTGACGGCGACGTGCGACATCGGCCCGAAGGGGAAGCCCTGCTCGCAGAATGCGCAGGAGACCGGGTGCAAGGGAACTGTGACTTTCAAAATGGTGGACAACGGGGAAAAGTGTCTGATTGAGATATGCATCGCAAAAGGAAGTTGAAGTAGTAGATCATCGTAATTGTCTACCAGCAGTACGAAAAAATTGCCTTGTACGAAGAATACTAATGTTCTCAAATAAATGAAAAGTGGAATTTGTTGTAAATGCCGTCTTTGGTATAGAACTTCTCAGAGGCGACCTGCTCTGTCAACATGATGCTAAAATATTGCGATTAGTAGTGGGAGTACAAGTAGTACGACTAGACTTTTGCAATGCATACGAGTGGGATTTGGTCAATTGCGGAAAGGAAGGCTTGCACGGCTTTCACGTGCACGAGAAGGCGGACTTCAGCCAGGGCTGCGTTTCCGCCGTATCAAATGCAAATATGTCTGGCTCTGGAGGAGTGCAAGAAGAAGAACTTGTGATGCTGTCTTTGCATACCAAAAAAACCTGTATTGCATGACCAGCAAGAGCAGGAGCCCAGTTTGTTTGTGCTACGCGGAGGGGGCATTTCTCATACGGCATATGCATCAAGAGGCTCCTCCTAAAAATCTGTGAAGATGGGAGGCCATGCATTTTTACAGGCGTCATGGGTGCTGGTCATGCAAAATATGCATGACAAACCTGGCAATCTATTTCCAGATCCAGCTGCGATATTTGCATCTGATACGCGGGACCTCATTACAATCCCTTCAACAAGCAGCATGGTGGCCCACAGGACGAGGAACGGCATGTGGGAGACTTGGGAAATATCTACGTGGACAAGGAGGGAAAGAGCAAGGGCAGCATCAAGTATCATACAGAAAAAAGCCCCCGGCATGGCATATTCGCATAATAGAAAACTAGAAAATAACAAGTACTTTAAAAAATAAATCTACTTTATTTTTGCATGTCCTCGCCTTCAACTAAAGTGTGCGATGGGCTCGCCCATGACGGATTTGTTTCATCTTGTCGGTTTTCTTTGCTTTTGCACAATTCATAATTGAAATACAAATATGCCCTGGTGCCGGGTTTTTTTCTGCATGATATCAAGGACCACCTGATTAAGCTCTCCGGACCATACTCCGTGGTCGGGCGGAGTGTCATGGTACTTACAACTACTGTTGTGCAAGTAGAAGTTGTTGCGACACTTCTTCATCTTCTCAGATTGGTCATCTTGTTTACGTTGCCATTCGTGATTGTTTCTTCATTCTTTCTAGAACGAAGTCGAAGTCCTCGTCTCTTGAAAACTTAAATCAAGGTACACGCGGATCCAGACGACCTGGGGCGCGGGGACAACTCAGAACCGGTATGAACTGCAAAAGTATCGTACTAGTATCAGAATCAGTCGCATGCTGTTGACAAATTTTCTCAGCATGAGAAACGAAATTTGTGATGCGTGCTCACCTCAAGAAGGGAGGAGAGTTCTTGTAATGCATGACTACGATTACTACGAGAACGATACTTTTGCAGAGGATAGCCGGGCGTCAACGGGAAAACGTCGAAGACCACCGGTAACGCTGGGGCGCGGATTGGTTGCGGAGAAATCAAGTATGGTTGAAGTTCTTGTGCTATCCTGTGCAAATAAAGTTTCGTGCTCGTAGTAATTCATTGCAGTCATGCATTACACATATTTTTCCTAAGGTAAATCCGCATGACAAATTTGATTTCTCATGCTGAGGAAATAATTTGCAATGCATTTATACGAGTACGATAGGATTTTGCAATGCATATGTCCTGGAGAGTGTCTTGATAAAAACCAGCACATGCGTACTATCGATAATATCGTCGTTGAAGATCAGCCACGCAGTAAATCATAACGGGAGACGCTGTAGTAGCTTTGTCTTTGTGTTAACACTCACACTAAGAAGAGCTGCCTTCAACATGATAGACGTAGAAGTTGTATCCGAAAGAACAAGAAGCTACAACGTCACAGTTTACGGTAGAAGAAGCCGTCGCGACGGCGAACAGATCAGCATAACAATGATCTTCACAGCATCAATAAGGCTGGTGCGCGAAGGTCTTGTATTTGTAACATGTGCTCCCCGGGACCACAGAAAGTCCAAGGCCAAGGGTAGGTGTAGTCTACTGGTGCTCTCATCTCTTCAGAAAAAGATGTTGTCGCGGCGGAGTGGTGAGATCATGAATGATGGTACTAAGCGTATTATCCTGCAAACGGAAGTTGATGTCGCTCGTAGTACAGGGCGAAAATTGGCTCCAGCCTGCAGTCGCTTGTGGATGCCATATACTAGAAATACTACATTGAATTTGAAAATTGAGGCATCTCTACCAACCGCGTCGCCAACTGTGCTCTGTGTAGACCCGAGCCAGCATCATGCCTGTAGTTCAACAGTTCTTGACAACCAACATGCGACGACTAGAAATAATGCAAAAATAAACTGCTACAACGCCGCGGCCAGCACAAGAAAAATCTTCTACGGTGCGGACGTCCTAGTCCAACAGCACAACGTCAACGCGATTTGTAACGACCTCGTGAATAACAATAACTACGTCGATCAGTAGGAGTACGAAGGTCACCACTATTGCTCGCGCCGGAGCTTGCGCTGGTGGATGACTTGCGTCGTCGTGTGTATTGTTCGCGTAGTTCGTTATGCTCTTACTAGCTGTTATCCGTGTGACCGCAGTATTTGTACTTGAGCGCAGCCGTGCCGCGTGCTGTAGCAAGGGCCACAGACTCTAGAGCAGGGGAAGGGGGTTAGGGGGAAAGGAGGGAAAGGGGAAGGGAGCAAGCGGGGAAGGGGAACACGGAGGGGAGGGTGGATGCCCGAAGGGGGGGAGGCAGCCGGGGAGGAGGTGCCAAATAGAAGGAGAGAAAGCAGCAAGAACGGGCGAAAAGGAAAGGGCGAAGAGGGGCAAGGAGATGGAAAGAGGGAAAAACGCTGGAAAAGCAGGGGGAACAGCAGGCGAAAACGGGGGGAAATGCGATAAAAAGCGGCCCAGCCGGGGCGGAAACAGGAATGAATCGGACGGCATTGCTGGGATTCCTTGGGGTTTGTGCCTAACGGGCACGGGAGAGTCCCGGTAGAAAGATGGCTCCTCACCTGGAGTTCCCAGGCGCTTTCCGGTAAAAAGGCTAAGTGCGGCGTACTGCTTCACAGGCGGAGGCTGCCGATGCAAAATCCGTGCTCCACAGGAGGAGGAGGGGTTTTGGATCCCGGACCCGGGCTCGGGTCCCCCTTCCTCGAAAAGGGGACGCGGGGTCTTGCCTTCGGGAGGTTGGGTTCCCCCCGCCTCCCCCCCCGGACCCCGGGGGGGGAGGCGTCGTGTGTATTGTTCGCGTAGTTCGTTGTGCTCTGTATTGTTCCGTAGCCATTTTGGCTCAAGTTTTTCCACAGTTCCTTTTTGGCTCAGGGTTGGTAAGTTGTAAGGTTTCTGAGTTGTAAGGTTGGTAAGTTGATGTAAGGTTGGTAAGTTGTAAGGTTGGTAAGTTGTAAGGTTGGTAAGTTGTAAGGTTGGTAAGTTGGTAATAAAGATGATGTTGCAGGGTTGTGTCGTCCATTCTGTGCCTGAGAAAGGTTATCGTTTACTTTTTATTTTTTGTTGGCGGGCAGTGTCATTCTCATCTGTATTGGTTTTGATCTCTCATTGTCTCATTCTCTATTGGTTGGTATGTAGGTAGGTTGGTTCTATTCAGTGGACACTGGTCGCTTTTATTTACAAAATGCCAAGCAGGGTCGTGTTAGTATCGGTAGGTAAGAAGCATTGGCTATAGTAGGTACTTACGGTAGTTCTGGTTGGTAGGTTTTTGCGCCCTCTATTGTTTTCTTGGTAGGTCAAAGGTTATGCGTAGGCTAAGCATGCGTCGTCGTGTGTATTGTTCGCGTAGTTCGTTGTTGGAAAAAAGCAGGCAGCTTTTTCTCTTTGAAAAAAGCTGCCTCAGGGGGTTTTGTCAAATAGCAAAAGATGTCCCATGCAGCTTTTTTCAAATAGAAAAAGCTGTCTGAGGCAACTTTTGGTATTAAGGCAGCTTTTGCTATTTGGCAAAAGCTGCCTCGGCACTCCAAAAAGGAGTCCTTGCCAGCACGCTGCTTCGCCAGCTTGGCTTCGCCAGCTTGGCTCGTCGTGTGTATTGTTCGCGTAGTTCGTTATGCTCTTATTACTCGCCTGCGCGTATCTATGTATTCCGTTTTCGCCTGATTCGTTTAATATGGATAAATCTCAAACTTCGGGAAGTCGACGTCTGAAATTGTCAAATGGAGGGTTTTTGGCCAAGATTTGTTCTCGGAAAAGCGTCGGCATTGTATGGGTCGTGGTAAAAAAAAAGGAGGGAGGTATGGAAGTGCGCCTACTGATCGTTTTCTCAAAAAGGAGGTAAAACTTAGTACACCTCCGTAGCCGTGCGAAAATGAGTCACGCCAATTTCTAGATGGTGCTTGAATCGAAATCGAAATCGTCTGAACAAGCCCTCGCTGTTTTTTTGTAAGTTGTTAGTGCCCATCAATCGTGAGCAAAGCAGTATCGATGTGGGGTGCCGCGTATCTTCACAAGCATTCAGATTCACGAGCTCATATCAAAACGAAAACCCAAAGCAAGAACGAATCTTCTTCAGCGTCGTGACCTCATTGTCGACTGTCGGGGCCACCACTGCGCTGCTATAAAGCTGTAAGTAGTAGAGGCCAACTTGTGTTAATAAATGAAAATGTTCTCCCATCTTCTTCTTCACCGACCGAGGTTCTCGCCGTTTCTCGCATTTATTTTTGCGACGACCCCTCGTCTCCAGGAGATAGACGGTGGCCGCTGCGAAACATGTTGTCTTTGTCTAGCAGAGGCTGCAGCGAACAAGCGCGACAAGCTCAGGCCGCGAGCAAGCACTTCGCCCTCGTCATCTTCGAGCACAACGGAGATCGATTCTGTTTCTGGCCCAGCCCTGCAGCAAAGCGTCGAAAGCGGTCCTCCTGAGCCAGCGCCTGCGCTTCCTGCTACGTCACAAAGTTCTTCCGTCGAGGTCGCTGCCGGGGTGGACCAGTATGGGGTAGCTTTCCTCGAAGCTGCGCCTAGCAAGAAGAAGAAGAACCACGGGAAGTCAACGGACGGTGAGGCCACACGGCCACGCGACTTGGACTTGTTGGATGGTCAGCATCAACACGAGGATGGCCTTGACCTTGTCCTTGACCCCCATCTTCATCTCCGCGTGATGAATGACCAGTCCGTGTACTTTTCCGATGAAGCCGCAGAAGTTCTGGCATCCAGCGACGAGGAGGGGCAGCAGGGACGGGATCAACAGCAGCTGCCAGCGGCGTACGTCGAAAGCGGTTTTCTCTTCATGGCCGGCGCTACAACAGCAACAAGTCCACGATCTTCACAACAGACGGCGAGTGAGGGGGCAACTACCTTTGCGTCCATGTGCAAAAACGAGATCTGCGACTTCGTCAGGTGGAAAAACCCTATGGATTGAAAACGATGTGTCTCGGTCTGGAAGGTGGGTGCAAACTTGTAATCAGGCAGCAAAATTGCAAGAACCACATGACAAAAAGAAAAACTTGTGTCTACACAAAAACTTGGCTAGTTGCATCATGAGCGCCAAGAATAAAAGTTGTCCACTATTTACTGCTACGCGAATAGCGCATTTCTCATGCGGGATAGGCATCACGAGGCCTCTTCCGCCAAGCCTGTAATACTTTTGCGTGCACCATTCCACACCATTTGTGTGGTTGGGGTGGAAAACCTACATGACAAACTCCTGCATTCCGCCGAGAGTTTGCCAAACGTGTTCCGCCTACCTAGAGTTTGTCGAGTAGGTGGCGGTAACTAGTGCCGCTAGTAAGTGCCGTTTTAAGGTTTATCAAACAGCAGGGGCCACGCGGCCCAGCCGTAAAATTCCCAAGACGAGCATGTTGACAAACTTTCTGCATTTCTGTTTCTCCAGACCCAGACACGACATTTGCAGTTGATAAACCCTATTGCAGAGCAACTTCGGATCGCAAACGCAGAGCTCGCCGCGCGCGAATTTAACAGGTCGGGGAAAATCAGCTTGCAGGTCCTGCAGGGGGAAGTCGACCACTGTGAGTTTCAAAAGCAGAGCCTCCACGACGTCCCAGGGGCCGGGATTTTCTCCAGTGCTGACGTGCAGGCGGCGCTAGAGGCAGCAGCAGCAGGAAGTGGAGGCGCTAGTAGTAGAGCAAACAATTCAACAACTTCTGGACGAACGATAGAAAACAAGGCACAGCCGAGCTCTGTGCTGTGCGTCATTCCGAAGTACTATCGCTCCGACAGATCTGATTTCAGCTGGGTGGCAACTGTTTTCCCAGCGGATGTGGTCCGTGGAGATGAAGACAATAGTACTGCGAGGAGTCATTTAGTGCCGGCGCGTGGAGACAGGGATCTGCTTCGGCCCTCGTCCTCATCTCTTCGGCCGATGTACAATGTCGCGTCCGAGGGCTACGAGCAGGAAGCGTCAACCTCCATGCCGGATGGGATCGGGATTGCAACGGGGAAGCCGTTCCTCACCGTCGTGGACGAAGTGATGGCCCGGAGTCTGGCACGGAAATATTTGGCAGTAATCAAGCGCAGTCCAGTGAGCAATTATGCCACCCATGGTCGCGCGTGGTGGTGGTGGGATCAAATTGGTGTGCGAAACCCAGAGACAACGTTTGACCCACCATACCTGGACGAGAAGTACTACTCGCTGGCGCCTTCAACCCTGGAAGCGCACTCCCGCCTTCCGCCTTCTGCGCACTCCGATCCGGGGTGGGACTTCGAGAGATCATTCGATCTTTATGAGGAACATGGAAACGCGACCTTCCTCTTTCCGGGACCGGTTATCAGTCGCGCTTTTGAGCTGGTGAGACCCAGAATTGAAGACTTGACTTTTCCACGCCCTTGGGCGATTGCCGGGGCAGCCATTTACCATGTCGTTTCTGCGATTCTGTTCACCAACGCGCAACTGGCGGGAACGCTGTTCCTGGAACGAAAGGGGATTGATTTTGCCGGTGGTGAGCGTGCGCAGGTGGGCGAGGCGGGTAAGGGCTACAACAAGACTGCCGACGTCCGTCAGAACGTTGTGTCCGCGGCGCCACTCTCCTTCAAGAGGGGTCGGTGCACGGGGGAAGGCGAAAGTGTACGCATGTGGGACGTCGCAAAAGAATACGCACTAAAGAACGCCGGCCGCGTCGCGCACGGCTGGAGGGGCCGGCTTGGTGGCATGGTGCGCCAGGCTACGACGAGTGCCGTCACGAATCTGCGTGAGGATCTCGGGCCGGGTCATATGCCAGTGCTAGTGTTTATGGGATTTTCATTCTCAAACGTTACATCACTACTCGCTGTTACATTGTTTTTTGTCAACATGCAGAATTACCGTCAGCATCACCCCTCACACAAGCAAGCTACTTCGCATGACAGTGTCTCGACGCGCTTGATTGTTAGCATGGAGATAGCTGTAGTTGCATCGGATAATTTATTTTATGTAATGCAAGACACGCAAACTTCCCCCTTCGCCTTCCACTTTATCCTTAGCTACAACTCTTGCAGCACGGATTCAAATAACTCAACATGTAACAGCTATCGATGTAAACGCGTGAGAAAAACTCGATAGCGCTGGCAGATGTTGTGGACGTGACACACGTGGCGGAGATGCAGAGCAATGTCTTCCGGGAAAGGTTTTTGTGGACATCCTGGGCGGGGTTTCGGCGCCGGCTTCTCAACACCGAAATGCACATGCTGACGCGCTGCGAAAAGTGGGCTGATCGGCTAAACATTCGCGCCATACTGGCCGTCGAAGATGAAGACGTGGAGCACGTGAGAAACGCCGTCCGTGCGGCGGTGCGACTGGTTGCCAAAAGCAGTAGCACAAGAACGCAGACGCAGCCCATCAATATCAAAAGCAAATACGTCTGGGTCTTGAACTTGATGATTTCTGTCAGGCAGGTTTTCCGCGACCCAGACCCATGACATGGGATCTGGTATACAGCATCTATCATGACAGATTCCGTGGGACGAGCTCTGTTTATCACGCCTCTCCTTCATTACTAGAAACTGCCTCTAAACTTGTTCAAAAGTGGACAACTTTCTGTAACCATGCAACACAATTTTTTTTACGATGCAGTTGCAGACTTCGCATGACAAGCTTCCAGACCTAGACACATTTGCAATGCATACAGCCCAGTGCCGGAACCGGCAGCACTGGAGGAGGACTTGCTGCAGCAGCATCCGTATGAACTGCAAAAGGATCGTAGTAGTATAAATTGGCAATTTATTCATTGCATTACAAATTAGCCCAGCATTAAATATAGTAATGCGGAATTGCAATTACCTTGACAAACAGATTTGTAATGCATAACTACGATTAATACGAGTGCGATACTTTTGCAGTGCATAATTCGCGTCCTCGCTGGAGCAGGACTCGGCGAAAGAAGGAGTGGCCGGCGCAGCCATGTCTCACTCTGCTGAGGTTGCCGATGAGGAACTGGAACTACCCAACGAACCGCTGAAGTTTGTCGTCATGTCAGTCACGGAGGCGGACAGCACGTTGCACCTCTTTGAGAACCGGGGTACGAAGGAGTGGATCGAGGCTGATGTGCTGGCGAGTTGGTATGCGAAGCACGCGATTGATTTCGCGGCTACTGCCAGCGACAAGTAGCGACCCGCCGCCGCTCAAATGGAAATGTGGGGAGAACTTGAAGTAGAAGTAGAAACAAGCGAGCTGCATAGAGCAGTACTTTGAAACAATACTATATGTTTTTTCTTGTGCTGCGACCATGCATTCGAAGCGAAACTTTGTGTAATATTTTGCTGGCTGTCATGTTGTCTTTGCCACCTTTTACGTTTCCCGCACGGTGGCCGCGGCCGGAGGAGAAGGCGCGAGGACGTGCCTGCTCGTGTAGTGCTAGTAGTTCAAGAAATACTGGCTCTCACTTTATTTCGAGATGAACAAGAATGGAAAAAATGAAATAATAAAACTTGTACAAGCAGCTAATTCTGTATCTCTACTCCTGTATTTTTGAGTGACTCCGCTGTCACAAGAGGAACTCACGCCCGACGTTGTGGGAGGACCACAGGTAGGAGCCTAGAGAGCAGACAGTTTTTTTCCACCAACTGTGTCCTCTGTGCTGTTTTTATTTCTCTGTCTCCAGCAGCAGTTTCGGTTTCCAGTTTCGTACGAAGTCAAATAAACCGAAATTAGGCTTCACTCAGTTACCACACGAGAGGAGCGCCGGGGCAGATTGTAGGATGGATCATGTCGTCGTGCATCGCGTACTTGGTGTGGTGTTGAGCAGTATCGTTATTTCTGTTTTCCCTCGCACTTGCTGGGTGTCTGTACGCAGAACAAATTTTGGTCGTTGGGCAGCATAGAATCAATAAGGAGGAAAGAGAAAGAACAAGAAGAGGAACGCATCGCAGACAAGTACAAGCAATGCCGAAGATGATGAGACTCGCTTTCGCAACCGAGAAGGCGCGCTTCATTCCGTTTCCGACGGATGGAGTTGCCGTCGTGCATAATTCCACCCATAAGTCGGTAACACCTGCTACTCGAGCTCGAATTTTTAGCAACTACAGGCGCGCGGCCGTACGACCGTCATCAGGCTCGTCAGAGTGGTCAGAAAGTAACGTAATAAATGCAGGAGAAGCGTCGGTAATACTAATATCGCAATCGCAATGGGGGGATCAGATCGTGCTCCTAGCAGCCCGACACCGCCAGTATGGGATTACTCGCAAGCGTTTCGTTCTCAACTGTAGTTGCGTGATTTGTCATGGTCACACAGAATCACTATCACGCTTCAAACGAGCAAGCTTCGTCGCATGACAAGTTCTTCTTGACGTCGTGCTAAATTGCTTCATAACCTATCCGCGCCAAATCTGTATGATGCAAGATGCGCAAGGTCCCCCGCCCCGCCCTATCGCTTAATCTATATACTATAGGGGCAAGATATGCATTTGCTCCTCCCAAAGCTTCTGAAGGTTTGACCTTCTGAAGACCTTCTGACGCTCAAAATTTGATTTTCAAGCTTCAGAAGGTCAAAAAAAATAGTCGGCTACTTTTCATCTTTAAAAACGCAGAATTAGCTCGCGCAAATCAAATTGTGGCTCATTGTTTACAACCTTCAGAAGGTCTAGCCTTCTGAAGGTTTTTTTTCACCTTCTGAAGAATTTTTTCGATTTTTCGACAAAAAAACCTTCAGAAGGCCAAAAAATGACTTTGAAAAACCTTCAGAAGGTAGGCATTCTTCTGAAGGTTTGCTTCGTTTGATGAAATTGCAAACCTTCAGAAGGTTGCGAGTTTTTACACGCAAAAAATGAACAAAAATCGGAACACCTACAAAAACCTTCAGAAGACTAAAAATCTTCTGAAGGTTTTTCAAAAATTGTCTCGTTTTTGAAAAAATGCAAAAATTAAAATTCGCACACCTTCAGAAGAATTTGATTTGTCATTCTTCTGAAGGTGAACCTTCTGAAGACTCTCCAGAAGATATTACACAAATCGGCGCTTTTGATGCGCGCGAAACTGTTTCCTCGCCTAAAAAAGGCTTCTTTTGTGACAGCCAGTGCTCAAAAAATGAAAAAAACCTTCAGAAGCTCTTCAGAAGCTTCGCCGCTTTTTGCGTTTCTTGCGCGCAGCTGCTGTTTTTTTCCTGCGCAGACGACAAAAATGAATGTTACCTATAATTCGATGAAGCGCTTGTTGTTCTAGTTGCTTTTTTTTCATGGCTCGGAGCCTCCCGATAGAATAGCTCGGCGGAAAATTTTCGCTGGTCTTATTGGGGGAAGATTTTCGCTTTCGGGCCTTCGGCCGCGTCCGACGCAGCTACTCGACGAGGAACCGCTACGCCGCATCAGTCTGGCGATGGAAAGATAACAAATTGGAAAAAAAAGTGAAAGAAGTAAGATGCTCTCGATGAGATCTCAGTGAGATTGATTTCAGTTAGTCTCACTTTGAAAAAAGTGAGATCCCAGCGAGATCTTACTTTCTAAAGAAGTCTCACGGTCCGAGTCACTTCTCCGAGAGGGCCCAAAAGCGAGACTTTGACAAAAGTGAGATCTCGCTGAGCTCTCACTTTCTGAGCCATCGCACTTTTGGGCCGCCAAGTGAGATTTTGAAAAAAGTGAGAGCTCTCTGAGATCTCATTTTCTGAGAATTCTCACCTTTGGGCCGCCCGAAAGTGCCATTTTTAAAAAAGTTGTGAGCAGATCTCACTCCTTGTTTTCCGGTGCGGCAGTGAAGTTCTTTTTTCTTTCACAATCGACGGGAAGAACAAATACAATGCTTGCCCCACGACGCAGTCGTGGGGAGTGGTTCTTATTTGCTATTCTTGCAGCATCACAAACTCATCATAGCAGTTGAGAGCGCAACGCTTGAAACGCCATAGCCAGCCAACATCGGACCTTCGTACCGCTACGACATCCCGAGGCACAATGATGACGAGGAGAAAGCGAGTATCCCGTGCAGAAACTTCCCCGCCCCAGACGAGTTCGAGTTGCAATGCAAAGCGAGGACATGCCTCAATTTCTCTGTGTTATGCGCAACCCTATGAGGAGCATTTTCCAACGCTATTTTGGGACTTGTCATTCTGGAACCAGGATAGAGGCAGTCGATTTGTGATGCGGTTGCGGTTGCACTAGCTAAACAGGAGTAAAAAGTTAAGTACGCTAGTTGTACGAGCTCAGACTTGTCATGCGCAAAAGCCAAAGCTTGCTGCTTTCTGTAGCAAAGTCGGCATCTTGACTCTGCGGTCGTGGGGACCAGGTTTTCATACAGGATAGTGAGCCCGCTGAAGCGGCTGTATCACAAGGGCATCGCGGCGGGCTTCACTTACTACGAGAAAAGCATGGCAAATTTGCGCGCGAAGCTCTACGAAAATTTGGAAGGCGGTCAGACTGGTACTTTATATAACTACTCTGTTTGTAAGCAGGAGACTATGCGCCAGCTTTGCTTCTTTCTTATCCTTTATAACGTCGAGAATGAGATAAAGATATAAATATCCCGACAATTTTTTTTTATTTCAACCCAATAATTATTTCAGGTGTTGAAGAAGGCGATGGAGGGACTTCTACACGAGCCAGATCGGAGCCGCGGCGGCGTCGGATGGTTGCGATGCGTCGAGGGAGCGACACCGTAGCGGAGGTTGAAGACGAAGAGCTCCTGAGCTCATCTACTACCAAAAGTACAACTGGTACAACTGGAACCAATACCAACGATGCTGCGAAGATCAACCAGGAAAGAATTCCTGCGTCAAGTGACGATCTCGATAATTCGGAATCGTCCGTCTTGCGGCAGCGCAACAGGGTGACGAACCGGTCCAAGTCCCCCTTTCGGAGACTCCACACCATCACCGTCGCGGAGGATAGTATGGAAGTAGAAATAAACCACGACCCGGGGTCATCGTCAATATTTGGGGATGATGATGAAAAGGAGGGGGCTCTTCATCTTGCTGCTGGAGAAGAAGACGAGAATGATGACGCGGCGGAGCATATTAGAGGGTCGTCCTCAACGAGGAGGAGCCATTCGACTTCGCCTAGCGGTGGAACGACGACAAAACATTTTCAGAAAACTGTGCAGCAGGATGAAAAATTTAACGCCGAGTGCAGCTGCAGGGTTGATGTGACAATCGACGCGATTGACGTGGATGTGAAGCCCGGAAAGGAGTTTCCACTCGCGAAGTATTGCATCCAAGTCCTGTCCGACGCGGAGGAGTCAGATCTGGTTTCCCTGCGCTACATGCGGCGCAGGAAAGGGCTGCTGGAGGAAGACGAGGATTATGATCCTGGCGGGCCACCGCATGAGAGTTCTTCCTCTACTGATACAACAACGTCTGGAAGAAGTACCACGTTGGAACCGGTAGACACTGGGGCGTGCCTGCGAGTTGCGGACATTCGCACCGACATTGTGGTGTATCTCTGGGGCCCGAGCTACATTGCTGGCAGACTACGTCCGGACTATGTGGTGTGCATACCACTGGCTGGCGCGCTGTTGTCTGGTCCTGCTGCTTCCAACAATCTTCGAAGCAGTCTCTTAACGGGCAACATTCCGCCCGTGTCATGGTTGTGTAAAGGGATCCAACCCACCGCACTTCCGTCGACCTGGTACACTTTTTTTCCGGCAAGCTACCGCGTTGGCGGTGCTGTTATCAATTGTAAAAATGTCTGGGTCTGGAAGAGTCATGCTGTTTCTGCATGACACGGAAGGTCTGGCATGGAAGCTCTAGCATCACGGTTTTCAAGAAGCTTCCGCAATGCCGAACCCGCATGACAAATCCCCCATTTTGGTGACCGAAAGCGGGCAGCTTTTGCTACCCATGCATGAGAGATTTTTGTGTGTTCTGAAATGCGCATCACAGGTTACATCCTTCCAGACCCAGACATTTTTGCAGTTGATAGCTCTAGGCGGGGGAATGGCGCAAGATCGAGACTTATCAACTGCAAAAATGTCATCTGGGTCTGGAAGAACGCATGTTTGTCATGCTTGTCTGGCATGACTCTTAAATCTGTCATGTACGTTACCCAAGAGCCCCGCTTTTCTGTCATGCAGAAACGCAGTTTGTCATGCCGAATGCGAATAGGCGACACCTAGAAGCTCAGAAACTTGTCATACTGAGTCAGCACTTGTGGCCTCCTCATGATGCACTACGCAGCGTCACAGGTTTCCAGACCCAGAGATATTTGCAACGCATAAGACTTTACGCTAAAGGTCAAGCTGAAACTGGAAATTCTTCCGCTGATGTCGATAGTAGCGAGACAAGCCAAAGCCTCTAGTTTATCGAAGACCGCAGGATATCCAGGAAAAAAACTGTCAAATGTAAGTTTCTTGGAGGAATTGCATCACAAGTTTGCTCTGCATGACACAGAAAACCTGTCATGCGTAGCTAGCACGAGAAACAGAACACGTACGAAAATTGCCTCTGATGCATGTCCAGCATGACAAGTGTAACAGTTTTGCATTTTCTGCAACACACAGTTACACTTACACAGTTTTTTTCTTGCATACAGGAGCCGCGACGTGTACAACTATTTTCCGCCACTACCTGCGACCCGCCCCCACAGTCAGCGTCGACCCCTGGATATCCTGTGCAAAAGTATCGTAGGTACTCATAGTAATTGCAGTCATGCATTACAAAGCTTTTTCTTTAGGTAAATCCGCATTACAAATTTGATTTCTCATGCTGAGAAAATTTGTAATGCATTTATACGAGTGCGATCCTTTTGCAGTTCATACTGGAGCGCGAGCAACGAAAAGGGTCTTTCTCTGGTTATAACCTGCTCAGGTGTTACAATCTCAAACGTTACAATAGAATCTGAAATTTGTCTTGCATGACTAACATGACAGACTCGGACAGCGTTCCACTTTTTGCAATACAAATTTCGCCAGATTGTAGTGCGGATTGGGACTCCAGAACTTGTCATGCGCAATCCTGTGGGAGTAGGGTAGATCATGCACGTCTTGCAACACAAATTCCAGATTCTATTGTAACGCTTGAGATTGTAACACCTGAGCGGGTTATACTGGTTGAGGATGCGATCGAATCCCGGAACCGGCTGACGCAGCTACGCTTGCTATGCTGAGTAAAAACGTCCCCACCCCAGAGTTGTGATGCTGATTTGCAAGGACAGGAAGACTTGTAATGCGCATCCCCACGAGAGCCATTTCCAATCGTGTTTTGGAATTTGTGATGCTAAAAATAGGATGAGGAGCTGGCTTTCTGATGCGGCTGTCCTTGCGAAACTGCACTACAATTCAGAGGGGAACTTGTCATGCATGACTCCCAAAACTTCCGAGTTTGTGTTGCAGCTTTCCCATCTTGACTATGGGATGGGGACATTTTTCCTGACAATACTTGCACTGGCACTTGCCGCTCGAGGTTTTCTGTGACTTTGTAAAATGGCTGCGGGCGGAAGACGAGCGCGGTTATTTGCTCGGAGCTTCGTCTGATCATGTGGCGCCGTTGTCAAAAATCCACAGCAGGAGTAGTTCCTCTAGAACTACTACTACTAGCAGCAATGAGAATGATCTACTCAGACATGGACCGGCGTTCTTGTACTACAGGCAGACGACCAGAATTATTTACCGGAACGGGCTTTTCTTTCTCGCCTTATGCAAGAAAAAAACTGTGTAAGTGCAACTTTGTCTTGCAGCTATTGCAAAACAGTTACACTTGTCATGCCGGATATGCATCAGAGGCTGTTTTTTTAATACGTGTTTTCGCGTACTAGCTACGCATGACAGGTTCTCTGTCATGCAAAACAAATCTGTGATGCTAGTCCTGCAAAAAAGTTACACTTACACAGTTTTTTTTTTGGATACGCCTACTACGCACTGCACTGGACGCTGTTTCCCCTCGCTTTTGCTCTGCTGCTCGTCTACATCGTCGGCCAGAATCGACGGAAAAACCCTCTTTACTTCGAGCAGGTGATATTAAATGGTAGCCCAGGTGGCAGCCGTGGCTCTTCTTCGTCGTCGTCAGCCGCGACAGGACAAGAACAAGGCGGGCGCTGGTGCTCTGACGTCCCGACGACTCTCTCCGCCGCCTCCCGAGGCTGGGTGGTCTGGGAGCACGAGCGGACGCCGCTGGTGGGTATGAAATGCGATAGTACTATCGTACTGGTACTAGTAGAAGCTACGTAATTTTTGCAATACAAGTTAGCTCAGAATGACAGAGGCGGGAATTCGTCATGGTGATGTACCTTGTGAGGGAGATTTGTCATGCATGGTTGCGAATACTACGAGAACGATAATTTTGCACTGGATCCTGGGGAGCCAGCGAGAAAAAGCGTTGATGCTGTCGAAAAAACTGCCTACCACGGCCGTCGTGCTGGAACAGGCGGAATTTTTTCTCGGCATGCTGGATGTGTGCGAAAAGTGCTACAACGTCCTACTCTGGGACGACCCGGTCGCCTCAACTTTCGTTTCCCTCGGGATTGTGGCCGTTTTCGCAGCGTTCTCTGCCGTGCTGTTCACCGGCCAATTTATTTTCGTATCCCTCCTACCCCGCAGTTGCACCCTCGAGGACCTGGCGCGACTCAGTTTCTGCCTGGCCCACATTGCCGTACTCGCGGCGTTTCAGCAGGGGTCTTCAGGAAACTGGTTCAGACGTGACGAGCCTGTGCCTCAGGTGTCCTCTGAACGAGCGGGTAAAAATAATTCTGACGCGGTCCAGACTCATGACTATGGCGCTGGAGGTAGTGCAACAGCAACTACATCTGCTGACCTTCTTCAACCAAGTCCAACGTCATCCTCCAGCGAAGATCGATCCTCATTTATGTCCAGCCTGTTGCACAACGACCCACGAGCTGGTGTCCAGCTTCTTCTCGAGGACTGGCGCATCAAGTTCCAAGGCTTTTACGATCGAATTCCTACCTGGAGCGACAGCGGCCGCCGGTACCTGGCGCTGTTGCAGCGAGACAGTGTGTATGCACTGCAACAGCATCGTACTCGTATAAATGCATTACAGATTTCCTCAGCATGAAAAATAAAAGAACTTGTATATGCGAATTCACCTTTAAGAAAAAGATTTTTTGCAATGCATGATTTTGATTGCAATACGAGTGCGATACTTTTGCACAGGATAGTGTGGCAGAGTCGAAAGCGTTTGACCGTTACTTGCAAGTGCGATTGGAAGAAGAAACTTCTGCGAGCTGATGTATGATGAAGTAAGAGATCATAAAAAAAAAAACAATGCACTTAGGGTTGACGATGGTAACAACAGAAAAGTTCTCATCTGCGCGACGATATGCGTCGATGTAAGAAGGATATCTATAATGTTGAACAACGTCAATGTGGTAGTGGTTTCTTTTGCTTTTGCACATGGTCCTCGTGTTCACAGAAGTGAAAGACAGGAGTCGAAGCGCGATGAGGTGAACGAGGGGGAGGGGACTCTGCATAAAAGAGCATTCGTAATATCTACAGTGAAAACTACTTCAACTTCAACTACGATCCAAATAATAATTCATAGTGCAACTACAGCTGATATGTCAAGGACGTTGTGGTGCTTTATTTGGGTGAAATCTTCATTGTGAAAATTGAGGGATTTCAGAAGTAGGCTGTCGGTTGTTTGAAACTAACTTCCTGAACAGCCGGTGGGTTTTTTCCTCCTTCGTACAACTCGCTACAGAAGGCATGTTGCTTCCACCTTGACCTTCATCATTTTCACCTCCGTTCCCATTCCTTCTGCTAGGATACGAGAGAAGCTCTCTTCCGATTCACAATATATTTGTGGAAAAAGAAGCAATCATGCGTGTTAACATGCTGTGTTTGCGTGTGATGTTCTTGTTCCTCTCGTTGCCGTTGGCCGCGCTTTCCCTGGAGGAAGCCGTGGTGGATAAAGCGGCCGATATTTTCAGCCCCGTGGGAGCGCCGCAGATCTCCAAGGGGGGGGGGGGGGGCGTATGGCCGCAAAACCGGCTCTGGGAAGGGTATTCATTATCGTAGATTTTCACTTTATCACGCGCCTCAGTGCGCTCAATTTTACAATGGATGTGGATGCTCATGCATTCTGATTCTGATTTGACGAATGATTCTGAGCAAGTCACTCGCTCGGCAGTTAAAAAACCAACGCAGAATAACACAGGTTCCAGTCCGCCAGACCGACCCAGCGCGTTCAAGACCCAGATGAACCACAACGCAAACAAGCCTGCAACTTCGGTTGCTTTGCCGAAGCGTCGCTTGCGCATTCTCACGCAAGCGCGCAAGATTGCGGCAGCGTCGCAGAAACACGTGAAGACGATGACGGCGGTATCCAAAAAAAAGCGCTATCGCTATCGTTTGAACACATACATTAATATAGCCAAAGTTCAGCCCATTTTATTCCGGAAAGAAAACCATTCTTCGTGGAAGTGTCGGTCCGAGTCCATGCTTTGGCGCCCTTTATTTACCTCCCGGACAGGCTGCGCTTCGGAATAGGCTTTGCGCATTGCTTCGGACAATATGTTCGCCATGCCCACCAGAGGAGTTTTCTACTTTCATACGTGGTCTACTTGTTCATTTGCGGGAGAGGGGAGGCCTCTCGCGGAGGACTCCGACAACCGCTCAAGAAGTGGTGCTCTTTTGGTCATTTTTTTGGCCAGGCCCCACAAGCATTTACCCGAAAACTGGCCTATTCGCGCAAAAGTCTGCCTGGACCTTCCCGGACACGATGATACGTGCCCGAACTTTGGCCTTGTAATACAAGGCCAGTGCGAAATACTATTTCGCACTGGCTCTACTTGCGCCTTTGTAGGTAGGACCTTCTGGAAAAGGGCAGAACCCGTTGTGCAAGTCCATTCTTCGAGCACATGTCATCGCTTCCGGGACAGACCTTCGTACGAAAGGGCCAACTTATTTCGACGACATTTTGCCAGGGGTGGTGTGGGCATACAAATGGGCCTCATGCCTGAACAAGCAGACCAAACCAGAAACAAGACCCCCTCGGGATATTGCGAGGCCATTGACGCTCAAAGCAATGCGACAAATAAGCGATAGCTTCATCGCAAGCCCCCAATCAGCATGCTTCGCAACGCCTCGAGAAGTAGCTTGCTTTTCTCAAAAAGAGGACGAGTCGAACTTTGTTTGCTGATAAGAGTGATCGCGATAACGCTTTTCCTTTGGATAGGTGGACCTCGCTGTCGAGTACGGCGTCACGTCCCAAGACGTTTCCAACGCGGCGCAGTTCGATCTCCTGGACGCCGACGAGAGCGGGTACCTGGAGGGTGCGGAAGCGGAGGCCTGCCCGGAGTCGGTTGATCGCAATCAGGACAAAAAGCTGGACCGTGATGAGCACGGTCAGTACTGCTCCGGCGCCCTTTCGGAGGGCAGCGGTGTTGCGTCCTCGTTTCTGATGTCCGGAGAGGCGACACCTGAAGGTGATTTCTCACCATCGAACATCAATGGGGATGGGAGGAGCATGAGTATCATCTTACCGAATGGAGCAACGCGCGAGCTGGTGCAGCAGGGGAACCGATACTATGTCAGGCAGCGGGCAGTGAATATATATGGGAAGGAATACAGTAAGTTTGCCAATTTTTTTTTTGTTTTTTTTTACATCGTGACTTTACGGCTCTTTATCTCTTCAGCGTCGTGTTTTAACTATATCTAGGGTTGAAAGATGAAACCTCGAATCCTCAATATCATGCAGCCGTCAGCGAGGAGTACGACAGGGAAAAGCACGGCGACGGCGAGTACTTCATTACGAACTTCCCGGATGGACATGGAAGTATCGTGGGGATGGGCCGAATTAATGATGAAACAAGCGAGAAGAAAGTATTGACGTGTGCCCGATAATAATAATTTCTGTTTGAATGCAAAGTCGTAGCCATGCATGCTATCGGTATTCGTACAGAGCTTGCAACTACTGCACTTGCATGCCTATGCTGTTATTTTTGATGGTCCTCAACATCATCATCATGTAGCGCATGATGAGAGGGCAACCAGGACGAAGAAATGAAGAAGACCATTGATGGGTCTTTGATTGCGCGGCTGCAGGGTTGTTTGATGTGAACCCAATGCACGCGCAATTTCGGAGCTCATAGCTGGTAGCTTCCACATCCGTTGAGGATCGTAACCGCATAGATTTCCCAAAATTGCCGTTCACCACAGCCACGGTCGCGACGGCAACGGCGACAACGCGGGTTATTTTGTTGCTGAACGCAGAGTGCGTGACCAATTTGATCGACTACAACCCAGAAGGGCCAGCACCAGGAGGCGGGTATATTACTGCGGTGCGCCGTCATGGCTCTCCTTTTGATTTAAGTGATTTGTAGTTGTTCGCGCTTTGTTCTTTTATGGGAAGATGAAATGATGTTTTTGTATGGGTAGTAAGATGGATGTGGACATAATATATAAAAAAAAAAATATGCCCAGTCCTTCCGGAAGTGGGAGACGAGCCCGGCCGTTCCACGTTTTTGCAGACTTTCTGACCGTATGCTGGGCATCGCAAGCAAAAACTACCTCCAGTTGATCACATTTCTCAACACGAAGTTCCACTGAAAAACAAGAAGCTGTTGATGGCTGCGCGAAGATTAATGTACTAGATGAATGTGTTATCCAAGAGAAAATAAAGATTGTAGGTGTAACTTTTTTGCAGGAACAGCATTGCAAATTTGTTTGGCATGACGAGAACAGGAGCCCGTCATGCACTGACGGCACGTAAAAACGCGCCTGAATGGACCTTACAACGCATGCCCAGCATGACAGATGCAATCGTTTTGTATGTAGTTGCGCGTCACAAAGTTGCACTAACAATGTTTCTTGCATCTGTGCACAACGTTCCAGCGTGCGAGAAGATGATGATGATGATGTTGCGGTGATGCCGGATTTGAAGATGAGCCGCAGTGCTGTTTGAAAATAATATGGTACATTTTTATAACTTTAGTTTAGAACAAGCAGGAAGGCACGGAAGTATTCAGTGATGAGTGTAGTAATACTGATAGACGAATGTACATGTAGCTATAGGCCCTCCGTATGCAATACAGGTACGCAGCGCTGATTTTTTTATGCAGAGCGGCGGCTTTTTTACTTTTGTGTACAAAACTTTTTTATGCAAATTTACGATTTATTTGCCTTGTAAATGGCAAGCGAAATTTGAGAGTTAGCGTGAGCTTAGTGAAGGACTGCAGGAGACACTTCAAGAGTAACCTCCCAGTTGAAGTTGTTGACCTGGACGAAGAACTCGCAACGAGTTCGCTGATTTCTGTAGCGATCCTCTGAACGCCTCGGGAAATCTATCACACTACTACTACTTCACCATGCGAGAAATAGGATTGCGCAGGCTTGCAGTAAAAGAAAAGCACGGGCTGCAGGTGCAGAGAGGGAGAGCGCGAGCTGGTCGGGCTATTCCTCAGGCACACAGCGCGCGGCGAGACAGTCTGGCAGAGTCGAAAGTGTTTGACCGTTACTTGCAAATGCGATTGGAAGAAGAAACTTCATCTGCGAGCTGATGTATGATGAGATAAATTGAAGTTTTTAAAAAATGAAGACAATTATGTAGGAAGGTCAACGTAACACCAAAAAAGTCTCCACCTACTGCACGACCGGTATGTTGACGAAGATATCCGTGAAAAATGTGGTTTGTTTTGCTTTTGCACATGGTCGTGTTCACAGAAGTGAAAGAAAGGAGCGGTAGAGCGATGAGGTGAACGAGGGGAATCTGCATAAAAAAGCAATCGTACTACGAAGATCCAAATTCATACGTGCAACTACAGCTAACGTGTCAAGGACGTTGTGGTACTTTTAGGTGAAATCTTCATTGTAATCGAGGGACTTTAAAACTAGAAGTAGGAGTAGCCTGTCGGTGGTTTGAAGCTACCTAAGAAAGCGGTGGCTTTTTTCTCCTTCGTACAACTTATTACAGAAAGCAAAAGACGTCCGAACCAAGATGGGCCAACTAGTCGTGAAGAGCGAGCGTTTGTTGCTTCGGCGCGACAAGAACCACGACAACTATCAAATGTAAAAATGTCTGGGTCTGGAAACTTGTGATGCTGGGTGGCGTCTCATGATGAGGCTACAAATGCTGGCTCAGCATGACAAGTTTCTGAGCTCCTAGGTGTTGCCTATTCTGCATGACAAACTGCGCTTCTGCATCACAGAAAAACGGAGCTCTTGGGTAACGTGCATGACAGATTTAAGAGTCATGCCAGACAAGCATGACAAACGTGAATTCTTCCAGACCCAGACATTTTTGCATTTTATAACAACTACGACCCGGATGCAACACGACCGGAACATGATCACAGGATGATGCCGAAGCCACTCCTCGCTTTCCAACACGTCAATATCTACGCTTTGATCCATTTTATCCACGTGGCAAGGGAGCTTGCAGCCGCAGATCATCTTTATTTCCCAAGGGCCACCACCAGCACGAAAGATCAACAGACGGGGTCCTGCTCCTCGCCGCACGACCGCGGCCCACGACCGGTTTTACTTTGGAGCCGCTGGCAATTTTTGGAGTTCCTGGGGGTGGACAAAGTTTCGGAGGTCGCGGCGCTTTTCCACTGGTACAGCGAACCAGAGAAGACCACGATCGAAATACCGAACGAATTCTACTACGAAGATGAACCTTCTTCAGATGACGAGGTGGAGCATGCGGACACGGCGGGGCTCTTCTTAGGCGGAGAACTTCTTCTAGAAGCGGATGGAGGTGGAGGTGGTGCTCCGGCTACCAGCGCAGCTGCTACAAAATCAAAAATAAGCGGGGACTCAAATAGAAATAGATTGTCGAAAAGCAAGCAGCAAGCCCTGGAGGAACTCGTGCTCGACCAGATACGGCAAATCAACGAGCCTGCACCGAAACTGGAGCATTTGTCCCCGTTTGTCTTCTGCGCAGCTTTGATTCTCTTGCGTCAAGGGACGCCGAGTAGCGAGAAAGTTGCGCAGCTGTGCTTGTTATTCGAAGGGAGCGCGAGGAGCTCCTCCTCCACTGCCCCTGCGCAAGAACATATTCGAGGCCGAAAATGGCCACCGCCGCCATCTGCTAGTACAACAACGACAGCAGCGCGAAGCGGCGCGGAAGACCACACGACGTCTCAAAAATCTCATCTTCCATCCCCACAACCAGAAAATTCACTCCTCACCTACGCCGACCTGTCGCACGGGGTGGAGATCGTGAGTGAGGCCTTGGAGAAGACTTTCCGCCGGATGAAAGAGGATGTGGGAACGTATTTCACACCTGGGGGCGCGCAGGAGCGCGTATACCTGTGTCAAGCCGCGTTCCGGCACCAGGGGCAGGAGACCGTTGCCACCGAAGACGTGACTCGCTGGGCCGGAAAGCAGCTGGGAACCCGCTTGGTGCTGCAGCAGCTTCTAGTGGACGAAGAGAAAAAGACGGAGGAGATGTTTCAGTGTCACTACAGAGCAAGGTTGTTAACGCCTTCCTATTCTTCGCCTTCTGGCACCGGCGAAAAAGCAATGAAAAATGATCTCACAGATCATGATGAACAACATGCAGTAGATGAGACAAGTGCACCAGCCACGACGATGGGCTACACAGTAACGGGGAGCACCGTCGACGGCACCCCGGCGATAATCACCGCGTCGGACTTCGAACGCCACACGGATTCGTTGTTCAAGAACAGAGAACACACTGAAAAGAACACGGAGGGAATGAGTGGCGCTCAATCCTCCAGTCGAGGCGGCACGTCCTCAGTTCTGTCGAAGAACAAGAAAAAACAGAGCGAAGTAGAGTTAGATCATGCAGCAAACGAGACCGGGACAGGAGGGTCAGGCATCTCAACGTCGTGGCCCTGCAGTTTAGCAAAAAGCGCAGGTTCTTTGTACCAACCGTCGTCGCGGATAAAGATAAACGAGCCGGCTTCTCCTGTTCCCGCAACCGAGCTTCTCGCCCGGGCTCTAAATAACCACGTAGGCGTAATGAAAGACAAATCGTTCCATTTGAACAGCAACCATCCCGCCCGCGATTCGTCCCTTCAATCCCGATACCTGCGTCGCTTGCTCCTTCGGGGGGTTTCATTTTACACGGCCAGCTGCACCGGTGTGGAAGACTACTTCGCGGCGGCCCCAGGATCTACAACTTCCACTGCAGGTTCTTCCACCAGCTCCGGGGCCTTGCAGTCGCTGTTTTACGAGGCTCTTGCAAGGAGTACGGCGATGAAGATGCTTGACCTCGAGAGGTCGTGGCAGTCGTCCAGCACGATTTGTATCAACAACTACATCTCGGATCTTTTTGACCACGATCGTGCTCCTGGTCAGCAAGCACAAGAAGACCAGTTCTTATCACCACCCCACTGGAGCAGCTCCTTGTGGTGGTTTCTGTTGGGCACCGGGGCGTACGGTTTTGAAAACAAGAGGTGGTGGCTTGCTATCGATAACGGGGACCAGCACCGATGTAGTGCAGCTGGGCAACCACATGTCCAGCCGGCAGCCGGCGCTAGTACGTCAACTACAAAAACGGAGCAAGATCAAGATCCTAGCGTGCTGACAAGAAGAACTACGCCAGCATCTACTTCATTCCTTTTTTCCTTCGGCAGGAGCACAAGCGATGTCGAAGCGCAAGACCGGCCCTCCATCTTCGCACACGTTCGATCGCACGTGGAGGAAGAGCTCACGAGGAAGGAGCTGAACGCGGTATCAGTTCGGGCTCAAGACCGAATCGATACAGCGACAGCTTCGCACTTCACAACTGGTGGTCCACCGCCCTTCAGTACGACATCTGTAGTAGCGCAGACAGCAGCACAGGCCGAAGTGGAAAATCCAGATGCTCGAATTGACGCTCCTGATCACCAGTTGCGAGAGCCGCATGCTTTCGACCCGTTTTCGCCGAGCCTTTTTGTCGTGCTGCGGTCGTTGCTCGCCCTTCTGCAGAAGCAGTCGAGCGAACTCGCAAGGGGATGGACGTCGGGATGGGAAATACAATTCAATAAAGAAACTTCACTCCTTTATTGCGGTTCATTTGCGCATTATGCAATACAAAGAAAATTCCCGTGTCCGTACAAGTAGAACAGCGTACAAGATAAAGGCATCGCAAATTTCGCCAACAACTTACAGTGTAACACTTGTCGTGCTGACTAGGATCGATGTCAGGTTATGTCATGCAAAAACCGCATGCAAAAGTTTAAGTTTTTATCAACATGCAAACACCACAACCACGTGCTGTTCGGGGAAAGGAAACTTACTCTGCATACAACAGATGTTGGTTTGAAAACGACTATTACAACAACACAAGGCGCTCCGGCACCAGCTCCGCCAACACCATTCTCCTCGCTGATTGCTGCAATCCAAGCTCCCGAACGACCGGAAATTGTGCACGCCAAAACCCACCAAGCAGTGCAGCGGCTGCTGACCGTGTTGCTTCGCGTGCTGGCAAAGCAGCGGACCTGCCTGAGTCCAGGTTTGCAGCAAGAACTGGATTACAAACAATTTCCGCCTTTAACGGAAGGGGCTTCCAATTTTGCGAGGCTTTTGCGACGTTTTTGCGAGATTTGTTGACTTGCTTCAGATTGGTTATGCGGGGTTTTCCGCTGCAACTTGTGGCGTTTTGGCGAAAGCTGGCCGCGCCCGGACCTCGTCTTTTGTCGCTCCCTTCGGGAGGGACAACGAAGAGGCCGACTGTGAGCTTAGCCGCGATCCCGAATGGGCCGCCTTAACAAGCTGGCTGGGGAGGGTCGCCCGCACACCTCCTACGAGCTGACTCCCTCGCGCACCTTTCCAAAGAAATAACCAGCACAAGAAGTCGCGGGCCAGGTTTTGGCTAGCCCCCGTGGTTGAAGAGTTGTGGCCGCCCGGCGGCGCTCCGGCTACCTAGCCCCGGGCCGTATTTGCGTTCTCTGGTTGCCGACGTTGCTTGGGCCGGTCGACAGGTTGCCTGGCGCCCCTCGTGGCCGCCCCGTGCATTGGCGGGCCAGAGGGCTGGCCAGACACGCAGGAGGCGGCCGCTGTTGCCCTTGCAAGTAAGACTGGCGCGCCAGCGCGTCACATTGGCGCATCGGCGTCCTTGGTTGGGCAGCCTAGCGCGGCCGCAGGTTGTGCGTCTGGCCTGGGTGGCTGCCGGGCTGGCTCTCTTTATTGGGCCGGCAGCGCCTTGCGCCGCTTGCCTTGCCGGCGCGCGGGGGCCTCTTGGGTGGGGGGCCTGGGGGTGGGGAGCAGGGTGGGGAAACCCAGAAGAGCCGCTTCGGTGTCCGGCGGCAGAAATTGCGCCCAAAAAAATCGAAAAAGACGAAAGCGAGCCAGTAAGCCTGTTCGCAAAAATTTCGCAAAAATCCGGGACCCGTTTCGCAAGAATCTCGCAAAATTACTAAGCCTGTTTGCTCGGAAAAACCGGAAATCCGAAAAATCGTTTTCCGGGATAGTCAATTTCTAAGCCTGTTCGCAAAAATCTCGCAAAATTTTCGCAAAAATCTCGCAAAAGTTCGGGCGCCTCTTTTTGCGTGCATCTCGCGATATCTCGCAAAGGTCTCGCAGATTTCCCGGGAAGATGAACAAACCCAAAAGGGCAGCCGTTTTCTTTTGTGTTCCCGCCCCCAGCCGCCACGGGAAGCCATGCAAGCATGGCCCGGGGCGCCGACCTTTGGCTCCGCGGGCGGGCGCGTGGCCCGGGCAGGGGATGGGCCTTGTGGGCGACGCCGCCCGCCCGCGGAAGCTTGTTGCCAGGTGCCGGCACCAAGCCGCCCGGGCCATTCATATAATTGGGGGGGCGAGCGGCGTGGGGGCATGGTTGGTTTTGTGTTGCCGTTGTGCTTGCAAGTTGGATGGTGCGCCTGTGTGGCCGGGCGGCCGCGTGGCTGGCTGCCTGCAGTTTTTGTTTCATGTGGCTGGCGGCCCGCAGTGGGTGTTCTAGCGCAGAGCGCCTCCACGGGCGTTTTGGCATGGGTGAGCCTGGCCGCACGCAGAGGCCGCCGGCCGGCCGGCCTTCGCGTGGTCCGCCTTGCCTCGAGTCCCATTCCTTTGTTGGGTCTTGGCGCGCCTTTGGAGAGACGACCGTGCCAGCGGGCTCAATTTTGAGCCCGATGCTATGACTGATCCCAGTTGTCGGGATTCCGCGCTTCGCCTGTTGTCCCGGGGTTTTCGCCTGCTCGGCGGGGCGCGTGTGTCTCGTTGTGTCGTGACTGGCGCGGCGCGAGACGCAGAATCGTTAAACTCGCAAAAACCTCGCAGCCCTTTCGCAAAATTCGGGACCCGCTCCGTTAAAGCGGAAATTGTTTGTAATTGGAACAGTTGATCAGCGAACAGCAAAGCCACGCGATGGTCGCGCAACAGCAGTTACTTGTTGAAAATAACGCCGGTTCTTTCATGAAGGGAGGCCGCCGGACGTCATCCGCCAAAAAAGAAGCCAAAGCTGCGGTCGAGCAGGACGAGGAGGCAAAGTTGTTGATGACAAGCTCGAAGTTATCCGAAGGAGCTGTCGGGCTCGGGACGACGAGCAGCGGTACTAGCATTCGACGCAGTAGTTGTTCGTCCGAGAAAATAAATGCGCGACGAGGGGGGCTCACCACCCACAGTAGCAGTAGGCCCGCTTCATTTATTTCCTGTAGTTTTTTTCAAGCGTTGGACGTTGCTTCTATCCTTGCCAACCTTTGTAACGGAGCTCGCCGCCACGAGGACCACGAACAGGACCTTTTCTTAGGACAGACGAATACGAACAATTATGGTGTCATGAGTGACGCAAATGCAAATACGACCCAAACTCCTATACCCGCAAAAGCGAAGGAGAACCTTAACCACATGATGTTGATGCAGCTTTCTTTCACCTATCACCTCTCTGCCGTCGTGCTTGCGGGTCTGCATGCTTATACAGATGCTGCAGAGACCAGTCTGGCGCTCCAGCGGCACACGACCATGAAAACTACTCTTCTGAACTACTACCCAGACGCGGACATTCAACCTGCAAATAACTGTGGCGAACAACATAAAGAACAATCCACCGCGGCACAAGTGTTACTAGCTGACCGCGCCAATAAAGAGCAAGCTGCTCCTGCTCCGCTTCCGCTGGACAACCGGAGAAAACCAGCTAGTACAACTGCTTCTAGTGCTGCACCATCAACGTCGCACACGACCACGCCGGCGAATCTGTACTCAAAAGCCCTCGCTGCAACCTTTGCCAGACAAACTTTTCGGCGGAGCGTTTCAGGTCTGCTTCAGACCCAGCGCCTGAAAGCTTTGCACTACGTGTGTGAGCAGCTGGCCCAAGCCGGTGCAGCCTGTGGCGAAGAACAACCTCCTGCTTGTACTAGCGCCGCTCAGCCTGCTCAAGGCCAAGGCACCGTGGGAGATCTTAAAGAGGATGGAAACAAGAAGCAGGTCGTGAGAGTAGAAAATCCACCGACGTCTGAAGAAACAAACAATCTACTTCCAGAAACAACTAGGAGACCACCGCTGCATCCGTATCTGACCGGCGCGTTGCGTATTCTCGGCGACGGGCAGCTCGACCCCGTGCCGGATGAGCTGGCTCTGCAGGTTCTGAATGCGCTCCGGAGCAGCTGCTCCGGATCCGGTAGAAGTTGTAGACCAGATGAAATAAGAGCAAAGCAGCCGGGACCACGACTTCGTCTTGTTGAAGGTCCAGAAAAGATCTGGTTGCTGGTACACCACGAACTTTTTCAAAACAGCGAGAGGCTACAACAGCTTCAGGGTTCTGACGCTGGTCAACATCTTTCATCGGCGATTGTGCAAAATCTTCGACAATGCTTGGAGGACGCGATTGGATCTACAAGTTGCACAACGACGTCAAGTAAACCACCAAGCGGAGTAGACGTAGACCTAGACACCCACGCGGGAAATATTAACGCAAAGGAGATCGTAAATCTGGACTTTGAGCAGGCCGACCTGGACTTTGTGTTGCGGCGGGTGAACGAGATGATAAAGGAGTCGCACGGCTACCAGCACCATCTAGACGACAAAAACCACGACAGTACTATTTATTTCCATTTGACGCCACGCGACCATGACCAAGGAGCGGCCGACGGGAGTTGTGCGGCAGCAGGAGGAGGAGCAGGGCGAGGAAGAGGATTGTCTTCGACTACATCAACATCTTCGTCTCAAAAAGGTATTCTACATGAAACGACGATCCACGGCTATCGTCATTGCGGGGTAAAAATACGAAGCCGCGAGATGAAGACTTCTACTGCACAGCCACAGCCCAACCCGCCTCTGTCCATAGCAGAAACGATTTTCGCCTCCAGTATCGCAGAGCACGCGAAAGTGCTATCGATTGCGAAAGATGAGATCTCCTCCGCACAGAAGCACCTCTCTGACGCTGCGCTGGCAGGTTACATCGCCGTGGAACTCCGGATCGAAATTTTGTTGCAGCATATCCACAGAAAAAAACCCATCCACATCCAATTAATATTTACATTGCTTGACTTCCGGGTTCTGGTACAGCATACCCCCGGCGACAGGTGACCTTGACAGGTGACCTCGACAGGTGGCCTTGACAGGTGACCTCGACAGGTGACCTTGACAGGTGACCGCGACGGGTGAACGCCCTGCCTTCTCCCACTAGTGCTTCGCGCACTAAGCCACTATGCGCGCGCCTGGTGTGAGGCGAGGGGCGGACGCTGTCCGCCCCGATGCCGAACACCCTTCCCCCACTAGCGCTTCGCGCACTAAGCCACTATGCGCGCGCCTGGTGTGAGGCGAGGGGCGGACGCTGTCCGCCCCGATGCCGAACACCCTTCCCCCACTAGTGCTTCGCGCACTGAGCCACCACGCGCGCGCCTGGTGCGAGGCGAGGGGCGGACGCTGTCTGCCCCGATGCCGAACACCCTTCCCCCACTATCGCCACTATGGACGGGCACAAGGCCCCAGCGTGGGGACCCTGTCCCCACGCTCCGGTGGGCCTTGTTTGTCATGCAAAACATACATAAAATTATAATTGTGTGCTTGTCATGCAAAAAACGGATGTGGATGGGTTTTTTTCTGCGGATACAGCAGGCTCGGCTAGTGCAAACGATGTCATCCTCGTCTTCATCTTCGTCCACAGGAATGAATAGTACTTCTGAAAACACCTTCAACCGACGACTCCATCAAAACAGCGAAAAGGAAAAGATCGATACCGACATGAGCGCCCAAGCGTCGAAATTGCTCCTCGATGAAGCACTGCAGAAAGCAAAGCGACGGGGCGTAACGAAGGCACTGCGACACTGCATCGAGGAGAGGATTCTCGAGACGTTGACGGAGGTACTTCTACCTCGTGCGGGAGGACAGGGACTTAGTAAAGCAAGAGTACGTGGTGGACGTGGTGGTGGCGGACCTCGTCCACAAGCTGCTTCTACTACAGCACACGACGAAGTAGATGAGGAATCTGAACAAGACCACGATGTGGAAGCCGACCGCCTGCAAAATCTTGCGAAAATTCGCCGTCACTGGAGCGCTTTGAAGAGCCCACTCGACGACGCCTGCGACGGATTGGCGCACAGGGAGTTCGAAGTCAGCAACCGAAGCTTCTGCCTGGTGCACGCGTTGTTGACGTCAAGAGTCGGGTCGGAAAGTTATAACAGGCTCAGATGTCTAATTCAACGAATTCCAAAAAAAATTTTTTAGGTCACGGAAGCCTCGGACTGAGCCAGTTGGCCCCTCGCAAGGCCCGGCTTTGAACTAGTTGGCGCACAGCCTGGGAGCCGCCTCATGGATTTGTGCAGTTGCGCCACAATTTCCAGGCAGCCTCGTCCTTTTGGATTCTCGACTTTTGCTTGTCCTGCAGATTTCTTGAGAACTGCACGACAAAAAAAAGGCAACGAACCGGACAAAGGAACAAAAGCGTGCGGCAAGTTGCTGCCCTTGTTCCAAAGCTGCCACTGGAGTCTCGAGGCCCAAGAGGTGCCCTCTGGAGCACGGGCAGCTGCTTCCCGTGCGCTTTCCGGTGTATTTTTTGTCGTGCTTGGCCGCGATTCAACGCATTAGCCGCGCACTTCGCCTGCACTGCCAGCATTGATTCGGCTCAGGCATGTTCGTATTGCAAAATCAGGCGAAAGCTTGCCCAAAGATCGCACCTCCGCAAGCGTCCGGGGACTGGCCTGAGTCCCTGGCCGAAATGGTGTCACATTTATGACACTTTCCCCGATGCTATGCTGTTCAAAAATTGGTCTAGGTTTGCGAAAATCACAGCTCATCCACCAAGCGGTGGCATTTTGGTGACCTCTTTACGAGGCTAACCACGGCGGCACGCTTTGAATTTTCCGGTCTAGCTTTGCGAAAATCATGGGTAGGGGAGGGGGGTGCCAAAAATGAAACAAAGCGACGCCATTTCGTGCTCAAAACGGGTGGCCCCTTTATGAGCCTAATCAGCACGGCACGGAGCCACTTTTCCGGTCTAGCTTTGCGAAAATCATGGGGGTCACAAAAGGGGTCGGGAAAAGCAGAACCATAAGTCGGGCCGTTCGGCAGTGGTGCCTTTTGGGTAAATTTCGAGCCAGCGCCCAGCGCCCTGTCTACCTAGAAAGGCAGCCATCTGACTGGGCCCGCCGGCCATTTCTTCTGGAGAGGGGTCTTTGCAGTCTCAGAGGCCCCGAAGATCCCTTGGGAGCGGAATCAGTCGCCAGTGGTGAGCTTTCGCTTTCTTATGGTGTAGATCGAAGCTCCTTGCGTTGTGCAATTTGCACGAAAGCTGCACGAGATGAAGAGAACCAATCCCCAACAAAAGCGCGGCAGCCTTACGATGAGGGACGACATTTCCTGCGCAGGGGGTGTAGGAGTCGCAGAGGCGCCGAAGACCATTGTGGAAACGAAGTAGATGGCCGTCGTGCGCGCTTCGCCCCTTGGCGGAGTTGGCGCCCTTGCTCATCGGGCAGCTTCCTCCCAAGCAGTACGACAAAAAAGAAAGCAGAAGCCAAAAAAAGGAAGAAGACCTCGACAGCAGGCGCTATGTCAACTCCAAAGGGATGCTTGGAACCATTCAAACTAATGGGGTCAGCTAGATCGCAGGTAGGTGGTTGCCTTGCGGGTGGCAAGACAATTATCCAGCGATGAGGTAGCCAGTTTGTATCAGCTTACTGGGGGAGTCAGCATTGAAAACGAAACGCGTTCCCACGACCTAAAAAAATTTTTTTGGAATTCGCCGAATTAGACATCTGAGCCTGTTATAAAAGTGGAAATGCAGTTTTTAACGGAGGGCCGACGCAACCGGAGCCGCTTGTTCAGAGTGGGCACCAGCCTCCAAGTGGTGCTGCACCGGCAACGAGCGCGACAAGCAGGCAAAACAACTCCTCCCCTGCCGACGACATTTGGCCCATCTTGAACGCCTTGCGGCGCAACAAACCACTGGGGAAACTCTTCGCCTTTGAGCCGACGAAGAGCAGGATGAAACCACATCACAAGGATTTAGCCAGTCACGTGTGGAACTTGGTGACAAGTAGTAATAGTGGAAGTGCTTTCACAAGCTCCACAACTTCGACAAGTGCTATGCCGGAAGACCTCGCGCCCCTAATTTTCCTCTGGATGCAAGTGAAAACTACTCCAACGTATTTGGAACAAAACATCTACGGGATTCTCAAGCGTTATATTTTGAACTGTTGCATGAATTTGTGATGCAAGAACACCAAAAGCGAAACGGGGAACCTTGCGCGTCTTGCCATTACAGATTTGGCACAGATTATCATGTCAGTTAGAGCGTCGAAGTCGTCATCATGCGAAGAAGCTTGAGCGTCTGAAGCATGATTAGTGTTTCGGCATCTTCGTGACAAATCATGTAACAGTTGAGAGTGTAACATTTGAGAACCCCATAGCATCAACATCAAGCCTGCTGCTGGTACGTCGACTTCCGCTGCAATTACTTCTACCACTTCTACGACCTCTCAAGATCATGAAAACAAAAATCAGATGGATGTCACGTCCCCATTAACAGCAACATCCGCCGGCTTGAAATCACCTATCATTGTAGGAGCCTCTTCTAGTACCCCTGTCGTGTTGTCGCCTCGAAGCTGCGGGGGCTCGTCCTTTCCCGTCGGCAGTACTGTCGCGTCGCTCGGAGCAGCAGGAAAAACTGAAACAACGCTGTTACAACCGGGCGGAATTTTCTATGCACCGCGACCACTTTCTCTCCGTTTGAAACCGCGCTGGAAGCCGCGTCTGGTCGCGAGTTTCTTCAAAAAAATCGCCCTCCGGCCACTTATTCAATTGAGCGCGAATCTGCAAGTCGAGAAGTTTTTGGGAGACACGATGCGGAAAACGGCTGAAAAGCTGCTGCAGAAGAAACGGAATTACGAACACGGCGATTACCCCCAAAGAGCAACTGACGTCGACGCCTGGCCCGCGCCGCTGTTGGAGGATGACAGCGAATTTTCTTGCCTGCTCGACCCAAAGCTCACTGCGCGCATATCGACAAAAGTGTCCGCAGAAGTTTTACAGGCAGCTAGTACTGAGGACAGTTTTCTCAGTGATTTTTTTCGGACGTTGGCTGAAAACCAAAATGTCGATAATATCCTCGCAGCTGCAATAAACAACAAAGTAGCTGCTGGAGGAGCAGGTGGCAGCGCACTTGATACACAAGAAGAAAAATCTTAAACCAAGATCGAAATCCTCGCTGGACGTTGCTGGAAAAGCGACGAAAGTACTGCATCATTTACATTTTCTTTCAGTGAAAAACTGAAGAACTAGACGAAGATTATTGACCTTAAGCGAGGACTGCCTGAAACAAGGAAAGCAACACACATCGCACGACGACTTGCCCGCTTGCCGTTACTGTATTTTTACGGCCACCTCCTGCACGTCGTGGTTCTATTGACCATTTCTTGATGCGGCCAGAAGTTCCACACTCACTGCAAAGTGTGCCTCTTGATGAGAGAAAGAACGGCACAAAGTTGACCCCTGACGATACGAGGAGAGCAACAAAGACTGACTACATCAGAGAGACGAGCCACTGGGATAGGGAGGTAAGTAGTTGCGCCAACTCGTCGCGTTACACAGTTAGCAACTTCTCCCATGTTAGTTCTCCTTCCTGAGAGCGCCTACCTTTCCATCGTCCGATAGCGTCTGAGAGGGACAGACTACCAAAATTTGCTGAGTCGACGTTAGTTTTCTTGTTTCATGACTACAAGCGAGACGACGGCAAAGTATTGATTAAGGACACAGATTACAACAGGAGGAGCTTTTGCTTCATCGACAACTTGACTTCGGTCTGGCCGCAGTTAAGAAGATGAGCATTGTATCGGAATAAACTGCACTCCATAGTCCTTCTTGAACGGCAGTATCTTGTGCAGCCTCTGTACAATAGTTCTTTTTGGTAATTGGTTCTTTTTGTATCTTGATCTTGTTTGACGGAGTTGTTGCTATCATGGTCGACAGCGACGTGGCGAAGATCTCTAGCTCTATGCTCGTTTCCTCCTGCTTCGCTTACTGAAGTTCTTCAACTACTTGTTCAATATACTACACATACTCCGCCAGAGGAGAACTTTGTTCAGCACCGGCATCGATCCACCGACGGCCGCGCATCACCTTCGACGCGAGGAGAACTTCCATCATGAAGCCGAACTGGTCGCGTAAGGAGCTTTCCCAGCGGTTCGTCCATGGGACGCTCGAGGAAGTGACGCTGTTTCAGGCCATAAACCAAGCGCAGCGGATCTACGGGGCCAAGCTCTCGGGCCACGAGGTCCAACTGGAATTTCTGAGGCACAAATTTCACGACCACCTGGAAAATTTTGACGATGAACTCATCCGGACAATGCTTTGCGGTGACAGATTTTTTCGTGTTGATCATGGTTGTTTTTTTGTATTTAGCTTAGCTCGTTTTTCTTTTGTGTTTTGATTACGCAAAAATACCCACGCTGGAATCAAAACGGGGCATTTATTCTCGACATCATACCATGATAAACCACTGCGATTTTCTTGCATCTTTACGTCGAAAAGCAAATCTAAATCACCATATACAACAACAGACCTTGGCGTTATGGCCGCGCCTTTGGAATCAACCGACAAGCGCGCACTGTTCGATGAGACCGCGGCGCAGCTCGAGCGCACGCTCGGCCCGATTCGCGGGACCAAGCGGGACCTGCTAGCGCTCCGGGGGAAGTTTCCGGATGGCCTCGGCGACTGGTCGGATCTGAAGGTGTTGCAGGAACTGATGAAGGTGAATCTGGTAGAAAAGAAGCAAATCCTGCAAAAGCTATTCGAGTTTGCGGCGTTGCACATCACGGAGGAGGAGATCGAGGGGGATCTGGAGCGGATCCAAGCCTGCCGGGATTTTCTCAAGGTCGACGAAGGTTTGAAAAGCCTGGATGACCGAGAGGTGTTGGAGCAACTCGACCTCTGCATCGCGATTGAGCAAAGTATAGTACGCGCTGATGGGTAGCTGCATGTCAGATACTTGTTCTAGCCTGTATCTATAGTTTACGAAGAATACGAGCGGATGTTGAGGAGTGGTCCTAGTGCTAGTGTGCTGTCGACGTGAAAGTGTATTTCAATCCGAGTCGAGCAGGGCTCTTGTTGGTCCGAGAAAGCCCCCTCAAAGCATTGAAAAGAAGTGTGAATAAAACTAAGTGAAATCAAAAACCGACCTAGCTTTCGAACCAAGTCGCTCTCGCGTGGACAGCCCGGGCGCGTGGCGAAACCGTCTGCCGAAGCAGGCCGGAAATTTTTACAAGACCGAGAAGGCGCTCACGCAGGCCGCCCGACGACAGGCGGCAAGGGAGAAAGAGAAGGCACGCCAGAAAGAAAGGCTGGAGCGTTGGAAGGCCGAGAAGAAACAAACAGAGCCCGATGAAGAGGCGGCGAAGGAACAGGAAAGGTAGTAGATGATACATTTGTTTTATTTTTTTTGGAAAAGAACTCCCGCCTTGTTCTGTGAGGATAAACTACTTTTTGTGCAGCTGCAGTGACGATACTAATCTACCGTGTGTTGACATCTTCAATGTCTTTGAAACTACAACTACATCAACTGCAACAAAAGAAAAAACTACAACGGGCAATCTCGATAAAAACAGCCGCGCCGCGAAGCAGCGCACCAGCCGGCGCGCGCGCGGGCAAAGCGGGGTGACCACTTCTGCCGGCCTGAAGTTGATCGTATCAAATGCAAAAGTATCGTCCTAGTATAAATTGCAATACAAATTCGCTCGGCATTACGAATTAAATTTGTAATGCGGGTTTGCCTTAAGACAAAGATTTGTGATGCATAACTGCAATTACTACGAGCACGATACTTTTGCACAGGAAAGATCGCGGGCTTCGACCATACCGAGTGGACAAAGGTCGGACGAGAAAAGCTCGATATGTACGACCCGAACCCGCGCGAAATGACCGCGGACGCGGATTACATTGACGAGTTTCTCTACGGCCACATGCTCCACCACCCCCGACTGCAAGACTGGGTCGAGGAGCGAGCGCCGGAGGACGTGGACCTTCCCGCCCCCTGTCCGCCAACCTTTCAAGAGATGGGGTACGCTACATCGCTGGATCTGAAGCGACTATCCACCACACGTAAATTTCTTGTTCCCGATGTACACGACGATGTAAATCAGATGCTGTTTCTTGTGCATTCTGCATGACAAAAAATGCCCTCGATCATGTTCAGCATGACAAGTGAGAGGATGATGGTCCAACTTGGCGGATGAATCTGTCATATATTTCGTGCGCGCACGGGAACATCAACAAATTTGTGTTGCATAGCAGCGACCCAAGTACTACGAGGAGTTCATGCGCAAGAAGCTCGAGCAGATCGGGGCGTTCAGAAGGCAGAAGGAGGAAGAGGGACAACTTGCGAGAGCGCAGAAACCTTCCAAAAACCACGGGGACATCGACGAGCCGGAGGGCGCGGGCAGTCAGTTCATCGACGGCATTGAGTGGGATGACGACGTCGAGGACAAGGTGCCGGAGTTTGACCCGCAACTGGGATTACGGTACGCGTCTCCGGACGTTTCTTCCTCCGCTGCAGACACAACCTCGATCAGCACCGCAAGCAGAGGTGGACATTACCACGCCGATCTCCACGGACACATGGGGCACATGGGGCCGCGGCCGACCGGAAAGCGGCACCACGCCGAAGCGGACGCGGCTTTGAACGCCGCGCAGGAGAGGATAAAGGGCGAATTCCAGCAGCACTTCCACGTGCAGTTGGCGCCTGTGAGCGAAGTAGATATGGTCAGTGCAACAGCTGACCAGGCGGACGCGGAGATGAAGAAGCGAGCAACTACTTCTACGCGGAAGCTGTCAGTCCCGGCATCGAGTACAACTAGCAGGCTATCCAGCGCTGTTGGGGGAGGTGCACCTGGCAGCTCCGTCGCGAAGCAGTTTATGGCAACGCGAGCAGACTCACCATCGGCGCCTTTCATCCCGACGGAGGAGGAAGTCGATGCGAGCGCGCTGCTCCAGTCGCTGTTAAAAGCGCCGGCGGATTTGATCGCCTCGCAGGCGTCCGCCGGGAGCACTTCCGGTGGGGCGAAAGCGTTGACGCCGTCGCGGATGGCCAATCAGCTGGCCGCGTACGCAAAACGCCCGGAGGGCGAGGCTTTGCCACCCGCAGGCCCGGAGGGCACCACCCTGCGGGAGAAGTCGAGGACTACTATAACCTGCTCAGCTGTTACAATCTCAAACGTTACAATAGAATATGGAAATCTGTGATGCAGAAATGCATGATCTAGACAACTCTCGTAGGATTGTGCATGACAAGTTCCTGAGCACCAAATCCCCATACAATCTGGCGAAATTTGTATTGCAGAAAGTGGAACGCTCTGCGAATCAGTCATGCTCATCATGCAAGACAAATCTCGCATACTATTGTAACGCTTGAGATTGTAACACCTGAGCGGGCTATAATTACCGCGGCGCAGTTCTGGGACCTGTCGGTGCCGGAGGAGCAGGTGTATGCACTGCAAAAATGTCTGGGTCTGGAAACTTGTGATGCTGTTTTGCGAATTATGTGGACGTCTTCATTGACAGCCAAGCATGACGAGTTTTGGAGTTGCTAGAGAGTTGCCTATCTGCATGGCAAACTGCGTTTCTGCATGACAGAGAAGTGTGCCTTCTGTGTGGCGCGCATGACAGACTTGAGAGCCATGCTAGCTGTGCATGACAAACTCTGCATTCTACTTCCAGACCTAGACATATTTGCAGTTGATAAGGTGCAGCCCGAAACCACCGGCGACCTCCTGTGGAGGTCGGTCGCCAGCATGGCGGAAGTGGCGCGGACAGGGAGCATGAGTGCCGTCGTGTCTACCCCGGCGGGGGCCGACACAGGAACTACTGCTGGTGCTTCGAAGGAGAAGAAGAGGAAAAGCAAAAGCCCGGTCTCACGCACGTCGAAAACTTCTGCATCTGCTCCTCGTGTATCAGCAGCGGCTGCAACTTCTTCCAGTGATGATAGGACGTACGGCGTGCAACAAGTGGCCGCCGCTTCGTCTTCTGCAGTTATGGAATCCGCGACTGAAGAAATCGGGTCGAAGATGACTTCTGCGCCCGAGCTGGTGATGCGACAAGCTGCCACAGAAGATTCATCCGGGCAATCGGATGCTGCACCAGCGGGACGAGATCCTGTGGGACTGCCAGCGACGAGATTGTCCGCGGCGGTACTATCAAAAGCAGCGCCCTCTTCTTCCAGGGTAGCAGCGACCGCAAGTTCATCGTCTACTAAAGAAAGCAGTCAGCAGCTGCAATTGTCCCGCGGTGCAGCTAGGGTCTCGGCGGCGGCCGCAGCGCCACCACCCGTTACTGTTCCTGACAGCGTTGCGAGCCAAAGTCCAGTTGGTGATGGTGCTCCTGGGGCCGCAGTAGATGAGCCGATACTACTTCCACAAGTAGAAGGACAAGAACCGAAGGAAGAACTCCCTTCCGAAGTCGGTTCACCTGCGCCGCCCGAATCGCCGCCCCCTCCCACGCCCCAAGATCAGGCACCACCGCGGCCCGATGATGCTGTAGTATCCGCGACAGCCCCTGCCACGGACGACGCCGTGGCTTCACCGCTTCCCAGCGCTGCTGGGGCTGCAACTGATACTGCAACTGTACCAGAAAAAAAGCAGGATGCGCCGGCACGACCAGGCGAAGTACAAGTAGCTGAAGCGGGAGCACAAGACGAGTCTGCAGATGTAGCGGACGATGCAAATGATGCGCCTCCACGACCTGCAGAAGTTGCTGATATTACACCCACAGCAGTACTAGCAGCAGCAGAATCTTCAGAACCACCGCCACAGCCAGACGCGCCAGGACAAGAAACTCCTGAAATCGTCCAAATCAGCTGGAGCTCCTTCACAAACAAACTTCCAGTGGACGAAACCCACGACGCCGAGCTCGTCGACCTCTACCAGTCTCTGGACATCAGTGCGAATGGTTTCATAGAAATCACAGAGCTCATGCCGCCGACGAAGCTCCTGAATTTGGTTATGCTGAGTCCCGACGAGGTGGGGAAGAAGGAATTGTCCGTATTACCGGACGTCGACGAGGTATTGTAAATTACTGATTGTCTACTTCTTCATGAAGAAATTATTGAATTGCCCACCTGGAGCAGCTGATGCTGAGGGATCAAAGCTATCATCTTCATTTATTTGACGTCAAAAATGAAACCAGACGACTACATTTTTTTGATTTGCAGAAATTGATAGATGACGGTCTGCATCATGAAGCAGATGCGTAGTGGTCATAGGAAGCAAGAGAACAAACAAACCCATTACAATATCAGGTGTTCACCAAAGCGTTCGCTTATGCGACGGAGCACAGCCCCGACCCGGGTGTGAAGATGGACGAGGACGGGTTTTTCCACTTCCTCACCTACCTCCTGGATTTCGCGCAATTGCGGTCCATCTTCGTCGTCACAGACGAACAGCAGCGGAGCCAAGCCGCATCCTACGTACTCCCCCCACCCCGTCCCGGGAAGCCGGATAGGGTCTACCGCGAGCACTTCGTGAATAATTGCATCGCGCCGCTGCGGGCCTGGGGCATGCACAACGTGGTAGAGGAAGAGGCTGTGGATTACTGGCAGGACATTGCCGCTGGTTTTGTCGACGCAGACAGCGTCACCTTCGTGCAGATGGTGGACTGGGCGGCAAGGAAGGCGGCGGATGAGCATGACCATGAGGAGTTGTGATAAGGATAACGAAAATGAGCATAATGACATGACCTCCAACTTCTCGATCTTCTTCCAAGTGCCTTCAGGATGTTGATGACCATGAAAGCATTTTTTACTTCCAAGAAGGAGCTCTTATGTCCTGTGAAGGTGAGAGGTGGTCCTGGAGGTACGGTAGAACGGACACGGAGCCGCAGGAGGACGCATTCATAAAAGCAAACGAACGTTGTAGATCCAACATCGGTTCACCTCGCGTTACGACGTTGAGTCGTGCGGCACTTGCACTTCATTACGCAGAATCAACGGGGTCTCTTCACACATAATTCAATGACCTCTAGTACTAGCCTTCGCTGAAATTTATAAGATCAGAAACTGCAGCAGGTGAAGAAGCACCAGGACGGCGATCTGGGTCTTCATGCATGATGATAATCTTCTAAGTACGGACATAATGTCGAAGGGTCAGAATACTGAAAGCGCGAATCGAGATCAAGAAAGGTGCAAGGATTCTGTCAACAAGATCCTGCTTCTAGGTTCCATGGGATCTTTCTGAAAGAGAGCATGAGTAATTGCGTTCGCACGATCTGAAAATTCAATTCGCCGATGAAATGAAAAGCAAAAGCGTGACCGTGAGTTTGACCTGCTGAAAATGAATATGAATCTGACCGATGAACCTATCTGAACTCAGGCGACAGATCTATTGGCGTATGACAACAAATTCCCATCACTTTCACTATCACTTCTACCAAATAAAACATATTGATACATGATTGGCGTAATAAATATTCATTCTTTATTTGTCGCACCAAGACTAGGTGGACCACTAGGAGCAACATGGCATCTCCGGTGAGAATCATGAACGAGCGACCATTGTCGATATCGGCTCGCGACGAGGAAAACCCGCCCGAGGTGGGTGATGATTTATCCCCGCGCGGCCGGCCCGCTGCTGGAGAGGACGACTCGTCCTCTTCAGATTCCTCTTCCCGACATCACCACCAGCTCTCCATCTGGCAGACGATTCTGTTCGGGCAGCTCTGCGCTCTGCTGGTTTCCGGCACGAACGTCACCGGCGGGGAATTAGCTGCGCGCAAGTTCGACAAGCCAACATTCCAGTCCAGCTTGAACTACGTTTTGTTGTTAGTTGTTTACGGGACCGCGAGTCTCGTACGGTTCTTTTCAAGTAGAGCGAAGAGAAAACAAGAGATCATGACGTCCTGCTCCATGAGAGCTGACAGTGCCGCAGGTGCTGGAACTGCGTCTCGTCGTGAAATCAACATACTCCGGGACCACCACGACACTGGCGACCTGACGATGCCCTTGGTGCAAAAGAGCAGCTCAGGGCTGGTACAACCTCTGGCACGACCGGGCACGACCACAGCGGATGCAGATGGAATCCTCAGTGCAGCATCAAGGAAGGAGTCAAACGATGCTGGAACTCCTGCGTCGCATTTTTCATCACGCTCGAGAAGAGCAACCGCGCCTCCTTGTACCCAGCGCGTGATCTCCGTCCTCCGCCGCGTCGCGTTTGCGGCTTGTGACGTCGAGGCGAATTATCTAGCCGTTTCCGCTTTTCAGTACACGTCGGGAATCAGCATATCTCTGATTCTCTCCTCCACGGCCCCCTGGGTGATGCTGTTTGGCTTCCTGACGAAGATGAAAACGAAATACACGCTTTGGCAGTTTCTGGCGGTTTTCGTCTGTCTCGGCGGTCTGGGCTTGACCGTGTACGCCGATTACATGCGTCAGGAGTGGCTAAAAACAAGCGAGGAAAATGAGGGTGAAGAGGACGGTGCTGACAACGGTGCGGCTGGTGCTTGTCCCAGCGCCGACCCAGTGCGGGGAGACCTTTACGTGGTGGCAGCAGCCATTCTTTACGCGGCGAGCAATCTGCAGCAAGAGTGGTTTTTGCAGCATCAGGAAGGGAAAGTGGGTGAACATCAAAGTCAAAGTGTCGAAGATTGTTCCATATCATCATATCCTGGAATAAACCGAAACCTCGACAACTCCTCGGCGACAAATGGTGATCATGAAGTTGACGCAAGGAGAAGAAGTAGAACAAACGCACAAATAAAGAGCACTGCTACAACTGCATCTGCAAGTCCTAGCCGGATAAGCAAAGCCCATGCTGCCCAACATGCAGTCACCACAGAAGACGAGGAACTCAGCGATGGCGACGAGGAAACCAGCGTCTGGCTTTCAAAGCAACTCAGCTTGCCACGGAGCGGGGGTTCAGGTGAGCACCAGCCGGCACAACCCAACGACCCTCCCCAGTCCTCCCACCATGCGGAACATCATCAAACGACCGAGCTGTACCGCACCCTCTGGCTGCTGGGCGCTTTCGGCACGGTGATTTCGATCATTCAGTTTTTCAGCTTGGAATTCACCACGAACGCCCTGGACAATTCCTGGCAGCCGCTGCGGGAGAGCTACGAGGTGGTGTTGCTGGTGTTAGCCTTCCAACTCTGCCTGTTTTCCATGTACACCTGCTGTGCGTTGTTTTTGCAGTACTGCGACGCCGTGATTTTCAACCTGTCGCTACTCACTTCCGACGTCTACTTGCTGATCTACTACACGATTCGGGGAGAGAAGGTGCCCTGGCTCTTCGCCATCGGGTTCGTGTTGACCGTTGCGGGCGTCATCCTGTACACAGTGACCGAACCTGCGGAAGAGGGGGTGGAGGAGGTTGGCGGCGGCGGTGGCGAGGGACATTCAAATTGTTGTAAAAGAAAGGAAAGGACGGCGTCGTGGTCGCAAAACGTGGAAGATCCGCGGCTCGTTTCGGATCTTGAAAGAAAGGCACTCGAGGACAGCAGGACAAATAGGATGAATCCGCGTGGCACCAGAGACGTGGTGTTTTTTTCACCAGAGCAGGAGGCCCGTCTTTACGAAGAAGATCAAGATTTGTACGCCGATAGCGCGCGGGATTTCGCAGGCAAAAAATTGTCGAAACGAGCACAGAGGCTCCGGGCAACTGCAGCCGCTTCGGAAGATCATTCGCGTGGTGGTGCCGGCGGAGCGGTCAGTGCGCCGGGGAGTTCAGGTTATTTCGGCAAACAAGATGAGGGGGGCAGTAAGAGTGCTAGTACTTCCCGAACTGCGCCCTCCTCGTCTATAGCTTTGATAAAAGGGCCTGAGCTACTTTGATAAAGATGAGATACTTTGATACTTTCGTCCTTAACCAACGTCTGACAGGAAGGATGTCAAAAGACGACTACCCTTTTATTTTTGGCGACAGACACAAATGTTTACGTGACGACGAAACACAACGACTCCCTTTGACTACTGCTACTGCACCAGTGCAGTGGGCGGTGGTGCAATACATACATAGTTGTCATATTGGACTAAATGAGTGAAAGAACGCTCTGAGTCTACCTTATTTTGTGCCGCGTGAAGACGCAATGGCAATGAAATGTAGAAGACACTTCGCTGGCGTTCCTCGATCGACGCGGCAGCGATGTTTTTGGTCTGGAGTTCGAAAAAAATGATGGGCACATGAGTGAACGGGTACGGGAACGAGGACCACGAGAGAGTAACAAGCACGTCTTCTTCATCGTCTACGTAGCTCCCACAATAAGCTACGACGTAGCTCCCACAATAATGTGCGTTTGGCTCGACAAGCTAACCGCCATCGAGGGGTGCTCTCATCTTAGCTTCATCGTGGTCCAGAAAGTAAGAGAACAAATCAGAGGCGCCTGCTACTGCCAGAGCAAGAGCTTGCCCTTTCGTTTCGCCAATTCGATTGCATTTTGTCAGGTTTGTTCGTTCCTAATATTGTTCCGAAGAACCCTGCTGGTCTTGGAGTAGCAATATCGACAGCATCAAGTTTGTGTTCGTATGTAGTGAGGTCACCGAACGGCTCTAACCAGGGAGTTTTTTTGCCAGCCAGACAGCAAAACGACCGGCAGTTTTCAAGCGGCCGGAAGGCTTTTTTGACATAAAAAAATTTCAATTATCAAGCGGCCGGGGCTTTGCCAACAAACAAGCCCGGTCGAAAACTATTGACTCGCGCTTGATAAAACGACGCAGGGGAGCCGGCAAAAGAGACGCCCTTCCGAGGCGGCCACCGCCTTGGTTTCTGGCGATTTGGGGCGCCCAAAAAGGGGCGCGCAAAAAACGCGCCCAAAATCAGAACAGCGAAACAGCATAGCACGGCCGCGATTTCGGAGCATTTTGGGCGGCCGCGACCTTTTCGCCGGTTGCAGAGCCTGGGAAGCTTTGCAAAAAGCGCTGGCGAGAAATATAAAAACGCAAAAAAGAAAAAGCGCGCCAGACGCGCAAAGCCAATCCCCATGCTCTGGGCCCGATTTTTCCTCGCTTTTTGGGCGCCCCCGTGGCGCCCGGATCGGCCTCATAGCATGGGGGCTGGCTTTCGGAAAGGAATTTCGAAAATTTGTCAAAATTTGCGACGCTTATCAGGCGGCCGCCACACCGTGGGGCCTTCCGTTACTCACGGCGGTATGGCGGGCCCAGAAAAATCAAAGCCGCGGCCAAGGCGACGGCCGGCAAGAAAACGCCCTCGACCTCACTACCTCCGCCCCGGCGGCTATATTTGGTATTCCAGACTAAAATCTACATGTACCAGTTTACAGACCAGTCCAGTTGAAACAACGAATTTCTCGCCACCAGGCAGCGTCGTATGACCAGCACCAGCACCATAACAACAACAAGCAAGCGAACAACTAGTAAGTTAGTATTATCGGTGTTACACGTATCAGAAGATGGGGGCACTATCGTCTGGCCGTGACGATGAAAATGATGTCGCACCTGAAGACAAGGAGGCCGCTTCGTCCCAGCTCGAGGTGAACAAGTCTCTGCTGAGGGGTCCGTGTCCGCCTGGCCGTCCCTGCCTGAATGTCCGGCCTGGCCGTCCCTGCCAAGAGTTGAACAAGTCTCTTCTTTTCCAGCCACCGGGGGATTTGGATGTTATGGGGGAAGATAAGATGAAGATATGGCAGCAGAAGGAGCAGGTACCGGAGGAGCAGTCCCAGACCCTCTGGGGCGGCCTTTGGAACCGACTAGTATATGAATGGACAAAATATGCACAACTGGTGCAGCACCAGCGCTGCATGCTTCGCGAAACCAGCTAAGTAGTAGGGAAAGCCCAAGAATAAAGCGGCTTGCATTTATTTTTGCACAATATGTACTACCACGAAAGCTGCTGCAAAATCAAGCCAAAGAAGCAGATGCGCGCTGCAAAAGCTTCAAGTTTTGGCTATGGCTTGAATTTGAAAGCTTTAAGCTTTGCATTGCATGCGTTGCAGATGATGCGCCGCGAATTAGTCTGTTTTCCGGATAATTTAGCCGTTTTCGCGAATCTCGCAGAGCTGTTGCGATTAGTTGCGCTATTGTGTCCATTCATAGGCGTTCGAAACTGCGGCCGAAACGCGAGGCGACTGAAACTGAGTCCATTGCTTACAGGCGATTGACTGTGGAAGAAGCGAAGTCTTTAGTGGACAAAGTCTTCACAACATCAAATGAGGTAAAAGGAGGTGTAGCCGCTTTTATCGGCAGGCATTGGAAGAAAAATTTATCCGAGGTTGATACTAGCGGCATCCGTAAGTGGGGAACAAGTGGAGCCGTATTTTGGGAACAATTGGAAAGAAATTGGTTGTTGGCAGACCTGCAGAGAATGCCGCTGTCCCCCCAGCCCATTGAACAGGACCAGATAGCAAAACTGAATGAGGATTTTTCGACAAATCCTGCAGATCGAGATATGGGAGATCTGCACTTTCCAAATTTTCCAATAAATCTGCAGCCGTCTTCAGAACAAAAGCTGATGCAGATATCCACAACAAAAATAAAACCATTCCCATCCTAAATTTGTCATGAAAATCATGCGATAAAAAAATACATCGTATCCTATGACTATGTCTGTGATGCAAATAAAAATGGATAGCGATGGTTTTTTTCTGCGGATAGATGCTGTTCGATAAGATCGACGAGGGCACCAAGTATTCTGCTGAAGACAAGGCCGAGTTCAAGTTGATTTACGGAATGATTTTCGCGAACATCAAGGAGAAAGGACGTGTGTTGAGCTTGTCGCTTGTTGAGCCCGAAAAGCAAAGATTCTTGTCCGATCGCTCCGATTCGAGCACGAATACGTGTGCATTAGTGCTGAACGTCGGCCGAATATTGGATTCCGACGGTCCACATCTTCTTCTCTCGGGTCCACAATTCGGCATCTCCGTGCTAACTGCTCCGCCAGAAGAAAAACCGCCATCTACGTTGATTCAAAAAGCACCGACACAGCAGCTAGAAGTAGAACCACTTCCACTACCAACCCCGTCATCAGCACTGGAGATTCCAGAAACAGGAACAGCGTCCTTCTCCACCGGCTCGACGTCGTCGAACAATTTAGAATCCTACGAGAACATCAATGAGCAGCAGTTTCATTTCAATAATAAATACACGAACGACCACATCTTCTCCCCCAATACCAACGCCACCGGTCATCATGTCCAGCACCGTGCTGCCGATTGCATTTTGCCGGGCCTGTCGTGTCTCGGGTTTGCTTCGCTGCTGATTCTATTCTACTACTACTGGCGTTCTTCCGGAGGTTCGTCCTGCGGCTGCGCCAAGCGGTGCCCAAAGTATTGTTGTTCTTGCATCAAACCGGTCGCGGTCGTCAAGACCAAGATGAGAAGCGAAGAAACTGCGTTACTGTTACAAGACGTGCTCGAGGGCGGGGGAACGGATCACGCGGATGCTGGTCGGAGCATGACGTTTGGCGAGGAAGCGGATTTTGACGCGGAGCACGAACGCATCACATCCTCGGTCTTCGGGTGCTCGCACTACGGCGGTGGGAACTACACGAGCGGCTCGGTGTTGCCATAGACTTATGCAGGAGGCCCGTCTTTACGAAGAAGATCAAGATATTTGTACGCCGACAGCGCACGGGATTTCGCAGGCAAGAAATTGTCGAAAAGAGCACAGAGGCTCCGGGCAACCGCAGCCGCTTCGGAAGGTCATTCGCGTGGTGGTGCCGGCGGAGCGGCCAGCGCGGGGAGTTCAGGTTATTGCGGCAAAGACAGTAAGAGTGCTGGCGCGGCGCCCCCGTCGATAGATTTGATGAAAGGGCCTGAGCTACTCTGATAAAGATGAGAACATCTTCTACTTTGTCCTCAACGAAAAGGAATGAGGTGTAAAGACGACTTCTACTCTGATTTTGGCGACAGACAAATGTAACGATGAAACACAATGACACCCTCTGACTACTACACCACTGCGGTGGGCGGTGGTGCAATACATGAACTTTAGCTCGATCAACATGGCCTTCCGACGAGTTCTGTTCCACGTTCACGAAGAAGTGACAGATCGGCGGGAAGCCGAATTTCGCCTTGAAGTACAAGTGTTCCACTTCTACGCTTCCGCCCGCAAGTTCAGCTTACATACGCGATCGAAATGTTCTTGGGATGAAGACTTCTTTTTACATCATCAATATCTCTGCTATGACCTCCGAAGCCTTTTATCGCACAACTATAAGCACCACTGGAGGATGAAGATCTAAGTTCTTCACCGTCAAGATGAAATGAATCAATTTTGTAGCAAGACCAAGCTACCTACGTGCTCCTCTATCACGCATTTTATGCGCCTCGTCGTCCTGGAGCTGAACGCATTCTAGTTTTCGCCTGTTTAAGTACTTATGCTATTTCACAGAGACGGCGCAGCGCACGACAGTTCTGCCAGACGAGAGAAAAATACGTACTTTTGAAGAGCGCTGGTCATATCTGATCACGCCAATCCTTGCTCTAGTCCTCCCTATTTTGTCGTGCTAAACCAATACCAAAGGACCACTACAGCGAAACAGCACAAAATGGCGGCCGTCTCGCAAAAAAATCTCCCGTCGCCGCCCTTCATTCTTGTAGTGGGGAGGCCGCAGCGATCCAAGAAAACTTTTGTCAATTGGTGCTGCAAGGAGGAGGTGCTTCCACCAAACAATCAGCAAGCAACTCTAAGGCCGACAAAGCTGGAGGTCGCGCAGCAGGTTGGAAGGTTGGAGCGCGAAATACTCGATGACATTCTTGTCGAGCAGCAGATGACAAGCTCAACAACAAGCGTTGCATCGTCCGGCGGCGCGTCTACTTCTTCCTCTAGTACTGCACCCGAGCAGGACAGCAAAGTCGCACAACGGGCAGTAGAATCAAGAGGACCACATCAGACTAACGAACATCAAACCAGTTCGAGCTCCTCATATCCAAGAAAAAAACTGTGTTAGTGTAACTTTCTTTGGCTGACAGCATCACAAATTTGCTCTACATGACAGAGACAACCTGTCATGTGGGGTTTGTAAGGGAAAACACACATGAAATGAGGACTGCGTCGCTGTCTGGCATGAGCATGACAGCTGTAACTCTATTGCATGTTCTACATCACAGATTTACACTTACACAGTTTTTTTCTAGCATACCTCATCTTCTTCAAGCAGCAGAGGACGTACACCTCCATTCTCGACCACAACCTCGATGCGGACCCTGCCGATTATTGCGAGGAAAAATGCCCCCACCCCCGAACTTGGGAGCATTTGCATTGCAAACCTTTCCAAATGAAACATTCGCCCTCTTGCATCTATCAGCATCACATTCACAGGTTTCGAATCGTGACTAGCAAAAATTTGCATTGCAAAAGACCGCAGCAAAAGCGGCGCTTGTCATGCAAGCGATGCGATACACGCCTAGACTCTGCATCAGAAAGATTCAAACTACTCCTTTCATGCATGACAAAAACTTTTCATTTGGAAACTTCGCATGACAAGAATTTTTTGCAATTTCAGGGGTGGGGGGCACTTTTCACTGTAATACCGATCGCCGCGTGCCTAGAACCCGCAAAGCCCACGGCCGGGTTGCAGGAAGGACTACGAGACCTCGGCAATCCGTCGCTTGTGCTTCTCCCCCTCCTCTCCATCGAGGAGCAGCGCGCTCCGGCTTTGTGGTGTGACGTGTCCAAAGTGAGGAGTCTCACCGGCCCCGACGCGGCGGTTTCGCAGCAGTCGAAAAGCCTGGCGTCGTCGTTACTCGCAGCGGGGGGCGAGTTGCTCTCCGTCGGGCAGGAGGAAGATCAAGGAGAGGACGATGGGGAAGAACATCATGCTGACGATACCAACTACAGAAAAGGCAAGCGAAAGCGCGACGTTGTGAAGCAGAAGCTCACGTCTGCCATGGACACGACCAAGATGATGTTGCAGATGACGGGGGTAAACCAACTGATGGAAAAGTCCAATCTTCTCGTGCGGTCCGCCGTTTCCGATGCGACCTCGACGATCACCGGCCTCGGGAATCAGTATCAAATACAAATATGATATCTGGGTCTGGAAGAACAATGCGAGTTTGTCATGCTTGTCTGGCTGCTGGCATGGCTCATAAATCTGTGATGCTTGAGCAGGAAAAGGCCCCCCTCTCGTCTGTCATACAAGAGCGCAGCTTGACACGCGGGAAGTGAAACACAAAGAGAAACACAATAGCAGCTCAAAGATTTGTCATGCTTGGCTGCGTATCGCAGTGCGCCCACCAGTCACATTTTAGCATTATAAGATCCCAGACGCGGACATCATATTTGCAAGTGATAATCAGCTCCTAAGTCAGATGTCGGAGGCGGACCTGCTTGGCGCGTTCGAATCGCCGGACGAGGCGAGACTCGCTTGGCGAAATTTAGTGGAGGAGCTTGCATCCAAAGCCGCGGCGATTCTGTTTTTCGTTTCCGAGAAGGACCTGGATATGCTGAAAGCGACGGATATTCTCCAACTCTTGCTGGCGATGAACAAAAGCGAGGAATTGGGCGCCGGTGGGGATGAAGTAGTAGATCACGACGAGCTGCACGGCGAGAAGAGCAGTACTAAGCTGCGCATTTACATCCCCAAATGGGACCTGAAATCCGCCACGCAGCGCGAGATGGAACGCAGCGCAATCCGGACGGCGGTGTTCGACCAGCTGAAGGGAGGTTCCGGCTCCGCTTCGTCACAAGCGGTCCCAGTCCGGCCGGTGGGTTTCGAGCAAAATCGCGAAACGTTCATGTTCGATGATTTACCAGCACCGGAAAATTTGATCTGGAAGGGGAAGAAGGTAGTATCACCCGATGAATTCACTTCGCTTGCAGCTTCTGCACAAAGCGCTGGGTTGCAGATTGGCGGGGCTATTTCTGCTGGTGCCGGTTCTTCGAGCAAGCTGCAAAAGCACTCCTTCGCACTCTGCCGGGATGTGGTCCGGGAAGCGGTGGGTCGTGCGCAACTTTCGGCGACGCAGACTCGCTCGGCGCCCAGCACGGCCGCAGCGAAGGGTTCATCAAAGTCGCAATTTGCCTTGCAACCGAACCGCCAAAGAGTTCAGGACTTCGAGACCTGGCTCGAGACTGAGGCGAAAAGGCGCGACGCTGCAAAGAAAAAGGAAGCGGAAGAGAGCAGACGGAGCAGAGGTGAGCAGGCGGGTAGAGGTAATACGGACGACACAGCGACGAACAAAGGCGCAAGAAACGCGGGCGCCGGCGGGCCAGGAGGTGGTGGCGATGGTGGACGTGTGGCGCGGGGGAGAAGTTCTTGTTGCTCTTGTTGGGCCTGTTGCAAGTTCTGCTGGAGACACGGAAAATTTGTCTCGATCGCCTTTTTCGTTTTGATACTGGCACTGGTGGTGCGCAGAAATCTGGGTTGGCTGTTAAGGTGAAGCAGGTCATGAAATAACGTACAACTTTCACTTGCTACAACTTCTAAAAGACTGTACTAAACACGACTGCGCAATAAAAAACTACAACGTCGCGACAATCCGAAAGTTACCTTTTGATTGTGATTCCAAGAACATCTTCGCAAACTTGAATGTTGCTGAGAAATCGTGGATTTCTCTTGTACTACGGGATGAATCATGCCCCTCGCATATCATGTTCAGTCTGCTGTTGAGGGGCGAGCGCAATGTCAATGAGGAGATTGATGAACCTTGTTGGCTGGGCTTCTATCGCTATGCGTGTCAAGAATTGAGTGCGGCCGAAATTCAAATTTTGTGTTTATGATGTGGACGAGTTGCAGTGGTGTGAAAAGTGGCCTCTCAATGAATCCCGGCGAGTGCGAGAGCAGAGCGCGTGCTGGTGTGTATCTTCTAATTCATCCGTCACCTTGTAGAAAATTTAGCTACTTGCGAAGGCGTGTGCACACGCAAGGAGCAGCAGCTGTTGCGAGAACGCGAAGTGTGTATACAAACATGGTACGCGTCGAAGTCAAGATGCACATGCACGTGAAGGGCTTACTCTCTTTGCGCAAACTGTTGGAAGAGGCTGCCACGAAAAAGAAACGAAGGGCCGGCGAGGATCCTCGTGGAGGTCTTTCCTCTCCTACTTCTTCATTGCTCCGGACCCTGCGTGAGTCTGGGGCTAGGCCAGAGCAAATCACCACCTCGATATCGGTGCGACAGCATCAACCGCACCAAGAGCCTATCGCCCATGTAGTTGAGAGCAGTTTCCTGGACGAGGGCGGAGGGGTAAAAGGAAAAACGGCGCCGACCGCCCCCGGGGCGGCAACGGGTCTCAGTACTGTAGTTGCTGAAAACAAGAAGAAAAGCGGAGCAGTTTCGAAGACTGACAAACCTGGCAGCGCCGTGTTGTTCAAACCTGCTCCTCCCGCAGCTGCACTCGTCCAACGGCATGGGGAGGTGCAGCATGGTAACCAGAAGCTGCTTGTTCACGACGAGCGAACAAAAACTGCATCTTCTGCTCCAACAGAGGCAGTAGAGCAGGACAACCCGTACCTGATAGCCTCGGACCGCCTGCCGCTTAGCACTCGGGGCAGCAAGATTGTCGATAAAAACGGCAACGCCGTGCGGCTGCGGTGCGTGAACTGGTCGGGCGCGCAACTCGAACAATATTCCGTCGGTGGTTTAAACGTGCAGAAATTGGAAACCATCGTGCTCGCGATCCGAAAACTCCATTTCAACTGCGTCCGGCTCGTGTACAGCCTGGATTTGTTCTATGAGAAGCATCCGGTCCCCTTCGCCAACCACACACTGAGAGCGAACCCGGAGCTGCTGACCGTAACCCCGAAGATTCCGCAGCCGGAGACCGACGACTTGGAAATCGTGAAGAACCACCTACCGGAGTCGCTTCCGCCCTTTCGAAAAAGCAAATACGTGCTGGAACCGTACCAGCAGCTCTTCTTCAAAACGGTGGAAGCCATCACAGACCAGGGGCTGTTAATCATCCTGAACAACCATAATTCCGACGCGGGGTGGTGCTGCAACGAGTTCGACGGAAACGGTTTCTGGTACACGAAAGAGTACCCCACCGCAATTTGGGTGGACCACCTGAGACAGATCACCAAAGATTTCAAGGACAACAAGCTAGTCGTCGGGATCGACCTCCTATGACAGTGCACAACCCACCCTCGTTCTCATTTGTCGTGCAAAATCCCAAAGGCAGTTGTTGCCTTGTATCACTATTATGCATCACAAATTCCGGAACCCCAAGCAGTACGACATCAGGTTGTACACAAATTCGTCATGCATAGGCTCCAAATGTGCGGGTGTTTGGATTGCTGTTCATGCCATACAAATGAGGGTGAGGAGGAGCTGTGCACTCTCATACCTCCGGAACGAGATCCGCGACGCCTTGGACCTCACCACCGAGCATCCGCAGTGGTTTTCGAAGAACGCGGACGTGGACTGGGGTACCGCGGCTTTGCAGGGGGGGCTGGCGGTGCAAAAGGAGAATGCGGACCTCTTGATCGTCGTTGGGGGAGTGTGGTACAACACGTTCCTGTGCGAGGTCGACAAACTCCCGATCCATAAGTTACTACCAAACAAAGTCGTGTACACCTCACACACCTACTCCTGGTTCTCGCACCGACTGCAAGTAGCGCAGGTGTTGGAGCTTTACCACTTAACGCTGCAGTCCGTGATGCTGGTTCTCTGGGTGGCCGTCGTCTTCGCGATCTTGCTGCAGCGGTTTTGTCCGGAGGCGAGTGTAACGCGCTTTTTCGCGGTGCAGTTCTACAAAGTGGGGAGGGCGCTGAGCAGTAAACGGGAACAAGATCATCAGGTGGAGAAAATGACTGAGCGACCTCCCCGCGAAGCCGCTCCAGCTCCTGACAGGGACGAAGACGAAGAAAAAGAGAATGTTGGGCACGGTGGAAACATCAACAAACCACGGGCAAATAAAACTACTACTGCAAGCAGAAACAAAGCACCCGGCGACCAGGACCGCTCTCGAGGTCGTGTCAGTGCTGCGATGACGATGTCCCACGACCCGATCTCCATCTGGTTACTCGTCTCCACACTCGCATTCACCTCTCTGCTCGTCTGGTCGTTCTTCTTCACCGGTCGCTGCAGTGTCCACGCGGAGGTCGGGGCCATAGCGTTTTGGATTCTCGCAATTATCGCCGGGGTATTTTCCATCGTGCTCTTCACGCTCGCGCTGCTACGCTTTCTCTTAACCGACCCAGAAGCGCAACACCACTTCAGGTCCGTCGGCGGCGAGAGAAGCCTTTCTGCTGCGAAGATGTATCAGCATTATACCACGGCGGGTACAGCTAATACTAGCGATGGTCGACGTGGTGCTCCACCAATGGGACAAAAAATCTCCGAGGCGGCCCTCCATCAAGAAACTGGCAAGAACAGCACGCTCCAAGCTCCGCGCGGACAGAATGCAAGCAAGCTCAGCCACGTTTCGTCCTCGTCGTCGTCCGCAAATTCGGACAACAGCAATGGGAACAATAATTACAAGCGGCTTTCTCCGCGCGACGCGTTTTTCTCCATCTTAATCCAGGTCTCCGTCATCGTCGCAGTCTTTTGCACCTGTACCGCGATCGTGTTCACCCTGGTTGCCGATAGCCTGCAGAGCTACGAGGGCTTAAAAGAAGAGTATGACAACTACTGGGGGTTCCTGCAGCGAGACAACATCGCACCGGTCTGGGTTGGCGAGTTTGGTACGCACGACGCCGAAAACGTCTGGTTTAAGAACGCCATGCGGTACTTTGAGGAGCGAGACCTGTCCTGGTCCTACTGGCCTATGCATTGCAAATATGTTTGTAGTCTGGATCTGTGACGCGTTCTGCAGATCACGCAAAAATTTGTTGTATTTTTGCCCAGGTAGCACAACAAGATGCGCACTTTTCCCCAGCACCCTGAAACGAGATTTCATCATCATTTCATGCGGGATATTCATACATGGCAAAGGCCTTTACAATTAAGCGGGTGAAGATTCTATGCCCTGCATTCTAGTTCTCGTGGGGCAACGTCCAAACCCAGCATGACATCAAACTCCTGCACCCATCCAGACGACCCAGACATGATGTTTGCATTCGATACGGCCCCTGGACGGGCAAAAGAAGGCCCGGCTGAGCCACGACGCGGATACCCGATCCCTAGCGCAGGAGCCGTTTGGATTACTCCAAGACGATTACACGCGGATCCGGGACGTGGGGAAAATGAAAGCGCTATCCCCTTTGCTGAACCTAACGACCAACAGCACGACGGGGGACACCTACCCGCCGGGCTTCGGGGAGTGGTCGTATCCGGAGGGGTTTGGCCCGCGGAGTAGCGAGACGAGGGTGCACAGTGCAGCTCCGTGAAGGGAAGAATTATGTTGCGTAGATGCAGAAGTTTTTAGTATTAGTTGCGGAGGGTCAAAGCGAATTTCGAGATCTCAACTGATTGTAAGATGGCAACTACGTAGTTTTACGAAGATTAGAGTACCTGAGAACTTTGCTATGCATGTTTTTGAGAACAATTTCTTATTCTTCTGTCGTTTCTGTGACAGGAGCACTTACAGTCCTGGCTATTATCTGAGTACTACATCTCGAGAATACAGGAGGAAGTCGTTAAAGACAAATGTAATGATGAATGATCATGCACCACCAGTACTACACCAAGTGTCGTGATGCGCTCTCCCAACAGCAGCAAAGAAAAAGGAACTCAAGCTAATATTCCCAATTGTAGCATTGCTAACTCAAAGAGTAGACGACGACGCTACTGTTATTTCCTTTTTGTTCGCCTTCATCACGATTTGCGGGCCCAGTGTCGTCCGAAAGGCATTATTTTCGGTCCTTTTGACTTTGAGGGGAGTGACGATTGAGCTTTCGGTTGGGTCTGCTCACTGAAGGGAAGAAAACCCAAGCAGGACGGGGAAACGGTATAAACTCGCTCCGCCTGCTTTCCATGGCCTTTGGTGATGCCCCGAGCCCGAGAACAGATAACTAATAAGAAAAGCAAAAGAGGAGAAACAAAAATGACGCCCTCTCCACCTCCTGATTCCGATGGTGCCTTGTACTTGTTTGAGAAGTCGCAGAATCATAAGGGTGAAACAGACCGTGACGCCGTTGGTTCTGTATGGAGACGGCTCTTGAAGCGCTTCGACCAAACCGAAATTCGCGAGAGCATTTTGGACGCACCAGACAATAAAGACGAAGAACAACATCATGGGGACTACAACTTACAGAAGCTGCAGGAGCGGGGACGGGAAGAAGAGGTCCAGATACAAAAAGTCGGGAACATCAACAAGAACTCGGCGGGATTTGGCTTCCAACCAACATCGCACAGAAGCGTTGAAAACCGGAAAAATGTGCATCGGCCATTGGAAGATAATTCGGACGCTCCGAAGATGAAAAATCGACCTCAGCAGGTAGAAGAGAACGACGATGACTACAGTGATAATCCCTACCTGATCAAGCCCCACCAACTTCCGCTGAGCACCCGCGGGCGCGCGATCCTCGACGCGGAAGGGAATCCCGTGCGTCTTCGCTGCGCCAACTGGAGCGGCGCGCAGCTGGAGAAGTTTTCGGTGGGCGGTTTGAACGTCCAGAGATTGGACACCATCGTACTCGCGATCCGAAAACTCCATTTCAACTGCGTCCGACTCGTGTACAGCCTGGATTTGGTGTTCGAAACGATGGAAGTTCCGGACGCGCAGGACGCCTTTCGTGCCAACCCGGAATTGCTGGCGAATGAAACTGGTGGCACGCCAAGACCTACACCTTCTACACTTGGGACCACCGCGAGAAATGATCATGTGAAGATAAATCGGAAAGATCATAAAAATGCCGGCGAAGAATATTATCATTTATTGAACACGGGCAAAGGAGGTGCAGCTCCCTTCGTCGCCCATCCGTACAAGAAACTCCTTCATCTCGTCGTGGAACAGTTGCGCAAACGTTCCCTGCTCGTGATCCTGAACAACCACATGTCCGATGCCGGTTGGTGCTGCAACGCGCTGGATGGAAACGGGTTGTGGTATACCAGGTCCTACCCGGAGAGAGACTGGCTGGCGCACCTCTCCCTCGTTGCCAAGGACTTCCGAGAAAACCCGTACGTGGTCGGGATCGACTATGGATGTGTCAGAGTTGAAATCGACAAAGTTGAAATACTTTGCCATGCATAAAATGGATGCCAGTTGGAACCCAGTTTCCAAGTGGCGCATGACAAATCTTGGTGGCACTTAAATCCAGTTTGTCATGCTGTTTAGGCAAAGAAGAGCGATTTTCTCATGCTACTTTAGCAGCTCGAGCCGTAACCCCAAACAGGCCTACAATCGGCCTCACTTGCCTGCTCTGCAACACACGTACCTCGGCTCATGCATTTTATGCATTACAAATCATTTCAACTTTGACGATTTCAAACCTGACGCTTCCATATCGACCTGCGAAACGAAATCCGGGCCAGTTCCGTGGTGAACCGCCTGCCCCTATCAAGTGCAAGTATGTTTGGGTCTGGAAGATCGCGAGATTTGTCATGCTTGTTTGGCATGACTGAAGAATTTGTGATGTGTGTCCAAGAAGAGACCCTTTTGCTTGTCATGCAAAAGCGCAGTTTGTCATGCGGAAGAGCAACACTAAGCAGCGCAGACACTTCTCATGCTTGGCTGTGCATTACAGAGCATTCACTATTCGTATTCCCAATCCAGCATTACAACTTTTCAGACCCAAACAGATTTGCAGTTTATAGCCCCAGTGGTACAGCAGCGACCCGGCGGTCGACTGGGGCAGCGCGGCCCTGCGGGGCGGCATTGCGGTGCAAAAGGAAAACCCGCATCTGCTCGTCATTGTCGGCGGCGTCTGGTACAACATGTTCCTTTGTGACGTGCCGAAGCTGCCGATTATCCACCGCAAAAGATCCATCGATCCCGATCCACTTTGTCATTGTCGTGCAGAACACGCATCAACTCCATTTTTTGTCCTGCAAAGAATGAATTTAGGGATGGGTGTTTTTTTTTCCTGGTGATACTGATTCACGAGTTTCTACCGAATAAGATCGTCTACACCGCGCACGCCTACTCCTGGTTTTCGAACCGCTTGCAAGTCGCGAAAGTGCTAAGATACTACTCAGCCTCGTTAGTTTCCCTGTTGCTCTTGACCTGGGTGCTTGTCGCGGTCGCCGCCGTGGTGCAGCGGTACTACCCGCAAGCAAGCTTGACCCGATTTGTCGCCGAGCGGCTGCAGCGACTGGCGAACAGGTTCGCGAGGTCGCGTCGGAAGCGGGAAAGCCGGCGAAGGAGCCGTGCAGTGGCACGGGGAAGGCAGAGTGAAGCTGACATAGCTCGACGTCCTCCAGTTGCAGCTAGTACACGCCTGCAAGAAGATGTTGACCAAGATGAAAGCGAGACCACGGACGGCACATCACAACTCCCGTCCACGCCGGAAGATTCGAGTGCCAGAAGATCGTCGTCGCGAGGGGAACTGCAGCCACGACGGTCCTCTCTTGAGCGACGGCTCTCACGGCTGCGTGAGAACACCAGTTTCGCCTTCCAGTTGATCCGGGACCCGATGTACTAGCTCGGGGGAAGGAATCTCTAGGAAAAGCAGTGCGGTCGCAGGGGCGGGAGGGGAAGAGAAGAACTAGGCGAGGACGGGAAGGAGGGGCGACGGCGCGCGGGGTAGGGCGCGGGGTCGCTCATCGCGGAATCTAAAGCTTGAGCGCGGTACTCCCTTTACTCGGGCGGATGGACCTCACTCGCAGAACCCTTCTCGCCACACTTGGCGACTGTGTTGCGAAGGCGCCCCGAGTGCAGTGCTGTCGGGCGCTGGCGAGGGGCCGGCCTTGTTGCCAATGCCGCTCGCAAGCCGGGCGGCGGGTAGGGCGCGAGGTCGCTCGTCGCGGAATCTCGGGCGCGATGCTCCCTTTACTGGGGCGGACGGACCTCACTCGCAAAACGCTCGCTGGGGCGGAAGGACCACAGGCGCAAAACACTCACTGGGGCGGATGGGCCACACGCGCAAAACATTGGGGCGGATGGACCACACGCGTGCAACACGGGGGCGGGATCTTGTTTGCTTTGGACTTTCTTGCGGAGGAGCTTGAGGGCGATACTC